GGGCCACTAGCTTGTGCGGGCCACTAACTTGTGGATTACGTTACAAATTGCTGATCAAGAACATATCAGCCTGCCTGTGATTGGTGCCCCGACCGCGGGGCCCTTTCCGCATCATCAAATGTTCGTGATGCCTTACACAGCGCCTTATAATGCATTTTCTCTGCCCTCCCTCCATTCTTCTCGCACCCTCTCGCCACAGTCTCCTCCTCGACTATAAAAGCCGCCACTCCGATCCATGAAATTGATTCTCTCCATCCTCGTGTGCATCGCCGCAATCGCAGTCTACCATCAAGACTACATGTTATCACGCCTCTCACAGCTCACAAGAACAATCACACCTACAAAAGCAGCTTCACAGCTCACAAAGACAGCCGCAATGTCCTCGTCTACTACCTTCGCCGGCCTCCCGGTTATCCCTCCTACAAACGAACCTCTTACAACTACAAACCCCCGCAAGATCGCAAAGACCTTCCTCGCCATCGAACAATCCGAAGGCGCAGGCGCTCGCGTCCGCCGCTCAATTGGCACACCCCGCCTGCGCAACTTCTCGCCCTTCCTGATGCTCGATCACTTCGCCATCCCGCCTGGGGCAGGCTTCCCAGACCACCCCCACCGCGGGCAAGAAACAATCACCTATCTCCTCGACGGCGCCGTCGATCACGAAGACTTCGCCGGCAACAAAGGCACAATCGAGAAAGGCGACCTCCAATTCATGACCGCGGGTCGCGGGATCGTGCACGCCGAGATGCCGCGCCAGAACGCCGACGGCGCGCCCAACGTCGGCATGCAGCTGTGGGTCGACCTGCCCAAGGCACTCAAAATGTGCGAGCCGCGGTACCGCGACCTTCGCGCGAAGGAGATCCCAGAAGTCAACGTTCAAGACGGGAAAGTGAAGGTCAAGGTTATTTCGGGACGGAGCTACGGCACCGACAGTGTGAAGGAGCTGGCGTATACGCCGGTGTGGTTGCTGGATTTTACGGTACAACCCGGGGGAAGGGTGGAGCAAGCGCTGCCGAAGGGGTGGAATGCGTTTACGTATACGCTTTCTGGGAAGACGGTTTTTTATTCGGGGAATGAGTCGAAGTTGGTGGAGCAGTATCATAATGTTGTTTTTGATCAGGGTGGGGATAGCATCGCGGCGAGTGTTGAGGAGGGCGCGGAAGCTGAGTCGCGGTTTATACTGGTTGCTGGACTCCCCCTGGATCAGCCAGTTGTGCAGTACGGGCCGTTTGTCTTGACGAGTAGAGACGAGGTCATGCAGGCGATGATGGATTACCAGGACTTCTCGAATGGGTTTGAAAGGGCGCAGAACTGGGAGAGCGAGATTGGGAAGACTATGGTGCATTAGGGTCTGGGAATTGGGGAAAATGTATTATGAGGTTTTCTTACTTGTACATATGAGGTCTTGATGGGGAAACGGGCAACATGTTCGAGTATGATACCAATTGATAGACAAGATCATTTTATAAGACTTCTGCTTTATCCCATACCCTAACATACCGTCTCACGCAGAGCGTTCCTAAATCAGGACGTCCAATCCGTCTCCTTGACTCAGGCTCTAAACATCGGACTGGCTCCCGTTTATGCTTCACAACCTCGCCTGGATTGAGATATTCCCGAGGTCTAATTTAGAGGCCCTGCCAATAACATGCCAAAATCAAGTTCAAATCGGACGGACTGCCTCCACTTAATACATCTCAATGCACTGTAAGTAACCCTAATTCCATGGTCTAATTTTAGAGTGCGATAGAGTTGGTATGCGAAAAGACATTTCATATCTCATTCCATAATCCGAAGTCCATTTCTATGCAGACTAGTATCTAGTTCTTCATCATCCCTCTTCGGTGTCTAGCATCCAGTAATCCATAATTCCACCTTCTACCTTTCATATGCCATCTATCACACCTCTACTTCTCCTTCTCATCAACAACCGCCGGCTCCTCAACCACACTCTCCTTCCCCTCGGCTGCTGTCCCGGTCCTCCTCAACCCACCCCAACCCCCCGCATCCCCTCCCCCCTCCGAAAAACTACTACTACTTGGCCGCTGCAAACTACTCCTCCGATGCCGACTCACGACCCCCGGAAACATTCTCGGCTCCATCCCATTCAGATCAATCGTGCTAGGCGAGCGAATCGAGAATCCCTGCTGCGACGGCGAACTCGGCGACGCCTCTTGCGGCTGCGTCTGCGCGTTCGGCTGTGGGGGCGGCCGCGCGCCGGGGTCGAGCACCATGTTCGAGTGGCGGGCGGGGCGTTGATAATTAGCGGCGTCACTGGGGCCTTTAGGGGAAAGAGGGGGTTGGTTTTGGTTGTTATGGTTGTTGTTTTGGGCGGCGATGTCGGCGGCGGAGGTGGAAGGGTGCATGCGGGCGGCCTGGGCGGGGAAGACGGGGAAGGATTGGTAGGCGTTGGGCGGGAGGTTGGGGAAGTGTTGGGAGCTCATGTCGGCGAGGTTGGATGCGGAGGGGTTGGTGTGCATAGAGGCGGAGGGGGAAGCGGGTTGGGTTTGTTGGGGGGTTTTTTGATTTTGGGGTGAGAGGTTGGAGATGGAGAGGGAGTCGGCTTGGGAGCTGGAGGTGTAGCGGTCGATCCTGTGGGCGAGGTTAGTATTGACAGGGGGGTGCGGGAGAGGGTAGGCTTACATGAATAGCTCTTGCTTTAGAGTCTCATGTCGGAATCCTTCTCTGATATCGGGGACGTTGACTTTCGCCATGTCGTTGCCTTGAACTCCAGGTTTATAGTAGTTGCTACCTAGCCACCTCTGCTTTATTGTATGCTCGAATCCGCTCTGCTCAACCGAGTGCTTTGCCAACTCGCACATATCGACTGCACTAAGCTTGTAGATCTGTGCAGCGACGGAATATTCTTCAATGAGAGGCTCCTTGGTAAATGCGAATTGTAGCGGATCGTCCGTAGAGAGGGACACGTTGAGGCCTCGCCGGAAGTAAGATAGGAACGGATTGCGTTCGTATGCCAGGAACAGAGCGTTGTTGCTGAGAGGTGACATTGCCACACCAATCTGCTCGAGGTAGAAAATATACTGCAGTAGCGGCACCTTACGAAGGAGAAGGCCATGGCTGATGCTATGACAGCAAAGAACTGCAGCAGCCAAATGATCAGTATCACCTGCTTCACCGCAATGTGGGCGTAATAGGAACGTATTGAAGCCACGCTGCTTCCTCCATACGTTCAGGGAGGCGATGTTGGCAAAAAGGCAGTATACCCAGTAGCTATACGGCGGGTTCTGCTTAGTATTCCAGGCTTTGGGTAGGGGGAATTTTTTGTAAAGTCGGCGCTCTGGCTTGCTCTCGTCGTCAACGCTGTCGAAGCCAATGACTCGCTGCAAGAAAACGTGGAGTTTTGGATGACTGCTAGGATCCTTCGTAACCTCAAAGAGCGGCTGGAAAATATTGATGATGACTTGCTCGAAATTGTCCATGAGCTTAGTAGCTTTGTAGACATCGTACAAGCGAGGAATTTGAATGAGCCATCGCACGTTGGGGGAGAAGAGCTTGTTGTCGACCACCCAGGCAGCCAAATTATCCCATTCCAAAAGATCACGACCGTATATAGAGATTCGCCATTCAACCATTTGGTATTTGCTCGCTTCCAAATCGCTGATCACCTCCTTGGTAATCTCGGCTAGGTACCGTCCTTTGATGAAGTTGTCCGTCTTCAAAAAGATTGTTCGTAGTCGAGATTCGCCGATGGGATTGTACTTGAGGTTGAACTTGTCAAATCGGTGGAAGGCGTCCGTATGAGCCTGTAGCGTTTGTTAGAATGTCAACAGCTGCGCAATTGAGAAGGCCAAATTACATGCATATCGAGTGTATCAATACTGAGGTCATACGCCGTCAAATTGATACTCTCGAAGACTTCCCTCAGCGTTAGATGCTTGCCATCTCGCTCAAGGACGACTTCATCCGGGCATTTCTTCATCTTTGACTTGATGAAGCGAAGCAGATGCTTCTGGTTCATGCACGCCGAATGATGGACGTGAGTGTCGACTTTCCTGACATTGTAGAAATCTCTGTGGGGGACTTTCTTGCTGTCGGCCGTTTCCTGGTACTCATTTATGAGGTAGTACAAGTTGAACTTGCCTTCTAGATACTGAAGCCGGCGGAACGCGAAGCTCTTACTAGGCCCGTCAGAGGAAATGTTGAGGATCGTATCGAGGTCCATGTAATATTCGCGGACGTTCGGAATGGTGATTATAGGGGTTCCAAGCTCCTCAGATTTGGCAGTCTCGTAAACTTGGAAAACACCGCTGTCGTCTAGCTTAAATGACATCTCGCCGGCTTCCGGCAAAGGGAGTAGATCGTCCATATCGAAGTCTTCTCCTATATCGCGTCCTGGCTTTCTCGGAGGCTTTGGCGCAGGATCGCTCGCTCCATCTATTACTGCACTGTTGCTCATACTATTCTGAGCGTTAGTGTCTGCACGCTCTCGCGAGTTGTCGTTGTGCCACACAGGCTCTGGGTGAGGTGGATAGATTCGCCATGATGGATCGTCCTTAGGATTGTCGGAAGGGCCCTGAAGCGAAAGCCTAATGTACTTATGGCGAAGATCGAGCACCTTCTGAACATTAGTGTAGATAGCGCTCAGCTCTGCGGTGACGTTGGAGTCACTCGCAGCAAATCCCCCTGCTCCCGAACCCACACCGACGCCGGCGCCGGCTCCATGTATGCCTTCGTGAGCGAGCATCGGGGGCTTATGCTCGTACGGAATTCCTGGGTGCTTTGCGTGATCTCTGGCGATTTGGTCGGCTTGAATGAAGGGGTCATTCTCAGCTGAGCCGTGGTGAAGGTTTGTCGTGTCATTGAAGCCATGTGTCCGCTGGCCAGCTGTTCCAATTGATCCCTCCGCGTGAGAGACACCTGGAGGAAGGGGTTGTTTGTAGCTTCCGCTCGTTTGTTGGAGACTAGCGTTGCTACGCCTTGATCGTATGCTGGCTTCCCGGCCGAATAAGTTGTCCTCCAGTCCCAGATTGGTAGGAAACGTCTTAGCATGGATAATGGGACTGAACCCATCCTGAGACCAATTGCTACCTCCCGTGTTCTGCGTCTCCAATTGGTGTCTCTGGTAGAACTGCTTTGCTTCGGAGTGGCTCATTTGCTTGTCTGATGCGTAGTCGAAGAATGCAGTTTTCCGCTGTTTATCGCGTGGCAGTAGTACTGCCTGTGTATCGTCGGACAGCGCATTCTCGTCACCATCTCTTTCCGCGCCAGCAGAAGCCAAACCGCTTTCTGTACCATTGTTCCTCGACTGTGCCACCGCTATGTGTCCTGAATCTGGGTTGGAATGGGGCGATATGGTCTCGGGCCTGTATTCCTCGTCCTCGTCTTCTTCTTCAGACGATGGGATTTGGTCATCGATGCGCTGCGGAGCAAGGTCGGGCGAGGCATCGTGTGCAGCGGTGAAGGCAGATCCTGCATAGCATACAATGTCAGCATTCATAGAACTGAACTGGAGCGAAGAACAGGCTCTACTGACCTTGCATCATCTTTGGTGTTGTGGTGGAGAGCTCCAAACTTTAGACGGTGACTGGTCCCGCATAGAACACGGTCTGGCGGGGACCTCCGAACTTCGTACTCACCACCGCCATTCTGTACCATCTTTGCTCTGGTGTCGACCTTCTTCAAGTGAAGCAAAAGAAAAACACGACAGGATGGTGACTTGGGATTTGAAAGAAGATCAGAAGCAGGCGGTTTGCACGCCTTGACGCTTGCTACTTTCATTAGCCCATCTTCGCCCTAGTTGGCCATGCATAATTCCTCGGTTTGAGCCCACGCGGATCAAGGGAAGCAATCAAGATCGTTCATGTTATGGTATTTGAATATCTAATTCGTATCTTTCCAAGGTGTTTATGAGTCTCTCCTCTTCTGCTTCTACAGCACTTCAAAGTATACTATTTTCATGTCATAGGCAACTGAGTGGGCTTAGGATTGAATAATTAGAGAGCTCTTCTGGTAAATTAACACGACGCGTTGGACGCGTTGGACGCGTTCACGGCCTATGTTCTTATATCACCAACAAATGCCACCAACATTAGCTGAAAACATGCTCTGGGCATACTAGTTCTAGTAACATTCATTTTACACATGCTTAGTCTGAATTCGCCATGGCATCCTCCACAGATCCAATTGATCTCACCACGGAACGCAATCTGGAACCCGCACTTCTCGAAGCCATTGGATCCGCGAAAGCCTCGACACTCCGACAGATTCTCATTGAAGTCTGCATGAAGTCTGAAGTTGGTAGCAGCCTTGTTCGAGAAGCAATGCTTGTTCCCGGACATGTAGACACCGCCGCCAATGCATCATCAACGACGAAGAAGAGGAAGCTGGAGAAACCAGTCGCACGTTTCGCGCATTGCGTACAGTGCGAGAAAGATTTCGACGTGCTGTTGAATGAGAAGCAAGGGCAGGAACAAGCATGTCAGAGACACGACGGTACTGCTATGTGCTATTTCTGCCCAAGCTCTTTTACTAATGTACGGTCTCAGGAGAGTTGGAATTGGACGAAGACGCGTTTCCAGATGATGATGATCTCAACGATGGCCACGTTCTTGATGTCGACACTGACTGGCGAGTGAATGTCTTTCCACAGCATTTCACATGGTCCTGCTGTGAACAGAAGGGTCGGGAAGCGTTTGGGTGCGTGCGCAGTAGGCACTCCCGCTCGCATACTGGTGAAGGTCAAGGTACAGTGTATTACCGGGCCAAATCGGGGGGATACGAGACCGAAGATCACAGATACGATGATTGAGAATTGATAGACGAGGAGAGGCGTAAAGCTAACCTCGTTGGGCAACACTATATCACGCGCTCAGACGCGTTTCTTGTTTACCTGGGCATCATACATTGTATATAACAACTACTCCCACACTCCTTCAATCATCGCAAGATCTAGGACGTCAAACTCGCCATGGTCACTACTACCGTGAACGATCTGGATCCCAGGGTCACCGCTGGACCTGAGTTACTCAACGCAATCGCATCTGCGCAAGCCTCCACGCTACGCAGCGTTCTCATCTACCTATGTAAAGACCCAAGTACCGCCAGCCAAATTGAGCAGGCCATGCTTGTTTCAAATTACGAGTTCCAGAATCAAAATACATCAACGAACACGTACCCAAAGAAGAGGAAGCATGATGACAAGATATCCCGCTTCGCACGTTGCGTAAATTGCAAGGACTTCGACGTCGTCTTGAACGAGAAGCCTGGGAAGGAGCAGGCATGTGTGTATCATGACGGTAGGGCTTGTGCTATTCCGACGAAGTCCCTTTATTAACACTCAGATCAGGAATTTTGGAAATAGACGCAGACTTCTTTGTGGACGACGACGATGTTTCCGCAGATCCCTACAGCATAGACGTCAACACTGATTGGCGAGTGAAGGAGTTTCCTGAGGGGTTCAAATGGAATTGCTGTGGACAGTACGGCCGTAAAGTAAAGCCATGCATACGCAGTAGACATTCCCAGACGGTAGTCAATTATGAAAGCGGGTTCAATATATGGTACCTGGGCAAAGATGGGACTTATGTGACCGTGGACAGTCGAGACCCTGGGGATGGGAGCGATGAGACATAGAAGGAAACCTTGGTGTATAACTTAATAATTCCTTATCGGTGTAGATGTAGGCTGTCTCCGGGCAGTATATATTCAGCGTGAACTTGGTCACACTGCTTCATACTAGAACTGCAGTGCCGTCGGATATTCGTCAAAGGATAATGTGTCGACGAATGGAGAAGTAATCTTGCGTTAGCACACTAGATAGACCCCTGCACCACTCTCTTATACGTCATCCTCTCACACTCAATCGCGAAGAATCCATATACCCCAGTCTCTACCATATTTTATCTTCCTCCTCACCACTATTTCCAAAAAGTATCAATGGCTGACCCAGATATCCCTCCCATCCCCTCTGCACCACCAGTAATGATAAGTGGGCGAACATTCATCCAACCCCCACTCTCTCGCAGAGGAACCGGCCCAGGTCTCATCCTCATAGTAGACCAAGAAGAACTCCAAACAACAACACTTCCTCAGAATAACAAGACCCTCGATCCGCCACCGTTCAAAAAGTGGGCTGAAGAAGGCTTTGCTGTAGCTCAAGTACTGATCTATGGGCCGCCTCCTGAGATGCTCATTACCAATGCGATTGGATGGTTGAAAAGTGAAAGTTCTTATGGATTAGAGCTTGGATTAGGATGGGGAGTAATATGTAAGTTCAACATTGACCTGTTATACGATTGCGTGCACTCTTCTGCCACAATCTGAGGTAGCCTGGCGGGCTTAGGGAAGCCCTCAACGTGATGAACTTCTGTCATATTGATTGCAGCGCTTCAGATAGCGACAAGCAAGTGTACGCCTATCTAGGACGTGACAATTTACTAGACCTTGCTGTGTCGATGCGGATGCTGATACATGTGTAGCTTATGGCGTAGACCCAATGCCTCTTCTCCAGAAACTTGACCAAAAAACGAAGAACTTGATCAAGGCCGTAGTAGCCTACGACACCCCCATCTCCACCCCTAGCCCCGATTTCAACCCACCAATACTCACCCACCACGGTAACAGCAAATCCGCCACCACCAACTCAACCAACACCAAAAAGCACCACACCTACCCCTCCGCTCTCCCTAACTTCGTCCTCCCTTCTCACGCAAACCACCACCCCTCCTCCGCCGCCCTCTCCCACACCCGCACCCTCTCCTTCCTCAAACCCCTCCTGCACGGCCCCTACTTCGACCTCGAAGCCATCTGGGACGAACACACGCTCTACGAATTCAGCGAACGCTCCGTCTCAAAAACAATGGCGACGATGGTCGACGAACCCTACGTGAACCACATCCCCACGATGATGGGGGGCGTGGGGCGGGCGAGCCTAACAGCCTTCTACCGCGACCATTTTATCTTCAGTAACCCGGACGACACGAGACTCGAGCTGGTGAGTCGGACCGTGGGGGTGGATCGGGTGATTGATGAGTTCATGTTTGTGTGTACGCATGATAGGGCTGTGGATTGGCTGTGAGTAAAGTCTGCGTATGGATGTTGGTGGGCGGGGGAGAGCTGACTTTTGGGTAGATTGCCGGGTGTGCCATCAACTGGGAGACTGCTCAATGTTCCCATGACGAGCGTCGTGAATATTCGCGGCGATCGGGTGTATCATGAGCATATTGCTTGGGACCAAGCTACGGTGTTGGTCCAGCTCGGTCTGTTGCCGGACTATCTTCCGTTCCCGTATCCAATCGACGGGAGGCTGGCTAAGCCCGGGAAGAGGTTTGAAATAAAAGTGCCGGCAGCAGGGCATGAAGTAGCAAAGAAGTTGGCGGACGAGAGTGCGGTTCGGTCGAATGGCATGATTGAGAACGGGATCAGGGAAGTGTTTGATACATAGATGTTGAGAGATTGGGAAGAGACCATCACACAGCAATGAAAAGAGGTGGTTCTAATGTCAAAGAAGATTCATAACTAAGGTGAGAGCCCAGCCTACACTACATCCAGTAGCGCCAGTAAAAGCAACTTATCATCGCAAAACAAAAGAAGTAGGAGACAGCCACCACCAAAAGCTGCCTTATTCGCTATCCTTAGAGTAGCATCGCAAAAATAAACATCAAAATAGACAACCGAAAAGAAAAGAGCCAGAGAAGGAGGCTATGCAACAGCCAAATGTCAGACTCGACGCATCCAATGCAAAGCCCATCTGTCCAGCTATGTATCCGTAGGAACGCCCATATAGTAGGAAAGAGTGATATGTGCTTATCCGACGGAGAGTTCATGCTGGTATACCACGCTTGCCAATCACGCATCTGCCATAGTCTCATCGCTGTCAACCGTGCCGTTCACGTTGCTTGGATTGTCGTCCGTCTCCTTCCTGAATAGGTCTTTGCGAGCATCGACGTCCTCGCGCGACACGTTCTTCATCCAGGTAGTGTTCATCAAGAGTCTCTCCGAGGCGGAATCGTTCCTACTAGCCGTCTTGCGGGACATCTCTGCTTCGCCTTCTCGGAACCCGGACCTGACAGCATCTTTCTGGACTAGGAAATCCACACCCTCGTAAGGGCCACTGGAGTTCAAGTACTTCATAGTGTAAGTCCTATCAGGCATGATCTTGAAGGCCTTCTTCTCTTCGCTTCGAACGCTATCGATACGGTCACCGGGTTCGTCGATATCAAGGTCGACTTTGCCTATGGATCGTTTCAGGTACGGGAGGTGGACCTTGTCATGGGCGACATTCTCAGTAGGATCTGATAAGGTGTATGAGGCGATGTAGTAGCGCCATGCCTTGATCTTATCCAGGGTGCTGACAGCATAAGTGTCGTCGTCCTTCTTGAGAATGTTCACGGATGCGACCTGTTTTGTGGTGTCCTGGAAAACAACGTTAGTTTTGCTCGTCCCCAAAGGCGTCCAATCGCTAAGTATACTTACGTAGTTGATCTTATACACGTCACCGTCCTTGATATTCTTCTCCACTATCCTTCGGTAACTGATCTCGTCTCGGTGGGTAGTCTCACGGAAAGGACGATCTTTCTTGAAAGCCTGGTAGACTTCTCCGGTCTTGTCCTTGTTTTCGCTGGGGAAGATCCCTGCCGCAAACCGGATTAAGGAACTGAGCAGTCTATCTATGGAGTATAGTTGCCATCCACTCTGAAGGTAGTAACGGCGTAATGTCTCCTCCACTACGCCAGCGTCGACCTCGCCCTTGATCTGATCCTCGAAGATGGTCAACATCTGCTCGTAGTAGTTGGCGGTATCCGATGTGTCGCCGAAGAAGTCTTCAGGATATTTATCGATCATCTTGAGCTCTGTTGCTGGCTTGTATTGCTTGGCCCGTGCGACAGTCTCCCGTACTTGCGGTTCGGTCTGTTTGAGGGCGGAGAGACGCTCGTACAGAATAACAAACATCCGGAAGAAACAGTAGATGGTCAGATTGCAATACATGTTGTAGTTGTCTCGAACGTATGGCTCATCCGGCTTCAGGTCATCGCTGCCGCCATATTCGTCTCTAGTTGCGTATGTTGCCCAGCGGTGAGCGCCGGAGGCGTCCTTGGAAGCGGCAGCGGATCCGCTAGCGACCGCGGTGAACTCTTCTTCAGCAGCAGAAGCGTGATCGGGAGTACTATCGCGGCTCTCGGACGCAGCACTATCATCCTTGTCTTTACGAGCCGACTTGCCGCGGCCACGATCAAGAACGCCACGAAGAAGATTCTGTTTCTTCGATTTGTGGCCTTTCTGCGATGAGCCGTCATCGGCGCTCATAGTCTCTTCCTCACCAGACTCATTCCTAGGCGAACCATTGGTAGAGGTGTGGATGCCTTGTTCGAAGCGAGTAGGATCGATACCGAAGAAGAGAGGGACAAATTCCTTGATGAACTTCGTGATGCTGCCAGAGTCTGATCCTGTGTGAGAGGCATGATCGATGTAGCAGATGATCAGACGAGCAGTGTCGAATAGAACATCCTCATCCTTGAATGAGTAGGCAAATTGGTACGGCGTGGTCTTGATCTCATTGAACTCGAGTTGGCGGCGTTGCTCCTCATACTTGACTTGGATCTCATTCTGTAAGGTCTTGAGTTGAAATTGGCGCTTGTCAGCCTGTTTGGCACCCAGGCTTTGATGATCGAGCGACTTCCAGAATATTTTCTGAGTCTGTTCACGCCAGACCTTCTCCCATTCTCGCTGGGCGGCTTTCCATTCTTCTAGCTTCTGCTTGAGCCGGCTCAAAAGAACGGGAATGACATTGTAAGGCTGGGCAAACAGCTCGATGATAACCTGGTTTCCTTTGTCGCGGCCATAGATCTTCCGAATGACCCTTTTGTAGATGGACTCGCTCTGGCCACCGAGGCCCGGAGGCAGCACAAAGGTCAATCGCTCATCGGCGGAGCTCTGGAGAAGTTGTGTCGCGATAGGTTCGAGTTGTTGGATGGTCCTAATGCAGGCTTCAATGTTGTGGTCATAATCGTGGCGCTCTTCTTCGATGCGATGAAGCCCTTCTTCGTATTGGTTCTTGCGATGAGCGACGAAGCCCGAGTCTTCGGAAGCCCAAGTTGGGTGAGAAGCCCATTCATCGTTCAAGACGGCTTGGCAGAGCTGGTCGCGACCACTGCAAACTCGTTCACGCTCCTAGGAATGCTTGTCAGCTGATGGCCTTATCTAAAGACAACTTGGAAACTTACCCGCTTCGGCAGAAGGCGGTAGCTTGGACCCAGACCACGGCAGTTCGACAAGGAAACCCTGGAAGTCACGGTCCTGGCCTTGGTCTTGATCACTGTCTCCTCCTTCTCGATACTTAAGAATTGTCTAAACCATTCGAGCAAGTCTGGATTGCCACCAATGAAGCTCTGTGCACGTGCATAGAGCAGATTCTTGTCGATCAGGTCCTGAGAGAAGAGATTGCAGAGCTTGAGGAACTCGTTCATCGTGTTCTTGTTGCCGATGAATTTCTTGGCTCGGTCGAAGAAGGCTAGCTCTTCGCCGGTGGCGACTGTCGTCGTGACGGGCTTGATGGGTTCGGGGAGGGCCGGTGTCAAGGTTGGAGACACCGCGGGGCCGTCGGGGATCATGGGCTGCTTTGCAGTATGGGCGGTCTTCGCGCGCTTTGTAGGAGATGTGTTAGCCACTTGTTGTTCTAGCCGTGGCAGGCTGTTGGGCGAAGCCCGTCGTTTGCCACTCCCGGACAGCCCGAGAGGCGGGATCGGGAGTTCGTTGACAGCATTGGGAATGGGGGTGAAGCGTTCTGCGGACTCCTTGATAGGATCGTCCATGTTGCAGAGTTGGGAATGAGGGTATGATAACGACGAAACGTTTTAGGAGGTGCAGGAGTCTGGAAGATTGCTTGCGCGGAAGGATGGTGTGTGTTGTAGATGTAGTGGTTGAAGAAAGAAGAGGGTATGGGAGAGGTGAGGAAGTGATGAAGCGTTGCCAGCGCACGGGCCATATGCCGACCCCTTCTATTGGCTGCAGTGGATGAACAATAGGGTACTTCACGACACAATAAGAACTTTTTTCACATACCTTTGCAATGTTTGCTTGGCCGTATCCAGCCCTGGCACCTCCACTTCCTTGCTCCGGAGCGATGGAATTAACAATACCGGCGGATCGTCCATCTCCAGCGGGTCTCTCGCCGCGCTTGCGCTTGTTGTCTCTGTTCGCGGTTGGAGTCGGGGCAAAGTTACCCATAGGCGGAAGCCTCGAAGCATCTGCCCGGGGCGTCTGGTGCGAGTGCGCAGAGCCTGCTTGGTATCCCGCCTCGCCTCTAACGTTGCTGAGCATGACGGCGTCTTCAGCGTGGCGTGCGGCGGCCTGCTGCTGAGCTGCTCGATGTTGCGCGGCGGATTCAGGGAGAAACTGTTTGAAGTCTTCTAGTAGGTCCGGCGCGGAGTTGAATAGGCTCGTGACCTGAGCATATACGTCTTGGATAGGTTTGGATTCCCGCTGATACGTCTGCAGAATCTCAAGGAACTGCTTGTAGATGTCTGGCTGAGAGGCAAACCGGTTCTGCGTGGTGATATACGTCAGCTTAAGAACTCCGTAGTATTAGGGATATCGATTTTGAAACTCACTTTAATCTTGTTGACATAACTTATGGCATGGTTGAACTCCACTGGGCCTCGCTTCTCTCCTCCTGGCCCGACACTGACCGACTGAACGACTTGGCTCGCTCCGTTCATGCCTTGGATAGGGAGCGGTATAGCCGATTCACCGCTGGGAGACAACAGCGACCGACCTGTTGCTGCTGCAGACACGGCACTCTGAAGCTGCGAAACTCCTCGCTGCTCTTGCTGGTGAGCCATGGCCGCCGCAGTAGATGCTGCATCTTGGTGATTACGCTGGGCAATAGCCTCCGGAGACAGAGGTGCCTGGGCGTGCTGGCCTTGTTGACCACCAAAAAGTGAATGACCAAGATTTCGGTTATTCGGGCTGAACATGGCTTCCTGAGGATCTTGTGCCCGGGCTTGCTGCCAATTACCACTTGCGCCACGAGACGCCGAGTCATAGTATGGGCTTTCTCCAGGGTTATTCCCGTTCCCATTCACAGCTGCACTGCGAGGGGCTGACAGCGGGCGCGGCACGGGCATCGAAGATACCGTGGTCCCCATGGGAGTTGTGACCCTGATAGCGTTGGGATCGCCGCCGGTGCCACATTCGATCTTGTATCCGGGAGGGAGAAACGTATTGAAGCCTTGAATCAAATTCGGATTGCCGGCAAAGAGAGTTGAAACTCGCTCAATAACGCCCGGAGTATCAATGCTAATATAATGAGCAAGGTTCATCAAGGAGAACTAAAGAACTTACGCTCCGCTCTTGAAATCTTTCATGATATCGAGGAACTTGTTATAAACGTCGGGATGATCTGCAAACTGAACCTTGACTTGGTCGAGATAGCTAAGCGCATCCTGTTGCGAAAAGTCAGAAAGCTATCATACGGGAATGCAACCGCTTTTCGAGCAGACTTACGTTGAGAATCGGTTGTTGTCCTTGGACCATACCCAGCTGCCCGGGCATCCCGGGACCCCCGAATGGCATCAGCATTGAACTCTGGGCTTGTGGTTGAACAGCGGGCTGCATTCGCGGAGTAGCATCACCCTGCTGAACAGCACCACCCCCGAAAATGTTTCCTGGGCCATTCGGCGCGCCGATCGACGCCGAGAGGGCGTTGGTCCCGCTCAAGGTTGCAGAATTTCCGAGCAATCCATTTGGTCCATGTATGGTTCGTACTGCTGGAGCTACAGCTACGGGCTGATGGATCTGCATCGTTTCTGAGTGGCTTTGTATGGCAGCTTCATGTTGCTGCTGTCGTTCTCGCATTTCGCGTTCTCTATGCTCAGCTTCACGCCTTGCTGCTTCTTCTTGAGCTTCCATAATCTCTCGTTCTCTGTTGTCTCGGTCTCGCATCTCCCTGTCGCGATCAAGACTTGCCTGATTCTGTGCATGCAAATGCGGTTGTTGCAAGGTCTGCGATATGCCTGGCAACGAGTATCCAGGTCCTTGCATAGCATTCTGATGGGGTTGAGGCCCGGAAGCCGACTCTTGATTCGATGAGGGTGGCCTTTGCGCGCTCTGGCTGGGCGAAGCCTGCGTGGCTTGAGTCAAGCCGGCGATGGCAGGAAGATTGTGCGGCGATGACTGATTCGAGGAGTAGAATGGGGCTATAGTACGCAGAGCATCAGCATGCTGTGACACAGACGGACTGCAAGACTGCATCGTGGAAGCCAAGAGAGGGGGTATACCTGTTGGTGGGGGTAGGACTGGTCCAGTGCTCTGGGATGCCGAAGCTTGCGGGATTTGTTGCTGAGTTGCGTTGCTAGAGCTGTAGCGAAGAGAGTCAGCATGATAACGGTCAAACCAGAGGTCGAGGGTGTGGGATAGGGTAGCTGTGTCCATGATGACGCAGTACAGCGCGCGAGAGGGCGAGAGGGAGAGTTTAAAAGACGCACCCAAATCCTCCCAGAGCTCTCGGAGCGGGTCCCTGAGCTGCATCGGCTGTTTGCTGTCCACTCCCAGCTCCCGGCGCTTGTGCCGGTAGCCACCCGTCGCGAGATGTAGGATTCATTGTGCGGCCGCGTTGGTTGATGTCAGGACGCGCGAGGGAACGGAAACATCTATAGCTCCTGTATCGGCGAGTATGGAGGAAGCTTTTCAGCTCATCAAGGTTTCGAGAAGATTGAGCGACCGGGTCGCGGAAGGTCGGATGGAATTAGACAGCTCCCAAACACCGGGACGGGGGCTGGCAGCTCGAGCCGTGCAGGTGACGGACGTGAACGCAGTGGCGTCTGGACAAAAAGGTAAAGATAGCTCCGCGCAGCAGTCGCGCGATCGTAGGCGGGAGGGAGGAGAGGGTGAATGGTCTGGCGATGCGCGAGGCCGTGGTGTCGAAGAGGTGGGCGAGAGGAGACGCTCTGTCGCTCTGGATCGAATTCCGCGATGCGGATTTCTGCCACCGCCCGCGGACCCCTGCCCGGTGAAAGGGATAACGATTGGCCTGATCCTGTCCCTGAAGTCTCTGGTTACATAATTCTTCACTTCAATCCTCACCACTACAAGACAGTATTGGAACATAAGTATACAAACACTTGCTTGCTAACGCACAGGGCGCTCTGATGTGGTAGGAAGACCGTCACGAGCATTCGAAAGTTCATCCAATTCGGGCTAGCCCTGAATGAGTGTCCAGCAGAACTGGGCCTGACAAGAAAGACATGAAGCCTGATGAAAACCGTTTCGAACATTACTGAGATGTAGAGCGTGTCATCAATCTAGCTAATTACTTCGTGGCCATCGATATGCCAACGCGGTGGCAACGCCAAGACAAACGAAACCACACTAGCTCCGTAGCTTCCAGTAGAATATTTAGAAATCAGGTTGAGTACACCTTTGCCAAGCACTAATTAGGCTAGTCCAATGGAATCCTCGATCTTTCGGGGTTGGGAATATATCAAAGCAGCCTACGCATTAACAAAACTCTAGAAAATCCACTGAAACGACTCCGTCACCTCGAATCGAATAGACGCCCTGGCATTCACGTTAGCATATCTCATGCCACACTAGCCCCAAAAGCTACATGAACATACCTGATATCCGCCGATGACGCCCCAATCAGCACATGAAAAGTCCCTTCCTCGGCAACCCACGCTCCACTCTGGCCCAAAGAAGTATCATAGTATCCAACCGAGTGCTTATCTAACTTCAAATCCACCGTCTTCGTCTCTCCGGGCTCCAGAAATACCTTCGCAAAAGCTTGCAGTTCTTTTTCTGGTCTCGGAAGGTTTGACTCTGGGTCTCTGATATACGCCTGCACGATTTCATGCGCAGCCACTTGACCACTATTTGTGATTAGAATCGAGACGACGAGAGGGTCTGATTCCGCGAGTACCTTTGCGCTAATCGTCGGCGCTCCGTACTCGAAAGTGGTGTATGAAAGCCCGTGGCCAAAAGGGAACAGGGGCTCAACCTTCGACTTCTCGTAGTGCCGGTAGCCAATGTAGATGCCTTCGCCATACACTGTTTTCAGATTCTCGCAGGGCCAGTTGTGGTAGGCCGGGTTGTCCTCGAGTCTCTTTGGAAATGTGGTGGGAAGCTTCCCACTGGGGCTTTGAATGCCGAAAAGTACGTCTGCTAATGCATTACCGGCTTCTTGTCCTTGGTACCAGGCTTGAAGTATAGCGGGAACCTTGTCGGCCCATGGCATCGTAACCGGTGTTCCTGACTGGTTGACTACGATGGTCTTCGGATTCGCCTCCAGCACGGCTTCGATAAGTCTATCCTGGCTGCCATCCTTCGGGAGGTCCATCGTCTGCCTGTCATAGCCTTCCGACTCCCACTCTTCGTCCAGCCCCACAACCACAATAGCAACGTCGGCATCGCGAGCGGCCTTCACAGCCTCATCCTCAAGGTCAACCAGCTCTTCGTCTCTGTACCCAATACGACATCCACCATATTCGTGCGACTTTCCCTCAATCGACATCTTCGCCAGCGGCCGGACTTCATTCGTGCTTTCAATGAGGATCTGAACGGGGACCCCTTCTTCTAGGAAAGTCGACTTGATGACATCCTTGCAAGCTGAGAACATGGCTTCGCCCTCTTCTGTCCAATTCCAGACGTCGATGAAAAGCTCGCCGTTCAAGAGCATTCGCCCTGGGCCCACGCTGGAAAAGCTGAACTCATGGAAGCCGCTTCTCACCGGAGTGAGTGTCGTCTTTACCTTGAAAGAGAAAGCCGGCAGGACCTTCTTAGGTGCCGAGTCCCACATCCATAGGTCAGTTCCAGGTCGGTTCTGTATCTCCGCCGGCTCGCCTTTGAACCTGTCGCTATAGTAGAACTCCACCGTAACCCCCGGTTCTCCGCCCGAAGTACGGCAGTAGTCGTTTGCGAGCGGTAGCCATTTTCTACTATCGCACCCTTGAGCAAAGACCAATTCGGCTTCCGTTCCTGAACTAATTCCCTCAAATGGCGTGGTCAGATAGTAAGGTTTGAGAGTCGCACTCCCACCTCCTCCTGCAATAGCTCGCTTCGCATTAGGGCCAATAATAGCAATCTTCTTAGCTCCTTTGATAGGAAGAATACTCTTCTCATTTTTCAACAGGGTCAGCCCTTCGACACCAGCTTGGCGAATCAGCTGACGAGTTTCCGGCGTGTCTCTGGATCGTTCCGGTGATTCCAGCGGCCCGTCTAAGCCTTTAGTCCTGTCCACAAGATAAAGGACGTTCCCGGCTGCTAGCTCGATGTCGCTTCGCGATAGCTCACCCGCCTCTACGGCTTGTAGGACCTTAGAGGTTTCTCGATATTTGGCTGGCCCGGGCATCTCGACGTCGCAGCCAGCGCTGATCGCGGGAGCTGTGGCGTATGTTCCTGTCCAGTCTGACATGACTAGTCTGTAAATATGTCAGCCTTTAACTTTGCACAAGGTCTCCTACTGGATCTCCCAAGCGCTAGTCCTCTTCTTTGCAGCTCGCTTTTATCCGACTTCGTGTGTTCAGATACAGGGGAAAGCTCACCCGTCGTACTGCCACTCCCCTCGCAAAACATCCTTGATAGTATGCTCATTCTCATCCGCATGGACCCCATTCACCAAATTATACGAACTCATCAATGCCCAAGGTGAGCTTTCGCGCACCGCAATCTCGAACGGCTTGAGATAGATCTCCCTCAAAGGCCTCTCCGCTATTACTGCATCATAAGCCTTACGCTCAGTTTCTTGCTCATTCCCAACAAAATGCTTGATAGTCGCTGCAACGCCCTTATTCTGAAGCCCACGGATATAGGAAGCGGCTAGCTTTCCACTAAGATATGGATCTTCCGAGAAAGTCTCGAAGTTTCTTCCTCCGAGTGGTGATCGGTGCATGCAGACGGTTGGGGCAAGGAGGACGTCTGCGCCACGAGCTTTGGTTTCATCCGCGAGGTGGCTTCCAATTTCTTCAATCAGGTCTACATTCCATGTTGCAGCCATTGAAACACCGCAAGGGAACAAGGCAGCCTAAGAGTGATTAGCATCGTTAATCTCCTGGACAATACTGGTCGGAACTCACTGGAGTGCCATCTTTGAAGAACTCTCCTCTAGCCCCGTTTGGTCCGTCTGTGGTTTTGATGGAGGGAATCCCCCTTTCTGGAAAAGCTTTGGTCCTCCAAAAGTCTGCGCCGGCGAGAAGGGAAACCTTGAGATATCAACCTAGCGTCTTGTGATGGTCTTAGGTCTAGAAAAACTTGTCGAGAATCTGAAAATTGGAATAGATTACGGAAGTGCAAGTACGAAACGGTAAATTTTGATGAGGGGGTAATTGCATAGTTTAGACAAAATCTAGACTTTGTCGACGGTACCCTAACTAAGCCGTGAAGAGTTTGAAGAAGAGTTACAAGAGAGACTGAAACTACTATAATTACATCTCTCATGGCGTCTCTGAACGGTATTTTGATAGGCAGTGATATATTTGAGAGTGCTAAAGCACAACATACTTGTTCCTCCAACGACAACGTCTTTGCCAACTCCCTCGCCCTATCATCAGGCTTCTCAGTACCAAACACTTTCAATCCAGCCATGACGCTTATACAATCAGAGCGCTTCGGGATGAGTGGTGAAGAAGGTAGAACCAGTTCTGGCTCAAGAGGCGCAGCATCGGCATGAAGTGCGGCATGCTTTATACCGACACCTTCTCTCCCAGGGTCCTCTCGCCCAGAACTTGCAAGGTATGTATCGCCTATGGCAAGGTATGGATGGCTTAATCAGGCAATCGGAGTATCTGGCCTCGATCCGCGTCTTGCCACGCCAGACAAACGGCCTACCACGGAGGCGCAGAAGGAGATGGTTTCAACGGAAAATAAGGCGTTGGTAATCAATGAGTACCGGGAGACTACCAAACCACGCCAGACCGATTATGAAACTGTACCAGAGTAAGGTACGGCCGCAGCGTAACAGTAACAAGCGAGATACGGATGGTGGGTCTATGGTTGCCTGGTCGTTGCTATTGGTTGGAAAGATGGCGCGGCGAGGTATAAAAGGATGCAAGTCGACTTTGTAGCTCGCCGCCTGCTGCCGTGAGCACTCTGTCAATCTAGATCTAGGAATCGCATATGCGTGGAGCGAGGCAACCGGTGTGCGGGGCTCGAATTGCAACGAGGTCTTCCCACGGATCCGTCAAGTACATGGTATCATGGGAAGATCGCACGAATCGCAGCGTGCTGGCAGTGGGACGCAGCAATCGAGCTGATTCTAGGGTCGTAAAATGAGAACACTGTCGCCATAGTGGGCGTTGATTCGGCCGGGGCTTGAGCAGTATGCGGGCAACAGCGTTCTCGTATTGTACCGGAGGCACAAGTCCGAGGGTTAGTCGCAAAAGTCGCGATACGGCACCAGTCATTCTCGCTGAAAGGATGGACGCGGGGGTCGGTCGAGTGGTCCCATGGAATCCTGCCGGGTAATTGGGAGGTCGTGCAAGATCCACAGCTGGAGTTGCGGCCCTATGTACCGACCTAGCGCAGGGCGAACGCCAACGTGACCTAGACGTGATTGATAATATATCCGGAGCAGAATCGACAGGGAGAATATCCGTCCACAAATTTATCTGAAGCATAATCGCCAGCCATAGGGTTAATCGTTCGTCGGGATATTACGGACTGAAGCAATCACGAGACCTCATACTCAATAAGTGACTGATAGAAACGAATATGTGAATTCAATCATCTATCCATACCTCTTGCGCCATACGCTAACGATTCTCCTAGAGCGAGGTCCATCGCCCTCCTTCCAGTGGACGATAACCAATACAGAAGCAATATCTAATAACAAACAACCAAGCCGAGCTGCGGTACGATTTTCCCTACCGTGGCGCCGGCCTCGCACATCAAATGCATGCCTCGACATCCCAAAACCCATAGATGAAGAGTACAAATCGACAAGGGCACTGAGGTGCCGCTGTATACGGCAATCTACCTCAATCATGGCGCGTTCACCACTCGTCCTCCTGAGCAGGACGGCGACCCTGCATAGCCGCCTGCCTTGCCCTCAATGCCTCTGCTAAGCCTCCCGCAATACTTCCACCACTGTCTCTGGCTCCTATGTCACTACTACTCGCTCCGCTTCCGGAGTAGCCACTATCTCGTGGAGCTGGAGTTGGCAAGGCTTTCTTTGCGGCCGGACGTTTTGCAGGCGGGGCAGGGGGAGTTGGCTTGCCTCTGATACCTCCGTTACTCGATACACCATTCGCGGGAGGCGGGGCAGGCGCAGCGCGGGGTGCTACGGGTGGTGGAGGAGGCGGAGCTGGCTTGCTCGCATACTCTTCTAGGTATGCGGATGGGGCCCAACCTGATTCTGATTTGTCCATCCGGCTTGCCAACCACCAACCTGTTCATTTCTGTCAGTGGTGCAACACAGAAATCGACGAGAGCGAGAACATACCGTTGCCCGCCTTCTGGGTGACCAAGATGATCTCGTCTTTCCTCAGACTGAGCTCACCATCAGACTGTCCGGCGAACTCATACACAGCTCGGTATGTGGGTTCCTTAGGGGTAGGGGCAGCCGCAGGAGGGGGTGGTGGTGGGGGAGGAACACGCGCCGATGCAGTTGATGCAGATGAAGTATTGCGATTATGCGCTGCTCCGTTGGACAATGCTGCCACCGGCTGGGGCACTGGTCTTGGCTGCGCTGCAGCTTGTGTCTGCCTTGGAGCTGGACGATTGGCGAGCTTAGATGGCCCTCCCTTAGGACCACCAGGGCGTAAGAGCTTACCGCTCGTGATCGGCTTACCTGCGACCTGTTTGCCCCTGGGGGTGGGCCGTGACACGGAATTCGGTGGCTCTCCTTGCGCAGTGTGTATAGCTCCACTCTTATATAGGTCGTCTCTGGGTACGGCAGGATCTTTGATCGCCTTGACCACGACAGGCTTCCCAGGTTTCTTATTGAATTCAATGCTGCGAAGTGTTAGCCTCATTCGTCGTTTTATCAGTCGAACCACTTACGTAGGCCCGATCCTAATGTCTATTGAGCCACGAGTCGTCGTCTTGAGATGGGTGAAGAACTCAGTTTTGAAGATACAATTGATCAAGGGATCCGGTTCTTGAGGTGATCCCACGCCAAGGGCAAACCAATCGTCCTTCAAATTCGAAGCACTGACGTATTTGATCGCTCCTAAGCCGATGACCCTCTCCGCCTGTATCGACAATTGCCGGTTGACCATGACTTGCTTGACAATATAGACGCTTTTCTTGGTAAGGATCAGTATCCGTGGTTCCGGCTTACTCGATCGGCCGAGTTTGGATACGAGTAGCTCAGCCCTGCACGAGAAGAGGACCTCTTCGCTTCCACTGATATTGGCGCCATTCCTTATCACCTCTCCCGGGCCTCCTCGGTTGCCAATGCCCAGATAGTCGCCTAGGAATCGGCGATATCCGACTAGACTGTAACGCCTCCTCTCTTTGCGTCCTGCTAGGATTGCGTGGCCCTGGTCTCGGAACTGTATGAACTCAAGACCACCGTTGACCCTCCTCCAGAAACGTTGGATGCGAGTAGCACACTCGATTCTGTAGCGAAGGTAATTTCTCCATGCTCGTTGAATCCTGATAGCCATGTTGTGCCAATAACGATCCCGCATGGTTTCCAATGCGAACAGTGTTTCTGGAGTCTTGACGAAGACTTTGGTGACGCCCATCTGAAATTCTTCGGCAGGGATACTGGTGTCCTTGAGAATCTGCTTGGTACCAGTCTGGTAATCGCCTGTCCACGTGTACTCGCCCGCATAACCCGTCTTCGGAGAAAGTAGGAAGAATCGTTCGACGAATTTCTCGAAGGTCTGTCTGGACGCGAATCCTGCTCGCCGAATCCTGACATTTTCCTGCAGACCAAGATACTTAATCTGATGGAGGACGTTAGGCGAGTTGTATTCTGAGGCTGACTTGTTTTCGTTGGGTTTGATTGTTCGAATGTACGACGGCGAGGCTTTCATTAGAGTCGCCACGAGATCATTTGCCGATAGCTTGATCTTGTCGCCGGCAGTTGGGGGCCTCCGTTTGTTATCTTGATCGACTTGATGCGGGAATAGCACATGGACGAAGCTGTTGGAGCTCTGGCCAACCAGATTGAGTAAATCCTTCAGGAGCTGGTCCTTGTTTTTATCAGTCATACCATCGACGGCGTACGACACATCACCTGCGTAGTGCTTGATGATAAACTGTCCTTGTCGGGGCTGGAAGTTCGGGTTGTCAGACAGGGCGTTCAACCTCTGCACGAAGGTTTGGTCGGCGGCTGTGGGATCAGCATGTGCAGTCGCACAGGCATCATTTAGTGCGGAGAAGACTCCCGGCGGCCGTCTCTCTTCAATCAGGTCGCAAACAACCTTGTTGTCGAAATATTTGATAGGGGTCCACTTGATCTGTTCTCGAGCGTACTCTTCTTGTTCCGTACGTAGAGTCAATTGAATGAAGATCTGCTGGAGCTTTTCGTTGACATAGTTAATACAGAGCTGCTCAAAGCTGTTCCGCTCGAAAATCTCGAAACCGTAGATATCCAGAATACCAACGGAGTTCGCCATCGCGCCTCGAGCTTTGAGCGATGCGTTGACTCTCTCTACGATCCAATCGAACAGATTGAAATAGATGGCTTTGGCTAGCGCATCTCTTACGGATGTTGCTTGAGCGGGATTAAGGGGGACATCGTAGACGGATCCTCTCCGTCCGCCCCGGCTTGTCTCGACTACTCGTAGGGTGAGTGCTTTGTTGACATGTGACGCCTCCACTTCGAGGAGGTATGCGACGAAGTCGACCACGGAACTATCAGCAATTGCTGCGTTGCCTGAGTCGTCCTCCACAAAGGAGACATTGCCAAGCCAAAGGATGGCAGCCAGCATTCGGAAGATGTTGTCCTGTTCTGCCTGCGATAAACCAATGATCTTCATAGCATCCAACGTCTCTTGGAAGTCCGCGTGGTCGTCGATTCCTTGAACATCGTAACACTTCGATTTACTTGTGTAGATGTAGGATTGTGGTTGCTGTACGCCGAAAATCTCTGCAGTTCAGATTAGCATTTTGTGCACGCAGGGAATAATTATATCATACCTCGGTGGTTTGCCGAAGCGGCTTTTGTGAACTGGTAAAAAATGTGGAAATTGCGCTCGTTCACGATTTGTCCTACTACCCTGGACTTTTCTAACAAGTAGTTGTTGATGTTTGCTCCAACTGGCTCGCCCTGGGAATTGAATTGGATCTCGAGGTATTTTCCGAATCGTGAGGAGTTGTTGTTCCTCAAAGTCTTAGCGTTTCCAAAGGACTCAAGCAAAGGATTCGTGGCCAGCACCATATCCTTGATCTCCTGAATAGAAGAATTGCTACCTCCGGAGACGTTCGCAATATATTGCATTATCCGCTTCGCCGCCTCGGTTTTCCCCGCCCCAGACTCGCCCGATATAATGATACACTGGTTTTCCTTGTATCCCTTCATGTTGTAGTAGGATGCTTCGGCGATGGCGAAGACGTGGGGGGGCATCTGAGGTTGTTAGCTGAAATACAAATCCGTCATAGTATTCTTTTATATACCTCCAGCCTGTTCTTGCCCCTGTAGCTGTCGAGGACAGCATCGGTGTAGATACCCACTGTTTGGTGTCAGCATGGTTAAAGAGTGCGGTTATGATAGTATCACATACAATCTCGGAAAGGGTTGACAGAAACCAGCACATGGCCAATGTACGTCTACTAGAATGTCAATGAAGCTCTCGCGCGCAACTCCCGTGCGCTGCCTGATGCGGGGGCGGACGTACGTAGATTTCCGCATTTTCGAACCTCTTCTTCAAGTTGTCATTTATAGCCTCGTTGGAGATCTTGCTGATCAGGGTAAGATCTGACACCCCGACTTCCTTCTTCTTCGTGCTCTCGAAGACGGCCTTCTTTGCGAATTGGGCCTTGGGGCCGGCGGTGGACTGCTTCGAGCTGCTGGCATCCTTCTTGCGCCCGGCTCTCTTGGAAACCGCCTATAGTAGATTCAGACATTAGTTACTGCAGCCTTCTAGTAGTGACCTCGGTCGCGGGGCGGGTTGCAGTACCATGGTTCGTGCTTAAAGGTAGTGTCTCCAACCCAAAGCGCGTGGTGGCTTCCTTGGGCTCTGTTAGTAGAGGATCGCGGGGGCAGAGGGGCGACAGAGGGGCGACAGAGGGGCACACTCGGAAATAGGGTTCTGCGGTATGAGGGAGGTAGAAGGGAGGGCGCAAAAGTCTGTGCCTAGACGTTGCGAGCGAAAGTCGTCGCAAGCAATCGGAGGATGGCGGGCGTGTTAAGTTCGTCACGAATGTCAAAGCCACTGAGAGCACAGCCACGATTATGATTGCCTTCGACATCAGCGACGCGCAAGCTTTGTAAAATCCACTTTCCGCGCTGCAACCTTGGTTCACATCAGTAACAGTTCACTGAAAATTATAAGGAACCCTCTGTTCATTCCGAAGCAGAATCAAGGAGCACGATCATGAGTTCATCGACGCCCACAGCTATGAATAGAAGCAGACAGTAAGAGTCGGATCAGAAGTCCATGGCAGGACGATTTATCGAGAACTGTACATCTCATCGCTACGTTAACGGAGCCCCCTCAAAATATGGGGGTCTCATCAAGGCCCATGACGCCATATGAATACCAAAAGCCCTCGAACTCCATCGCTGAGAAAAGCATCAGAAAACTCCAAAAATGCTGTCATGCCTAGTTTTCATCGCCACCATAACGCCCGACCGTTACCCAGTCTTGCTTCTTGCTATCTTCGAGCTGTGGTCCGGTCCAGGAGAGCTTGTCCAAGTCCGTCACACAACCAATGCCACCACTAGCAATCCATTGATCCATAAGCGTCACGACGAATTCGAGTTTCTTTCCCAAGAGGTTCGCCTCAGTAATCTTTCTGTAGGACATCGCTACGCTTCCCGTTCCGTGGAGCAGGTTGTGAATCGAGCTTTTCAAGACCTCGCGGTTACGTATGTACTTGAATGGGACCTGGCCGTATTCGGCGAGGTGCTCCGTGGCGTCGAGGGTAAGGCAGAAAAACTGGCAGTATTCGCCATCCGCCGAGAAGACGAGTTTCGTATGATCGGGGAAATTGAACTAAAGTAACGTTATATTGAGTAAGACGTCGGCATAAGAAAAGGTGAATGTGTACCTGGAACGAGCCATCTCCAAACCCCCAGACGCCAACATTGCCAAGCCGTTGGTAGAACCTCACGAATGAAGTCTGCATTGAGCTCGATGGCGTCGCCGGCCGCCCTTCAGTGATTCCAAGTTGCTGGCACATGTACTTCCCGAATTTCATCCAGATCGTGTTTGTAATCCTTCGGCGATCCTTCTCAACTGGAGCAACTCGTACCCCTTTGGCCCCACAATCAGTGTAGTACTCCAGCGGTATCTTCTCTACCAACTTGATGTCCTTCGCAACGTGCCCTAAGCAAGCATAACCGTCTCGAGCAACAACATGCGTTACTGGGTGCTTTGATGTTGCATTCAAGATGCAGCCAATGCTACCCTCCTCAAGCACATATCCCACCCCATGCTTCCGGGAGTAATCAACCCATTTCGACACGAATGGGAGATGTGGTGGATTTGGACGAGCGGGAGCCCTAGACCGGCTAGTCAGAGCTTTTGCGACACTGTCACGGAATTTTGAGACTCGGACAAGGACCGTAGCTGGATCCGTAAAAGGAATCATCCGGCTTTCGGTCTCAGGGGTTGTCAAGTCGATTATCGGAGCCGGCTGGGTCTGGGCTTGAGGCCGTCGCGTCTCCTCGTTCACGGAAGACTGCGGCTTCGGGTACGCCTTCACCGTGACCTCTTCCTGTGGCGCCTCGGTTGCTTTCGTTGTCTCTCTTGTGGATTTCGTTCGCTGAATCGCTCGAGGATATCGAATGGAACGTATAGGCGCCGTGCCAGCGGTTACACGGTCCGGGTTCGAGATTTTGCGCATGGTCCGCATTCGAGTTGGCTTTTCTGCCAGTCTTCTTACGGGTTCCGGCTCTTCAGGCTCCACGTTCTCTTTCGAAGACGGCACATCCTCCTCACCTTTTACGCCACGTCCCTCTCGCGCCCGATCATTTCCGGTCGTTTCTACTAGTGCTATGCCTTCAAATGAAGATTCCTTCTCTTCCACAATTTCACTCAAGCCGACAACCGATGATTTCGCTGGCCACGGCGCTCGTTCTGGAAAGGGTAAATAAACAACGCCATTGGTGAACGGCATGTTGGGTTGTTTCTGAAGGTCGATTTCTTTCTGGCAGTCTTTTGCGACCGACCTGATTTTCCGACCACCAAAAACTGTGAATGTTTTTCCCGGCTCCAATTCTCCTACCCCCGATGCTTTGCATAATTTGTACCACTCTTCAGTATATCCTCGTCGAACGGTTGCAGGCGATGGAGGTCGGACTGCTGGCCATCTGGGGATCACAGATGTGCATTTACTGTTGAGTTCCAATGGTATGTAGTTCATTTTGAAAAAGTCGTGGCTGACGATCTTATCCGGGTTTGGCCGATCGTTCTCGGGGACAAGTAATGATGATACAACTTCGCGCAATTCGGCAGAGATATCGTTCGGGAACTTCGATAGATCAGGCCAGGTGTACTCTCCGTCCTTCAGCTTCTTGTAGATGTCCTCCCTCTTAGCGGCGTGAAAAGGTGCCCTCCCTACAGCAAGAGTGTACCTGCAAATGTTAGCACTCAACGGTTGTTGATGTAACCTTCACTTACATCATGATACCAATGGCCCATATGTCTACTTTCTCGTTGTGTCCGTGTCCTTGTCTCTCGAGCACTTCCGGAGCAAGGTAGTTGGGCGTCCCGCACATTGTCATGCGACGAATGACCTGCATGTCGTGATTCGAGACGAGAAGCGCGGCTAGCCCAAAGTCTCCAACTTTGACGTTCATGTCCTTATCTAGGAATAGGTTCCCAGTCTTCAAGTCCCGGTGGACGATGTTTCGATGGTGTAAGTACTTGATAGCGCCGCAGGTTTGTATCATGAAACGACGGATTTCCGGCATCGTGAAGTACTTCCGCTTCTTGATAGCATCGGCGAGAGAGCCATTCTCACAGAGCTCAAGGACGACGTAGGTGTTCAATTCGAAGGAGAAGGCGCGGTAGAACTCGACGATGTTGGGATGTAGGAGCTTGGAGTGTATTTGCAGTTCAGTCACAAACTATACCCGTTAGCTTTGAAATCTAGCTTTGAAACAGCAATGAGCAGTGAAATGAGTAGTCATACCTTTTGTGCCAGTTTGGGAGGCTCCATCTTTGACTTGACAATCTTTAACGCGATAATGTTCCCAGTCCGATTGCCCTTCTCCAGCAGCTCCGCATGATGGCAGATGGCAAAGCCACCCTTCCCGAGCTGGCGTCCCGTGACATACTGCAATCCGGACGGATCATTAACCACCGCAGGCGGCGCATCTGCGTGGACAGACATGAGGGAGACGGGGTCGTGGTGATGGCCCTGGCGAAGTGGGTTGCAGAATTGGGAGCACGAACCGACCTTGAACAACAAACATAGAAATAGTGGTTGCCGGGCAAATCGGGAAGACACGGCCCGTGCACCCTATGTGACTTTCCGCAAGGCATCACCTCCATTCACCATTACGACCTGAGCAATTGACGATAGCTTCATTTGCATGCAACATTACGATATGGACTACTCAATGTAATGGCTGCGCGCTCCTCTCGACACCCGCCTCTCAATGCCCGACTTTGACAACGCCCTCCTTTCGCACATTCGATCGACGACCCTTAAACCACCATGTCTTTAACTCTTAAGATCGGTTCGCTGTTTGTGCGAACACTGGCTAAGCCTGTTGCTGTGAGCTTCACGCCGATTTGTTTTCAAGCTTGTTTGCTAATTAAGTCGAAATAGAATGCCATTAAGCGCAATGCCCACGAACACGAACGCTTCCGAAAATACTGTGTCCGATTCGCCCAAGGTCTTCATCGAATAGACATGCGCATGCGCCTTGGTCTCCTTCAGGACCCTGCGGTGATAGATCGCCAGATTGCGAGGGAGGTTGCGGAAGCTGAGGCTAGGAGGAAGAAGTCACAAGCACCGACCGTGAAAACAGAGGCCGAAATGAAAGCGGACGAAGCTCTCACAGCCAAGGAGAGAGAGGCAATAAAAGAGAAGGCGAAGCAAGCCCACAAGCCGAGGATCCGGCCACTTACGGAGGCCAAAGCTATCGAGACGGGTGCTAATTTCGTCTCTGAAGCATTCGTCTTCAGTGTAGCAATCGGCGTTATACTGTTTGAGAGATGGTATTCAAGTAGGAAGGAGAAGGGTCGCCGCAATGAAGTGCAGGAGGAGCTTGATGCCATGAAGGCTGAGATGACTACTCTTCGCGCCCAGGTGAAGGAAGTCGCAGCGGCACATATCCCAGAGCCTACGTCAAGCACACTGCTTGGGTTCTTCAAGGCAAAGCCTGAAAATGGGGCTGTGGACGGAAAGACAACAGTGTTCTCGAAGGCGGATTCTAAGCCTCTGCAACATGAGATCGAGTCAATAAAAGCAGAGATCACCACACTTCGCACGCAACTGGACGAAGTAGGGACACACATACAACAGCACACACCCAAGCTGCTTGAATTTTGGACAACCAAGCCTGAAAACCATGCGGAGGCCACTGTAGACGCGAAAACGACAGGAGAGCCTTCAAGCACAGAAACTAAGCCTCCCACGGAGCCAACTACGAGCCCAAACCAAACATAATGTGCTTCTATATAATCTTGTACACCATCCGACCAACCCCCTTCTCTGGATACGCAGTTGTGCGAAACAGCAGTCACGCATTGTATTCTCCTCTCTTGATACCGAAGGACCATTTCATTTATCAGCGTCACGTATACTCCATTTTAAAAGTAAACATGTATCATACAGTCCATAACTCCACCTCTCCCAGCCGCTCCTCGGCTGCTCCGATTAGTTTTCCAGATGTTATCAGGACGGCGTTAACATTGGGGCTTGCTTTTACGGCGAACGACTCCACTTTCTTGAGAACTTTCCAGGGCCTCATTGGCCAGATAAAGATGTTTCGCATCGCAAGCTAGAGCGGTTGCTGTGCCAAAATAGAAGATGGTACAGCCGTATTCGCTATATGCGATAAAATTTCACTAGAGTGAGCTGTATAAGAAAAACACATGCCTCGCCTTGAGGTACAATACGCAAATTCCCAGGTGCCACCCACCGTCTTGTTGTTCCCATGGTGTGGTTGAAGTGCCGCGTTCCAAGGTTCCTCACTCATCAACGAAACCTTCTCACAACGTCACTCCAACATCCCTCTCAACCGCAACCTCTAGCTCTGAGCACCATCTCCATCTTGAACTCCCAACCAGCATCCCATACCCGTCGTCAAGATGAACCGACCTCCCTCACCCACCCCACAACGCCGCACCTTCGCAGCCTCTCAACCCTCCTCACACTCCCAACCTCAACCTCACCCTCACGCAACCGCCCACACCTCATCTCAACTCCTCAAACCACCCGCCCACCACAACCATCCCTCACGCCCTCCCCCACCACCCCGCCACATCCCCGTCGACCGTCGCCCGGGCGCACGCACTCCCCACATCCACATCAACCCGCCTGACCCCTTTGCGCCAAACCACCTCCAGCAGCCCAAAATCACTATCCAGCATCTGTTGCCTTACTGCACGAAACGCGGCGTGCTGAATGAAGCGGATATCACAAATCTGGCGGAGGTGGCGGGGAGTTTGAGGGAGTTGGTTGCGATGGCGTTGCGAGGGGAGGTGGATGCGCTGGGAAGGGATGTGCTGGAGGGGGCGATGGGGGTGGAGATGGCGCAGGGGGTTCGGGAGTTTTGGGGGGAGGAGTGGGTTGTTGACTGAAGAGTTTTCTTGGGGAAGAGGGGGGGATGAGAGGAGGAAGCTGGGGCCGAAGGGAATAAGAGCGAAAGTGAGGCAAAGGTGGCACAGTCTCTGACAAGTAAGGATGAAATGAGACTGTTCTGCTCGATGAGATGAGGTCGATATTGAAGAGGCTATGAAGGCTTTCATTGTTGAAGGAGTATACATTATCCGAAAGTTGAGAGAGGCGAAAAATTCGTCAAAAGCAGCCAGCCGCCGAAAGTCTTATTAATTCATGTCGTATCTAGTACTGTGCCCGAGAACGGTAGAATTGAAGTGCTTGAAAAGTCCATCTCGTCATTTGTCTGATTGGTCTAAAGCCTGCCTCTCCTCAATCCATTCCTCCTCGTTTTGGAAAGTGTGTGTGAGAACGTCCATCGGTGGATATAGCATGACCGGCTCCTCGAAGGTAATTGCGTAGCCTATGGGCACAACATGTCCTGAGATGGTTGGAGATGGGCCTCGGAGAGGCAGTATACAGCTCACCGACCCCGTCTTTGTGAATAGCGTGGCGCCCTTTCCAGACGAAGTGAGCCTCAGGATTCTGACAGACAGAGCGTTGTGGGGTATTATCTAGCACAGTAGGTGAGTCAGCCTTGTCAAATGCGTTATTCTCCAAGTTACAACACACCCGCTCCATGCGCAGAATGGCCATCTGGCCTTCAAGCTTCGGATCCGCGCATAGATATAAGCCATCCTGTACTTTGCGCCAGTCTGTCGTGGTATTGACCCACTGGCCGAATGCTTCTATCAGTACCGTGGCTGTGGACGACAGCTCGGTTTGTTTGAGGTGGTTTGGTCCGGCCATGCGAATGGAAATGGACTGAAAAATGTAAAATAGCTGTACTTCGGGCAGATTTCGCGATGATTGTACGTGCTATAATGTGCGTTGCATCGTGAAGATTCTGAAGTGGCGAAGATGTCTGGTAGCCTTGCTGTGCCGCACTCATACAGTTGTGCGCGTTTAGCGGCTTAGCTTACGAGAACTCGATGTCTTCGCACACCGGATAGCTATCTTGATCAGTTTCTATTCCGTATGGAGGCCTTATTGCGCCCTCGTCTTTAGTGCTGCCAGCCTTTCTCGAGCAGTGACATGTTAGTCATGCTAAATTCATCAGTGATCTACCTCAGCCTCATCTTGGCGCCTGCAAACTGCTGTGATCGATTAAGACGTAGCCAGAGCTGTGGCCTGTCCATTCTAAGATTGCGAAGGCCGTTTGTGTATGAACTTGTAGGAATCATTAAGTTGTCGGAATGGCAGGTTGGCTGAGCACGGGCCGGTTCCGAAGGGGAGTCCGAGTTCTGCACCGAGAGTTGTCCGTAGGACTCTGCTCTGTCTTGCGCGAATTATTGATTCTGCGGAATTCGTGCTTCTCCAGAGGACTATTGTAGAGTGATGGTGGTCGTGAGTCTTGTAGGTGTGTTTGTTTTGTGGGGAGCTCGTCGTACGGAGACGGCTAGGAAACTCGCGGCGAAAGTTTCCTTTCACGTCCACGTCTTCGGTGGACATTCCCCGGCTGTGTGCAGAAGACGGAGAGGTGCCATAGAGTCAATTGTAATCAGGAGAGATCTAGAAGACATACAGATGGCTATTCGATGGTGAACTGTTCTGCGCGAGAAAAAATGACAATACGGAGAAATCTGGGGAGGCTCTCGAGCTTGTCCACGGCGGGGAGCATACTTTCACATGAAAAACAGGGGAATGGCTTTTCCCCAGATTTCGGGCTTCTCAGCGGCCAGTCGGTGTGAATGGGCGACGGAGCGGCGAGGTGCACCAAGCTGACTCCACATCACGCGCTCCTGGGCCAGCCTTCACATGCGCAAGTGCATTTTCCCTTGGTTAGATTCGGCGCGTGAGGGTCAGCGAGCTTCGAGATTCAAAGGCTGAGCGATCGCACGAGACTCGCCCTTGACATCAACGCCGCTGTGATTTGCTGCATCCGCTCCACGGCACGCCTGCATCGAGTCTAGTCTGCCTCCAACGGCCGAGGCAATTACTGGTCTACTACACCTGCATCTTCTACATAACCCACGCAGCTCCCTCTCCGCCACCGAGGTCTTACGCTGTACCAGTTCTCTCCAGTCCTCTCCATCTCTTCTACTCCCGGTATTCCCTCCCTCTATACCCATTTCACCGCAAACATGCCTGAGAGAGTCATTGTTGTTGGTGCCGGCTGTAAGTGACGACATTCCCTCGGATACTATGCGGGATTGCTGCGGTAACTGACGCCCCCTCACAGTGTCCGGGTTGAGTGCCGCTCACACCATCTATCTGTCTGGCGGCAATGTCGTGCTCCTCGACAAGAACAGTAAGCTCTTTGACACATTTCCCGATCCTCCAAGTGCCGCGGGACTAACAGCTGCCAGACTTCATGGGCGGCAACTCGACAAAGGCTACCTCGGGTATCAACGGTGCCCTCACAAGGACGCAGGTCGACCACAAGATCCAGGATAGCGTCAAGCAGTTCTACGACGACACGCTAAAGTCGGCGCGAGACAAGGCCCGCCCGGATCTGATCAAGGTGCTTACCTACAAATCCGCCGCGGCCGTTGAGTGGCTACAGGATGTTTTCAACCTCGACTTGACTCTGGTTTCGCGGTTAGGGTATGTTTTAGTCTTTCTCTCTACTCTTATTGACATTATTATGAGCATATATTAATCTGAATTTCAGAGGACACTCCTTCCCGCGAACACATCGTGGCCACGATGCCAAGTTCCCCGGTATGGCCATCACATACGCTCTCATGCAGCGGTTTGAGGAGTTAGCCGATGCCGAGCCAGACCGAGTCCAGCTCATCAAGAAGGCTAAGGTGACCAAGGTCAACAAGGACGGTAACAAGGCGACTGGCGTGACATACCTCTTCAACGGGAAGGAGACGGTTGTGGATGGCCCTGTGATATTGGCTACTGGTGGGTACGCTGCCGACTTCACGGAGGACTCGCTCCTGAAGAAGCATCGCCCGGATACATACGGCCTGTCGACCACTAACGGTGCACACGCCACCGGTGACGGACACAAGATGCTGATGAATATTGGCGCCAACGGCATTGATATGGACAAAGTTCAGGTGCATCCCACTGGTCTGGTAGACCCCAAGGACCCACACGCAAAGACAAAATTCTTGGCTGCTGAAGGTGAGAACATTCTACTGCCTTTGCACGATCTGTCACTAACTTCAAATAGCTCTTCGTGGTGAGGGAGGTATCCTCCTCAACTCCAAGGGTGTGCGCTTCTGCGACGATCTCGGTCACCGTGACTACGTCTCAGGAAAGATGTGGGAAGAGAAGGAGAAGGGTCTATGGCCCATCCGACTCGTCCTCAACTCGAAAGCCTCCAACATCCTTGACTTCCATACCCGTCACTACTCCGGCCGTGGTCTAATGAAGAAGCTTACCGGCAAGGAATTGGCGAACGAAATTGGCTGCGGCGAGGCCGCCCTGAAGGCCAGCTTTGATGACTACAACGCCATCGCCGACGGCAAGAAGAAGGATGAGTGGAATAAGAAGTACTTCCACAACCTCCCCTTCAGCATCGACGACACCTTCCACGTTGCCGAGATGGAGCCCGTGCTACATTTCACCATGGGCGGCATTGAGATCAACGACCAAGCACAGTGCCTAAACTCCGAGGGCAAGCCCTTCGACGGCCTCTTTGTTTGCGGTGAGTTGGCTGGTGGCGTCCATGGCGCTAACCGTCTCGGTGGCTCTTCCCTCCTTGGCTGCGTTGTCTACGGACGTGTAGCCGGAGAGTCCGCCTCCAAATACCTCTTCCAAAACCTCCTTAAGAGCGGTGGTGGCTCAGCCGCCTCGCGTCTCGGCCAAATCTCCCTCCACATCGACCCCAACACCCCCGGCAAGGTCTCAGTAGAATGGGGCTCCGGCTCCGGCTCCTCTTCCTCCTCTAGCACCGCGCAACAATCGCAAACATCCGCTAGTCCCGTCCTAAAAGAGGGCGCGGACTCCGCCGACCCAGGCAAGGTCTCCTCAACCGCAAACGTGAAGGACTTCAAGATCCCCGACAAGGAATTCTCCCTTGAGGAAGTCGCCAAGCACAACAAGAAGGAGGATCTATGGATCGCAGTCAAGGGCATCGTGCTCGATGTGACAAATTGGGTAGACGAGCACCCCGGCGGCCCACAGGCGCTGTTCTCGCACATGGGCAAGGACGCGTCGGAGGAGTTTGAGATGCTGCACGACGACGAGGTGATCCCGAAGTACGCGCCTGAAATCGTGATCGGTCGGGTCAAGGGGCAGAAGGTTACGTTGGAGTATTAGAGACGATGATGAGCCGTTGAGCCCTTTTTTGATGGATACGTGTACTTGTAGTATTTTGGGGGGAATTTGCTTGAGCTATGGAGTTTCGTTCGAAAATTACCTAGCTTGCGAATGAATAGATCTGAGATACATGTTCACAAGGTTTGCGACGTTCCGTGGTGAGGTGATGTCTGGGCCGAAAAGTGCCGAGGGTCGAAGTTTGAGACGATCACGTGACTGGTTGAATATGGTGAATTGGTTACAAGTCGACAGCTTAAACCTAGGAGCTATAGGACTGTTGTATACCCCGTTCACATCATCGTGTGGTTATAAAAGGCTCTCAGAAGCAATCGCTGAAACAATCACATGACCCTTCAAGTTTAGGTGAATGTATTTCACATCCAAATGCGTCGAACTTGCCTCTCTTCACCGAGAGTACCACGTGATTAAACCAAGTCAGTGAATTGTTTTCAATTCGACAACTTGCCCTTCATACCATGTGACCGAGTCGATTTTAGTGAATTGGTTTTGCTTCTACATCTTGAACTCGAGAACCACACTTAAATTGCCACGCGATGCACAAGAAATCGGTGAATTGATTATGCGTTACCCAAGCACTGGAGCACCTCGATTGCCACGTGATCGCGTGGAAATCGGTGAATTGGTTATGCCTTGACATCTCGACCTCGACATCTTCGCTTAGGGTACCATGTGACTGAGTAGGAATTGGTGAATGTGATTATGGGACGACGTCTCAGCCTTGGACAGCGGGAGCGTCGCTAATGCCATGTGATTCAGGAGAAATCGGTGAATGGTTTATGCCTTGATGCGCTGAGCTCGACATCTTCACCACGAGTACCACGTGCTTGAGAGGAATTGGTGAATTGGTTATGCCTGGATGTCTTGAACTCCACGTCCCCTTAAGTACCACGTGATCGCCTGGAATTTAGAGAATTGGTTATGCCTCAACATCTTCACCTCAACAATTTTCACCTTGACTATCTTCACCTTGGCTGCCTGTTTGGGAATAGCGTGCCACGTGAACGAGCAGAAACCGGTGAATTGTTTATGCCTTGCCACTCGACATCTCGCTCTGCGCACCTGCCTTTACCCCGCTCACGCAGAGGCCCCATTGCGTTACAAACAGTCCCCAGATCAACCGCAGACCCGCTGGAAATTTCCAGGGCGCGGATATCAGCTCTGAATCCGCACCATTTAGCCAGAGTTCGTAAATCAGACCGCTGGCAAAGGGTCTCCACGCAGAGGGTACGCATCGGTTACAAGAAGCAACCGTAGTAACTGCCAAGCTCCGTTGCCCCCCAAGCCTCCAAGACTTTCCTGTTTCGGGCTCCGGAGCTGGAAAAGTGTCGAGGGCAGAGTGAATTGTAAACACTCTTTACAAGAGGTGTAGCGGTGTAGGGAATATATCTTCTAGATGGTCCTATTGGCTGGATTTCTGTTTGGTGAATTGGTTTAGATAGGGGTGTATAGAGCGCTTCTTTTAGGGCACGCGGAGGCCCACGCAGTGGGTACAAGAAGTAACGGTAGTAACTGGTTACTACGGTTGCCCCCCGGGCTTCCAGGAGTTGCCTAATCTGGGTTCCGAGGGCTGGAAAAGTGTGGAGGACAGAGTGAATTGTAAACAGTCCTTAAGAGAAGAATAGCGCTATAGGGAGTATACCTTCTAGATAGTCCTATTGGCTAGATCTAGCTATGGCGAGTGGAATTTAGTAGGGGTATATTAGGCACTTTACCGGGGTACGCGGAGGCCACGCAAAGGGTACAAGAAGTAACGGTAGTAACCAGTTACTTCCATTGCCCCCCGGGCTTCCAAGAGTTGCCTGATCTGGTTTCGAGGGCTGGAAAGGTGTGGAACGCAGAGGAAGTATAACAGATTGCTAAATGGGGCCTAGCGCGACTAGGAATCTATGTTCAAGTAGTGTTATTGGCTGCGGCGTCGTAGTATAGGATGGTGGTAGTGGAGGTGTAGTAGTGGATGGTTTTAGGCACGCTGCGTGGACTCTTTGTGGACAAGAACTAACCGAAAGAACCGCTGTGATGTAGATGGGGGCTCTGGCCGTGGTGGATTTGACAGGAGGCTAAGGGTAGGTACGGCGAATGGCTTGTCACGTGCAATTTTAACTGCACGCCGCGTACCCACTTTGTCGACGAGAAGCAACAAAAGGAACGACATGCTGATGTAGGACTGGACACAAATCATAAATCGGAATCAGCTAGGAATAGAGATTGACCAAGTGGTTTGAAATGAGCAGACGATGCGGAAATGTGCTTCCATTGGGAATTCCCGAGCATTACGAACAGTGACAAAAGACCTTACTTGTAAATTTACATATTCTACACTTAGCTTAACGTCGCGCTGTTTACTACACAGTAGCCTGCAGCGGCGCCTTTATTCCCATGAAGCCTGACAGCTTACCCAAGAACATATCCCGATCCTTCGTCGTGAATGACGCATTCGTCTGTGAGCCCCTCAACGCCGTTCCCATCCACAGTTCTTCCTTCTTACTCCCCTTCGCTAGCCCTAGCGCGCTAATCTCATATTTCCCTCCTGCAACCCTTTGCTTCTCCTCCGCCAGCGCCTTTTTCTCCTTTTTCGTCAACCGGATCCATGGCTTCTCCTCCACCTCCTCCCCAAAGATGAGCTTCCGCCCATTCTCCACTAGTGAGTTGATAGCATCGCTTTCAGCGGAGTATATCGGCTCGTACGGCTTCGGGTCCCACGCCGCGCGCTGCAACCGCAGAAGATGTAACACGTCTCCATCCGTGAGATGATCAGCCACATCAATCAACTCCGGCTCCGGCCGTTTACGCCCTTTCTGGTCATCGCGGTCTTTCCGACCCCTTCCCTCACGCCTTGGCCGTTCTCCTCTTTCCCTTCCTTCGCGAGGAGCCCGGGGACCACGAGGCGCAAACCCCGCGCCGCTGGTAGGGCCATCGTCACGGTATTGCTGGTTCGGGTTTACGAGTCTCCGGATGAGCAGCTTTGGGGCTCCAGCAGCTGATGCCCCAGCAGTAGGGGCAAGTGTTCCATCAGGGAGTCTGGCCGGGGGTGTGCGTCGCTGAAGGAGCTGTGCCGGGGGTGGGGTGGAAGGCTTCTGGCCGCTTCTGAAGACACCTGCGCGCAGGCCGCCGATCGGGGTCATGGTGGGCTTTCGGGGGAGGCTGTTGAGTTGGGCGAATGCGTTGCTGGAGCGGGCGACGCGGGAGTCGCGTTGAGGAGTTGGGGGTATTGCTATAGACGTATAAGCTAGGTCTAAGGATGAAATGCCCTGACACAGCCGTATAACAGGGGTGGTCAGAAAGGCTGCAGGAATAGTTACCTGGTGATGAAGGGTCCTTTTCTTCGCATGCGGAGGAGGTTATGTGGAAGGCCCGTCGGGAGGCATTGGCAATGCTCGATATGTCGTGAGATAACGGCCGCCCTATTAAGCCCGCTGACGGGCGGACATGCCGCTGGTACATGGTGATGGGGGTATATATGCGATGAGGCGCCAGGATGGGATGGGAGGTCGACTTTTCGGTGGTGAGGTCGACTGCCAAGACCGAGTTAAGCTCGAACAACATCGAGTTGATCATCACGTCGCGATTATCTACACCTTTACAATTATCTACACCTTTACAAAACACATACAACATTCATACACAAGACTAGAACGGTAGACAGGAGGTGAATTCTAAGACTACCGAGTTCACTGTCACTATTGCTCAGCTCACTATACAAAACTCTCCAACAACACGCTCCATCACCACACTTACCATATCAACAACATACCGCAATCATGCTCCGCCGTCCTGCAACTCTGATCACCCTGACCGCCGACGACATTGCAAAATACGAACAGGACCGACAACGCCGACAGTGGGAACAAACCCAGACCCAGGCCTCCCAGATCTCGTTCACTTCTGGAAACGGCAAAGAGAAAGACCCGAACGACGAGCTGAAGCCGTTGCCACAGGAGAAGGGCAGGATCGCGAGAACCCGGGATGAAAGAATCATGGGGAGCAGGAACTGAAACCGAAAATCTACACGATTACACTTTGAACGACTTTGAGTAACGATTGGGATCGAGATTTGTTGTCGAAGGGATACTTTGAACATGTTGGCGTGCATTTGGCTGGAGTTTCGGAGCGCATAAACCGATATACGAAATGGATGCTCATGACTTGGGGCTCAATGGACATTGCGGCGACTCGTTTCAAGAGAGTCTCTTGCCAAGTATGGCATCTATTATCTGGAGGGTTGGATAGAGCCACTCAGATTCGGCTTAGGGAACACGATTACGGAACGACGTCCTTCTTGGTACAACCTGCACTACCGGCTTAATCTTGGAGGAATTCAGTGGCTAGCAATAAATTCAACCGTTGAAGGCTCCTTGTAAGCTACTGCGTTCCCAAAACATCAGAAGGATAGAACTTCTTGCGGCTGTCTTGCTTTTGCTTTTGCAGACAGTGTATCATGACGAAGATTCCCACGATCAGGCTCTCTTGGGCAAAGAGTAGGTCGAAGAATGCATCGTCTACATTCCAACGCACGTAAGAAAACACCACGCCCTGGAATGCACCGATATATCCACCGCGAGGGCAGTCCGATATGTGCCCGCCAGTCTCGTGCTCACCGATAGCTTCAGCCCTGATCCGCTCTGATGTCCGCTACGATGCGAACGCTACTCACTTCGAGACTTGTGTTTCTTTATATCTCATTTCCGTTTTCAAATGCAAAATATATGCTAAACCATGCTTACACACCCTCCAATTTCTTCAACGAGTTCAATCTTTTCACAGTGTGCTAGTTTCCTCTCACAAATGCGTCTCAGACCTGTTTCTAATGATTGAGTTAGGGAGATGATCCAACGAGCGGATTCGTAAACTATGTAGACCAGCCCACAGCCTTCGCTTCAGGCTTTATGGAAGACCAAACGAATAGCATCTACATCGGCGTCGACTCTGATAATGTATATCCCGTCAATGCTCGTGGACGACCGAGTGTGCGGCTCGAGAGCAAAGCAACGTACACTCATGGTCTATTTGCTCTGGACCTCAACCACATGCCCGTGGGATGCGGAGTTTGGCCCGCATAGTACTATCCTGACCACCTCTACCTCTTCATCAAAGCCCAACTAACAATCACCAGGTGGACAGTCGGAAAAGACTGGCCGAACAACGGCGAGATCGGTATACCCTCACCACTACCTATCTCCACTACAAACAGCTACTCTACTAACAACATCACTATCTAGACATACTCGAAGGCGTCAACCTAATGACGGCTAACAAACCCGCCGCCCACACCTCCGCAGGCTGCACCATCTCTGGCTCCAACCAAACCGCCACCCTCTCCCAACCCGACCGCTCCCCCGCCGCCCCCGGCAATATTGGCTGCGGCTCCGCAATGGTCGAACCGAATTCCTACAGCGCGGGCTTCAACGCTGCAGGCGGCGGCATCTAAGCCATGGACTGGACCTCCGCCGCGATACGCATCTGGTTCTGGCCGCACGGCTCCGTGCCCTCATCCCTCCACACCCCAGACCCGAACCCGGATGAGTTTAGGATCCTGAGTGCGAGCTTCGCGGGGCCAGGGTGTGATATCGATGAGCATTTCAAGGAGCACCAGATCGTGTTTAATATCACGTTCTGCGGAGCATATGGCGGGAACACGTTTGAAGCGAACGGGTGCCCGATGAGTGTGCCGGGGGATGGGTTGGGGAGTTGTGTGGCATATGTTGCGGGCCATCCCGAGGGGATGAAGGAGGCGTATTGGGACATCAACTCACTGAATGTTTTCAAAGCTGTGGCGGATGATGTCGTGCCGGAGACGTCGCTTGAGGTGCCAGCTCCGACGTCTGAGATTTCTACAACAATTGAAGTCCCTGTGGTGACGTGGGAGGTTCCTGAGATTCCGGTGCCAACGACTGTGGAGATCCCGCCGACGACGACAACCACGCTGGAGGTGCCGGATACGACAACGTCATCGTTTGTGGAGGTGTCGATTGTGCCGCCGCCGTGGTTCCCGGATGAGCCGCCGGTGTTTGGGGTGGCGCCGTTTAAGGAGCCACCGATTGTACCGCCACCGGAGGGGTATAATGGGGTTAAGGGGTTTTATGCGAATTATGGCGGGAAGGATTCCTATGCGGACTACTATGGACAGCATGGCCTAGACAGTGGGGACCGGGGCTGGAGTCGATGGAGGGAGGAAAGACCTGACATTTCGGGGGATTCCCATGTGGAGGGAGAGGATAGAGATGATGATGAAGACGAGGATGGAAGGAAAAACGATGTAGGGGAGGACGACGATGATGATGAGAGCACAGACAACAGTGAAGAAGCAGAAGGTAACGAAGAGAGCGGATGTGAGGATTAATCGCAAGACAAAGATCAGGACGAGGTGCTTGAGCCTTCAAGCAGGCTCAAACGATATGAAGGCAAGTGAAAATGGAGTCGCTTTAGGATGTGGCTATTACGAGAATTTTACGATCGGAGGGTTTACTACCAACTACATGATTGGATATCGTGAGCTGTGTGAACTGATTGAGAAGAACATTGGAGTCTCCATCACTGGCGCCAGATGATGGGTGGACTGTCATCTAAGGAGTTGAGCGAACCGGTGTGAGGTCACATGATAGCCACGTTTTCATCTCTTGCAAGCGAGGTATAAAAAGTACGGCCTGGTTCTTGAATTGCCATGCCAGAGTCAAAGTCAGATCTACAGGAGACGGCCAAAAGCAGGAAAAAGCTAGTTGATGGCACCATCACCACGCGACGAGCTGAATAGGTATGTGGGAGTGGTGGAGGGAAAGCTCGACAATGTTACGTCGTTCACAAGGCTCCTTAACATCGCAGCATGGATCGAAAAGCGGAGGACGAAGTGGCCAATGTGTGCACTGATTGCACGATGCTCACCACCAAGACCTCCTACTGCTCGCCTCCCCCTCTTCTATACGCCCAAGATCATCTATACTCACTGCCCCCGGCAATGGTCTTACTTCCAGCCCCAAACAACAGCTTCATTCGATGCTGCTAATCATCATCAACCCTTCTAGTGGCAGTGGGCGTACCCACCGGTCCACCCACCGCTACACCCACTCCATGCACCATTCACACAGTTGTGTTTGAACTTCCCACCACTCCACCGTGCGTCGTTGCTGACTTATTGTTGCTCCACAGCCTCTCCAACCCTCCCATTCCGCCGTGGTTGTGACTGTTTGACACAACCCGGCCACTGGACATGGAGTATTTGGCATCCTGTTTTTGACCCTCAGCCCAGAAGCTGGGAGAACTCTGCAAAAAGCAGTTCCTGAGCTCCGGGAGAAAGATTATATACCTGGGCCAAGGCGGGGACACGTGCTTGTTCATGTGATTCTGGTGACGGATGGGCCAAGCAGTGTTTGACACGTGCTTAAGAGGCCTCGGGGGGAGTCGGGAGGGGTCGGGATATGTGCGTGGTGATAGGAGCGGTGGCGGAGGGCTGGCGGTTCGAATCAGGCTTCGTGGACGGTTGAAAGCTGGTGGCTAGTTATGATAGTCAAGCTGATGGCCAGTGGGATATTAGTGAGGTCATAGAATGGAGAGGAGGGAGCTAGTTGAATGGACGGGAAGCGACATTCTTCACATAGCGGAATATGAAGTTGTACTGGCGAAGGAATTGGTGTGGAGAAGTGGAGTTTGGGAAGTTTATAGAAGATCAGGAAATCAGTCTAGACACTTAATGCTTCGCGACAATTGCGGAATACTGACATAGGAATAAGACTAATGATTGTATCTAACGTTCTCTAAGCTCTCCGGGTCTATTCCAAACCGCGTCTCCCTTTTTGTACGCTGTCTGTCGGGTGAAAGTAAAACAGCAATATATCGGTATGTCCCTTCCGAGACCTCGACGAGAACTGAGCCGCCCACACAACGCCCCTGGCCGTCAGCCATGCGGCTGAAGATTAGTTTACTCATAGGAGCTGTGTTTCTAGAAAGGGCTTGTACCACCGTAGTACCAACGGCCAACCTCTATTGAAATGCAAGTCTTAAGACACCTCATTCGACGTGCTGGAGTTTCAGCTCCTCTGCACTGACGTCAGCCTTCCGCTTCTTCGAACTTCCCTTCTTGCCCTTCAACACCTCTGTGAAGACCTGCTCGAGCTTCGAGACAGCGTCGTCGCCGATCTGGTAGTGTATCACAAGCCGGGCTCCGTTCAGCTTGAGCCCATACTTATCCCCGAGCGTGACGAACTTATCCTCGACGACCCCGTTCGCCGCAAAGTCTAGCCAGACCATGTTTGTGTCCACCGGATACAGCGTCTTCCCGCCTAGGTCTTGCCAGATCTTCGCCACTCGCTTCGCCGTGACGTGACTCTGCTTGAGTTTGCCGCCCAGGAACGTCTCCTCCACCGCAACCCTCGCGGGCGCCGCCACAACGCCCGCCTGGCGAAGTGCACCCCCGAGCGTCTTCCGCACCCACCGCGCCTTCTTGATGAAGGGCTCGCTGCCCACGATGATGCTCCCGATCGGCGCGCCCAAGCCCTTGCTGAAGCACAGACTTACGCTGTCGACTTCTGCGCAGAACTCCTTCAGCGTTCCTGCTCCTGCTGCAACCGCCTCCCATAGCCGGGCGCCGTCCATGTGCACGATGATATCTCTTTCTCGCGCCCACTTGCTGATCCGGCGCAGCTCCGCGAGCGGCATGATGGTTCCGTTCAGGGTGTTCTCCACTTCGATGATCTTAGTCGGGCAGGAGTGGATGTTGTCTCCCAACACAGCGTTCGCCTCCACCTCTTCCAGGGTGATGTATTTCTTGTTCGCGGGCACGATGGTCTGCACCAATGCTCCGCTCGTGCTCGCCACGCCTCCGGCTTCGTACTGGATGATATGGCAACGCTGATCGCAGAGAATGGCATTTGGGGGCGCGCCGAGATGTGCGCGTATGGCGACCTGGTTTCCCATGGAGCCGGATAGGACGAGGAGAGCAGCGGGCTTGCCGGTAAGCTCGGCGACGAAGGCCTCCAGGGAATTAGTAGTTGGGTCTTCGGTGAATACATCGTCTAGGAGGGTCGTCTGCGCTATTGCTTGAAGCATAGAGCTCGTTGGAGTGGTCACGACATCGCTACGTAGATCGAACGCAGAGGGGCCCGGCGATGACCACGCATTGTGGGTAGGTCGGCCGTTGGAGCCATTAGACACATTAGAGACTGCCCGGGCACCATTGGAGGCGACTTTGGAGTACTTGGTCATGCTGAAGGGCTGTGATAGCGGGGAATTTGTCGGTCGAGTTCTTGCGGTGAAAAAACGTGCTCGGGCAGCCCTTGTAGCTAGAGTAGCGGGGCTATGGTGGATAGTGAAGTGGAAGCCGGGGCGAGCTGCTGGCAGAATATGTGAATAATACAGGAGTTGGCCAGGTGGAGTTCCACGTACTGGCAGGCCTGCAGCAGCAGATAAGTAGGCTGGACGCCATGGTTCGGACAAAGGCGCCAGGAGCATTATGTCGGGTGCTATTGACGCTGGCTGTGGAGACGAAAATGAGAGCATCGAGGCTAGGCCGGAACAGGGAGCTGGTGCATCCTCAATGGTGGGGGAGGCTGCAGGAGCGAGACAGACCGCTCCTGCGCCGACGAGACCCATCCATGGGAGGCGAGAGAACCGACATGCTGCGCGCGGGATGGGAATGGAGGTGAAGTTGTTCGCGTTACTCGGTCGTTGCAGAAGTATTTCCCGGGAACCTGCGTCTAGGGACGCGCTTCTCCCATTTGGGACTCTTTGTGAATGGTTTCACCTGGGAAGCTTTGGGATATCAATTTGCCGCATTGGGCTCAGAGCATTGCCATATTCTCTCACAGAACGCCACCCGCATTGAATATGGTGAGGCGGCATCGTTGCGAACACGCAGGCGTAGAATGCGCCCTTTGGACGACAGAACGTGGATTCTTGCATCGAAACGGAAAGGCGCGATCTCGGTCACGGACGGGACATCATTGCAGCCAAAGGACTCGTCATTGGCTTCGTGGCATGATATAGCCAGCAGAAAGGCAGCGTCGTTGGACTGCACAAGCATACGGCGAAAGGTGAATGTATCGGGATCGCTGGTATCATGCATGAAGGCGAGCCGAAGAGCAGGCATCTGTGTTGCATGAGCCGTAGGAGCTTTGAGTGGGATATGGAGTGGAGAGGTTTGAGGGATGCACGACATTCTGGGTTTCCTTTCCCTCAGTACTGCTCACAGCAAGTCAGGCCTGTGATTAATGTATAGCATCCATCCGCATCAATCATCAATCCTCGTTCGAAGCTGGATATACTAGACCCTCAATCGGCTCTAAATCACGATATTACTCAGACGCAGACCGGTATCCCGCATGCTAGTCCTCGACAAATTACCAAGATCATCACTACGAATCACAAACCCAGTTGAAAACTGGTGACAGAAGAGTGTTTTACTATTCTAGAAGATATTTCCATTTGCCCCTTTCGGTATTTCGTAGAATGCTGAGTACATTATCATTATAGGCGTTTTTTACGACGAGTTTGAGCTTGCGTAATCGACCCTCATTTCTCCGACCCTTTTGCCCGTTCGTAGTAGTGAACAGCATTGGGAGCTTTTGCGCAGTTCGAAGTAGATCCTGTTGCATCCGTTGGCACAGAATGGCTGTCTTGAGGTCTGCCCTTGACCTGTGCGGAGTCAGTTGCGGACTTGAAGCTGCAGAGTTCAGCGTCACTAAAACTTACATGCGAATAGTACCAAATCTCGCCGAGAACGGTAGCTCCGTTATCAAGCGAACCCTTTCCTGCTTCCGTGGTGTTGTAACGCGGTCCAGTGCAGCTAACATACGGGATACCGCCGGAGTGCTTCGCCAAGGTTCCTTGAATATCAGACAGCGAGTACGCAGTCACGTTCGTGGGCCGAATTCCCGCGTGTGCGAGCCATTGGAATGTGGGGTACTTCTCGAAATACTTGATAGCGGTTTCGAAAAAATCGACGACTTCCTCGTGCTCCTTGTACTGAGGACCGTAGCAAGGCACGTCGAACGTGGAGTAGCATGTTGCGTGTTTGGAGAACTCATGGCCCCAGAAGTCCTGATTCGGGCTGCCTGATGACACCCAGTACCTGATACGCGGTAAGTGACCGTTCATGTAGTGTTGGTAGAATGAGCTGCTCACTTGTTCATCCAGGCTAGAAGATCGAATTTCCCGAAAGCCTCTACGAACGTGCTAATACCCGGACCTGTATAAGGAGGAACAACAGTGCCTACGAACCGTAAGCAAAGAACTACCTGAGAGGGAGATTGTCTCGATGTCGTACCATTGGGAAGACCATTGGTGGTGTTTGGCGACGGTGCAGGATCATATTGCCGATTCAGATCACAGTATTGCGTGTATGATCCATTACAAAAATCCGGCCACAATCCATGAACTGTCCATGAGTTTTTGGGCAAGACCTGGCCTTCTGACTCGAAACCAGTGTACGAGCTCCAAATCTGGGTCTGCAACAATAGCCCTCCAAATGTCTCTACGCAACAAGTGTCCACTTCAGAAGGAATAGCATGGGGCGAACATGACAACAATGGCTTGCCTGTCACCTGTTAGAATTTCGTAGAGTTCGTAATCCGTAAGTACGTACTAAAGAGACAAGTGTGGTTAACATTGCTCTCGCCGTAAAGTGAAGCAATGGCAGGGGCTAGAAGCAGCGCACCCGAGAAGACGAATTGAAGCCTCATGTTTGCGACAATTGAAGTTGAAGAGACGAGGAATTGACGGTATTTGAATCTCGATAGGAAAACAAGCTCGAGTTCCCACCTACCTTATGAAGTCACTGGGATCTGAAGCTCCTTACCTTGTTGGGGAGGTGGATACAAAAGCGCCGACTGGAGGCGACTTGCGATGACCCGGTTCCCGGCAATGTACCTGCAGCTACCCTCGTGGTGTTATCTATTGGCTACATGGAGAGATACAATGCGTTTGCCGCAGCAATCTACGAAGGATCATTCGGGATCGCGTTCGAGACGTGCTGCAATGACGGGCTGTGAGTCTTCGAAGGGGAGTTCGTCCGTTGCATACAAGGTAGACCATGTTGGCTCTTTCGTTCAACATTGACCTAGATCAGATTGTTCATCATTAGGATAGCGATTAGGCTTCAGAGCATCATTGTGAGGTTGAAGTCTGTAGATATTATCAAGTTCGGAAACGCCGAGACCATCCCCTCATGATCTGATACAAATACCAGCTTTAGGAACTACAAAAACCTCCTAATTTAGCACGATATCTACCCGCAAAACCAATGTTTCACCCTCCACACTTCCTCTCGCCGAAACCATCACGTGGTAGCGCGTGATGTTCGTTATTTTCCCTAAGTCCGCCTCTGGTCTCAGCCCGAAAACAAGACAAAACGATCATTATTATCCAAGAACCACAACTCCCCGGAATGTCTCCCTTACCGCAGTCTCTCCCAGCTACCGACCCTACCCAAAACCCTCCCCTCTCCGAAGTCGCTGCCGCCCTCGCTCCCTACATCCACACGCGCGCCGAAACCCTCCGTATCCGTCGCTTGCTCTCTGCACACCTCGCCGCCTCCCTCACCCACGAAGAGAGCACAGATGGCGAGACACCCATTACGCACCTCACTCTTGGGGCCCCGCCGTCCACACTCGTTGTCAAGCGTACCCCAAAAGAGCTACAAGGCGGTGGGGACGCTCGTGTGCGTGCTGCGTACCTCTCCGCACTCCAGTCCCATGCTGTAGCAAAGAAGCGATATCAGGCTCTCCGTGACGAGATAGAAGAGCTGAGGCAAAGTCAGGTTGTGGATAGTGCGTCGAGGGATGTCAATCGTGGGGACGGAGCAGCGGAGGAGTATATCCAGCTGGTCAAATTGAGGCGGAGGGTAGAAAGAACGAAGGTAGTGGATAAGGCGGTAGAGAGGGTATGTGATGCACGCCTTGTCGAGGGCGGTGCTGGAGGGATCGGGAAGAGGAGGACAGGTGTTCGAGAGGTAGTAGAGGAGATCGTGGGGAAGCAGCCGGATATACCGAGTGTGAAGTTAGAGGGGGCAGGGGAGGAGAGCGGGAAGGCAATGGTCGAGGAGATGGTTTGGCGGGTCAAGAGAGGAGTGGTGAGTGCGAAGGCAGATATGGACGCGGCGGAGGAGAGGAAGATGGAGGCTAAGAGGGAGATTGAGGCAGAGGAGGTAGGGGTGAGGTTGCAGGTTCGAGGACTGAGGGCTGTAAAAGCTGAGCTTGTGCGATGGCTAGAGGACGAGCTGGGGAAGTTGCAGGAGGAAAGCATATTAGAGGATGCGTCTCCAGTCAAGAAGCGAGCAGCACACGAAGGGAATGGTGAAAAGGAGGGGAGGCCACCGCTTGAACAGATCGAGGAGCGGTATAAAGAGTATGTCGCGGCGAGGGCAGAGCTGGTCAAAACAGTGGACACGATCAGAGGCCAGGAGAACTCGAGCATCACGACAACAGCGCCATCAAAGAGCGTCGAAATTTCGAGTTACGACACAAACACTGAAAGTGTCAAAGTGGCAGATATATTGCCATTCATGCCGTCTCTACTCCACACGGCACGCGAAGAGCGAGCTTTGCTTCAACAAGGGACGTATCTTCGGCACCAATTGGCTCTTACTTCGGAAGAAACACTCCGGACGATTGGGAGGCTGGCGGATGAGAGTCATCTTGTTACGCCAGGTGCGAGTAGCGCCTTATCATGGGCAGGTGCCGCGAAAGATGCCTCTGTGAGCACGAGACAGTATCTAGAAGACAACCTGAAGGAAGGCGAGCGCAAAGTTATCAGCGCCGAAGAGACTCTAGGCGAGGTACAGGTACGCCGGGAGAATTTCGAAAGACTCGAGGGAGCTTTCTGAGCAATGAATTCTGCTTTCGACTCTCAGCACCGACTACTGCAGTCTGTTCTCAATGGCTTCGATTTCGATCCAACATTCGACAATGTGGATCCCGCATCTTGAGTAATCTCACAATGAGTTTATCATTCATCGTGAAGAGGATTGTCTATGAATACCTGTGCTGGATTCTGGAAGTAAATGTGCGCCTTTCGGCCTTGAGAATATCAAGCTGGCCCATAGATATCAAAGTTCAATTCGCCCATCATCTTGACAAACCACCACTGCTGTGACAACTTGATGGACAGGCACGACAGAAACGTGAATTGTCTGTCTAGTTAATCGCAGCATGTGATAATGACAGGTCGCCGCTGGGCGTGAAGAAGTGGCAGACACACGGCGACCTTTTCCAATGCCCCGCGGGGTAGTTGAAGGCATGTGATTGGGCGGCCTGCAGGTGGGGCGTCGAACGCCTAAAGCTGCCTGGTGGCGCTGCCTTGCCAGAACAATAGCTCATTGACCTTATTGTCGTGGTGAATGAAGGTATTGTGGCCCGCAACACAACACAATATAAATCGGCTTGCCGCTCTCGCGGGCCTTCCTCTGGCCGGCTTCCTTCCTTTCCACCACGCTCTCCACCACGCTCTCCACCCACACTCACTGCACAACGCACATCAGTCTTTCCCACACCCACCACGCCACTGCGCACAGCAAGAAGACCACCGCAGCTATGACTATCCCGAGTGCGAAGCGCTCCTCTGACGGCTTCGCCCACCACGGAGCGCGAAGTCGGCGATCGAAGACGGACCGCGAGGGCGATGTGGTCATGGATGGAGGCATCTCCAGGTCTGCAGAAGGACGCGGAAGAGGAGGCCGTGGAAGAGGAGGCCGTGGACGTGGAGGCGGCATCAATACGGAGCGTCTCCAGCGCGAGGTTCTCAAGCATGTTGGCGACGGCGCCCGCCCTCCTTCGATGCGAAACATCACCCCCGACCGGCAGAGCTCTCTCGTGGAGTTGCAGGTCACCGGATGGCTCAACAGCAAAGCCTCGTCGAACGATGACCGCGGCGTCTCTAGCCTCATCACCTTTCTCGAGCGACATGCCACCAAGAGGAGCGCTCTCTTCAGGCAACGCGGTGGAAAAGCTGCTACCGGCTCTCGCATCAAGAGGTCTCGTGTCGAGGGCGACACTCTACACATCTTCGTTCTGCAGCAGGAATACGAATCCTACTCGCGACTGAACAACTTCGTCTTCGCCGGAAAGTCCATCACAGTCACCTGCGAGAACCCACCACGTTCAAGATCTCCACACAACAGCGGCACGTCTCCGGAACCCGCCAACGAAGTCCAACAACTTATCCAAGACTTGCTCTCCCGTCGCTTCGATTACTCTTCGAAGCTCCTCAGTCTCAACGCTCTCGGCACGGACGAGCAGCTTCAGGAAATCGGCATGTTCAAGACCCCGGAGACCCAGAGCAAGTTCTTCCTGGCGACGATGAAAGTCTGCAGCGCACAGTTCCAAACAGCAGAGGAAAAGCGCGAGACCATCCAGAGCGTCTCCCTTGCCGACAACAATCTTCCCAATCTTTCAATCGTCACGTCTCTCGCTCAAACCTTTCCCGACTTGAAGAACCTCGACCTGTCCGGCAACAAGATCGAAAACACATCTGCCCTCGGTGCCTGGAGGCATAAATTTCGACATCTCGAACAGCTTCTTCTCAACAACAACCCCATCGAAAAGCTGCAGCCCGGCTGGGAAGTCGAGGTGATGAAGTGGTTTCCTAAGCTCCGTCTACTCAACGGCATCCAAGTGCGCACCGATGCACAACTCGCACAGATGGATCAATCCAAGGCTATCCCATTGGTCCAGGCCCCAGATTTCCGGGACGAGGGCGGAATCGTACAGAACTTATTGCTCAAGTTCTTCACAGCATTCGACAGCGATCGTCCTGCGCTTGCCAACATGTACTACGACAATGATTGCAGCTTTTCTCTCAACGTCAACACTCACGCACTACGCGATAAAGATGCGCAAGAGATGCTGAAGCAAAGCTGGGATCCGTATATTCGAATCAGCAGGAATCTCAAGCATCTCAACAACCCCAAAGTCCGCACCAATCGCAAAATCACGGGCCCGGAAGAGATCACCAAGACCTGGGCACAAATCCCCGCCACTCGTCACCCGGCCTTGACTAGTGAATTCCACAAGTGGGTCATCGAGTGCGCATCCCAACCAGGCGTTCCCGACCCAACCGGAACATATCCCCAAGGAGTCACTGGATTCATGGTGACGGTTCACGGAGAATATGAGGAGCCGATTCCTTCACGCCAGGATAGGACGATGCGCCGAAGCTTCGATCGCACCTTCGTCTTGGGTCCCGGAGGACCACTCAAGGTCCGAATCCTCAGCGACATACTCACGGTACGCGCTTATGGAGGATCTGCCGCATTCAGAGTTCAAATGGAGCAGCAGGAAGCGCAACAAGCCTCTCAACAGTTGGGCTTGCCAGTGGCTGCACCGATTATAGCTCCGGTCGTGGCGCCAGCAGCTATGACACCAGTGACGGAACAGGATCTCATGGTTTTAGAGCTTGCCAAAATCACTGGGTTGACATTGGAGGTGGCCAAGCAGTGCCTGGAGACCAGCAACTGGAACCTGCATACCGCCATGGGTACCTTCGAGACTCACAAGGCAACTCTCCCTCCGACTGCATTTGCATAAAGGATATGCATCAAAGAACGGGTTCAAGGGGTGGGTCGTCTCTGATATCATTGTACGACCCTCAATGGTTTCCATACGAAGAATACGAAGCATGGCGAGCGATCACAATCTGTTATTTGGAGTACAAGGCTGCATAGGAACGGATACCCCAAGGCACTGGGCGGCTTGGAATGAGGGCATCCGGGCATGTCAACATGATTCTTTCTTGTAACTAGCATACCAAGTCCTCTGCTATAAGAGGCCCTCTACCCAGAGGCAATCGGCACAAAAGCCATATCTCTCTTCTCACCTCCAATTCTTTCTGCACGTTTTGAATGATATGACGCTGGTGATCACCCTTGGGAATATTAACGTCCACGACTCGATTAGATTGACCTCGGCGCAGGGAGATCGACCCCTCCAAGCTGCCTATGCTCTTCCACTTCAACTATCCCGCGAGCTGCACTGTCATGGCTTACGCCATGATCTATCATGGCCACTCTCACGCCAGCTTCTGCGGTAAGCCACTTCTCCATACTTCTCCAAGTTAATAGAGATACTGATGAAGCCACAGCAAGCAATTGCGCGTCTGCGCGCCTACCGACCGCCACCTACCCAATGGAACAACCTCCCACTGTCACGAAGAGCAGCCGTCTTAATCCTGCTCTTCGCTGATCGAGCTGGCGACCTCCGAGTCGTCCTTACCATGCGCGCGGGCACGCTGAGATCATGTATAACACCTTTAATCAACTTTCTAAGCTCTAATATACTAATTCCCCCCCGCCAGACGCCGGACAAGCCGCCCTCCCAGGAGGTACACTCTCTCCTCCCCATACCAGCCCGCGACAGTCTCTAACAGTGCCCCAGGTAAATCCGACACCCTCTCCGAAACCCCCTTCGCCACCGCCCGCCGGGAAGCCTACGAGGAAATCGGCCTCCCCCTCCACGACGCGCAGCTGCCCGCCCCCTTCCGCGTCGAGCACCTCTGCCAACTTCCCTCGAACCTCGCGAGGACGGAGCTGGGGGTGCGCCCCTGTGTCGCATTCCTCAACACCTCCTCTTCCTCCTCCGCCGCCGCCGAGAGCGCGCTGATCCCGCGCCTGGACCCCAAAGAGGTCGCAGCGGTCTTCACAGCACCATTCCACAACTTCCTGCGCGAAAAGGACGAGGCCGACGGCCTGGCGCACACGAGCGCGAGCGCGGGCGACTTCCCCGGCGCCGAAGCGGCGGGCTTCAAGGCGGACTGGTACCGCGGCGTGTGGACCGATTGGCACGAGAGCCGGTGGCGGATGCACAACTTCTACGTGCCTGTCGGGCCGACTAATAGCAGCCAGACGGTCGTGCGGCCAAAGAAAAAGACCGGGCCGCAGCCGAAGATTACGCATCCCAGCCCACCGGCGGAGGAGGATGCGCTGGAGAGGCAGACGCGGTTCCGGGTGTTTGGCATGACGGCGCGGATTCTGGTGGATGCGGCACGGGTGGCGTATGGCGAGGAGCCTGAATTTGAACACAACGCGCACTTCGGAGACGAGGATATGATTGCGAGGTTGTTGAAGACGGGGCGGCTGGCGATGGAGAAGAGGCAGGGGGATGAGTTGACGAGGGAGGATTTTAAGAACGCGGCGGTGACGAAGTTGTAGATGATCATGATAGAGGTTTGTATTGGAGATTTAGATATCACTTTAATCAAAGATTTGCTAGCCAGCGGCACCCTTTAGGTTTCATTTTTGCACTCTCACGATGTCACAATATGGTACCAAGTCACACACCACGAAGATATCTTCATGAAGCGCGCAAGACGAGGCATTTCACGACCACAAACATCACAGCACAACTAAGAGGTATGCTGCAACCCGAAGACTGAAATGCCACGGCACTTCCGGAGAGTGCGTAGACCAACGAAGACGAGGACAACAAACCTAGAAATAGTAGTATGAGTACCCCTTAACATCGAGGTCGCGTAAGAAACAGATTTCTATCTCCAAGCGACGATGTGCATACGTTTTCAAAATTCAGGTCACCATAGAATTCCATTCGTTTGTCATTTGTGAGCAGAGAAAACTTCCATTCGAAAATATCAAAGATACAGCACGCTAATCTGTTCTCGGAAGTTTATAAACATCGATTCCGATATTTCACGGAGCAGTTGCCGAATAACCAGGACTTAGGACAGAGACTACTGATTGGGCCTTGAGCATCGCTATCATTTGAAACCATCACCTAGGAAGGGACCCGACCGATTCCGCCTAGCAGTCCGTGAAGCCGCACTCGTTCTTGCACTAGAGGTCGTCAGTAAAACAATTACCATAAACTTGATGAAGAGGGATACTCACTCGATGATTCAAGTCCGGGTTTAGGCAGACAGCCTGCCTGCATGCCTTTTGGCATCCAGGATCAGTAGGGCAAGGCTACGGACGCAAGTCAGACTTCACTCTGCTCCAAAGCTAACCAGAAGATTTGCGGAGGACTACTTACTTGGATGCACTTGAGATACCGGGTCTCGCACCCAAGGCATGGAGGCGGAGGAACGGGGATAGGATCGAGGTCTCGGGCGAGAATTCCGCCAATAGCGTCCGAACCCGTGTTCAGAGACTTGGGAGGATGGCCGACTGGTTCGGTCTTGCAGCCCGTGAAGCCGCACTCGTTCTTGCACTAAGAGTCGTTAATAAAGCATTCCCGACAAGCTTGACGAAGAGGGATACCCACTCGATGGTTTGAGTCCGGGTTCAGACAGATGGCCTCCCTGCATGTACTAGGTGGATGACGACTGTCTCGGATGCACTCGAGATAATGATTCTCGCACCCTAGGCACTGAGGCGGAGGAACGGGCAGAGAAGCGAGGTCCCGAGCGAGGGTGCCGTTGATAGCGTTCGAACGTGTATTCTGAGCCATAACGAGAGCAGCAAGTATTGTGAGCTTGCTCCCTTCTCCCTGATCAAGCCCTTCGCTTTCCATATCATCGAATATGTCCTGAAGGTCTGGAGACAATTTCCAAAGGAGACGAGCAATCTGGATGACTTTGTTCATGTCGTCATCGTCCAGGTCCTCCGCAGGGAGGTTTTCGAGGTTCGCGAGAATTGAGTCAGTGGTGTCTTTGTCCACAGACGTGGTAGCAGGGTCGTGGAGCTGGGCAAGTATTTCGTCAAGGGTGTCGGACCGTGCAATCAGGTGCACATCGTCGCTGTCCCGGACTGCGAGGACGTCCTTGCTCTGCGGACGACCAGAGAGAATGGGGCTAGTATTCTCACGCTTTGAGAGAGTCGAGGGAGTCGCCGAGACCTCGTCCATGGGGGATTCATGCTTGTGGCAGACGTCATAGCCGCAGTACGTGCGGCAAAATTGCGAGCCACAGAGCATGCTTCTGCAGCGGTTGATACATTGGTCGGTGAAATTGCACGTGTGGAGGCACTCATCGTAGGTTACGTCGCAGTCATCACAGCTCTCTTCTGTCTGTGGTGGAAGGCCGGAGAGGACAGGGCTAGTATCTTCACGCTTTGAGAGAGTGGAGGGAGCCGCCGGGACGTCGTCAATGGTGGATTCATGCTTGTGGCAGACGTCATAGCCGCAGTACGTGCGGCAAAATTGCGAGCCGCAGAGCATGCTTCTGCAGCGGCTGATACATTGGTCGGTGAAATTGCACGTGTGAAGGCACTCATCGTAGGTTACGTCGCAGTCATCACAGCTCTCTTCTGTCTGCGGTGGACGATCCGAGATGACGGGGCTGGTGTCCTCGCGCTTCGAGAGGCCGGCGTTGACGAGCGCAGTATGGATACAATTGGAGTTCTGGCAACTGAAGCACTGGGGACTTGTCAGCTGTGTTTGTTGGAAGAGCTTGGGGTGGGGTATCTGCCTACTTCAGATGAGTTGCACATATCGGAGTCGCATGCTTTGCGGCATGTCACGTCGTCATGGCATAGCTATACCCCCATTTTGTCAGAATTTGTTGCCGTATGGTCAACATGCCATTCCTTACTTCGATGCACTCATCATATGTTGCGTAGCATCCTTGGCATGGAGACGAGTCGCGCTGATGAAGCTCGCTCTGCTGTGGAGCGCAGCAAAAGACACAATCTTGACACTATAGACGTATGTGAGCAAGATCATCTTTCCTGGAAGAGAATGCTAGCGTTACCCTAGAGTTGCTGCATACTTCGTCGTTGCATGACTGGAAGCACGTCACATCCTGGCACTAGATCAGAGGCTCATTAGCTATTGAATTGGTGTGTACAATCGAGAGGCACTTACTGCGAAGCAGACGTTGCCGTAGTTTGCAGCGCACTGTACACAATCCTGAGACTGGGGCGGGTTCGCAGGCGTAGTGGGCTGGTCGTCCGCCTTGGGTACGTTGAGCGTGCCTGGTCGGGCGATGGTCAGAGTAGCCAGAGCCGCTACAGCAACCGAGACGAACTTCATGTTGCTTTGAAGCTGTGGGAAGGTTGCTGTGCGCGGTGGATGGGGATGAGCGGAGGTGTTTGAGGTGTGGTGAGGAGGGGATGGGGTATATGTCATGTGTTGGGAAGGAAGGTGCAAATGCGCGGTCAACAGAAGGAAAGGACAACCACAGTGGGTCCGAAACGAAGAGCCTCGTTGCCCCATTTGACAGGGTGTAGTAACTGGAGAAAGCTTCACAGCAGGCTCCCTTCCTATGCACAAGCTATCTCTCACCCTCTTGTACTCAAGTCTCTTCGACGCCGCGGTCACGTGGCCCGAGGGCAAGACAGCTGCGGTGGATTTCATCTGGGAAAGATATCGAACTGACTACAGAGGCTCGGAGACAAGAGCCATGACTTGAGGATACAAGTGCAGGGCTAATATTGGAATGGGACAAATAAACATAATTGCACTTGCTACCTCAAATTCCGGTCATCGCTCTGCAGCCTTTTGTTGGTGCCCGCGAGAGCCGGGGAAAAGTAACCCTACCTTCTTCATATCTTTTTCTCGCTAACGACTTCGAATCGATTCTTATCAGCGGAGACGACTCGTTTGATAGTCCAGCGATCACAGATTGATCTTAGAAATCTCAATGTAGCACCACGCTTCACTACTACGGCTTATAACCTTTCTCGTTGCACAACCTGCTTCGTCTGGATTTGTGAGCTGCTAGACATTCTTGATGGATTCAATAGCGCTCTTGCGGCACTTGGTACTGAGTACTCGTGTCGGAAAACGCTCATTCATCATTTTCATGGAAAGAGGAGATGTTTTGGGCCAGAACCAGAGGGACTACGACGAACGCAATCTAGCTAATCGCTGTGGCCCCCAGCCAGCAACTATGAGCCATCGAGAGACCTTTCGAAGTGTATTTCATTCCGCAGGAGAAGAAGTTCGGATGGAAGGTAGGGTGAGGTCCCGACGGATGATGTCTTGGCTCCTTTGCGCTACGCCCGATTCGTCGTCGCTCCAAATCAACCTCTTGAGCTCCGTCGTCAACTGCCCGCCATTGGCATCGACAACACCACACAACAGGCCATGCTCTCGTTGCGGAGAACCGCTCTTGCCTCTGCGCGAACTGCGCGGGCCGCTGTGCCCCGGCTACGACGTAGTGCCCACCATGACGCTCATCACGACGCCCATCACGGCCCCGTCAACGAGTTGTTCGGAGTATGCCCCCCCTACTCCTCTTGCACCTCTCTGGCTTTGGTGCCACGGCTCTTGCTCTATATGATTGAGCAATTGCAATGCTGATACACGTTGCCCTATAGCCCAAATTCTACATCGGCGTAGCCGCGATACCCGCGCTACTCGGACTGTACTATGTGTCCCGCTCCAGCGACGGCGATCGGCCATTCCTTTACCGATATATCGATTCTTATTCGGAGTACAAAGCTTTCTGGGCTGAGCAGAACGACATACACGTCAAGGCGTTGGAACGAGCCGGTGCAGATCGGAACCTGTTCATCCACTCCAAGGGCCAGCAGACCGTCGACTTGAAGTTCCCCGAGTACGTCTCTACTATTTCCAATTAGGGGAGGAGAGCAGGATCTAGGCGGCGGGAAGTTGGATTGACACAGAAATAAACCGTGGGGGCGCTTGAATAAAACAATTGCTAATTCAGCATATTCAACAGGATATTCAATGTCGGATCTCCATACAACGTCCCCGCCGGCAGCAGCGTGAACCTGGACAAGCTGATCGCGAAATACGAGAAGGAGAGCTATGAGGCGCAGGAAGCGAAGCTACAAGCATTGAAGGATGGCACTCTACCGGTGGAGCGGGAAGATAAGTAGGAAGCAGGGGACCACGGCTGTGCGCGGGTCTGGGGTCTGTACATATTTCGCTTGCAGTCACTACCGTCCGCAAAGGATACGGTTTCATCTATACATTTTCAAAGTGGAGGTCACAGTTCAGTGCTTGCAACTTGTGGTGCCGTCGATTTACCGACAAGTACTGTACAAAACTGGAACACCGCGTACTCTTTCTAATGCCTGAATTATTACGCCAAGTCATCTAAACCACTAATTAGGCAGCGTGCGGTGTTCTACGTTTTTATACTAGAGACGATTGATTTTAAGCTTGCTTCATCTATATCTGCATTACGAAGGGTCTTCCTCACACGAAAGATTAATATTGAGGAAACTAGACTATAGTCCGCAAAGTTTTTAACCAATTAACTAGATCGCACTGTTACTAGTCAACCTTCAATTATGATGCAAGCTTGAAGCTGTGTATTAATAGTGGACACGTGACGCAACCGGAGATGCGTGATAGAAACGCCACGATACATCAATTGATGATGGCAAAGAATATTGATAGAAACATTGAGCTCTGTCTCATGGACGATGAATATCCCGCTCACAGCCTCACAATAAAGTCTGTTTTTGGAGTCAAGTGGCAGGCCATATATCTAGATGTTCTACATAATATAGAATAGCGATGCCAAGCCAGCCTTGCCAGAAATCTCACCTGCATTTTATCGCTCCATTTCTTCCCTTCATCACTGTCCCGTGAAGGGTTGCAGCCAAGACACAGCCTCCTTGCCATAACTTCCGGTTTCCGGTGATCTTGGTCGGACTGGAAGAGTATGCCAGGCAAAGGTCGGAGTATTCGAGCATCTGACTCACATACAACTACGCCGCTGCAAGCAAGACCGCCACTTCAATATGCTAGCAGTGGGCCATGGAAGCACTTACGCAGTCATACTACTGATGACTGTGTAGTGCTTCTGGAAGCAGCTTGCCGACTACCTTGGCCCCCAACTTGCGCTCTCTACCTGGCAGCGCCGCGTCTCCCAGATCCTCTCGTGTGCCGTCCCTGCATGGCACCCCTCAGTTGCAGCCGCGTAACAGTCGTCGCCTATAACCACTCTAATCGTATAGCAACCACCCGGGCTCACTCTTACTTCGTAGAATGCTCTTGGCATGCCAATCGACCAATGAAGACTATCCGCTCTCCGCGTCGAGCAAGGCAGAAATGCGGGCATACGAAGTCCCATAGCCGCCCATGCATGAGATGAACGGCATCTAGGCCATAACAAGCAATCCCACCAAGCAATGACAAGGCTGGCAGGCTTGACTCGTGTTTCTCGCTTTTCACACCGTAGGGATAATGACTCCGAGGTAGGAAAACGCGGTAGGGGGTACTCAAACTTATCGATTTTCACCCATGCCGCGCTCTTTTCTTGCAAATGGACGCATTAGCAGCCATCATACACAGCTTGATGCACATGAAAGTGCCCAGCTTGCTCTAAGAGCTTGTCAAACCTATGATGATGCGTTTGCTACCTTACGCGGACGTATAAAATGCTTGAGGGTAGGCTCCTGAGGCCGCATCATCACTCATAACATCTCCAAGACTCCACCTGCCTGATCAATTCCCGATTCGCCAGCCGCGATCTACACTACCTGAAATTCTACATACTGTATTTTCTTTGACCCACAAGGCCACAAGGACACCACGTACACCATCATCATCAGAGAGCATCACACCGCATAGGCAACGATACATCCTACGCACTCCAAGCCAACATAACCCTGACTAAGGGACCTACAAAGAGCTCGTCTATCGAACGTCTTCAAAGATATCAGCCGAGATCATCTCCTCTCAAGCAAAGACAACTCCGAAGCAGTACTTTCAACATCATACACTTCGCTTTAACATGTCATCCAGTGCGTCTAGTACGTTGTTCCGTTCAGGACTTGTAGACCCCAGGTTTAACTCGTCTCAAGACTCAAACGCACCGCAATCACAATCGCCCTCCAAGGGAAAACCCGATCAGCTAGAAGCAGAGGCGAGGCATTCATACGAATCTGAAGACTCAATTGCTCTCCAGAAAGCAAGGTAGCTCTTTCCCTCCCACCTACGTTATCATTTAGCTCGACTCAATTTTCTCCTCCCTTTTCCAGAGCATCATCCTCCTCCCCCAAAGAGAAATCTGGCATCATATCCGCCCTCGATAAAGCACGACGTAAGCTCTCGATCTCGAGTAGTAGCAAGGGCGAGGAAATTCCCTCGTCCGAGGCCGAATTTGAGCACCTAAAGGAAAAGAAGAAGGAGAAGGAGCGGTGTAAGGCCGAGTATGAGCGGTTGGGACTGAAAGATAAAGTCAAGTTTGGGCAGGGAGGGATGCAGATGGGCAATTAGAGAGAGTAAAAGGGACGGCTCCCCTCCTGCCTCCAGCATTTTGCCCGCCATTCGTTTTTTCTTTCATTTCCAGCTTGAGCTGAGCTTTTACGATTTCTGTTCATGCTATGGATCACGAAGTTGTTTCCTTTAATGTTTTCCTTGCATCAAACCGACGCCGGTCTTTTGATCCTTCTTTTGTTTTTAGCTTGAGCTAACGCTTGAGATAATGCTCTTGGTTATGCTGTTTCCGCCGTGGACAAGGCCTTTTCTTTCAGTAAATGTGTTCGTTCGATTGGCAAGGGAGCATTGAACATACAAAAGCTTGCTGGTTGCTATCGCTAATGCGTTGAGGTATCTATCCCCGCATACTTCTAATGCCATACTTTATGTATCTCTACTTCTCCTCAAGCAACCTTCAAGTCCACGTCCAAGGACAGCACTTCTCGAGCCCAACCTGCACCTAGTAATCACCAGCCTCCTCTTGTCTCCACCTCATCATCAATGCCCACTGGCTCATGACCCATAGCTCAAAGGAGCCAAGCTTCAACAGCAAGACATCGAACAGATTCCAACTCACCGCTCCATCAAACGGTAAGTTCCAAACCTGCACTATCTCACCTTAGCCCCCCCCGTCTTCCTTCCCTCCACCGAATCACATCACCGGCAATCCGAATCCTTATCATGGACCTATCAAAACAATGCAAATCCCTTCGTCCGTGGAGCATTTGGTCGACGATTCGCATAAAGAACGTCCCAGACCGCCCCCTTTTGCAGCAAAAACGCCAAGAACAGGGTTCAGCAGGGGTGGGGTGACGGTCTGTAGGAAGACGTTTGAACACCAATCACATAAACTCTATTGAAACTAAGACCACCGGACATAGGTGCGAGGTGAATGTTGTCGATGCGGGTGATAGATAGATCGAACGAATAGGGAAGCTAAAACAGAAGGCAAAAAGAAGGTCGACCCGAGATTCGAACCCAAGACGGGGAATCCCATAATCTAGGCCCCAAGCTGCGAGCACCAGCAGTGTCAACGGTATGGGTGGAACATGTAAGAACCCCTAGACTATGGGAATGGATCAGCCGGCCGGTCTGGTCCACCCATGGGTTGAATTGGTGAGGTGCCGAAAATAAAGCGGAATATGTACCTTGTTGATTTGCGTAATCCAGAATTAGTGAATCCATCCAACGCAGAATTGGTCTTGCTACTAGCGAATGCTTTGGGAAGTACGAGCAATTTGATCACGGGGATTCCGAAATCTTCGATCCAAATGCAGGCGCTGAATGGAGAGGTTTACGGATGGATGGGTAACGAGCATGGGGTTTCGAATTGCTATTTGCCCGTTCTTGGGTGTAGTCGCGCTATAGATAGCCTATTATGGCGTTTACATCACCCTTGCATACAAAAGATTCTCCAATTAGCCCGACAGAGCGCAATCCTCAAGAAAATCCGCCCATCACCCCCCCAGCCCAGCCCCAAACACCTTCTTAGCCACATCTAGCGCCCTGCATCCACATCTGTAGCCTACCCAACCAATAAGCTTTTCTTCACCCCAACCCCCAGTTCCAACTCAAAAAAGTCTATCCTCAACTGCGCGACAAGCCGGTATCTCAATTACACAGGCATCACAAGCCGGGGTCATAGTAAGCTGGCGGCCATTCGGTTCTCTGTGAAAGCATCGTGAGACATTCCCTGCTGCTCCCTGGTGTCCCCAGTTTTGAAATATGGCTCGAAGCCTTTGGATTTGAGTACTAATTCGAGCTCGTAATTCAGTGGACGTGGTAGATGGTGAAATGTGTCTTTCAAGACTTCTCGAGACACGGCGTTCAAGTTCCAGTCCAGGCTCGCCGACCAGGGCTCGATTACGTGGAGGGTGTCGGCTGGGAACATATCAGGCGGTATCAACGTCTCCAGAGTTTTCCGAAAGATTCATCGACCGGTCGTTGGTCGGCTGGTCCTGTCTTTGCACCCTGGACACATCTCTCCGAATCTATTACGTAGGGGATGATCCGGACGTGGTACCAAACCCAGATCCACGAGCCGGTCTCGGTCCCAGAACATAGCCCCTAACCACCTCGGAATGCACCATTCATCGTCACCCGCGGACATGATCCAGCCGGCGTTCGGGTGGGTCGTGGTCGTGGACTCCTCATATCCCACAGGCACTACCGGCTCAGTAGATATGTGCCCTGTCGACGCAGCAAGACGGGTCTGGTGCGTGGCCCGCGCGAACTGGTGCTTGTTGAGATGTACGAGAAGTGTTTCTTGAGGGGGTCCTTCTGTAAGGGGGTTAAATGTAACCATTGCCATTCGACGTTCTTTGTTTGCTTCCAGGACGCACTCCAGGTAAGGAAGTCCAACAAAAATCAGAGAATCGATATGCGCCTGTATCTCGTATTCATTGCGGAGAACGTAATCTCTGGTGTGGTCATCCGCCTCATCAATGCCCGTGTTTTGTGCCTGTTCAAAGCGGCGCACCATAGCGTCCACGAAACCGTCAACAACATCATGTAATCTTGCTTCGATGTAGCAATAGATGCAGCGGAGCTCCTCTAGCTCCCAGGCGGTCATACGATGGAGATGGAAGCGACATCAGAAGTTGGCCATGTAGTCGTGGACCAATTCTGGGGGAACAACCGTCGTCAAGCCTCGAATCTGAGGAACGCACGTTGAATGCGAGTTTGCTCGCACTCTGAGATACTTCTCGAATCCAGCACTGTTTCTGAGCTTGTACGTCCGCCCATGGATTCTTTGGCTTCGCTTAGGATATATCGAGTATAGTCCTTGACGAAGAAATCCATCATTGGGAACAGCCGACAGAGAGGAATAGAAGTCGACAAGTCCGGAAGGGCGTCGTGGTCGATGGTACTAGGTTCATGGTCTTCGAAAAACGTTGTAAGATGTTCAAGCTGTATTTGATGCCATTTTTGGGCGATTTGCGTCTCGTTCCACCACTTTGGGTCGTCCCGTAGTAGTGCTCAAAAGTTGCTGGAATAGGTTCGGGATTCAGTCATATCAGTAACGTAGGTACTGGAAATCTTCGATGTATCGAACGCGAGGCGGGCTTCTGTGAATACTTCCGGCGCGAACGATTTCCGAGCAATAGTTCCAAGAGCAAGTGACTTGTAACGCGTAAAGACTCTGTAATAGGAGGGACTGGCTCGAATGAGGGAATAGAGGTCTCTCACTGACGACGCTTCTAGTAGTATCGTCAGGGCCAGATCCATGGGAAGAGATTCCAACGTCGCCATGTTCGATGCTGAGGGGATGACATGTTTAAGAATTTAGGAAGACTTCGCCGCTGAAGCTGCCGCTACTCCGATTCCCAGCGTCTTGCAAGAACTCTATATACCAACTCTTGTCCAGGCAGCAGCTGTTACACCTCTCACTTCGCCTGTGAGCCGACATAATCTCCACTCTAGTGCAAAGATGGAACCCGAAATATTTCGGACCACTACCGAGAGTAGCGGTAGTCGCAACGCCTGACCCAAATTAGCGGTGATAAGTCCGAAGGTGGGTGTAGTTGAGGTGATGTAGTTGAGATGATGTAGTTGGGATGATGAGTTGTGCACATGGAGGTGGGTTTTGGATTGATGGCTTGATCGATTTCGGCATCGGCCTCATAAGGTCAACCATACCTGAGATTCTGCATTGAAATATTAGACTTAATAGGCTAAAGAGGAATCGGAAGGACCAGAACTGTGTGAGCTAATCAGGTGCTGAGATGATCCGCGGATGAGAAGTTGCAGGTATCATCTCTCCACTATGGGACTTCTCTGTAGCCCGTCGTAAGCGGCTCAAAGTCCTACCTGAAGCGGTGTCAATATCCGAATTTTGTTATGGATGGCCACAACACATGGACCCTGATCATCATCTTCGCAAGTCCAGACTTGCAGTTCCTGCGCCAAGAGCCATATCCACAACCGTCCCATGGTCTCAACTACAATCGCTACCACGAAACCACCTGCACTCTGATTTCTCTTCATATAAAAGCCTCTGTACACCGCACACTCGCTACGCCCCACCTTCACCCACCACAATGCCTGATAAACGAAGACCAACCTCTGACGAAACCAAACCGACGCTTCCAGCCCAGCTGCGACAATGGAGCACTTACTTCCCAGCTGCTGCTACACCCTAGGCTCCCTCACGGACTCCCAGAAGGCAGAAATCAAAGCGGAAGCTATCGGAGTGTGCTTGAAAAGCATGAAACCGGCAGGTGCGAAGCCAGAGCCAAAGGAAAGTATCAGGTCGACTAGGACGCTGGAGGAGATACGGGAGATGAGAAAAGAGATGGCGAAGAAAGAAAGCCTTGACAGGAAGCGCGCTGGGCAACTGTCCGCGAGAGAAAAACTCGAGAACGAGCTGGCTGAGGTGGAACAAGCCGAGCGTGAAATGGCTGAGAAGAAATTCGACAAGCATTTCCAAAAGGAGATCCTCGAAGAGGAGTTGACTAAGATAGAGCGAGCTGAGAAAGAATTAGCTAAGAAAAAGTGGCCAGAGTGCAATGAAGAGGACAAGATCGAGTCTGTGCTGCGTATGCTCAAGGAGGAGTTGGCTAAGATAGAGCGAGCTGAGAAAGAATTAGCGAAGAAAAAGTGGTCAAAGTGCAATAAAAAAGGACAAGATCGAGTTTGTTGCGCTGTCGTGTCTATAAGAAAGACAGAGAAGAAGCGTATCGACAAGGAAGATGGTGAGATGAAGATGCTAGGGATGGTGCTCTATGGCAAGGAAATGGTTGAGGAGCAACTGGCTGAGCTGAAAGAAGAGAAGTGGATCGACAGGGAAATTGCCGAGATGGAGATGTTGAAATAAGCAATTCACTACAGAAAACAACGACTGATCGACAAATTGTGGACGATGCATAGGGGGGTTGCGGAACTGGGGGATGACGTGTTCGGTGCTCATATGAATGCTTGAAATGAAGTACTTGCTTGGAGGACCTGGGTGCGCCAGAGTGGTTGCACTTCAATTGAATTAGTACGGCCAGAAACTGAATTAGCTTATTAGCAGTGGATGAAATAAAGAAATGGCAAAGACAAGACGATGAGCGCTCAGCAATCATGAGGCCCGAGAACAGCATAATGAAATTCTAGGATGAGTGCGCCTTTGCTAACCAAGGGCAATAGATCCGTTTCCCAAATCCATCCACCAGCCTGATTGGCCTAGCCAGCCGATTCCGATGCCCCAGGTTTTATATCCTTACAAACTCCGTTTGCGATTACTGTACAGGTGGTCCCTTATGCGATTCGATCTATCCCAAGTTCATTATGTCGTGTAATATTCAAACATTCAACCCTCTTTCAACACTCGCTCGAAAGTGCAACGCTTGGCCAACGCTCAATGCTTCTGCTCTTGATACTTCTTCTGGGTCATTACCCACTTCATCTTGTCGGCAATTTGCCTCATCTCCTCGACCAGACCATCTGCAGCAGCTTCTTTAGTTGGGACAGCGATTCGAAGTTGTCGCGCTTCCGCCACCAACGCTTCCAAGCCCTGCTCGTGCTCTTTCCTGTAGGCTGCGAGCAAATCCGTCATGCTGTGCTCGGACCTGAGAGCTTTCTCGCACTCTTGGGCTAATTGGTCGCCGACGATGGCCTGTTTCTTGATTTTCGCGGCATCGTCGGCGCGTTGCTTCTTCAGCGCGGCCAAGTCCTTCGCCATGCTCCGCACCTTGTGCTCGTAGGAGTCCTGGATGCGCTTGAAACCAGACTGGGCAGCCTCTGCGTGTGTCTCGGCTTGTTGTTGGAGCGTCACGGCCTTCGCCAGTTCCCGTTGTGTCTCAGAGCGCGTCTCTCCGAGAATCCTGCTCATCTCGGCCTCACGCTCCTCGGCGGCGATGCGACGTCTTTGCTCGGCCTCCAGCGTAGCTTTGAGCTCTTCAAGCTTCCGGTCTTTGCGCTCTAGCGCTCTGGCGTTAGTATCGGCTAACACCTGGAGATGCTGGTGTTCTGTCCGCGAGTCCTCGGCCTTCGCTTTGGCAGCGCCTAACCTCCTCAAGTCCTCCTCCCGCGCCAACTTCTCAGCCGTCAGATCCCGTCGTAAGCGGTCATTCTCGGCTTGTAGTTTGTCGATAAATTGGGAGGTTTTGGTGTTATTCGAGTGCGGGTTCGTCTGCCAGGGTGATTTGCCTTGCGATGACTCTGGGGAGGTCGCGGTATCGATTCGGATGGGCCCGGAGGCGTTTCGCGGCGATGTGTGCATGGCGAGGAAGCCTCCTGGCGGCGGCGATGGACTTGGTGAGTTGTTCAGAGCTTCTTGAGCATTCCACAGCCCGCTCATCACATAGCTCCCGGAGGCGAACAGGTCGAGTTGCGGCGGTTTCGATGACAAGGGTGGGGACGCTGAGTCGCGGGTATTGTTAGCATGAGAAGATGTTTGGTGAAATGTCGCAAGGTAAGGTATGTCGACGGACTCCGATATGGGCTCGAATGAAGGTATCGGAGGGAGAGACGGGCAGGGCCGTGGTTTGTTTTGAAGCCGGGCCTGCCCTATTATTGGCGGCTTACCGTTAGACTGGGATCGCAGGCGCCACTTGAACGCCAGTGGAGACGTTTTCGACACAGGGGCTGAGAACGTCGCGCTCTGTTCAGCAAGCGGCTTGCTCTTCGGAGTGGTGGGTGCGCTGGCGTGAGACATTTTGATGCTGTACAATGCTGTGCTGTAGAGACTGTGGGTGTTGTGGATGGCAGTAAGGAGTATTAAAAGGCGAGATGGAGCTTCAAGCTTCAATGCTAGGTCGAGGCTGGTTGTATAGTGTTGCAGTTGTTGGCGCCGTGCAGTGGGCTGCAGGTCGAGGAAGAGTTTCCGTGTATCAGCGTGTAGAAAGGTACAGAGTCCGTAAGTAGCTAATTGGAAGGCTAACTATCTGCGAGGTGGTGAATGTGTCATCTCGATGTCCGTATGCATCCACGCGTAGTGAAGGCAAGCTGTCCACGGCGTCTCGAGACCGTCATGTCTTTACGCCATCTTGCAATGTGTGGAAGGAATTCTGATGTTCTACGTGTGTCGGCTGCTGCATGTGTGGAATGGTCAAATGGAGAATGACCAAATGCAGGGCAAGTCATGCCGCAGGCGAATGGTCTGGCGATCTGTTGCGTGGCTCCACAGGACTGTGGGGATGAGGTCTCGTTTACCTGGCAACACTGGAGACCCTGAAACTCTTGCTGTCTCTCCCTATCTCTCAACGGTGAGTTGAAACCTTCACCTTCGATCTCTAAAGGCCCATGACATGCCAGGTATCGTGCCGTGGGCGCACAGCATAACCGCCCGTTTGAAGAGAAGCAGGAGGGAATGCACTGCAGCTGAGCGACTGCTGACACCTATGCGTTTCAGCCCTATCGAGATAGACTACTATGTATATAAGATTATCAGATCATCGTCTGCTGTATGCATCTCGCAGACACACTCTAGTATGCATTTTCTTCCGTCTTTGCCCGCCAAATTTCCTTGCGAATCCTTCTCCAAAAAGACCGATAAGTCTCTCTCCCGGTCGACCATTTATTATCGCCATCAGCATACAGTTTCTTTTACTATTAAAGGGTTGGATGTATTGACCTTGGCATTAAGAGCATGGGCGATGATCTTAGCGTCTAGACAGAGTTCGCGCGGTCTGTGACTGATGAGAGTGCTGAAGACCCGGGCACGTATTCTCCAGCGCAGGGCTCAGTACATTACCAAGTCACCCGCAATCCATAATGAACGTAGTCTATCCTTGGCTGAATACTTTGAACCAAGAAAAGCGGTGCCATTCCCAACACTTTAGCATGATTCTTCCTTGTGATTTGGTAATTCTCTCCATATAAAAACAGGCGAGACCTCGTGGATCTCGAGCCGTTGCAGAGGGCTATGGTACCTATATAGATCCTTCACTCCGCAGGTAAGGGACGCCATTTCGTCATTTGATTAGCAAAGCTGTGCTTGTGTTGTCACCGCATTATGTACCCTCCAAACCGAAGTCGCCGTCTCTGACTTCTCTCAAACCTGTTTCTATCAAACTAGCAAACACGTCACAAATACTAATCTACACTCCTTGTTTTCTCTCTTTCTATTCTCTACCCAACTACAAACGTCCCCCCCAAAGACCGATACCTCTCCACCTCAACAAACCCGCCTACCACACCCAAAAATTTCTCTCACACCCTCCCTCATCCCCTCCACCGTCGTCTCCACCGCCCTCCCCTCAAGCACTCAAACCTGTCCCCAATCCATCCCCGCCATCCCCGAACCTCGCCCTACTTGCACTCTCTCCAACGAAGCCAACGCAGCCAACGCCACCTCCGCCTATGACGACCTTGACGTCTGCTACTTCGGCCAGCCCATCGTCGAGTGCAGCGGCAACTGCGCCGCGTACTGCTTCGCCCAAGAGCAGATGGTGAGGCACTTGACTGATTGTGTTGGCCGCCGAGGGAATACGCGAGGGATTTTTTGTAGTGGGAAAATGTCGGCGATGGGGAATGAGAGCACGGAGAATCAGGGGGGGCCGAGTACGGGGGTGGGGTACCGGAGGTGGTGGTTCATGGGAGGGTCTCGAAGGGGACGGTGGTGTTGTTACTAGAGACTGGGGCGGGGATGTTTTCGTAGAGGGTTCTGAAAGCGTGAGAGCTTCGACTGCTTTAAGAGTCTCATATTCAAAAAACATCGAGGCTTCCCTTTGATACTGGGGGAAACGAAAAGCCATCAGACTCGTTTTGGTCGAGCTTGACTGTATTTGATTCAGCGTGAGCGCTGGAAGCCGCCCTCGAAAATATCCCCGAAGTGAGTCTTCCGACAGCTTGACCGATGCGGGAGTAATGGAGACCCCAATTGTATGCCCGCCCGTTCACGTGTCAGTCATAGAGCACGTTAGACTATGGCAATATCAATTGCCTGGGAAAAGAATTGCTCCAGCCCGTTGTAATATTCTATCCTCGCTCGGCAGCAATTCTCACAGCTTCCGTGCCCGGATTGGGGGGTCTAACTGGGCATCTCATGAACCCACGAGTTATTGGAAGGGTGCTCTATATAAGCTCTTAAACTAGTCGCGGTCCAGAATAGGCTCGGTGTCTTTCTCGTCGCACAAATTGCGTTTTACTGGTAAGCTCTTAAATCCGTGGGATAACTCCCACTGCGAGGAGAGCCAGTGCGAACCTTCAACGACCCAAAGAGCCCGACGTCCAACTAGTCTGAGCTATATACACACTACAGCTATAATCAATTGACTGAGATGATATGATATCCTGATGACCAGTTATATTGCTAAATTGAACGGATCAGGAGAGGTAAGATTTAGCGATACTGCGAATTATGCAGTCATTGCGCACGAATCGAGACCTAGAATGATTATAAAAGTTTATCCGCAACTTGAATGAGATTGACTAAGACTGCGGCTGGAGCCGTTAAAGAGACTCGTGATAGCAATTCTGTCCATCGGATTTTTGCTATTCGAGGCCACGTAAGAAATGGTAGGAAGACTAACGGAAGGGTGTGTCATATTGGCAGAATATGGAACTAAATGCTGTACACGACTGTTAGATGTTCTCATCCGAACGTGCCTTCATCTACCCCTTTCTGGGGCCCATTATCCTCCAACCTCTTTGTCTACTTCCGTCTCTTTTAATAACTTTACTTACGCTTCTTTCACTTCTTACATTTTCTACACTTCTCCCATTACTCCCATTACTCCCATTACCATCTACACCAATGCCATCACCACCGCAGCAACAAACAGAGCCCCAACTACACCGTCATAAACCGCCCACCAACGCCATTGCTAGATTACGAGACCTCAGTATCGGAGACCAGACAGCCACGGTGTTACGAAACTAGCCCCAACGCTGTGTAGCATTGGTTTAGTACTCTGGTGGTGTGCTATGGGTTTTGCTTTTTGCGACGTCTGCTACATGGAGTCCTGTGACCCCTGAGTGATTTGATGGAGGAGGGGATGTTGATATTGAAGTGGCTTGAGTCTGGCTCGGTATCGTTTAGGGTAAGTTGAGGATGTCGAGAGGACTGTGCGCTGGATTGAGGTTGAAGGGAAGTGCTGCGAGCTGCGCTGGCCGCCGATAAAGCCACTGGGATCCCGTCTGCGCGCCTTGGGGAGCTGCTCGCCCGCAAGACCTTGGGGGAAGCACCACCGTAGCGTGTGACGCGGGGTTCTGCGATGAGGAGTGGATCGTTCTAGGATCAGCTTTGCGAATTGGCGGTTTTGTGAGTTGTTGAGAAGTGATAGCATCGTCAATGACATTGAGGTTGAGGTAACGAAAGGCTAACAGGGGCGAATGATCTGGGTTGACAAGAGGAGATGGTAAGAATTCCTCAATCTCAATGCAACTTCGATCATTGCTATGAACTTATCCAACGAAAGGGTGTTGTTTTTGGTTAATGTTGCGCGATGTGTACGTCAATGCGCTAGCCAACAAACCGACTAAGCCTGTCTCTCCTAGCGAGCTGAGAATATAGGTTTCGAGTTTGGTATATCGTTATGTTACGCAACCCTTATCATGGTCCTCGGGTCGACCCTGTCGGTGGCTGTTGCAGATACGATACAGAACATCGTTATGCATGATAGTATATTTGCATACCGGAATGTTGGATAATAAGGATCATGGGAAGAAAATGGGATGCGATGAGATAAGATGAGATAAAGATATGTTAGGAAGGTAAATTAGGATTTATGAGCCCTGGAGTAGGAGATGTGTGCGTCTAAAAGGTGTATTTCAACGTCATGGAGAGTGCTTCAATCCCGTGCACGTTTGATGTACCACGAATCAGCAACTCACAACGATTGATTCTTAAACTCTTTTATTCGCAAGGAGTGCCTTGGTGTCCTACCCTCGTAAGCTCTAAAGGGGATATGTATGAGAACGCCGCCCAATGCCATCATAACTTCATCCCAGTCGCAATGTTCACTCGCACGTCGCCAACATCTTCCTCAACACCCCCATCAGCGTCCCATTCTCCAACGCCGCAGCCACCCTCTCCTTATCCCCCAGTTGCTTGTTCACCGCCTCGTCCGTGCTATGCGTGCCCTTTTTAATGCGGACATCGACCCGGAAACGCGGCGGCAGCGCCTGCTCCAAGCGCACCCTAACGCCTAATCCAATTACGGTTGCGAGCGAGCAGTGCGTGATAGTGGGCGTGATCTCAACGACTACTGTGCTAATGGGCGACTTCAGAGTCGTGGGGGGCAGAATACGGATGTCGGGGAGGTTTACAACGGCGAGGGAGCCGAGGGAGAGGGGGTGCTCGGGGTCCGAGATGGTGGAGATGAGATCTGGTTGGTGCGTTAGTCGGACCGTAGAAAAGTCTTCTTGAAAAGTCTTCCAGAGGGAGCGATGCGTGTTTTAGGCGAAAACGTAGAGGTGCGGTGAATAGTGACGGCCGAAACCGGGGGGTGACGCGGCGTACCGTAAATCTCTTGCTCGTCAATGTCCTCCACCACGTCGTCATCCGAGTCGCTGGCGGAGGCGGGCGCGTCGAAGGGATCGTTCAGGTAGGTGTATGCGGGGATGAGGTGGTCGAAGAGGCCGGTGCCGCCGTCGTCGCGCTTCTTGAGGGAGGCATTTGCGCGCCGCGACGGGAGATCCGAGGGGTTGAGGATGGTGGGGTTGGCGTTGTCCTTGTCGGGGTCCATGGTACCTTGGTAGTGAGAATGGGAGGATGAATGCCAGGAGTGAGATGTCACTGGCGGTGAGTGGTATGTAGCTGCCGGAAGCGGTAGTTGGGTCCTGAGGTGTGAGGTTTGAGGTTCGGCGAAAAAAAGACATTGAAGCCGTCTCAAGATCCACCCGCAACGCCACACACAGCACCAAAACTTGCGCCATGTGGTGGCAGGCAAGTCGTGCCCTCATTGGGTCGTCGCGTATACTGCCCGTTTCGAATATGCATCCACACCTTGCGACATCCTGTGGCCAAAGCAGGCAGTAAGACAGGATGACAGGATGACAGGAAGATTACTGATGTCAGCATCATGACAGCTTTGAGATAGGTGCGCTCAGAGTTTGTGGGGTAAGTAAGAGCCTCCGTCGCCATTGGTGTTGGCATCGGTAACAGGGCCATGGTCCTTTGTAGCTCTGCTTGGGAGCTCGCATACTGACTGTCCTGAGCACGCACAAATGGAGATTGTAGAGATATTTATAGAGTCTAAAACCGTCTTTCTTTCTTTTCCAGTCTTGATTATACATTTCACAAGAGTATCCAGCTCTTCTACCAATCATGAGGTTTTACATCCCGTTTCAAATCTCCCTTCATATACTGGGGGGCTTTAGACAGTGTCAAACGGGCGTAAATTGCTCTTGCATCCTCTGTATGAGCCATTGGAGAACATCAGACGGATTTGAAGCTTGTCTAAGCCAAGCAGAGTTAGTTTATGTCCTCCCACTCGCTGCGGGTGAGGAATGTCAGGGCGGGTCAAGGGGCTGCGGGTGAAGCCGCCGTACGAAAGCCTCCACAACGTGCCCGAGGAGGAGCAACATCCATGCCGGACCGGGGAGAGAGTCACGATGCATGGAATGTTCTCCACGACGCCCAAACGCACGTCTCACGGAAGAGGTCCGCAACATCAGCGGCTGGCGCGGGATGTTGGCGCTCCAGGCCTTGACCTGGAAAGCCACGCGCAGAGGTGGCCATCAAGTTGTTCCAGAAGAAAGCTACGCCGTGTATATACTAGGCGCTTCCTGGCGGCACAACGGCGCGATGTAGGCGCGCCAAGGCAGCGGCCTGATTTCTGATCCTGGCTGGCGGCAACATCCTCGTTTGACGTGCCCTTGCTGGCTCTTCTCTGGGACCGTTTTTCACGGATTCCACGTCCCCAACTTGGTGGAAGGGAGCAAGCGAGCAGGCCATCGAACCCGCCCCTGGGCCCGCACTGCGCTCAGGCACCGGCGTCGCCGAACCGGACACCCTCCCTGGTCGATGCTTGATTTCTGCTGCGAACCAAGGTGCTGGGAGGGCACCGATGCCGAAGGCCTGGAGGACTGCCGCGTCACATGTGCCGAACCCGCCCTGAAATCCTGACAAACGCCAAAATCAATCCCACCACTCACAATATCCTCTCCGGCTACTGGACGAGCCGGCTCCCGCTGCGACCCTGATCGTAGAGATGGGTAACCTGGATGCGGTAGAGTCTGTAAGAAGTTCACGAGTTCGATATATTGAATCGCTCCAGCCCTACACACCACACGCGTATATAGTACCACCTATCACCACAGACATGGCTGCAGCGCTACGCACGCGCTCTCTTCGCAGTCGTCTCGCTGCGATGACGACGCCTGCGAGCCGCTCTGGCAACTGTAGCAGCCCCTAGCACTGTTGCACGTCCGGTCAGCCATGGGGCAACGCCGTTCACGAGATCGCCCTCAGTGTCCCGCTGCAGCGTTCGGAGTTAAAAGCGTCACATCGCCGCCTGGTGGGAGGATTGCATCAGCACGACGGGAAGGATCCCAACCCTGTCGCTTGGGGTGCATCTCGAGCTCGTATGCATGCACAGAACCCTTCTAGCGTGGAAATTGGCAATATTGTCAGACTATGCGTTGCGCGCGCTCACCTCACGATGTCTGCTGGGCCCATCTTGTTGTTTCATGCCGTAAACGGCGCCATGGTGTTGCACTCGTGGTCAGAGCCTGTTGAACGGCGTGGAGGAGTGGCCATGGTGGAGTGGACGTCCGATGCCGGCGATTCTCCCCCAGTTGTGCCGCCGAGGCCCTTTGCTTGCGGCAGGGATGGATGAATGCTCTGCTGGATGCTCGAGCCCGATGAAGGTCCTCTCGTCGACCTTATCGGACAGTGGTCAACGGATGCTCGATGTCTACCCAACGAGACGGCGAAACATTTGGCAGGAGACCAAACGCTGGACCAATACGACGGTATGGATGCGGTTGCGGGCCGCGATGTCTGATTGATGGTGCCTCGCAGCCTCAAACACGGCAGAAGAGATGGCCCACGCCGTCGCGCCCTCATCTTCAGGACCTGCCGTCCTGAGCGTGCCGGTGCCGACCGAGCAATGTGCAGATGCCGTATGAGAGGGTGGCGTGCCCCTTTCTGGGATGTAGAGTGTCCCCTCGGCCGATTCATTCGTACCAAGAAATCACGGGAGGCGTATACAGCTCGTTATATAGCGGCGAGGCGGATGGCGGCAGTGGTGATTCGCCGCGCCCAAGGCCTCGCGGTCTGGCACCAAGTGGGCAATCTACGGCCCTGGTTCGTCGATGCTGCGGGTCCCAGCAAGCGGGCAGACGGCGGTGCGAATATTGCGTGCAGGCCCCGTCGTGCCAACCACACCCAGGCCAGGCGTCAGGACGGGCATCTCGGGCCACGCATCGCGATCGCGGGCAGCGAGGTTGTTCAACGGCTCGACAACCGGAGCGCTCGAGGCCGCCTGTGCTCGCCGCCGCCACACCCCTGGTGGAGGCGCTCTTTTTTGACGTCTGCGCAACTCTGCGGCATGCACTCCCCACTACACTACTGCACCCCCCTCGAGCCTCTTGCACCATTAGCCCGCTCCCTCCATCGCATCGCAGTCTGCACCCGGCATCTGCTGCTGCTGTGCCGCTGGGCGCTGAGACGGTCGCCACGACTCGCCCTCGAGTTGAAACTAGCCTCGAGCTCCGTGGCCGCGATTATTATTCCATCCTTCGGCTTGGCCTCCCGCCCCTGCGCTGAGCCTTCAAGACACCCCACCGTTCACTGACGGCATTCTCCACCGTGCTCCTCCCAAGGGCCGCCGGGTGCGCTTACTGGCGCTGGCAGCCTGACTCTTGCGAGCTCCCACCCAGAGCCTTGCTGACGCTGCGTCTCTTTGGCCTCGTCCAGAGCCCGAGCATCTGATTGCGCCCTCAGGAGACGTTTGCGCCACCTGTGTACGCGACGAGCCACCAGCTGCCGCCCAGAAACACCCTGGCTCATCATATCACGTCCCCACTGCTCATCTCCAATGCGCGACGTCCCGAGACTGCCCAGCACAGCGGAGAATTTCACAGCGAACCGCTCTTCTACTTGACAGACTCGCGCCCCGGCCTCGCGTTCCCAGCTTTTCCAGCCTTGCGGATTGCCGTTACCGTTGGACGGGCGTGCTATCGATTGGCCTTGCCGCCCGCGGACCCCAGATCGCTTTAACCCGTCTGGCATAACGCACCGCTGCGCTCCAGCACCAAACCCCAAGAACAACACACGCCCCGAGAAGCCATCGTCTTTCCTCCGACCTCACGCCGTACGTCACTACCATGGCTGGCGAATCCGCCGGGCGCCCGTTGCTGCCCCAGACCGCGCAGATGCAAAGCTTCACCTTTGCCCCGCCCACTCTGGCACCGCGGGAGAACCAGAGAAGTACGATGACATGCCGCTGTCCCGCTGCTGTGTCGCTGACCTGGCCCTGTAGACTATGTCTTTGTTGACGAGCACAACCGTCACAAGCGGCTCAAGGGTAACTAACATTAATCTGATCTGCAGTACGCCATATTCTGTACTGATATATGACAGTTATGCGAGCCTGTGAAGGCTGCCGGAGGCGCAAGATCAAATGCGACGCTGCTACTACGAATGCTTGGCCATGCGCTGCGTGTATCCGACTGAAACTCAATTGCGTGCCGCCGACCGTGAGTTACGATAAAGACTACACACCCGGATCGCATACCTTTGAATTAGAGCGTCCCGAGTACGAATCCTCTCCCGTAGGCCAGGATGACTACCAGCGACAGCATGTCATGTCCCATATGGGACCCGAAATGGCGAACGGGCTACCACCTCCAGTTCCCGGAACATATGCCGACGGGATGAGGATGTATCAGACTGCGCCGTACATTGAACAGCATCAGCCGCAAGAGCACCTGCAATATTCGAGCATGCCTCCACCGGCAGTTGCAGGCCAAGACCTCAGTTATCCGCCTCAGCCTATGTACTCCGAACCACCGGCCGCGCCTATAGATTCTCCTGGTTCGGACGGCGTCTGGCGCAACGATAATACATCCAATCTGACTGACGCCCTTGGAGAATTGAAGATTGATTATACCGCCGTGGGTAAGTTGACATCTTGTGGCATCGGTGGTCGTTCCGGTCATCTAACAAACCCTAGCTCCATACATTGCGAACCAAAAGAAGTCCCTAGCCGAAGCTCCGGCATTGGAGGAGTATGAAATCCAGCTGCCACCGCAAAACAGCCTGGATCATACAGTTCGGATCCCACCAGAAATGATGCCTTCAGAGCAGCAAGCCCTGGACTATTTTGACTACTTCTTTACAAATATTCACCCTTATTGTCCTGTCATCAATAGGGCATATTTCTACCAGCAATGGTCAACTGCTCGGGAGTCCATTTCTCCGCTTATGCTTGAAGCAATATTCGCATGCGCATCACTAATGTTAGAGGAGCCTGGGGCAGGGAACAAGTGGCTGGCTCTTGCGTCGAGTAAGACTTTACTATGACTATCTTCACTTGGGCTGGGCTAACCCTGGCAGAGCACGAGGAGAGCTTCAGAGACGTGCCACGACTGAGCACTATTCAAGCCATGCTCCTCATATTGAAAGCTAGAGAATCTGTCCCACAGCGCGGGTATTTCTGGCGATCTTGGATGACGGTCGTGAATATGGTCGCAATGGCAAAAGAACTCGATTTAAACGAGCATTACGAGAACCACCAAATAGGCAAACACTGCGGTTCTTCGCTCCCTGACTGTCTGACGAAAACCAGAGTCTGGAACACTCTCTTCGTCTTAGAGATCATGGTTGGAGGACCTCAAGGTGGGTGGCCTAGTCAAACAAATTAGTCTGGAAACTGACAGCTTCAAAGGCAGGTCCGACTTTTCAGTCGATGTTGATACTGTGGATTTCAGCATTCCTAGGCCTGCTCCTGGACTTGATGATGCTGAGTATCAAGTATCACGACAGTTTGCTCACTACCTTCGGATTGTGAAGAACGTCCAATTCAGCACGGTGGCACACGCGAGGCTGAGGAAGAAGAGGAAGGACTGGGCCTTGGAACCCGAGTTCGTCCAGCACAACCAGGATTTTCCCATTTGGCTGAGGGAACTTCCACACGACCTACAAATTGCCTATCCTCCTGATGGATCTGCACCTTGGATTCCGTCTCATTTTGTCGCCAATCTACACTGCTACCATTTACTTTCTATCATAATGCACCACAGGCCCCAACTCCACATTCTTTCTGACTCTTTTGACGGCTCATGGAAGCAGCATATGATAATCTGCTACTCGGCAGCTAAGGACATGTGCAAGTTGCAAGAGGCGATTCTAAAGAACTACGGACTTCCTGGCCTGCTCTGTATGCAGAGAGGTATCAGCTTCACGATATATTCTGTGCTCACATGCACTATGCTTCACTTGGTAAGTCATCACATGCAAATTTACCTTCGTCCGCTCTAACGTCCAAGGTCGCAATCACGTCTCCAGACCCGGAGCTTAGTGGCGATGCAAGGGAGTTCTTCGTAAGGCACATGCGAATTCTAGAGACCTGCACGCCTTCCTGGCCCATGCCCGAGATGCATGAACAGGTCAATACCCTGCGACAGGCTTTTTCAGCGGATATCTCGAAAGCCTTCGCGCTCAAGCCTAGTTTTCCTTTCGGAAGTCCTCCGCCCCAGAGTAATTCCAGCCCTTTGAGTACCGATGACGCATACCGGTCTCGAGGTCCAGGCCAACAATCACCATTGGAGCAACCAGGTCAAGTCCAAGTCCAATACCATGCCCATCCTATCACCCCGCCGATTTCAGCAAGCGACTCGGACCCAAAGACTGACTCTCCCGTAGTTCAGTCTTTGGCCATGATGGCCGCTGGTCAGCGCACTCCCCAAACCTCGAACCAGATCCAAATGCAAGAACCTGTTCAATGGAACCCAACGAGGATATTTGAGTGAGTTTGAATATCCAAAAGATTCAGCCTACGTATCACAATGCTAACATGTTACAGTCAATGGAATGCAGCCTTTGGTACGCCCCCTCCAAGCACCTCGTCTCAGTCGTCCCCACCTCTAAGACCGCCGCCTCCAGGAACAGGATACGAGTCCCGGACGCCACAGGAAGCAAATCCGCCGCACTACCAACTCCCGGCTGTTTCACCCCATGTCGCCCAAGTTCCCAACGTCCAAGCTCAGCTGCCGCCGCCAGTGAGTTACGCGGCGCCGCCCAACGCGTCGTACGTCACACCGAGCATGTGGCAAGACGTTGTTGCTAGCTCTTTTAGTGGGGAAGGACTCAAACGACGATGGGACTATGGGAATTCGGGAATGATGGACCAGCCACAGAGCCATAAGAGGAGATAGGAGGCTTGTCAGAGACTATGACACCTCGGATAGCTTGCAGCCATTGTCCACACGTTTACAGCATTTTGCTGCAACATCGAACTCCTGATATAGTCCCAGGCTTTCGGTTCCAGGATCGATTCACGACTTGATGAATCCGACACCGCAATCTCGGCTCTTTCCCATGGCTATAGAGGAGGTATTAGCCATGGAAGTTATTTGTGACGCGTATAATATTGTTACGTAACAGATATCATTCCAGCTAGGGCTACGGTTCTAGCGAAGTCAAAAATGCGCAATGTCGAGTGAGAATGCGGCGACACTCGGCAAAACTTCATGGCCACGCTGGTCACGGAGCCGCTCTGACCGATTATTCTACACCAGATATATGGTGCAACACGCCATAACCAACTCGTGGTTGGACGAATGTAGACATAGGAAGCAAGTGTATGGAATATGGGAAGGTTTACGAACGAATGGATGATCCAAAAGGGCACATCATATCGCTCGCACGCACGCACGCCCAACATGTCTGTCTTAGTCTTTAAATGTTTTCATGTTTCAAAAGTTGGCATGCCCTGCGGAAGCTCTCGTTGGAAACGACGCTATGATGAATTTCTTTTGCCTTCCCCTTTGGGCAGATTCGGGTTTTTGTACAGTATTTTACTCGGCATACTGGCATGGAGAGTCATGGGATCGAGCATTGCGTATTCCCCTCCTTCAACGCATTTTCTACGCGTCATGACTATTATCGTCTCTAACTGTCGTGTCTGTGGCCGGCCTCAGACTCAAATCATCTAAATCTCGAATCTACGCATGGCTATCTCATTCAAACTTTTGACTTCAATACCGCATCCCCCGCATGCCCGCTTCGCTCGCTATGCCCTCCATAGCGTCCGTGCGAACTACGATGGTCCGGAGGCTCACCGTCAGCCATGCAGATAGTGCGCTATCGTACCGCACCCGCTTTCCGCGCGCACGAGCGTGGGCGTGTCTGGGGAATGCACTGCGCTGACGATGCGCTAGTATCTCTTACATTCCTGTATGTAGCGCGGCGGGTCATCTTCGTGCTTTGCCTCGCTTGTATGTAACCGGAAAAAGCACTTGATGGCGAGAGAAAACTTCAAACCATCCCTATCCTTAGGGTTGCTGGTCAAACGATAGTTCGCGATCAATTACCTTTGCACATGCTATCATTTTCCGTCTATCCTTGTATCTGATATACTTCCGAGAATCAGCCTCCCCCAGTCGCATGTAAGTACCCGAAAAATCCCACGATTCGACGCCCTTTCTCGCCTTACTAAATTTACACCATTCCATGTGTATCTCTCGACTCCGCGGACCAGAACGGCTAACCTGGTCGCGGCCACCATGCACCCGCGCCTTGGCAACAAACCCAGATATGTACAGTATCATATGTGCGGGAAAGGCTGTAGAGATCTAGAGCGCGCTCGGCCTGACATTTTCCCGTGTATCGTTGCTTGCTGAAATCGACATCATTTTATATTGGGGGATAAAGCTGCTGGGCTGCTGGGCGCTGGATTGCTGGATTGCGGCGTGGTATCACCAATCTTCTCTGTGACTGATCGACGCCGCATACATAACAATACATACTGACTGGAGGGCCCGCCCGGCCCGCAGTTTCACACCCCAACACCAACCCGCAGCTCTCTCGCGCGCATGATGGCTGGCTGGCTGGGCTGGGATACGCTAGCAACTGTGGAGTTTCGCTGAGCGGACTTTTGTGGGATGCCTTTTACGCCATGCGGGATGGGGTGGATGCGACGATCACTCCACGGACTGTGTTGCGACGGGGGGCAGCTGGGAGCGATGGGGCGTGAGAGGGCCGGCATGAGGAGCCGATAGCAGCCCTGCAGGGGAAGGCGAGAGGGGGCTGGGGTTGTGGGCAGGGGGTATGGGATCGGTAAGGGGTGGGTTGAGCTGGGGTTGGGAAGGGGTGGTGATGGGGCGAGTTGATGGTTATGGTCTGTGTAGAAGAGGGATGAGCTTGTAAGAGGATGGGGGATAAGGTGTAGAAAGTAGATATGTAAATAAGTTTGGGAGGGTGAGATGAAAGGAGATGAGGTTAGGCTAGCGAGGCATGTGATATTCACGTGACGTTGTACGAAGGTTGGAGTTCTCATTCCGAGAATAGCCATGGTGTTCAAGAATAGCCAATCAAACCGAGAAGGGTTTACTGTCCGATACTCTCCATAACTACTGCTAGGTGTTTCCATGCTATTCATTATCACCATTGTGGGGTACGTTTATAGTGGTCGCTCCTCACTGTTTGTTGATTGTCTCTACATTTGTTTGTAATTAGTGGCCGTATGTGAGCTCGCTATTTAGCCCTCTTCTTCGTTATCAGACTGAATTCTTCATAACCTTCGTCGCCGCTCAAGTAGCGAGACCCCAGCGTACCTTCCCACTGTATTTTGACGTCAACCCAGACTCAAACTTCGGGATTCTCAGGTATGTAGGTGCTCTCACATCTTGACGGGCTCAAATTCACACGTGAAAAGGCCAAGAGTATCCTCATACGAACCGCAAGTAAGAGATACTCGGTAAAGGGGTCAATGCAGTATGAAGCCACCATGTTCGATTCATGAGTTTACGGCAAATGTATGTACATTGAAGCATCTTCGTGTCCAAGATACAAGAAACCGTCAACTCATCAAGCAGAGCCTCATGTCTAGAATTCCATCCTTACACATATGAAAAGAGCAGTATCAACTACTCTTGGAAAAAGGGAAAAAAGGACAGACCGAGATATAGATAAGAATCGAAAACATCAACTCATCGACCGGGCCATAGCAGTAAGTGTCTACTCCGCCTTCTCGTTGCGCCAGCCCCTCCGCATCTGCCGCTTCGATAGCGTACTCAGCGAGCCACCGACACTGCTGATGAACCCGCTGTTGGCGTAAACCTGACTCGCGTCCCAGATCATGACTCCGCCGAAGCTGCTGTACTGGGACGAGTAAGTGAGAACCGCAGAGAGATTGTCGGGCGCGATATAGCCTGCGCCGGCGCCGGTGTTGCCAGGGACGCCGACGAGAACTTTCACGGCCTTGTTTTTGGACGTGTTCTTGGCCCAAGAATCCCAAGTGTTGAAGTTGTAGTTATTTTGATCGGCGGTGCCGGCGACATAGGAACTGACTCCGCAATAGTTGTTATAGAACTGAATGAAGACTGCATCAAACGAGACAGATCCGTCAAGCATGGGGTCATCTGCAGCATCTGGAGTAGAGAATTAGCGTTAAAGCTTCTTTGAAACGAGTTGCTTCATGCAATACGTACCTGGGTAGGGGCATTGCGGTGCAGCTGTCAGGAAGTACTTCTTCCCGCCGGTCGAGTCCATGTTGGAGCGTAGTTGGTTACCGAAAGCAGGCATATTACTAACCTGGGATTCGAAATCGAAGTCGAAGCCGTCAATGACAGCGGAGCCAAAGGGTCTGAGGATGCTGGAGCCAGACTGCTGCGGGCCGAACATTGCCCAAACCTTGTTGGCCATTGAGACAGCGGCGTCTGAAGAGCTGAAGCCGCCCTCGGTATAGGTAGCTCCTCCAACGGAGAGGAGGATAGTCTTGCCGTAGGTATTCTGGCAAGCTGTGATGTCGGCCCTGACAGTTAGGTGTTAGTCTGCTTTGGCGAAGTATAAGTTCAAGGACTTACTCGATCTCCGGGCAGCTAAACAAAGAGGTGCCGTCAAACAGGGTGCATTTGTCACCCTGGTTGGCGAAGTTCAGCACGGGCTGGCCACCATTACCGTTGAATTGGACCAGGAACGACATAACGATCGTCTAAATAGTGGTTAGTAACGAAGCGCGGATGATGACGGTATACATACGTCGACATTGGTATCTGGGATTAAGTTAGCTTCGTCAACTAGATAAATCACCTTCTAGAAGGATGGGAAACATACTTTGACAGTAGTAGGATAGACGCTGCTGGGCGAGGTCTCCGGAGCCCTGGCCATAAGAGTTCTGGCCTGGCGAAGTACTTGCTTAGCGTTGATGTATTGGCAAGTTGAGAAGAGCATCCTACCCCAGTAGAGGACCATGTTCTTCTTCGAGTTCATGTCGAAGCCAGCGGAGGCGAAGCTGAAGCAACCCAAAAGGGCACCCAAGAAAGCGATCTTCATCAAGAAGATCATGTTTGCTAAAGGAGTGTGGAATGGTTCCTGTAATTTGAAAAGGAGTGACTAGACAAGCTGACTGTCTAGAAAGAAGGAAGCACTGGATTGAGGAAAAAGAAAGTGAGAAGGGTAGAGAACGAGACTTATATACCGTAAGACTTCAAGTGGCCGGGTTATTGGGGGCCCGTATAGGGCGAGGAGGAAGGTGTCACCGATTCTGGCCGAGTGTATTCGACGTTCCATGACTACCTCTATCACTAGTGTCGTATCCAGTAGCAACGAAATACGTGGCAGCTACCGTAGCTTGACACTAACATTATCATCCTCAATTAGCCTAACTTATCCGCCATTTACTCCGCCACGTACTACCTTTTCAACATCGTTACTTCCACGTATAAGGATTTGCCACTCATTATTATATTCACTTGCTATATAGACTTGATTCCAGGTAGAGAACACAATAAGGAGCTTGCAAATATACTCAGCGGTGAAGGTTTGTTGATGAATAAAATGGACGAACCCTTGAGGAAGCCCGGAGGGCGCTCCGTCGAGGATGAGGACCAACGCAACCGCCATGCGACCCGTAAGGGGCTACGGGTCGCATACGCATCACAGATCTCTCGTGGGCCTATGTAACCTGTATAGATGCATTGACCTTGAAAGGCTAGGAGTCCTTTTTTGGTGGAGTTTTATCCATAAGCGATTAGCCTTTGTGGCGTTCGGCCACTCAGGTACGCCCTATAGCCGAATGTACGTTAAGGCTAGCTGTTCGGCGGCCTGCTATAACTGCTGTGTGATTCGGCAAACTGGAACCGTCCATATGCGATTCCAGATTGCTCGTGGTGATGTACTTCAGGGTACCATCCTACACATGGGCGTGCCGTACCGCTGCAAGGGCATCCAGCAATCCTACTCAGGCCCTACCTCGGAAATAAAGGTGATCTGAGCCTTGAGGCTTCGCGTTATCTATTAGTGATGCAACGTTGAAGTCGCTATTCCATAGGGGCCATCTCGAGTATATTGAGGAAATGATCGCCATTTCTCCTTCAGCCTTGCCGGAATCCGGATCAGCAGATCTGCTCCGCGGGAGGATCCTGAGTATCGGCGGGGGCTAAGAGGGGCTAGGAACGGACCGAGAGTTTTAATGAGTGAATGTGAGTTTCCTCTGGCCCAAAGCCTAGAAAATGCGAAGAATGAGGCTCAAGGAGAAATGATGAGAATAGAAGCAACGATATTGAGCTCACATAGGAACAACGACGGCGAGAGCGGTTTTTCCATGAATGGTCGATAAAAGCATGTTGAAGGATCACAGCGAAGATAGGAGAGACACGCTATCACGAAGTCATGGGGTCTGAAAGGGGTCGAAAGTGTTTCAAGCACAACAACCAATAGGAATACGGACAAATTGCGGACATGTACAAATCCAACAACATACGCCGACTGCCGTTGGGACTTATCAGGGGTCATGGTATAACGAGATAAGAGGGGGAAGTTTAAATTAACAGCACCTCACAACAGACCCCACACATCCTACCTTCCTTAATCGGCCTGCTTTGATCCTGGGCGGGTTCATGAAGCTTCACAGGAGCTCATGATCGACTCATCAACGACCCATGGGTCGTTTGATCTGGCATCGATAGACAGCACCCTCCCGGTATAGGGCCGGACTCTTAGGGTTGTAACAAGCCGAAGGATGAATATTTGGAGCCGTGTAAATGATCACCTGCATTCGAAACGCCCCGTTTTGAATGGGGTGGGCATTTTCTAACGTGGGTGGTAGACAACTTGGATCTAGTAATCGTGAGGGCTTGTAGAGTTGCATCGACAAGGTCGAAATAACAGCGTAATGCCATGTTGTAGCACCGGCTGCTTCAAGGAGTCATCGGCGGCTACGGTACCTTGGCAGCCATCCGCCCGATTGGAGATGTGGGAGACTATTACCAAACTCAAACATATCCCTTTTCATCAAAAGAGGGTAGTCATATTTCCGTAGAGATAACGAAACATGTCGCTGAAGCTGTGAATGATGAAGAAAAGAAGTTGCAGGTCGTCGGCTGAACTTTGTTGAAGCGCCGAAAAGATCTGCGTCATCCATCCCGTTGTGCCGTCATCTCTCTCTTATACACTTGACATCATATTACGACTCTCGTTCTGTATCCTATACTTATCCAAATGATGAGCGAAGGACACGGGGTCTTATGTGTGATGATTAAAGGAACAGCAATAGCTCGTTGGCCCTGATACGCGATCCTTATCCAAGGGCAGAGTTGACACCAACGCCTGCTACAAACCGAACGTTTCCTGTAAGTTTGCACAAGTATTCGTACTTACGTAGGTCTGTTCATTCTTCGTGCGTTAATGGCCATGAAATTGGCATGCCCTTCTATCAATGTACATGAACAGTTTTCGCCGCTTATGAGCTTCCATTTTCCTTTAATCTTTTCATATCTTAGAGCTACCACTTCTCTACATCGCAATGAAGCTCTATAGAGGTATCTTCGCTGTCGGTCCACAGTAGAGATGAGACTGAAATCCTCCTCTCCTCCGCCAAAACTCGTTTCCTTCGAAGCTCTCCGAATGCGGCGTCTACGAAGGTATAGGAAGGGGTGTTGTTACAGCGTTATGAGTCCTAAAATACTGATGAGCATTCGATCTCCAGATAGTAATAATTCTGCGAGCGGATTCACTCGTGAGCTGTCGTCTCGAGCCAGAAAAAGACCCCCAGAAGCAGAATGCAGGTTATGATAACCAAGCAGACGACGCCTATTACGAGCAGGTCATGCCGCTTTTGTGCTTGATTCCTGTTGCCGAGGAGAGATGTATGCTCGTTAGCGCAGGTGCAGGTACGGATGCAGGCGTGGTGGGCTTTTCGGGAGTTCCTCTCCAAATCGTGATGAGAATCGTAATCTAGCGGCGGGGTGTCGAGATGTGGGTAATGGTAGTCTAGCGGCGGACCGCTGTGGAAAGCGCTGTCGAGCATCGCTTTTATAGTGTCTTGAAAATGGAGGGAGCTACAGACGGTCAAAATTTGTGGTGGCTTCACGGATGGATGGAACCGTGGATGAGAACTGTCCTTATGACTAATTTTAAACATAGGAACAACCATGGCATGCCACAAATGAGAGAAGAGGAGTTCGTAATACTGGATGAAGCTCGTAACTTTGTTATCGTATGCTTCCATGCAGCCTTTTACACTGCAGCCATTCACGACTGTTTCGATCGCTATGAATTCAGTGCCTCGTCATTGATCCATGTACACTGTTCTGCCACTGCTTGTGGTGCTCCAACATATTGATAGAAACTTGAAGCAACAAACAACATAGGTAATTGTGTACTTCCATCAGCCACTGCCTGAGGTGGCCCGGCAAGCTTATTAAAGATTCCGATGAAGAAGGTTCAAAACTTCAAAAATGTATTAAAGAGCTTCAAGCAGCGGCATACAAGTGTACATTGTCGAAGCCCTGGCGTACCAAAGGTCCACATACCCTCTATCTATTCTCTCTATACAGGTCTTTGGATTTCTCTAAGGTATCCTTGATCTCCTCGTGGTCCTCATCTCTCGTAGTCCTCATCCAAGGGGAACTCAACCTCTCATACTCCATCTAGCCCGCGTCTCGGCCTCCCCCTCTATACTCCCAATTCCAACGCTCAACTACTACAACATTAAGCGCTATGAACCGAGACCTGGGAAGGCAGTATGCGGCCTCTGGCCGTACCCATCCTCCAATTCATGTAAACATGCATCTAGGAGCGTGCGAACTAGAACATCACCATTAGCACCTTGCCCTCCCAAGGATCTCTTGAGCGCAACCTACCACTCAACTCCTTCCCCACCACGCCTTCCTAACTTGTCACTCCCATCTCCCAACCGCATTTCCTTCCCAGCCAATCCGCCTAGTCATCCTCGTCGAACTCCCCTTACAGGTAGGATGATCCCCATACTTCAGATAATACGGCACTGGCGGTTCCTCAAACTTTACCCTCGCTATTCCCGCGCTATCACCCGCCTCCATGCTCTCCACAGCAGCACCAATATCCTTTAGCCCGTCCTGTCTCCCCCACCACTTCCCCATCACCCATCGCGTCACATACCACCTCAACACCGGCAGCTTGTGGTATAGGATATACCCGTACGTCCCTAGTTTCCGGAGATGCTTCTGCTTCGGATCGAGGGGGTCGAGACCCAGGAGGAAATTCAGATAGGGAGCGAGATAGGGGCTGGGGCGTGCTTCGCGATATCGGTACAGAGAGCAATAGGCGCATTGACAGAGGAGAGGCGGAGGCGGCGCGTTGTTGTAGGGAAAGGGTGGGATTTGGATGCTGCTTTGTGATGTCATTTATGATGGGCGGACCCCATGTTTGGCGGGAATATCTATCCATGGGGCGGTTGGGCTTGAGGATGAGGTGGTGAAGGGGTTATTGGGGGGAGATGAGATGAAGGAGATGGAATAGAAGTGTGCGCTTTTTGCATTGAGGGTTTCTGCTCGCTGTAAGAGGTCCGGAGCTTGTCTTAGCTGGGTTTTCAGTCCCAGAGTTCTATTCCTGTCGTTTGGGGTGGACGTGCCATGGTTATGCTTTACTGGTAGCCAATGACGATGTGGAGATTTGAGGTTCACTCTCATGGTATGGCAGAGCTTACATGATTGGCAAGCTTACAGGTCGCTCAAGACTATCCATTCACAAAGAGTTTGGATTCTTGAAACATATTGAAGGGCTTCACACAACGACGCCCCAGTGTATGCACTTATCGCCGCGTACTCGCGCTTAGAAGGAAACCAGAACTTTATTGTTTTAGAATCGGCATTAGCCTGTCTTCTCCTTTGCTGGGGAGATATTCATTTTCGCCATGCGCCGTGACCCTTCGTCTCTTCGTGGGTATATGTCGACCTGTGGATCATGTATTCTCTCTGATCGTCCAACCTCACGCCTAGACTTCATTCGTACGCCTATCCACCCTCTCATGCCGCCTTCTTGTCCTTCGCTGCAGTTGCCTCCCTTCGAGATGCATCCTCCAACAACGCGGTGTCGACAGCCGAGCTGGGGAGGTGTATGTAGCGGACGACGCTACCGCGGATGAAGAGGTTCTTGGTCGATGACTGCCCTGGTTTTAGCCCAAATCCCACATGGCCTCCTCGCACCAGCTCCACCCAGAATATTCCAACCCTTCCCAATTATAGCGCCTTCAAAGGGGACAGGAATCGCGAACTCTCGCGACAATTGCCAACCTACCAAATGCGGCCATCTAATCTCCTCCACCACTTGAATATTATCCAGCTTGATGTTCAAGAACTGGTCGACGCTCTTTAGCGTGCCGCGGATGCTGATTTCGTTCTTGAGCTCCACGGTGACTTCATGGTCGATGAGGGTTTTGAAGAAGCTGCATGCGCGTTAGTACTCGTGCTAGAAAATAAGAGGAATCCGTAGGCGCGTGAGACGAGACTTTGTACTCCAATGCTTCGTGGTGGGGTAGGATTGAGAAATTTGTGGAATCGGGTTGAGTAGGCGTGCCCGGACATAGCGCTTGGGAGGTCAGGCAATGGGTACGAACCTAAAGAAAAGCATCTTGAGTGGCGTTGACGTTTACGTCGAGGAGTCGCAGGGTTTTGGTGTTGTGGTAGAGAGAATGAGGACATGGATGAGGTCAATTTGGACGCTTGGACCAAGACGGCGAGAGGGTCACGTGAATGCCACCAAATCGAGTAAATTGTGGCTTTGCATAAGTGTTGAATGCAGAGTGGCTGAGATGACTTCCGCACGGCTGAGGCCTTCGACAAACGAATATGGCAAACATTTGCGAATAGGCTCCGATTTGGAGTATGTTTTCTTGACTTTAGGGATTGGACGTAGTTTCTAAGTAGCTGGATTTCAAGAAGTGGTACAAAATTGTTTCGATATCTATAGATAGGTCTCACTCCATCCTATCTATCCTCACTAACCTTCAAAAGTAGAGACCGTCCCACCAACTTCTCTCCCTCCCCTTGTAACAAGGCTAACAATAAAAGCCATATGAAAAAGATCAAGACCAGGACTTGATGGACTGGATCGGCTCAATTATCCTCGGCGTAAGATCAATCAACGGATCCATCCCCGGTTGAGGCACCGACGTCCCGAATGTGGGTATGTTGTCCTGAATAAGCGGCATCCTCTGGGCTTTCCCATCTACCAACGGTACCGAAACTTCATATGAGTACAATATGTATGCAGTAAAGGAGAGAACCTGGCGATTTGCAAACGCCTTCCCGGGGCAGAGATTCGCGCCACCACCGAAAGGCCGATACGACTGATTACTTGCCAGACTGTTGCCTTTTGAGTGCAAAAATCTTGTCGGGCTGAACTTGGCGTGGTCGGATCCCCACACATTTTCGTCGTGGTGCAGTTGGCCAAATGGCACCAGCAGCATGTTTCCGGGTTCGAGAACCTTGTCGCCGAATTTGGTTTGAGCTTCGATTAGGCGGACTGAGTAAGAGACAATGTGAAGACGGCAGACTTCACGAAAGCAGGATTCGAGGAGTGGGCAGTTCTGAACGATGTAGGTTGTGTCAAACTGGCCATCTTTGAAGGCGGGAAGTATCTCTGCGCAGAGTGCGGAGCGGAGATTGTTGTCGAAGAGGATGTAAGATAGGAGCCAAAAGGCGGTGGCATGGACATTGGCGAATGCACTACGGAAAGTTAACCAAGGCTGAGAAATGAATAGAGATGTTCCTTATGTACTTACGCCTCATACAGGACGCTTGTCAGCGCCGCGGCCGAGCGTGCATCCAAACCGGCCAGTTTCTGAGCTTCGATCATGTTGCGAATCAAGAACGATGCCTGTGAAGTCTCGGCCGGATCTAACGCAGTAAAATGCTCTATCGCATTTAAAATGCGTTCATACGAATTATAGAAGTCCTTTGCAAGGAACCTGGGATATCGGTAGATCAGACACCAAAGTCCGTCAGCGAAGCCCAGCGTATGCCTAGCCATCTCCGGCTCCAGGTCGAATATCACCTCTCCAAAGAACATTTTAGCAATTCCGCGAGCAAGAGTGCGGTCGAGGAGGTCTCGAACTGTGAGGCGGCTATGGCTTCCATATGTGGTCTTGTAAGCGAGCTGTGGCCATGATGCGGTTTCATGAAGCGTACGGAAAAAGACGCTGGAAAGTTCGTCGACTTTGTCAACAGCTAACTGTCGTCGATACGCAAGATCCGCAAAGTCGAGGAGCTTTCTCTTCCGGGCACGATTGTTCGTGTTCGTTACTGTGCTGAAAAGTCGATCAAGGCTTTGGTTGTCTTTGTGCAATAGGGGCATGGCATTCTTCTTCACGCCAAAGGAAACCAGCAACACATCGAGATACTTTTCCCATGAAAGAGTAGTGACGTTTCGGAAGGATTCGGAGACATCGGCGGGGTTCGTGAGGAAATACAGCTTAGTGCCTAATACACTGACGGCGAATGGTTCTTGGCTTCCATTTCTGATGCGGCTGTTACAGGTTAGGGCGAGCGTCTCTAAGATAGATAGAGCGTACGAGGCGGCATCTACTACAGTTCCAGATCTCATGTAAAATGAATACCCATGCCCTTCAAAGTACTCTAGTCAGCTTTGGTCGATATCTCTTCGAATGGAAGGACTTGCCGAGAACTGTGACGAAGTAGTTAGTCCTGATGCTCATACAGCAAAGCGAGGGGGTTGGTTACATGGTATCCAATAGGGTAGTTCTTTGACCCTACGTGGGTGTAGGTACGGTGAAATGGTAAATCTCCAGATCCTCCACATCACCAGAGCTGACAACAGGCCGAACGCAATGATCCCCGAAGGGGCCGTGAGTAAACCTTCATAACGCTTAACAAAGCCTCCGACTGTAGAGATTATATCGAGTATCATGATGAATGATAGATTAGCATCTGTGATGAGGAGTTAAGAAAGCTATTTCCACTGGATCATTCTTATATGCCGCCATTCCATCTATCTCAGCGGTCCCGAGCACTGTATAGCCCCAGCACCTGAAACTCTCCAAAGTAGCCGCATCGGACCTTTTACTGGAAAGGGCGTGTGTAGCACAGGTTAACAAAGCCCTCTGGCGCAGTTTCCACGAGGCGTAGAATAAGCTCATAGGAGATCATTCAGTGGTCGGACTCCGTAGTTCTAAGACAGGTGCACGAAGTACTGGACCCCACCGACCCATGAGACGAGGGTATAAGTATGGAGGATACTCCGCGGAGAGGCTGATCTTCCATGTTTATCAATTCATGCCCGCGCCGCGTCATGTGTGAAACCAAGGAGCCACTCATCGATGGTTCCAACAGTTAATCCCTATCGGGGTTTCGAGTAAAAATATGAATCACATGTAGACTAGAAAAGCGGCGCAATTCTCGAAAGGTCTAGGCTCCTATGTTTAGTCTGCAAACCCTGCGCCTAGACTACGATTCGGACACCATCCCCACGTGTCGAGTGTCGCGGTTTATGGACGGTGCGAGGGAAACATTAGTCAATGGGATTGGCTATAGGTGCCAGTGTAGGTGGCTGACAAGCGAATGGACGTATGTATGTTTGATGGCAAGAGGTACTTCGTCGCTCAAGGGAGGGCTCGGGTACGAAGTAGGACGGGAGATTTGCTCACGCTAAGCCGCAAAAGTAACGGGCGTCGCCTTACGGTGCCAGGGGTGCCAGGGGCAGGGGCGACCTCAAAAACAACGTCCCGCAATATCAGACCTGTTCTGGCTGATTATAGCAACGCTGGGATCGGATTGTAATATGTAACACAGCTTCAAGGCCCGGGATCAGCATTCACTCCGGAACATGCGGAGATAGCCCCAAATTTGGCCCGAGGCGTGAGCATGTCGTCCCAACGGCGTGGATGTTCCCCGAGTTCAAATTGCGATAAGTGACGGATAGGTAATATGGCACTCCAGCTGGAATGTTTCACAAGACAGTTGGGCTGCCGGCTCAAGTCCCTATGCGCTCCTGCGCAGCACCGTGCCCGAATTCACACCGCCCTACGCACTCGCCAACCTCGCAGCCTCCCTCGTCGAGGATTCTGAGAAACGGACACACTCTCGTGAGAAGTTCGAGGGTGAACGGATGAAGATGGAGCAATTCAAGCACGAGGACAGTCGCGAGACCATCAACGAGGCGCCCGACGACACTACTTGGAGACCCGTCGAGCCATCGAAGAATACTGCTCTCTTATCAGGACGGAGACTAGCCATCGTAACCATATCTCTTTCGCTCGGCATGTTCTTGGTGGGCATAGATGCTAGTATCATTGGAGTTGCAATTCCACGCATCACCGCGTCCTTTCGTTCTCTTGACGACATCGCCTGGTATGGCTCGGCCTATATGCTTCCATGCACGGTGCTTCAGCCATCGTTCGGTGCCTTCTTCAAATCCTTCAACGTCACATACGTCTACATGGCCTCTATTATCCTCTTCGAAGGTACTTCACAGCTTTAATCGGCCTGTTTTCGCCTCTGTTCTATCGGGCTAATGTTTACATTCAGCGGGATCGGTTCTCTGCGCCGCAGCACCTACCTCGACGGCCTTCATCCTCGGACGAGCCGTTTCAGGTTGCGGTGCCGCAGGCATCTTCCAAGGCGCGCTCTCCATCATAGGCTATACGGTAGAAAAGAAGAAGATTCCACTCTACTATGGCTATGTAGTAAGCGTCTTTGGAATCAGCACATGTACGCAAGAGCGCTCCCGCTCTCAAACATAGATATGAAACTAACGCGAGGCATCACCTTTCAGGTACTGCACCGATCTTTGGAGGAGCTCTGACCGACCACGTGTCATGGCGCTGGTGCTTTTGGATGTGAGCCTCTGCCCACAACGAGGCGTCCACTCGCTGACCTACAACACAGCAATCTACCAATCGGCTGCGTTGTCCTCGTCCTCGTGCCAATGTTTATCAGGGTCAGACTGTCCAATGATGCGCTGAGAAAGATGCCAGTTCTTGTCCGTCTTCGTCGGATCGACTGGATAGGCACAGTGCTCTTTACCGGCGCGTTTACGTGCTTGTTTCTGGCCTTGCAGTGGGGAGGGCAAATAAAGCCTTGGAAGTCACCCGAAGTAATCGGGCTGATTGTTGGATTTGCTCTACTTCTCGGTGTTTTTGTTTGGACCCAAAAGCTTATGGGCGAGCGGTCCTTAATCCCACTCCGACTACTTAAGCAGCGAACAGTTCTCTTCGGCTCCATGTATCTTCTCCTGATGTATCTCGCGCTCTCGGTGGTAAGTACAATTTTAAATCGATAAAACACTCGTGTTTGACTAAAGCCACAGTATCTGTATTATATTCCGATCTATTTCCAAGCAATACGCGGAACTTCCGCCACCAATAGCGGTGTACGTATCATTGCACTAGATGTGTCGAGAGTGGTATTCGTTGTCATTGCAGCGGCCTTAGTCACGAAATGGGGCCATTATGTACGCATCTCGCTATTATTTACTAGGCTGCGAACTAACAGCGTGTAGATGCCATTCATGGTGGCCGGCAGTGGTATTGGTGCCATTGGAGCGGGCCTACTTACCATGCTAGATGTTGACACGGGCACAGCTCTCTCAACCATTTACATGTTGATTTGGGGGGCTGGAGCGGGAATTGGGGCAAACCAACCCTTTACAGCTCTTCAAGCAGCACTGAGGTTAGCTAACCGCTGCTGAGTCCCCGCAGTAGTGATACTAATTTTTCAATAGCGAGAATGATATGCCCATCGGGAACGGTACGAGCTTGCTTGACTTCTTCTTTAGCCCTCCCATGAACATCCGCTAAAGGAAACACAGGAATCACGGTTTTCGCGCTACAGCTGGGCAGGTAAAGATCCTTGAGAGATTATTTTTGGATGCTCTTTACTGACACACCTACAGCGCCCTTGCGTACGCTATCAGTCAAACAATGTTCCTCACCGAAGTGTTCCATCTTGTTGAAACAAATCCGTTGACACAGAACATCTCCCGTTCCGCTATCCTAGCAGCCGGTGCTACGAACCTTGGACGGCTTTCAACGAACCCCGAAACAGTCAGAGTAGTACGAAGTGCATACATCTCCGCCATTAAAGACGTGATGTTAGTTGCACTGGTTTCAGTCTGTTTAGCGCATCTTGCACTTCCCGGCATGGAATGGCTGAAGATCCCGGTTGACAAAGCCGGTGAACAAGATGAAGAGATGGTAGCGCCGATCAAAGAAGGTAACGAGTCTCGGGGTAATTGAACATCGGACGGCTTGTAATTTGGAGCCTCATTATGAGTGCGTACACATAGTTACCACGACATGATGCTCCTGGGAAGGTTTCCAGAGATCAATATACTGCGGGAATATATTATATTAACGGTTCTAATCACCTGCTAGGCCAACCCAGACGAATGAGTGCTCATGCAGACTGGCCGCGCCTACTACCGTAATATCAGGCATCGATCAGTCTTTTGACGCCCGCTTCGGGAATCAATGAAACAGGCAATCACAAGCAGGATCTGACCTCAATTTTCGCCACTTTCCAGGAGTTTGGTAGAACCTGGGCCATTTTTGATTGGCATCCAGTAAGCGCCCCAACTCCAATGTAACAGCAACTTAGCCCACCACACCTGCAGCGGCGTACCACGAACCACGGCATTTGCTGACCTCATGTTCGCGGTACACAAGTGCAGCGAGGGATGCACTTTGTGTATCGGCCTATGTATCATAGTTCCCCGCGATGACCCGAACATCCCCACACTCCTCATCTTTGAGCTTTTCCTCTAGCTCTACTTGCTTCGTTGCGGTCCTCATATGAGCGTATTCAAACTTTACACTCATTAGTGAAGATTAAGCATGGCTTTCCAGCACTCCCGTCGCCATGTTGATTGCGATCCATCGTTCGAGTCATGCACTCCCGCGGCGAGCCCGGCCTTGCCAGCAACAACTGGTCCGCCTGTCGTTCAGAAAGACGCTTTCATAGTAAGCTCTCCATCGTCCTATACTTCACAAATTCTAATAGGATAGGCACTCATGTGGACCTTCTTCGCCCTCGCAACAATCGGCCTCGCATTCCGCTTCTACACCCGCATCAAATGCTTCTGCCGCCTCCTCGCCGACGACTACCTCGCCGGCTTCGCCTGGTTCCTCCTCCTCGTCAGCGCTTGCATCTGGGACATGACCATCGACGGCATGTACGAAGTGACGCGCGTGAGCGCGGGGCTGCAACAGCCCTCAGCCAATTTCCAGCACAACGCGCATCGGTTCCTGGTTGGGTCGAATGTTGCGCTGGTTATGTTCTACGTCGGGCTCTGGACGATCAAGCTCAGCTTTCTAGTGTTCTTCTACCGCCTCGGGAACCAAATCAGGCGGTATCAGATCATGTGGTGGATAGTTACGGCGTTTACGATTGCGTCGGGACTAGCGTGTGTGGGGTCGATTCAGTATCACTGTCTTTCGGATCCGTTTGAGAAGGTTTATATGAATTGCTCGAAGGATAGCGCGATTCGGTTTCAGGAAGTTACGCTTAAGGTTAATTGCGCGTTGGATGTCTTTACGGACGTTTTGAGTAAGTTGGTATGATTCTAATAGGACGAAAGTTTTGCTGATTTGGCTGCAGTCATGTCTCTGCCCATCTCCCTACTCTGGAGCGTCCGCGTCAGCTTTGGCCGAAAGGTCGTCCTCGCCGGCCTCTTCTCCCTCGTCCTCATCACCATGGTAATCGCAATAGTGCGAGTCACGGTCGTCAGCAAAGGCTACGTGGTTGGTCATCGGCAAGCCGAGATATCTTGGCTGTACTTCTGGAGCTTTACTGAGTTTGCTGTCGGTACGTCTACAACCCACAATCTCCTCTTACTCAACTGCCTATCTCCCACTGACATCCCCCAGCTATTCTCGTAGCCTGCCTCGCCTCCTTCCGCGCCCTCTTCGCCCAGAAAGAACGCCAATCAGAAGCTGAAGTCGCCCGCAAGCGCGAGCTTGCTCAGCGCGACTCCCCCTCCGGCGGGAGCTCCAGGGCGCTGTGGGCGCGCGCAAAGTTCTTCCAGCAGTCGCTTTTTGAGACTGAGAAGACGGTTGATCAGGAGACTAAGCGCGGTGGTTCTGACGACTTTGTGCCGCTGAGCGACATCAGCGGCTCAGAACGTGGTGAGTCGAGGGCGACGGGAGATGCGCACTCGATCCAGGGTGTGTCGAAGTTGGAGAGCCAGGATGGGTATATTGGGTATCCTACCGCGCACGTGGTACAGCCGTGGCGGGGGTCGTTGTGAACAGGTCCGAAGCTGGCCAGGCTCCTTGAAAGCGGACTCGAAGTGCTGGCGTCTCGGTCCGCAAGGTGCAGATAGCCCCCATTGACAAGGAGGGGAAGCTGGTCGACGTATCCGCCACAGAGAAGGGATGGGACCCACAATGTCCAAGCTCTTGTGGTACTCTTTTAGGAGGCATTTGTTTATTTTAGGCCAAAGATGAACCTGCAAAAATCTTTTACACCACAGTGCTTCTATTCCTTGTCCTTGTAGCTGGATACGCAGTGATCTGCTGACTTGTCAGCACGGGGGCTGTAGATCAATGCGATTGGCAATATGTTTCGGGGGCCGAGTTCTGTGAGAGCGGTATGGGGGTCTTGTGTTACAGGGCTGAGTTTATGAATGAACCCCGCTGACGGGGACACAGGGGGCGAGGATCACATGTAGAGCTTCACGGCTCCTATCAAGGTCATACCCACCGCTCATAGTGCCACACAAAAGCGCCAGTAATATTCAGCCTAATCTGAGAGTTAGACACCGATGCAGTGATGCGGCAGTGCGCGCTCTACAGCTATCTTTGCATGTTGCCAAGGTTTACGGCCGCAGTTCACGGATATAGTCCTCGGTCTCGGAGCTCCTTGAGGCTTATCGTTACTTCTAACCGCATGCCATAACAACTGAGGAGCTTGTTCTTAATCCTGCAGTTCTTTATCACGGTCCCTTCGATGTTTACATCTCTCCTCCCTCCTCAAAATGATCCTCAGCTCTCCCAACCTGGCACGTGAAGTCCAGCGACAGTCTCTCGCCATTGAATTTGGACCTCTCATATTGGCGGGTATATGGTTGGCGGCGAGTAGATTCTACGACTTGAACTCAAGAGTCGTTGATGGTGAGTGCGCCTTGAAATTGGGGACGTGCATCTTCGCTGACGGTGGTAGGCATAGTTATCTTACTTCTTGTACGGACGCCGTTAAAGAAATGTAATCTGTGCAGTAATAACGGATATGTAGGCAATATCATGGTTCCAAAGAAGGAATAGATCGATTATTCTGTTGGGGGGAGGGATGGGTCGTCCAATCCGTGATATTTCGGCGCTGAAGAAGGCATGGCAAATTCAGACCTGAGGAGATGGAAAAACATGAGTAATGAAGCCTGAAAGCTTTCCTGAACAGTAACAGCGCGTGCCCAAGATGCTCCTGGTCCCATGATTGTGGTTGGCTTCGGCAGAACACGTGACGTTCTCGAAAGACCGGGGCATCTGGGGAATGCATCTCGCCCTACGCGGGTCCCTCCAGAATCCGAATCCGAATCCGCCCCCAAGACGCGGGATTAGCCATCTCACGCGACTGGGTGAATGGGCTAGTACCACCGGGAAGGAACGCCGAGGGACCGCTTCCCCATTGGTGCGTTGGTAGGTAGTCCAGACCACATCGCCGCCGCCGCACAGCAGCGGCATCAAAAACTGTGCTGTGGTGCTACGACACTATATCCAGTCCTTGTTCTCCGCGGCACGTTCGGTCCCCGTTTGCGACAGATGTATTAACGGCTGCAAGGGCGTGGTAGGGTAAGAGGAGCCGACCTGCTGGGACTCCCGTTTGCCAACTGCACAGCCTGCGCTGTGCCATCAACTGTAAACAAAGCTCAAGGTCAAGCTCGAGCTCCTACACACTCCCTTTCTTTCCTTGCTCACCATCGCTTTGGCGGGCATCGCCATCAGCACGTCGCCATGATTGCAGCTCTCCTTTTCTCGCTTGCTGCTCTTCCGCTCACTCTGGCCCTCTGGTCGGCCATATCACTCAGGTCCAACCTCAAGAAGGCGCAGGCAATCGGCTTTCCTGTGCTCATTCGCTACGTCACGCCTACGAACCCCCTATGGATGGTCTGGGGCAGCAAGTTGGTCCGCCTCGCCCGCCGTTTGGGCATTGCCACCGACAGCTTCGACCGATACTACCTGTTCGGCTGGGAGGGAAATGAGAGGTACAGAGTGCACGCCGAGCTCGGCGACGCCTTCACGCTCGTGACGCCTGGAGGCAATTGGATCTACATCGCAGACCCCGACGCAATATGGGATACGCTGAAGCGGCCTCACGAGTTCGGGCGGAACCTTGAGCAGCTTGCTGTCTTGAACGTCTATGGCAAGAACCTGTCTACTACTGAAGGCCAAGAATGGCAGAAGCACCGCAAGATTACCGCTGCGACCTTCACTGAGAAGAATAACGAGCTTGTCTGGCAGTCCTCTCTCTCGCAAGCCCAAGGCATGCTAGACTATTGGGTCCATCGCGCTCCTGAGCCTGTTCGATCGGTGGCCGACGATTGCAGGACCTTCACTCTCAACGTTCTGGCCGCCGCACTATTCTCGAAACCGTATCCTTTCGAAGGCAGAAACGAGCCAACAGACACCACCGACGAGTCCTACCAGTACCGAGACTCGCTCTCGAAGATTCTGCAGAACATCATTCTCATCGTGATCTTCGGCGGCGAGAAGCTCAGGACCTCGAAATGGATGCCCATCTCCTGGCAGCAAGCGGGTGCGGCCGTTGCCAACTTCCGCTCATACGTGTTGGGTTTGATCGATGAGGAGAAGGTAAACGTGGAAAACGGTGTGCAGAACCGCAAAGACTTAGTAGCTGCTCTCGTGCGTGCATCACTCGCGCAGAAGAAGGAAGGCAGGGACATGACCGTCACCGAAGAAGAGATCATCAGCAATACCTTCGTCTACGGCTTCGCAGGGAATGACACCACGGCCATCACGCTCGCACACACCATTGTCAACCTTGCAGCGCACCCTGAGACGCAGGATTGGATCGCCGAGGAGACTCAGCGCTACCTCCCCACCGACGACTTCACGGAGTGGACCTACCCAACCTGGGCGAAGCTGAAGCGATGCCAGGCTGTTGTTGTGAGTAGAAAATTCCTACCTTTCCACCTTACACTTTACTTACCGCCTGCCCAGATGGAATCACTCCGCTTGTGCCACCCGCTCGGCTCGTCCTCGAAACTCACCAAAGAGGCGTCCTCGCTCAACCTCGGAGGCAAGACCTACACTATCCCAACTAACACCCACGTCCAACTCAACTTCTGCGCCCTCCACACTAATACACACTCCTGGGGTGCCACAGCCCTGGAATGGGACCCCACCCGCTTCATCTACCACGACGAAGGCGAGGCTACTGCCGGTATCGAAGCCGAGCAACTGCGTCCCACGGTCGAGAAGAGGTACCTGCCATGGTCGTACGGCGAGCGCGTCTGCCCCGGGAAGAAGTTCTCACAAGTCGAGCTCGCGGCTACGCTGGCTATCTTATTCCGAAAGCATAGCGTCGACCCGGTGCCGGAGAAGGGCGAGACGCTGGTGGAAGCAAGGAAACGGGCGCAGAAGGTGAGTTTGGATATCCAGATGACGCTGCTGAACGAGATGTATCAGCCGCAGAGTTTGGGGCTGAAGTGGACGGAGAGGACGGCGGCTTAGCGGCTGCATAGCGTAGCTCAGAGAGCAGACTTCAGATGAGGTTGCGCGATGAGGTTGGTTCACCGAGATCACTGGCTCTGGACCGGACGTGGTGGACTCGGCATAAGTAGATGTATCCGTTGGCTTGGAGTATGTTGCTCGAAGCTACTGGGTACGATTAATGCAAATCATGGCGACAATGAAAAGCTTCTGCGGCGAATTAAAGGAAAACACTAGTAGCATTCTAAAACAATATCGAAGCACTCACTATAGGATAGCACGGAGAGGAGGCACTCGACAGGCATCCGCGCAATCAGACTCAACCTCGTCGTCCTCCATTCGCTGTCAGCTCTCCAACGTGGGTCTGGACTCTACGAGAAACGTTTCCGGAGCTGACAAGCACTAATTTGATCCTGCTCGACGTTTAGGAATCTTGGAAGGGCTGATGGTAAGAGGAAAGGAGGGCTAGACAGGGTACAAGGGTACTGAGGGATATCTAGAAGCCACTTGCTGAAATATTCTTTCTAAAAGCCGATAAGGTGACCATAGAGCCTCGTTCGCAAGACGACGAAGTACTCTAGACCCCTGTGACAGTAGAGGCTCTTATGTTACTACGTAGCTAAATTGAACAGGATGCTTATATACTTGATAAAATGAGCAGACAGCGCCTACAGAAACTGGCTAACGCTGCCTAAATAACCTTTGCGAACGTGCTCTCCTTTATGATGAAAATCGACTCTTATTCTAATAGAATAACGAAAGCAAACGTCGCAAGTCAACCAAGTCAACGTTAGTAGGGAAGGCGAAAGTGATGAGCTATAAGGATATTGTTGAGACACAAGCCAAACCTACTGTGAAGGATGCTGCGAAGAAAGCTGCTAAAGGAAGGCGTGGTCGGAAGCGCAAAACCTCTGCGTCAGCGGAAACAAAGGCTAAGAAGGCACGGAGAAGCGAAGCAGAGGTTGCGGCGGATGAAAGTGCCGCATCAGGGATGGAGAGTCACTGCTCTGTTCTCCAATTTTGACATAGATCGGTTTTAGAGGTGGGAATATTCTAAAGACCTTTTGCTGGCACTGAGAATGATGATTACCGCGGTGATGATAGTGGCGATTATGACATTGATTACGTTAGTGAGATTCAGTTATCCCTTCATTGCGAGTTCTGGATTGCAGACCGTTGTAGATAGAATAACACTTTCCAAATTTTATGCTCAGCCACAATGCGAAGACACTTAACTTACCCTCTGACTAACCCTATTACATAATCTTGACAGCTCAGCCTCATTTGCATCTTGCTGCCTACAATAGCATTGTACCCAGATATTTCAGAATATTCAATCCAAGGCTTCCTCCTTTATCATTTGCTTAAGATGGTTTCCGACACGTCTAACAGGTTATGCGGCCCATGTAATTGTATCCTCGAAAATATTCGCGAGGTGAATTGGCACACAAACCTCGTACATCATCATTCACTCAGGACGTTAGAAGAATCAGCTAACGCCGCTTGCGGCGTTTGCACTGTTCTTCTAGAGCATTTACAGAGCAGTAGTTTTCAGCAAGTGTCTGATATGTGGGACAAGCTGTTTCCAATCAAATGCGAATCCGATACGTCCTCAGCGAGCTGGCAAAGCTCGTTTGAACTGACGTTGACGTCCGATGGCGTGAAGAATCTAGGCCTAAAATTTACATTTGAGGTCATTGAGGAATCTGTGGGTTAGTATACTCTGTCGCTTCGATTTTCATGCAATTTTCGGGCTAACATTTGCGAAAAGGTAACCAAAGCGGGTACACCCCTTCATCAACAACAGATTCTCCTCAGAGTTGGGAACTGATAGGCCAGTGGTTGAAGCAATGCACTGAAAATCACGACCGATGCAATGCCCCCATTCCAGAACTTTGGGCTCCCACACGTCTGCTCGATATCGGTACCCCCGGGGATAAGTATGTACGATTGGTAGAGCGGGACGAAAGCCTTTTCTTGAAACAGCCTTACGCGACGCTCTCTCACTGCTGGGGTACTACTCAGCTGACTTGCACGACCTCTTGTAACATCAAAAGACATCGCCACGGTATTAGCTGGACAGAGCTCCCCAAATCTTTCAAGGATGCAATCAGGATTGCTCGGTCACTCAGCCTCCGCTACCTGTGGATAGACTCCTTGTGCATAGTGCAGGATTCGATTGACGACTGGCTTCACGAGGCTGACATAATGAGCAAAGTCTATCGATACGGCTTTATCAACATAGCTGCTACGGGAGCTGTACAAAGCAGTGAAGGCTGTTTCTGGAAGAGGGATCCACGGGTTGTCCAGCCAACTGAGTTCTCTATCCAATGGAACAATTGCGAGAAACTTGAAAGCAGGAGGTATCATGTCGTACCTGATCCACATTTATGGGCTCGGAAGTTGGTCGATGAGCCACTGAACCAGCGCGGCTGGGTATTGCAAGAGCGGATTCTCTCACGTCGCGTCTTACATTTTGGCCATGAACAGCTATTCTGGGAGTGCCGAGAGTTCGTGGCGTGTGAGACTTACCATCGTGGTCTACCTTTCAGTCTACGGGGAAACACACTTATCGACATCAAGACCTTGGATCTTGGCGACGAGCCCCAGGACGATCGTTGGCCAGCCAAGTACGTTTCCAAAAGTGTTAATGCACGTGGAACATTGCTAGGGCACGTCTGGAGCACCGTCACGGAATTATTTCGACCTATTACACTTCAGGAAGTTACGCTGAATTCGACGATGAAAAGTGCCTCGGTATATCGAGACTGGGATGCAGTCGTTGAGCTGTACTCACTAGGGGCCTTATCATTCCCACACGACAAACTTGTGGCCCTTTCAGGCATCGCAAGCGCTATGTCTATGGTCGAAAAAAATGCCCCTGGCGACGGCTATCTTGCGGGCCTTTGGCAGTCATCTCTACCCTCCCATCTTCTTTGGACAACGGAGAAAACCGAAAAAAGGCGACAGACTCTGATTCCAAGTAGATACGAACAATACATCGCACCATCGTGGTCTTGGGCCTCTATCCGAGGCAAGATTTCGCTCACATGGTGTCAGCACAACTATGATCCGAAGGACTACCTAGCGGCACTGGAAGGCGCAGAGGTGACTTGGTCTGACCCAAGGGCAAGATTTGGCCAAGTAAAGTCAGGATTCTTGAGACTCTCAGCCCCCCTTGCGTCTGTTCTTTGGGAAGCTGAAGACAGTCCCTCGTTAGCCAACCCCATGGCTGCGAAGATAACACACATCTTTCCTAGAAACTTTGATCGCCACATGTCTGTATCAATTCCACCAGACACCTCCACTAAAGCCGAGATCCTTTTTGACACAGTATCGGACGATGTGTCGGACGAGCTCACTCTCTTGCCCGTTATCGGGATCATGAGGAGAACGGCTCATGAAAACGAAACCATGTTTGGACTGGTCCTTCAACAGCAAGCTAAACCAGAATGCTATTCACGCCTTGGAGTCTTCTACACTACAAGGCTACGAGCAAGCAAGATTCTCAGAAATATGCCACGGCAATCCGTTACGATAATCTGATTTCATGTATATTAGAGCTCGATCAATGCGAAATCAACGAGTGAATTTGAGCTCCTTCTTCCAAATGGGGGGGTTCCAGACCGAAATTTAAAAGGGTAGGTCGCCGTTGATGGTACTATTCGATAGAAGGCCATCGGGAGTTTTTATGCAGCGGAAATAGCATTTTCGAATTCCTGGCTCACGTGACATTTTAAGGTGCGTGCGCGCAAAAACAAATTATCTTAGCAGTATAGCTTAGGTTTGAATTTAGAAAGTGTTAAAGCGGAAGCCGATTTAACTAGCGACTGTAAGCAATAAACATGTTAGACAATGAGAGTTTCAAGTTTATGAAAGCTGCTGGTACTAAAAAGCCAGAATGGCATAGAAGTACTTCCAACGCGATGAAGGTAGGGCACTCAAAAATGCAGCATTCACGACACAGAAGACCAAAAAAAAAGATAGGATGGAGCCCCAATATTCCAGAACATCGACTACAAAAGAGACTCGAGAGAGCAGACTCGGCGGTGGTATCAATCTAACTAAAATCGCAGATTCTCCAAAGATAGATCCAGAACATCATCAACAACACCCCCGCTAAACACCTGCCCAAAACGATCCCCCAACCTCCAACCACCACTCACCCAGGCATTTAACGCATCAACACATCACTGCATAACCTTCCTCCTTACTTCTGCGCCGCCGCCGGCTTCCTCGCCCAGCCCGTCAAGCTCCGCCACCCAGCTCCATCCTTCGCGCCCTCCTCGAGCACCTGCACGACGCCCTCGAGCAGCTTCTCCTCCTCCTTGCCCATCTCGACCTGCAGCTTCAGCATCCACTTCTCCCACGCCCACGCACCGACCGTGCCGGTCAAGTTGGCCGCATTGGACGTCGAGCCCAGCACCTCCGGCACCGCAACGTCGACGTCGCCGTCCGGGCCGATGCTCTTCTCCGGGCTGTTGCGCGCGTCGGCGCCCACGGGCAGCGTGTCGCGCCAGTTGGCGGCGGGCTTGCCCATGGGCAGGATCATCCACGCGCGCTGGACTTCGTCGAAGCCGGCCTTGCGCAGGCGCGGCAGGAACGTCTTGGTGGGCTGGGGGTCGTAGCCGCGCGTCTTGAGGTTGAAGCCGAACTCGACGCCCATGGCTTGGGCCTGGCGCCCCGCGCGGATGATGTCCGAGTCGATGAGGGAGAACTCGAGGTAGCCGCCGGGCTTGAGGCAGCGGAAGCACTCCTTCAGGCAGAGGTCGTACTCGTCGAGCGCGCGGCCGACGGGCTTGTCCGTCTTGAGGAGCGCGTAGAGGCTGCGGGCGGAGATGACGTCGAAGGCGCCGGACGGGAAGGGGAGGGTCCAGAGGTTGGGCACGGGCATTTGCTTGTGGTTGGTTGGGCCTTGCACCGTGGAGGCGGTGAGGTTGTGGCCAGGGGGGAAGACGGTGGTGACGGTTGATCGTGGGTGATCAAAGGCGAGTTGCCAAGCCCAGTCACAAGTTGGCTGACCGCCAACGTCGAGAATGCGAGGTGATCGGATTTGAGAGAGCGATTTCCACGCTGGTGCGCTAAGTAGCTTACCACCGTTGAGTGTTTTTTGTGCTTGTAGGACCCATGTCGAGGGTGACATTTGGTCAAGCGCTTGTCGTTCCATCTGAGCACGTGCGATGCGCTCTTTCAACACTGTCGGGTCTTCGGTGTAGAACGAAGAGACAGGTCGTGGCGGAGATGGCCGCACTGGGTTGGTGAGTTCGAACTTTCCGAGGAGTTGGTCGCGGTGGACTTTGGGCATGCATCGTCTTTGAATGTGCATGGCCTCGGCGCGAGTCTGACGATGGATGAATGCGTCACCCTTTTGTCCTCGGTTTTGAAGGTGCTCAAAACCCTGAACGTAGGTAACGGTCTTCTTTGGCTTATCATCGTCCTCGTCGATTGACTCCTCTGATTGCTCCTCCTGGAATCTCACTGACTTCTTTGGCGACTTGTCCAATGAGTTTCCGCGGCTGTGAGTGGGAGTGGTGGTCTTGGCTGGCAAGTTCATGTCCCGCAGCATCGATTGGAGTTCGTCTTGCTCGGCTAGCCAGTCTGATGTGCGGTCCTTGTTGGCACCTGCCATCTTCTCCAGTTCGTCGTGGTACTTTTCATTGTATTGGAAGACGGTTTTGCTGGGGTCGATTTCCTTAATTTCGACCTCCTCCTCGCCATGCAGGGCTGCAGGCTTAGCAGTAGGAGGCCCGTCAGTGCCAGCAACAGTAGATCCTACAAGCGTAACTGATTGCTCGATGATACTATCGCGTGCGTCCCATGGAACGTTGTAAAATCTTTCCGCAGTGGTGGTTGTTGGCATGAGACTCTCTGGGTTAGGAATGGACCAGGTGTGTCGGGTGGTAGCTTCGAGGGAGGAGAAGAATCCACCGGGTGAGGGAATTGACAGAGCTGACACGGGCTCGCTTCCCCAATCAGCGAATTGCACTGGTGAGTTGAGGCCATCGACAGAAAGGGACAGCTGTGGACGCATGACCTCGGTCATTTCGCCCTCCGGGATCTCAATCAATTGCGTCACCTCGTGGTGCTCTTCATGTTCATCCCGAGTTAGATGGCGTAGATGTTGAAGAGTCTCGAAAGCTTGGGGATGTAGCTGGACTGGAGGTAACCAGGCATTAACATCTTCGTCCGAGACGTCGTTTCGGCCTGCCATGGCCATATCCGGGGTGGAAGGACAACTGAGATGCTCCATCTCTTCTGAGGTCATGCTGCCGTCCAAGGAAGGTGTAGCACTGGATGCCGGGACCTGAAGGCTGCGGGCAGCAAGCATGTTAAGAATGTTGGCAGAGGGCGACAGGAGTTGAGTAGGTGTCGGTGCAACTGGGGACATGGCATTCTTGAGCTTCTCAATGGTAGGCCAGGCCGACGGCGACGGGATGACGAGAGAGGGGTATCGGCTTCGGTTCGTCCGTACCGTTGTCTTCTTCACCGAGTTCGAGCAGATCAAGGGCACCTCGCGTTCAGACTCGTCATCCGAGATGTCGTATAGGTCGTCGAACTCGGACTCGGCGGGGCTTTGCATGTTGCTGTGGTAGGATTGATTGGCCCTCGGCGTGGGAAAGTCTTCTGAGTAGACGGGCGAGAGCATGGCAGCCTGCGGCGAGAGGGTTGAGTCTGCTTGAGAGATGGTGGAATATCTTGGCGCGAAATAGTAACGGGGCACGGCGGAGTCGTCCTCGACTATGGTATTAAGATCGTGACTCCGAGCCAGCGGAGAACGGGGGAAATCGGAAGCCGTAAGGCCGGGTTGGTATCTTGCAGAAGAGAGCATGTCTACATTCATGTTGTCTGAGGTGAGCTTCGCCTCGTCTATTAAAAGTTCGGATACGTCGAAAACCGGAGTGCTGGGATGGGGCGGTGTTGATGGGTGCTATAAACAGGGCTCTAAGAATGCAACAGTTATTAACGGGCAATAACCCTGGTGCCGGTCAACGGTCTTAATGATGAATAAGTCGGGAGAGAGTGCTTCGATCAACGAAGGCTTTGAGAAGGCGGAGGGAGGGGGAGAGGGAACGGGACAGCGAAGAGAATAGCTCAGTAAGAATAGCAGGCAACGGGCGCGGCACGGGACAGGCGGGTTTATATCGCAGCGCGCGACCTGAGAGCCTCCCATTGCCGGTGGCGCATCCATGGCGAGATGCGAGCGGTTCTGCGCAGTGGAAAAGCGGAGGTCGAGCAGCACAGGCGGCTGGACCGCACGGCGGGCGCTTTGGGATGGGCCACGACATTGTGACCTCCAGTTCAGCAGCGCAATTGGACGGGCTGCCAATGAGGGCGACGGGCGGGCTCCTCACGGGCGACGCGCTGGCTGCTTTGGACATGGCGCGCATCCATCGAGGCGGTTCGCCCAGCGATTGGGATGGAGAGGCAGGCGACGGAGAGTGGAAGCGCTGGCGGGGAGCTTGGCCACAGCTGTTCCCACCTCCCCAGCGGTTAGAAGACGCACGTCGGCCCAATGGCACTGCGCCAACGGCATGCTGCAGCTGGCATTCAGTATCGAGCCTCCAGCAGGAAACGAGGGCGCGCGTGCCCGTTTCGACCTCTTCACAGCCTCCGCCGAAGTTTCGCATTCAATATATGGACTGCCCATCGCCCGCTGCCGACTGTTTCGACTCGCCTCGCTGCTGCGCATTCTGAGACGAGCCGACGAAACGAAGCCGGCAGTGCCAGCGAGTGGCCAGCGGGTGCCAAACGTGCAACGGGAGTGCCGGCAGGCTGAACATGCCGAATCGAGGGCGCTGCAGACGGAGCTTCCTGCAGTGGTGATGGGTGCGAGTTGGATGAGGTGTCGGCTCCTGGGCTTCTTCAGCCTTGCCAAGTCGAGTCGGGATGCCGCCCTGCGATAGCTTTCGGGAGTTTCGGGAGCGAGCGTGACAGCCCGCAGAGAGGGCTGAGGGTGAGGTCATTCTGAAAACACCAAGCCTGCATCGTGAACTCGCCCATCCCAATTTCCTCACGCACGCCCAGCCGCCGTCTTGCGACCCCTTTTGTGGCCCGCCCTGCACCAATTGCACCCCGTGTCACCCGCCCATCACAGCCTCACCCCCGCCATGACTCCCCCCGCCATCATCGCGCCCTCCATCCTCTCCGCCGACTTTGGAGCCCTGGGCAAGGCATGCTCCGACACCATCGCCCAAGGCGCCGATTGGCTTCATGTGCGCGTTCCTGCGTGTCCTGCACGCCATTGCCCGCTAACAGCCCCAGGTGGATATCATGGACGGCCACTTCGTGCCGAACATGACCTTTGGCGCCCCCGTTGTAACCAAGATCCGCTCGCACGTTGCCCGCCCTATCAGCGCTTACGGAAAGGGGACCTTCGACTGCCACATGATGATAACTGAGGTAAGCCCAGGCCGTGGCAATCCCCTTCTGCACTGCCGTTATATTGAAGCTTGTCGGGTCACCTGCATTACCGCCTCAACGCAGTGTCGTGAGCGCCTGGGACCCGCCCTAGCTTCTCTCTCGATACACTCTCGCTACTCTCACCGCCTCAATATACATGGCCCGCCTGCTGACCTGCGCTAGCCGAAGAGATGGGTTCGAGACTTCCAGAACGCCGGCTGCGACCTCTACTGCTTCCACTACGAGGCCGCCTTCTCTACCGCCGCCGACTCGCCCTCGGGAAAATCCGACTCGAAAACCTCCCCCAAAGAACTGATCAAGTACATTCACGGCCTCGGCATACAAGCCGGCATCGCGATAAAACCCAGCACCCCCGTCGACGTGCTGTGGGACATAATAGAGAATCCAGTGGAAGATGAACGACCCGATGTGAGTGTTACAGATTGAGCATTTTTCGTGACTCACGCGCAGTGGCGAGATGAATGGAGCTCGGCGTCAATGCTGAGTTTAAAGGTTTCGTCAAATATGAGGCTCCAGTGGGGCACGCGTGACAGCGTGGGCGCGTCGACGAGGCGGCGCTTAAGATTAGGGGTGTTCGAGACCTACCCTACTCGTTAGCGGAGAAGGCTCCCGAAGTCTCCTCACTGTCGCGTGTCCATTCTCTTGCCACTGACTCTATTTCGCGAGGCCACTGTCTCTCAGTCCACTTTCACGCTACTTGGCAATATCTCTTCCAATACACCCACTAACATCACTCAGATGGTTCTCATAATGACAGTTGAGCCTGGATTCGGTGGCCAATCCTTCATGGCCTCGGAGCTCCCCAAAGTGTCCGCTCTACGCGCCAAGTACCCAGAACTGCACATCGAAGTCGACGGGGGGCTATCGGAGAAGACCATCCCTCAAGCCGCCGACGCAGGTGCTAATGTAATCGTAGCTGGTAGTGCTGTCTTTGGCGCCAGCGATCCGAGTCAGGTCATTGCAGTGCTGAGGGAAGCAGTCGAGAGCAGGCGGAAGTAGGTAGAGAAGGCGCCTGTGGGATGGATGTAATTATGACTTTGACGTCTGATGGTAAGCACAAAAGGGGGTAGATGACTTGCATATAGCGTCGCTGGCATTAGATCGAGCTTGTGGTCCAAATAAGAACCGATGACATTCGTCTTATCCCCCTGCTAGGTACTGTAATCGTCATCTAAGACGTGCATTTTCCAACCTCGAGGGTTCTGAGTCACACTCGGAAAGAAAGGTTTGACAGCAGAACCTCTAACGGTATGACACGAAGTATGAGCATCCGATCTTATCTATTTCATCAATCTAAACTCTACTTATCGGTAACTTTTGGGGAGGGTTCACAGTCTTGAGCACGTGTAGCAACGGGTGACCTCTCACATGGCCATCACGTTGCCCCAACTCAACTCTCCGCCTCGTACGTATAAAACTCGCTTTACTCTTTGATCTTCTCCATTCTCCTGAGGATCGGAGGCGTGGTTTAAAATACTATGAGCAGCTATTTTATGGCGTTCTGGGAGCTTGAAAAGCCGGTTTCACGGCGATCCATGGATCTGTTGGTAGGATCAACCCACGACGACTAATCGGATCATGAGGTTGAGTCTTCGGTTGCCTCGAGGTTAAAACATGGGCTCGGCTTCTCATGGGTGGAGGCTTCGGGTTCCAGGAGGTGGAGGACATGGTATCTAAAATTCTGAATGGTGATGCTCTGTAGCCGTCTTTGACGAGCTCGACCTTTACTGTAGGGCCACTTTCTTCATCATCATAGCTAGTTGCTTCTGTGTTGAATTAGCACTTAGGCGTACTATTTGTCGTCGTCTTTCATCGAATCTAAGCATCTTCATCACGTCGAGATTTCGCCCGCGTTTCTTCCACTGCCCCAGATAGTCCAGTCATCGGCGCGGCATGGTGGCCTTGTTGATTGTAACGTCCTCTCCGCTCAATCTCTTCTCCAGATGCCATTGGACGATTTTGAAGTTGCTTTTCAACCTCTGCCACTCCACCCGCCCATGGAGACATACTGTAGCTGATCTAACACTCCCACAACTCCATCGTTGAGCGAGTATGGACGATATTGCAACCCCAACATCATTCGTTCCGACCTTCTATTTTGAAGAGAGGACCACGAACCCTTGACTCCATGAGATTCAGCCCCGACGAAAGGTTTTTATACCCCTGACACACCTCACGAAGACCTTGCTCACATGACTTCGACGGGGACCATATGGTTTTGACGGCTAGCACATGACCGCTGAATCAGCGCCCGCGGTGCGGTCTCGCTTGGGGAATATAAGGTGGACTTCTGACCAGGGAGAAAAGCTGGCAAGGAGGTTTCTCTGGGGATGTCAAACCAGCTAGATACCGACTGCATGAGCAAAAGACGATGAGATTCATGTCAGTGGCTCGTGGGTCTGGAGGTCGGCGGAGGAGGTTCAAAATGTGCATATATTCGACCTGTGGGTGGAGCAAACCAGAGGCTGAAGAAGAAGCCCATGGGTGAAGCTGTGGTGGGGATCAAAACCTCAGCCAATGAACGACCATGGATCTGGTGGACTCCATGCCCTTTGATACAGCGATGCTGACGGCCATTGCGCCTCCAATCCAGCGGTGACCTCCCCACCGAGCTCTAGGCTTTTAGTACCAGACTAGCATTATCCTCATAGTTGCCGTCGTCTTGGAGTGCTACCGCAAAGCATCATTATCTATTGGCGAACTCGCCCACTCCATTCACCTCGCGCATTTCGACTTTTGCACCCCAACAACCAACCCCGCGCCATCATGTTCTTGAGCAACCGGCTTTGCACCCCACATAGCACCTCCGGAGGAGGTCCCTGCTGCTGGGACGAAGGATGGAAGAGGAGGGAAACATTTGTAGTCGAAGAAGAAAGATCACGGATGGCGCTAGACTTAATATGGAATAACTGGCACGTGATTTACGAGCTACGCGAGAGGCAGTAGTTAAGATAAAGTCGCTGTGTCGCTTTATCTTTCGTGAATGGGATTTGGGAAGTACGTGACTACGGGCGACGGACTGCGGCGGAGCGGATAGCGCTCTAGCCGTGCGATGTCACTATAGGCGTAAAAAAGCTCCAGCGCTACCAATCTTGGCGTTTGATGGATGTTGACGGAGTACGTATTCCTAGCCAGCTAGCCTACGGAGTGTGGTACGGCTAGCGTCGGCTACCTTAATATAGAACACGGTTCCTATATTTAGCCCTCACAGTTCTACGGTACGGCTACGTAAGCCTCCACACACAGGAGCATATATACGGCGTACGTAGCCTAGATAGATGCTCATCCAATACATCACTTACCTCGTTCAATGCATTGTTTCACCTCCATCCTCAGATGTAAATGCCGGGAGTCCTCGTAGCGAGTTCCGCATATACTATACTCGCTAACCTCGTCTCCAACGTCTCCAACTGAGCACGTTTCCTCCACAGTAGCCAGCAAGAGACCGATTTCGAAGCGACCATGCCGCCCTACAGAGACGAGGCGCTCATTGCCTACCTAGCGAGGCAGGGCGCCGATTTGGAAAGGAGAAAGGCCGAATGAATCGAATCCAACAAGAGGGGTGTCCGTGCTGGTTGCGCAGAAGTTGGCAGCTCGGCGGCAGGCAAACGCTGGCTCCTCGAGGAACTAGAGCGGCCCTGCACACGATGCCACCTTACTATCTCGCAGCTCTACTTGGACAACCTTGCCCCGCTCGAAGACCATCACCACGCTTGAAGCATAGGCGCTCTTGAACCGTGCCGGCGCTCTGGACATGCAAAACATGAGGGTCAAGCTTCCTGTGACCGGGGCTTGGGTGAGTATGTACCTAAGCCATGCCGCGGTCGGCGGGAAGACCTTCCTGGACGCCTCTGGTCTAGTGGACGGGATGCCCGAGGGAGCTTCGGTGATGGAGACGGTAGACGAGGGCGGGAAAGCGACTACGCAAGGTTGGCACGAAGAGGAGAGCGAGAGGCCAGATGGCTCGACGAGCTAATTGAAATTCATTGAGAGAAGGGAGTTTGAAAAAATACTGTGGACTCTATCCCGGAGACGGACGTTTACACGGTACCGCAAATATTAACGAGGCCGAGGTGTCGGTGGCGCGGACTAGAGACGCAACAGCTGACTCCCGAGATGACGTTAGAAACTTGCGAACAAAAGGAGGGCAAGGTACTGCGAAGAAACGTCAAGAGGCGGAGGCGCGCGCAACCCGTGATGGCTGGCGAGCGTTTGTTACGATCTTACATTTCCAGGGTTCAACCTCAAACAATAACCTCCTATACCTATTATTTCTGAGCGCCATCCATTACTAACCAGCAGTGACAAACGCAGCCACTCAGCGATCCCGTAAAGAATTGTGACTCTACATGTAATGAAGACAAGAAGCAGCGTTAGCTAATAATAAGTAGGCAGGGGTAGTAAATTGCGAGAAAAAGGTTTTTCCGGAGGGGTCTTGGTGTTGAAGACCCCTTCGAGTCAGAAAGCGGCATGAAACCTCTCGACCGGCATCTACGAACTTAGGAAGCACAACTCTATCCAGCCCTACCTTCTCTCCACGACTATTGAGCTTCGTGTTGTGTAACGAGGAAGACCGAGCAGACGTTGTCAGCAGCAGGGGGTTTACTCACATAGAATAATCAACCTCAATTCAGATACATAACCAACAAAGCAAAATCTCATCAAATTTTCTCGCTACGCAAAATAAAAGCAGAGCAATGTCTACCTGGTATCATATCCAAACACCGCCAATCCAGTGCGTGCCATCCCTTCCCATCCCCAGGGATGTTTTGTCCCCTAAAAGGTCAATATCACATACTTTCTCTCTTCCATCCACATCCACCCATTACCTCCGCTCACCCTAACCAACGGTTGCAACCGCTTAATAAACCGGATGATCAACCCAAATCGGTACATCCCGCACCTTCTCTATATCCCACACCACACGATTCTTCTCATCGAACTGCGCCCCCTCGTCCGTGATGGGTAACACCTTGATCGTATCCTTGACCTCACGCGCACTAATTCCCATCTCGTCCTTCACGATCCACAGAATCGGTGTTTCGCTCGTAACGGCCGGGTTCCAGAACGCCTTCTTCTCGACTTCGGCGGATAGGGGCGGGAGCGGGCGGTTAAGCTCCTCATGCAACATAGCCCTGCACGCCTCGACGCTCTTCTTCTTGGGCGCAAGCAGGCGGTAGAGAATGCCAGGCTTAGAATAACCGCCAGACGAGGCTTGCGGCGCCATCTGGACTTCGCTGCCCTTCTCGTTGGGCGACTCGCCTTCGGCGGTAGATTCCTCGGCACGGGCAGGAGTGGCGGTGGGCATGCCGTCGTCGGTCTCGGCGTAGGAGTTGAGGAAGGGGCGGAGGGACATCTTAAGGAAGACGTGGAAGGCGATACAGACGATGAGGAAGACGAGCATGATGACCAAGGGGCCGATGGCGGCGCGGTTGGAGGCGATGCTGATGGCGAAGAGGCCGATGAGGCAGATGGCCGACAGATACACGCCGGTGCTGAGCTGGTGTAGGGCCTTGGCGTAGGTGGCACCCTTGGTGTCGATGTTGGTGGAAAAAACGTAGAGGAAGTTGTAGCGGAAGGCGAGGTAGACGAGGGCGAGACCGACGAATGCGAAGCCCATGACTAGCGGGGCGATGCAGGAATATGTGATGGCGATTACACCGACGTTAGTCCAGACGGGGTAGGTAGAACCTAGAGCCGGGCCAGCTAGAGTGATGTACTTGGTGTACATCTTGCGAGGGTTCTTCATGAAGAATCGGCCTAGGACGTGGGTCATGACGAAGCCACCTGCGTTGAACAGGGCTTTGGAACTGAAACTAAGACCAAGCAGAATGAAATAGGAAATGTAGAAGTTGGATGCCAGCGGCAGATTGGTCGCAAGCAGACTGGGGGCTGTCCCTGGGTCTTTTATGATCTTGGTAACGACGGATGTAGCCGCGGAGCTGAAAGTAGTGATGAGAAAGACCTGGATGACCTGGAAAGCGAAGTACCAGGACTGGCACTGTAGTTCGACTTGGGACAGAGTCATGGCCCCTCCAAGCTTAGCGGCGACTGATAAATATTAGCTCTTGCTAGAGAAAAGGGTTATTGAATACTTACATCGGCAAACGACAGGCACCAACGACATGAGAACCGCAAGCAGCACGACTGGAAGGAGACCGGTGACAACACCTAGAATCACGCTCGGGATATCGTTGATGAAAGACAGAAAGTGAACCTTATCAGTGATGTTGTTGATGTTCGAGATGATACCGACGACGGCAACCGGGATAGCCCAGAAAATGATCATAATCACGATGAATGCCGTTGCGAGTGCGTGTCGGATTGTTACCATTGCGGACTTCATGCCCAAGTTCTTCCAGATGACTTCTCCGGGAAGGACGCCCATCTGGCGACCGATCGGCGAACCTCCCTTCACCTTGTTGAGTTTGTTCTGCGAAGCGCCCCAGGCGGCTTGAGCGTCGGTGAGCGTGTTAAACTCGACGAAGGCAGCGGTAACATGTTTCTCCTTGCCATTCCAGTGCGAATCCTGACCTGCTTGGACCTTTGGGATGAGCTCGGTCAGATGAGTCCGTCCATATTCAATGGTGTCGACCTTCTTGCCGATGAGGAATTTGAGCTTGTGGGTTGGGCGATCCTTAGGGTTCAAGTACGGGAAACCTCCCTCCTCGTTGCTCTCGTAATGCTTCTTGCCCTTCTCAGCCTTGAGACGGTTGGCGTTGGCGTCCTTGGACAGTCGGATTTCTCCCCCTTCTAGCTTCATAGCAGTATCGTCGCGCTCTTCGACAAGCTTGGTCAACTCCTTGCAATCGGTCGGGATCCAGACCTGCCTGGCACCTGGGTACCTGGCCCTGATGGCCTCCTCATTGAGGTCGGCGTTCGGAACGGAAGTAAACAGAATGGTGCGCGAGGAGATGCGGCTGGCGTTCCAGGCGGACAGGAGGTAGGCTTTGCGCAGGTTGATGAGGTAGAAGCACTCACGTGCAATGACCACCATAATAGCACTCAGGAACACGACGGCGACCAATGCATGGGCGTAATAGCGGGTCGCATGGGTTTTGACGTCAACATTGGAAAAAGAGAGTTTGTCCAACTGCTTCTTTCCACCACCGCCTGGTTTTGTCAGTATTTGCTTTCAGGGGCGGGGCAGTCGCACGCACCTGTGATGTTGACAGGAAACAGCACCGGCCAGGTGATGCAGCATCCCACGAAGCAGATGACCACCACGACCTTGGTGAAGCGCAGGAACAGGTATCCATCGAGCGAGTCGGCGTTGAGGACTATCTCATCGGGAGTATTGCGGTAGTCCTTGATCCATCCGAACAGCGAGGTCTGGGCCTGGGGGGTTTTCTGGCTGCGGGGACGTTAGCGAAGCGGTAGCTATCTTGTGACGTCGACAACCACGCACCGATCTTCAAGACTGCCGACGTAGGACCTGGGCGCGTAGAGGCGGTGCAGCTTGCGTCGAAAGATGAGGAACAGCACCACGAAGACGCAGGCGATGAGCAGCGCGGGGATCAGGGTCGACACGAGCGACGAGGCCGAGTTGGACGGGTTGCGGTTCGAGCCCGAATTGTTAGCGTTTTTGACGCTGTCCTACGCGCGAGTTAGCCTGGATCCGGGGGCATTGCAGCGGGAGACAGCGTACGCGGACGAAGAGGTTGGACGCCATGGCGGGCAACGGGAATTGGAGTTGTCGAGAGAATGCAGCTCTGCTGGCGAGGACAGCAGCAGATGTCGTGGGGAAAAACAACACGACCAAGGGGTGGTTCAAGGCTTTTGAGCTGCCAGGGTCAGTGCTGGCCGGCGTCATTAGCCAGGCTACTTCTGGCCGAGCGCGCTGCAGGTAGTGGGCGGCGGCTGGCCAAGCGCTGCGGTGAGCCCGACTCGGGCGGGCATCTGGGCCTCCTAGGCCTCTCGTGAACCGATCGCCAGCACCGTCTGGGCTAGCATCAGATCCGCTTTATTGCCTCTGGAGATCGCCTGCCCTGGCTATTGGGCACACGTCATGATGCCTCGCCAGCATCATGCAGCACCGCACAACGGGAAAGGCCTGTTGCTGTCTCCAGCCTCACTTCGCCACAGGGCCGCGCGCACCGCCGCACCGCCGCACCGCCCTCACTTCGGCCTGCTCCCGCATCATCGAGAATCCGGGGAAGAGCGGTCCAGACTGGGCCATGACGTGTTGCGCAGGTTGGAATTGTTGTTCCAGCTGCATGGCATCTTGATTGCTGTCCAGATCTATGGTGGCAGTGCTCGCCGTGCAGCAGCTGAGGTTGGGCGTCGACGACAGACGCAGCTATAGTGGTGAGAGCATAGTACACAGTAGGACGGTGACGGAGAGCATGGTGGAGCAGGATCCGCACCCTACCCACCGCGACGGACGCTCTCCCGAAACTTGGTTCCAAGATTGCGAGACATGGATGCGACCAGCATGTGAGACGCGAGAGCCTGCCACGCTGCCCAGACCCTGGCCGAGTTCAACACCGACGGCACCATCGTCGAGTGGCGTGAAAGAGAAGCGATGGCACGTGGAAGCCACGCATACTTCAGCCCAAGGTGCCATGCAGACGGTCTTCGAATCCTGACAAGCGGCTTGATACGAGGCCAACTCCATCAAAACTCCTGCAACGACACTCTGCCAGCAGGACGCCTGCGCCTCACACCACTCCGAGCCTCATTCATCTACCTGCATTGAAAGAACAAGTTGATATATTACGTTACAGGGGAATTTTAGCAGGATTGCAGGAATCTACCATTTATCGCTGCTTCCTACGCCAATCCGTTCGTAATTCACTCAACCATCCTTCTCGCATCGCAAGGACCCTACAGCTTCTGTATACAACCTGACTATAGTATCCGGAAACCCCTCCGCAGGTTTTCTCCTCATGAGAAGCGCTGGGGTGTGCTAGAGGCATGTGAAAGAATGCATTGTTCCGCTTCACGGCAAAGACAGGATCCATCAGGCCATTTTCGGAGTAGCTCCGATACCTTTCAACCTCCCTCATGCTAGCAAAGGCAGCCTGCCATCGTAGATAAGATATACATTACATTAATATCTAAGTATACTACGAGTCATCTATCCGCTTTCTACCCCGTTCACCTTTTTAATTCGTCAACCTCCCATCCACCCTTTCTTATTCTGCTCAAGTATGAAACAGAAATGGATGCGCCAGATATACATTATACACATTCAGAATGATGAGTGGGAGTGTATTATACCACACCATCCCTTTGAATCCAACCCGATACGTCACGGCCCCCACCAGCGCTCCCAACACCGTCAGCGTCCACATCCAGCATAAGATACGCATGTTGCGGTACTTGTTGCTCTTGTGTGCTCTAGCGTCACCCGTCGGCACCCACTGGAGTGTCTTACCGAAGATCTTGTCCTTGATTGCTGTTAAGTACGCGTAAGATTGGATTACCATGATATGCTGGACATTGAAACCGAAGCTCGCCTTCGCCCAAAAGTGGAACACAATCAGCCCATACGCGATCGATGGGACAGCGAACGCAAGGTTATAGTATTTGAAGTAGATGGGGCGGAACCAAAGAAGCAGGATACCTGGGATTGACGAGACGAAGATGGAGAGCGCGACGGCGGAGTAGTACATGAACCCTATACAAGTCTATCAGTCTGGGTTTGCGTAACTACGGATTACTGAACTCACCGCACAAGTAGCATACTTTCTGAATAAACGTAAGCTTCGATTTCCAGAACTCGGGGTTGCTCAGTAGCGTTGTAGATCCCATGCACCACCGCATCTGCTGCGACAAGAAGGACCGTGGAGTATCCGGACAAACACCCGTGGCAAGACAAAGGGGAATGTATTTGACTTTCCACCCTCGGTTGACGGCTCCAAACCTGTTCGGGTCAGTCATGACGCCGAAACGTTTGACGATACCATGGTACTGGTACTCACCCAGTATGGACGTCCTCGGAGAAACCAATCTCCGCGGTGCCGCCAACTTCTTCCAGAGCTGCACGACGGTAGACGGCGTTGCTGCCGACGCAGATGGATGCTCCCCAGCGGTTGCGATTCACTTGTACTACGCGGTAAAATAGTTCCTGCGTAACTCCCGCGCCTTGCTCGACCCAAGTTTGGTTGCTGCCCACCCGGAAGAACTGCGGCGTCTGGATGATGGCCGTCTTGTCGTCGGCGAGATGTTCTGGGATTAATTCACTAAGGAAATCTGGTCGGGGGCAGAATCTACATCATAGATGACGAAGAAATCTGCATCCGTCCGTGTGAAATGCTAGCGCAGGTTGCCGGCTTTTTTCAGTCGTGGCCTATCAGTTCTGACTGAGTAGTTGAACCCGTACCTCTCCGCTATCTCCTTCACCTCCGCCTTGTTGCCGTCGTCCATCACATATACTTTCAACTTGTCCTGGGGATATTCCAGGTTTTGAACATGCTTGTATGTGTTCTCAAGAATTGTAAGGTCCTCGGAACAGCATGGCAAGTAGATGTCAGCCGTTGGTGCATTCGTCGCCGTGATGACATAACTCAGCAACACCTGCTTGTGGCTTTCGAAATCCCAGTCTCGGCCGACTATACCAACAAAATATGAAACCATCAAATACGCCTGCAAGAGGAACACGAAGAGTCCAAACCAGGCAAAGATATAGTCGCAGACAGTGAAGAGCCACATGCCAGCCGACAGGCTAAAAAATGCAAAGATACCGAAGATGTAGAGTGGAACACGATTGGTATGCAAATAACAATACTTTTCCTCGTTGGTTGGGCACTCTGGCAGGACCAGTGGCGGGTCATGTAAAGGTGCGTACCTCGCACGAAATCGTTAGTACCACCTTCTGAAGAACCCTACCTTTTTTTGGGCATGAGGGGAAGCTGGCTCTTCGTGGTCTTGTTTCTTTCCATCTTTAGTGTGCTTTGCAAGTGGGGGAAGCGCTTCAACGTCTTGCTCGTAGTGCTTCTCGTTAAATTCTGGTTGGGTGGTTACAGTCGGGAGAGGGGCAGGCAGCTACTCGCGTATTAATAAAAGCACACCATGAAGATGGTTTTAGAATCTTACTATCAAGTCTTGAACTGCTGCAGATGCTGCAGCATCTTGGCTGTATGCCGACACCGACAGTTGCTGGCTGTAGCTAGATACTGACGGCCGTTGGCTAGGCGAAACGCTCAAGTTAGTCGTAAACTGCCGGTCAAGAACATACTGTTCACGTTCGAAAGGATTCTGGCCTAAATTTGCAAGTGAAGCTTGTGTGGCATTCCGTGATGACACTGTCAGGACATTGAATGCGGCATGCGGGCGTGTTAGAGGCTCCGAGCTAGTTTCCGCTTGACTTTGGGGAGGCGTTTCTGGGTTTCTCGTCCCAACACTCTTCTTGGACTTCGACTTCCTTGTCAGACGGCTGCGTTTTCGTGAAGGAGGCATTATCCCTCAACCGGTGGTGGCGCAACGTGGCAGCCAGTAATTCGTTTCTATTCACTCCTCTCAGTTTCCAATGTACAGCTGAAGACTCAGCTCGCCTGTTATTTGCTACCGTTGCCACCTGCAACCCCTATTCTCTCTTCACTATATAGCCACTCGTTAGCACCTCAATACAACTCATGCTTTCCTCACTGATCCTTTGCCCTTCCTACCCCTGCTGCCACAACGCAGGGTTTTGGAACACTGTGTGGAACTTGTACACCGCAGGCGAACTTCACTGCAGTTCTTACCACTCAAATTTTTCTGTTGGTTGCCTCCTTATCGATAATCTAAAGGCCAAATGCGACGGGTTATTCTCAGGGATAAAATGCCTGACTGAGGGTACGTATGTATGTACAAATGAAATAATACAACCGAGCAAGTGTGATGGCGCAATGGGGCACAGTTCAACGGAAAAAAAGGAGAGTCGATACGGAATACTTTCGCTGGCTTAGGACAACAGACTTTTTTGAACACCAATATTCCTCGAGAAAACAGACTTCATCCTTCAAACAGCACACTAAGGGGGTATCTCAATCTACTGTACATATAGAGTATGTGGACCCTGGTAAGAGCTTCTAAGTAAACCTGAAATTATAATTCTCTGACATTTTTTGGAATGTAATCGGAGGTGTAAAGGCGCCCAGGCGTACAAAGGTATTTTGCGGCGCAGTGCGTCTTTTTCAGAATAGCCTAGGCAGGTAGGTTATGTCACGTGGGCCGGCAAGCTCTACGAATAAGTCAAGGGTAGGGGGTCATGGGGGCCACTTTCCGATGTATTATCCTACCCCTTGTACCTTAAGATGACACTTTTACACCCCCTTACCTGGCATAGCGAATGCTTTTTTTGTAAGGCTTTCTACAACAAATTATAGACAGTAATAAGCGCTTTTGAATAAGCATCCTATGACTTTCTAACACCTTTTAGTGGTGTTAAAATATGGGCGGTAGAAATTTGTGTTCGAGGAATTTTGGTGTTTAAAAGTTTGTTATCATTAAGCCAGCTATGGTATTCCGTATAAACACTCGCCTCCCAACTGCATGAGAATTCAAAAAACTCTGCAACCGTGCAAGGACGCGACGACCACTCCATCTATCTGAGCTGTGCTCATCACCGCCATTATATAGCCTCACCTTCCTCGTACACAACAATCGTGATATCCTCTTGTTCACTATTCTAACACTGCTGGTGGCTCTTCTCCCTCTTCCTCTTCATCTCACTCCTCTCCTTTTGATCTTCCCTAGCGCCGAGAAAGTTGGCTTGAATTGGCCTCGCCACTATGAGAGATCTGTACCCAAGCACGGTTCCCATCAAGTATGATCCGGACGGCAACGCCCAAGCGTACGTTGGTAACAGCATCATCTGCCCACTGTCGCCATCAAGTCTTCTCTATGGATCCCTGCTCGACCTCCATGAGAAGCTGCGAAACAGCAGCCTTTCACATCTCTTCGCGAAAGATGCCCTGATGGAGCCAGCACACTGGCACGTGACTGTCTTCATCGGCGCCCGCGACAAGATCCGCAGCAAGGGCTACTGGCCCAAGGACGTGCCATCGGACATGCCGCAAAACGAGGTTCTCGAGCTCCTGACGGACAAACTCGGGAAATTCGACTTGCAGTGCGACCCGCCGTACAGAATGAGGGTCAGCGGGCCAGGCCATACCAATTACAGCGTTAGTATATACCTCACGCCCGAGACCGCGGAGGAAGAGGAGAGGTTGAAGGACCTGCGGAATAGGCTTTCGGACCACCTGGGCATCCGCCATCCAGAACACGACAGGTTCAAGTTCCACTTGACCCTGGCGTACCTGCTAAGGTGGTTGGACGATGGACAGAAACAGGAGCTGGACGCCCTCTTGCAAGAGCATTTCAAGACCATGCCAGCCCAGGTGGAGCTAGGCGGGCCGACGTTCTGTACGTTCCAGGATATGAAGGCTTGGAAGCCGGTACTTCAGCTGAAGACTCTCTGACGACGGCGCGCCCCAGCGTATGGTCCGGGTTGTCCAAGAGAATCAGCGAGCGTACAAGATGGGGTGATGCTAGATGTCCACCAGTTGCTCGGCAGACATCCTTTATTCTAACGTACATACCGCATAAATTCGGAGGGTGTACTACGCGAAGGGGGTCTAATGTGCAGGGGGTCTACAAATGGGTTATTTTCTTCCACAAGCCACATTTTCCCTATCAAAGTGGCCTTGCTAGTAAGAAAAGAGGACTTTTATTGTAAGAAACGCCCCTAAAAGAGGGGAGGATTTGCATATCCGAAACCGTGTTGCGCAGATAGAAAGGCCTATCAGGGGTTTCTTCTACGCTGGGGGGTCTCGTAACGTAGTATGGTCTTGTAAACGGTTTTATCCACCATGTCGCACATGCAGTCAGTGGAACAGCTGCGGCGTATCAGGACACTGGTCGAGGTATGATCATACTAGATAAAGGTTGCGTTGAATCAGAATCGCACGTCATGGAACGCAAGTCGAGCCATCTTCTTCCGCTTTAGCGGTACGTCGCATTCTTTACAGGTCTTTTACCTGAAGCTTTTCTCGTAGCCCTCAAGCACCCAGGCAGTGCGTACTGATGCCACCAGTCCAAGTCCGAGAGCGACCAATTCAGTGCCTGTCCCAGACTAGAGAGAAAATCTTTCAGGTTCCGCCTTCACGCACGGCCTTCATTGCCTCCATTCAATGTCTTCACTCAAGCCAATCCCTTCTTCTCCATCTCCTTCCCGAACTTCAAGTACCCAGCCTGCAATCCGAACGGCCACTCGCTCAACCTCCGGCCTAGAGCGTCCTCTCCGTTCACGCTGTGGTAAATGCTCTCCTAGCTACAGTTCAAACTCTGTGCCCCAGCCAGGAACTCCTGCGTGCCGCCCTCCTCGGCGAAGCGCTCGTCCGTGACGAACCGCCCAATTATAACGTGAGCTCCCGCCGCTGCGTACCACGGATCGACACCGATTCCGCTCTCTAGGAAGAGTGCGAGTGCCTCTAGCTCACTTCGTAGGTAGCGCGTTTGTCACAGATACCACACAAACCACGGTATCTTCATACAGTGTTTGCTCACGTGATGGCATTTAATGCGCGTGAGCACTGTCTCTGCGCCGGATCGAAACCCCTTTTTTGGATTCGGAGCGTAACTAGTTCAAATGCCATATCAGGGCCGTCACTAACTAAATCAACATGAACCAGGTCAGCTTCACACCCCTTGCGTTCAACGCATCAGGTAACATTCTTGGATCCGAGTTAATGACCTCGTTCGTTATCTTGTGTCGAAAGTAATCAAACACCGGAGGATCATCGGGCTCGGGCTCATGGTCGAACCTCTCCCAATCTCCCAGATCAGTCCCCTCCAGTCGCGGGTCCTCTTGGACGAGCTCCTTCGTGTCTCTGTTGTAAAAGCGGTACTTATAGCGGTTGCCAAAGCTCTTAAACATTTGCACCTCCCACGGCGCAGGGAGCGGGCCAAGAACACTAGTGGCGTCGTACAGACCGAAGACGAAGCACTCTCCTACGACAACAAAGCGTCCCAGTCCCTTTTCTCTGAGTAGAACTGGAAAGTCACAGCCCAGAAACACGCATATGATGTCGCCTAGCGTTGAAAGAGAACACCACATTATTAGCGATTATCAGGACGGAGAATTTTTGGGGAGATTCTCTAAAGAGAGGGATGAGGAGGGAGGTGAATTGAGAATGATGAATGAGAGACCTAATTACCGATCTCAGCGTCCAACGGAACTGTCCCGACATATCCCGTATCTGTCCGCACATACGCATGCCCGATACATAAGTTGATGGCGTCACAGATGAGACGGTCTGCTGCTGACGCTGTGGTAGGAATCTCATTCGTTCCCTTGAAGGTTTCACCCCGAGTGAAGCGTAGCCACGCGAGCTCCCAGTCTTCGAAAGACGGGTATATGTTCCTCCAACCAACCCAGCGCTCTCGGACCCTACCCTTGCGGAGAGTCATGAGATGAGCACGTTGTAACGTCTCGTTGTTTGGGTAGGGGATGGTCGTTATGTTCTCGGGCTGCCATGCTCGGATCGTGCTACTAGCCGTCTCGCCTCCTGAAGAAAGCTTGCTCGACACTGCGGTGACGCGGGCGCACTGCACCCCCAGAGCAGAAAGCGCGGCTGGTGCCTCGAATGTGAAATGAGCGCGGGAGAACCCTGCCGAGAACTGCCCACTGCATGGGAACTTTCGTGGCAATCGAGCGGTGAGATCAGGTACCCATGACGGAAGATTGAGTATTCGCCCATACTGGTACGCCCGCTGCAAGATATCCAGCCTCTGGATGTGGTTGGAGTAGAGCAGCGTCATCTCCATGTACACTTGGCTCACCGAGTTGGAATAGTTCGGCCGAAACTTTGCTGCGAGTTTCTTCGGAGCTAGCCCTAGAATGCCATAGACGTAATCCCTTGGATCCTTGCACTTTCTCTGGCTCCCCAGGCGCAGAACACGGTCGAACGGAAGCCCGACCGAAGGGTTTGTGATCTTGGCCAGGTGTCTCAGGCGAGTTTCCAGCTTTGATGCGTGATGATTTTCTTTGATGCATGTGGCGGCACGTCGAAATATTGTGAATGGGATAGCGCAATATCCACACTGCACCAGAGCCCGCGAGTCAGCAAGTAGTATTTCCTGGATAACCCACACTCGGTCGAACCAGCCACGGCAAAATAGTGAGTGGACGGCATCCCAAGTCTGAGACTCGTAGGGAAGCTCGGTTCCGGGGTCGTGCCAGTTCTCCTCGACGGCGTCTGGCGAAGGGCACAGGTGGCCACCTTCTAGATATTCGACTTGGCCTCCGATGTAATTTAATGTTTGGATCGCATGACCGCTCGAGTCCGCTTCTGGGCCGAGCCAGGCTATCACCTGGTAAGCAGACCTGTAGATGTCTCGCATTCGACGAATTTGACTTTGTTTCTCGATTTCGTCCTTTTGGTTGATGGAAAGTGCGTCTATCCAGAACGTCCGAGTCGTCTGTGCATTACGGAGATGCCGCAATGCGACTATGAGATTTTTCCCGGCTGGTAGATTACTGACGGCAGACTGCTGTGCTTCGACCACGATGGTACCTCTGTCGTCGACCTCGCCCCATGTATATGATAGAGCCTCATATCTTGGTTGGGAGCGTTCAACTCCATCCCCAGGTTGGAGATAAGTTGAGGGCGAGACATCCTCTACCGGGCAAGCCCATTGCCAGGATCCACGCCCTAGCTTATGAGGGTTCTCGAATATATACCGTCCTTCCACCGTTGATTGCACAAACCATGGTTCTGGGAGCAGCTCTTTGAGCTTTGCCAAGTCCAATCGGTTGTCTACCAGTTTCGCTGTCTCGCCTATGGGGGCATGGAAGATTTTGATACGGATTTCGTCCCCAAGTTCGCCAGGAAGTAGGTCGATGAGTCGAACATCCCTCAACGGGTCAGCGAGGGGCGGATATTGATATTCATTGTCCACGCTAGTCGCCATGTTGGAAACAAAGTTCTGGGAAGATGAATATTAGTTTCGCGCCGGGGGGAGGCTGGCTTCTTGAAAGTCATGCCAGTCAAGCCGAGGTTGATTGGTGCCTGCCTGCAGTCTGGGATGTAGTATCATAACGAGAGATAACTGGTACACGTGTTGGCGCGCGGCTTCACCGGAAAAAAGCCACTCATCTCAAACCACCATTATCGTTGTCGATCAACCAATCAGAAGTTCGGTCAAGACACCTAAATAGCTTGTTTATGATAACATCTCATAGGCTTCTGGCTCCTAAGAACCAAGATACGCTTTTCTAGCTACTTAGGCTTTATTGTTTTATTATAGATATTCAAGCGCAGCTACGAACCTTACTGCACTGGACATCCCCGTGACATCAGTCGCAAAAGCGGCGAAATCGGGAGCTATTATTGTCGAGAAGAGCACTGAGCCTTGCGGAACAGCTCGCACGATCCGGGAGATTCTCACGCTCCATCGTCCTGGCGTACAGTTCGAGATCCTTTCAAATCCATAAAAATTTGCGGAGGGTATGGCCGGCGAGGATCTGTTTGTGTACTCCCAATAGTTGTCGGTATTGTGGATGTTGCAGAAGGGCGTCGAGGTTGAATAACGAGATCAGGAGGTGAAGCTTTCCTTGGCACTGCAGATCTCCCGAGGCCCCATTATTAGGCGGGCACGTTCCCTCAATCGATCGGGGTGCAAGACCTCTCCTTTGCCGGCATCCTCTACTCCTTACAGCCCGGAGTGGCCAGCAAAGGTTACTCCATCAACGTGGAGATGCTCCCGGGCTTCCCGAATTGTGTGGCCGTCTCCAATGGCGTTGGTCCTCCTTTTCCTTCACCTATTGTCTCACCCGAGGATGCCATCAACGATTCTTTTCTCAACCAGCAAGAACTGAATCTATGAGCTCTGTAATCAATTAGCGCTAGTTATCACAGCTTGACTGACTACTATAAATTACAACAATGGACTGTCTTCGAATATGCATATTAGACTAAGCAGCTCCGCCTGTTGACTTTCCACCAGGGTATCAACCCCATTCCTCCCAAGAATCTGATCGAATCTAGAAACCGAATGTCTAGAAACTACATAATATCCAATCGCTTCTTCAACACTTCAATCTTTTCTCTATAGCAAAAGGCATGACTATGTTTTCAGGTGCCGGAATCCGGAATGCAATCATCCGGATGCACATCGTTCCCTAGTCTTAATCGGCAGGAACCCCATAAGAATTGTCGCCGACCCCATATGGGGTAGGCTGCATGTAAGCCCCAGTCATCGGAGGGTCCCCACGATATGGGCCCCGGGCGAACGTCTGGGGTTGATTATCTGGGGTAGGGGGCGGTTTTTAAATAAAGCCGCAACTCCCTAGCAAACCTAGCTCGCCCTGATTTTGCACCGGTACTACTGTTTCCTCATCCATTCGACCTCTCACCAGTTTGATCCTTCTTCGTTTTGCCTACTATGAGGATCAATCCGACCTCCCAGACGCTCTCCCTCGTCCTCCGAGCGATTGAGACAACAATCGCGCCAGACCTCACGAATCCTACTGCCATTGGCGCGATCGAGCTCATCAAGCCAGCTCTACATGATCTGCTGAAGCGACAAGGTCCTTCTGTACCGCTTCTACGAAAATGCATCGAAGAAGGAGAAGCCTTGAACCACGAAATAACGCAGCACCTTGAGGGAAACAAAGCCGGCCCCAAACGTCCTTACTCCACTCTCGGGAACTTCGACACCCTCTGCGAGAAGTACGACCAATTGACCGAGGAGCTAGACGAGTTGAGTACCCGACTCACAAAAGTCGCCTCGCATGACCCGAAGGCATCAAGTTTCATCCGCAAAGCTGCGGAATGGGAGCTTAATTACTACACCACTCTGCAAACAATCCAACCCCAGCCCTTCAATGGCGAATCTTCCCATCCAGACGACTCTCCCAACCCACCATTAACGAAGGGATTCTTCGAATCTTTCCTGCGAACCAAGCGCAACGATACTAGCCTCAGCGTGACATCCTTCACGTCCAACCCAGGCAGTTTCGGAAAGCAAACCTACTTTGCTACCGTCACACATGGTTCCAGTGACACTGAAGACCTCGTAATCCGCAAAGCAGACCCAGCGCCTATAATGCTACACTCATCTTTCCTGCTATCCCAAGAGCACGACCTGTTGAAAGCCGTCTCCGCAACCGGCTACCCGGCTCCAACGCCCATCGATCTCGCCGAAAACCTCCCAGGCGTCGATGGAACCTTCTTCACCATGAACAAGATCAGCGGAAAGCTCCCCGGCAGCTTCCTCGGCGGCCACGAGGCGAAGATCGACGAAGACGTGTGGTTGCAGCTCGCAGAAAAGCTAGCACAGCTCCACACAATCCCGCTCGAGAAGTTCGAAGAAGTGATCAAAAAGTACGACGAGGAGGGCGCAATGGAGGACACCGTGCAGTCGCGGTACCACCGCAACCTGCGCGGATGGCGAGATTACGCCTCCAGGATTGAGCATCTCCCCTCTCCTTTTATCACGTATCTTTTTAGCTGGCTGGAGCGGAACGTGCCCGCGGACGACCGAAAGCCCGTTCTCACACATGGAGACTTCAATATCCACAATGTGCTCTTCGAGGACGGGAAGCTGACGGGTGTGTTGGATTGGGAGTGTTCTGACTTCGGCGCGCCGGAGCAGGATCTCGCGTACATTCAGCCGCATGTTAGCAGGCACATGCCGTGGGAGAAGTTCCTGGACCATTATCTGAAGAGCGGCGGGCAGGAGCTGAATATGCAGTACATGTCATTCACGTTAGCCTACTCGGTGCTAAGGACTATGCTAGGCGGCGTGAGAGCGACAAGGAATTTACAGGTGGGACACAACCGCGATCTGAGGTATATCATGGTGGAACTTGGGTTCACGCCGGCGTTTATGGGGATGGGGTTAGCGTGTACGGCAGACAAAAAGGAGAATGGCGCCGTGGAAGACGCATCGAGAAGAGAGACGGAAGTCGAAGAGAAGGCTGCCAAGGCAAACGGCAACACTGAACTGGAGTCAACGTTGGAGCAAGATCTGAAAGAGACTAACGGAGTAAACGGAAGCCACTACGTCGCCGACAGATACCGTGCGCCTGAAGATATGCTGGCCAAGGTCAGTGGTGGAAAGACGCTCCAGATCTACGGTGATGAAGTCAATGTGAGACAGAAGCCCGGACCGCAAGAGAATTGGCAAAACTCCGTCGTTTTGGTTTGGTGGGATGATAAGAACGCGGTTGGCGGTTTCCATCGCTTGGGCCATGAGCCGAACCTGAAAGATGGAGGGAGAGTCGTCATGTGGAACTATCTTCTATCTCCAAAGGGTATGTATAAGAAGATGCATCATGTCCCACTTCGGGATGCTGACCTACTACCGAGCAATGGATTCGGGAGTGGAGATGATACCTGCCGATGTGAGGTCGAGGATGGAGAGCATATCTGGACAGTAGAAGATGAAGATATTTCTGCGAAGATCACGTGTGTCGATACCGGCCCTAACGTCGACTGCTATCCAAAGAAGGGACAGATCAACTCTTTCACCTCTCACCATTTCGATATTCCCGGCATCGTTCACGGTTCCCTGAAGATCAAAGGGGAAGAATACAAAATCGCCGGTCTTGCTGTTCGCGATGCTGGATGGGGTCCGCGAAACTGGGGTACCGTCTACTCCCATCGTTGGATTGCAGGTACCTGCGGAAAATCACTTAGCATCATCGCCGTCTCCTGGCATGGTATCGATGAGAGCATCGCGACATTTGGCTGGGTCGTAAGGAACGGTGTTATCACTTACGCCAAGAAGGTCAAGATTCTTGCGTATATGGAAGAAGACGCAGCGACCAATTCTGGGGGGAGAGTCACCTTTACTCTCACCACAGGCGAGGTCTTGGATGTTGAATGTACACCTGTACCGGTCAAGGCTATGGTGTCGTATCATCAAAACGTGTGTGTCGTGGATAGGATCTGCAACATGACATGTGGAGGTCTTCGTGGGATGTGTAATTTCGAGACGAGCGCAAATATCCAGATGGGCACGAGGAGGCCGACGAAGTTTTCTAATGGTATTATTGATAATGGGTTTTTCGAGGATGCTAAGTCGGTATAAGAGGATGGTTCCAAGTTCCAAACTTCGGTAGTTAGAGAGTATATAATATCTCTAGAAACATGTGTGATTCGTGGGCATTGGCGACGCTCTTAAGCTACCATAGATGTGATGTGACTGTTTGGCGACTACATGAACTCGAATGTCCGAGAAGAGAGCTACATGTTCGTACTTCGTAGACGGATATCAAAGCTAGTCTTATCGTAAGCTAGCGCCATTAAGTGCATGTATCCGATAGGCATAAAACCACCTCTTCTCGAACAACAACCCCTTCACATATCTAACAGCACCACTAAAAAGCCAATCCAAGGGATGCATAACCCGCAAATCCCACCATGCCTCACATAACTGCAGTCGGCGCCTGCTATCTTGATACCATCCTTACGTAAGTTAGTTCAATTCCATATATTTATCCTCACAACCCATTCCATCTCAAAAACTCAAAAGAATCTCTCATCTTCATACTATCACTATCAACTATCATTTCAAGTACTCCAAGTACCGGCGTCTACCCATCTCACACACCCCCAGCATCCCCCACTACCCCCCCGAAGACGCCAAACTCCGCAGCACATCCCTCTCCCGCCGCCGCGGCGGAAACGGCCCCAACACTCTCGAAGTCCTGTCGCAACTCTCCCCTCCCCCTTCCCTCTCGCTCTCCCTCATCACCATCCTCCCCTCCCACAGCTCGCCCGCGACGCAGGAAGTCCAAACCTCGCTTCCAGCGGTCGATATCTCGCACTCCATCTTCCGCGAGGGCTTCACAGAGGCAGCGAGCAGCTACGTCCTCAGGAGCTTGGAGACGGGGAGTCGCACGATTGTGAACTTCAATGAGCTGCCTGAGATGACTGCTGAAGAGCTCAAGGGTAAGGTAGGGGAGGTGTGCGGGGAAGAAGGGGAAGGAGAGGGTCAGTGGTGGCATTTTGAGGTAAATTACCCTTTTCAGGCATCTGATAGGCGATCTGAGTTGCTGAGCTTCGCAGGGTCGAATACCGGACGTGACGCTCGCGTGCGTCCAGCATCTACGGGCACGCTTTCCAGAGGCGAAGATCAGTGTCGAAGCGGAGAACCCGACCCGGGAGGGACTGGAGGAGGTGACGAGATTGGCGGATGTGGTGTTCTATTCTAAGAGCTGGGCGGTGGTGAGTGGGAAGCGTTTACGGTTGCTGGTATGGTGCTGATTCGGGCTGCGGTAGAGTAAGGGGTTCACAGGAGCGGAGAGCATGCGAGCGTTTCTTGAAGCGCAGGCTGCGGGGGCAAAGAACGGGTGATTCTGACACGGTATCTGTCATAGAGCTTTGCTGATTTAAAGGCAGGGCGCTGCTGTGCTTGACCTGGGGCTCTCTCGGAGCGGCAGCTCTCGACTGTGAGACTAGCCAGTTCGAGTACGTTCATGCTTGGAGGTATGAGGGTCGAGCCGCCGTTGAGTAAGTCTCAAGCATGCCGTATTTGATTTGGAGATACTAAGGATTTACAGCACGATTGGAGCTGGCGACACGTTTGTAGCTGGTATGCTGTATTGTGAGAATGTGCGATGTGGTGACTGGTCTTTGAAGGAGAAGCTGGCATTCGCCAATGAGCTTGCTGGCCGGAAGGTCCTACAGGAGGGTTTCGCTGGGCTTGGAGATGCTATGCAAGACCTCTTGTAGAACATATGGCAGGGTCATCGAAAGTACTTTGAAGCTAACGAGACGAAAGCGCATTCAGAAGGTCAGACAGATGCGAGCAAAGAAAGACGCTTGAGATGATGATGGTGACGGTGGTGGTGGATAGAGTGAAGTTTTGCGCGCCTCATGCATACAAATTCCGCCGTGGGCATCTGCAGTCCGATCACCACAAATACCGCCCGCCTACGTGAAATGAAGTAGTATTTAAACTTATTAATTGACTTTGCTTTTTCCGGTCTCCCAGTCCAGCTGCCTGACCAGGTCTTCGCTATGTGAACTCCTTGCCAGCTCAAGCGGTCGCCAACGCCGTATCCTATGCTTAGCAACCTGCAAATGCGCCATAATTTCGTGACCGCCGTATGTGAACAACATCAACATGTGTAGAAGAACCGCCGCTAAATCGCCTCGTTCCAAGCACCAACAGTGCGCACATGCTTAGAATGCCATAGAAACAGAATAGAAGAGCGCAATCATGTGCTGGCCTCAGTAGCCGTCTCTTCGTACGCCTCTGCTACATCCCCGTCTTCGTGGTCACCGAGATTGGAATCAGAGTCGCTCCCTGAGTCTTCCCCATCTTCCTCATCCTCATCGTCTTCGTCATCATCGTTCATTCCATTAAAGGCATCGATGTCTTTCCACTCGATATAATCTCCTATCAGCCATTTCCGACTCTTAGGTAGAAGATACGGGTCGAAGGGAAAGTAAGCATCAAGCTGGAGTCCGTCTTCTCCCTTTTTAGCACTCAGTGCTGTCTCTCGCTCCGCGTAGCCGCCATACGCGCCACCGCCAACCATCGCCCTCGACAACCTCACCCGCTTGTTCGTTTCTAGCAGCGGAAAGACGTAGAGGAAGCGGAGATGGTGGGCAACGCGTGCGAACTGCCCAACGATGACCGGCGAGCAAATCTTGAGCGGATTCAGCTTGCAGTAGATATTCCTTGAAAAGGTTTCCTTAATGCCGGTATGCCAAACATGTTCGCGACCGTCCGATACGTCTTCATCCAAATCGTCATCTTCTTCGATCAAGTCGCGCCAACGGAAGCAGAAGATGTAAAGGAGCGCCTGTGCGATACCGTAGTATGTGCCATAGCGGCGGAGATTGGGTCCGATGGCGCTGTACTGGTGAGCCTGGCGCTCGTGAGATTCGCGAAGGTTGTTGAGATGGCTGCCTAGCAGGTCGACCACGTCACGAACTAGTTGCTTAGAGACGTGGGCGCCACGGGAGATGAAGGAAGCGAGATAAGCGGCTGCGGCTAGTCGTAGAATCTGAGGGCGGTTTTTGTCGAAAGCGAGATGGCTGCAAGCACCGGCGAAGCGTCCGGTGAGTTCAGGGGAGCTTTGGCTGAAATGAAAGAGTAGGAATTGAGTGTGTCGGGATCGGTATGTCGGTAGGATAATATTGGCAAACTGGGAGAGAAGAGATTCGAATGTATCGTTGATATCGAAGAAGTCGCCTTTTGCGAAAATGGGGTGGTAGTACTCGAAGAGTATATCGAGGATGGCATCCATTTTGCCGATAGACTCTCTAATTTCCTTGGTGCGGCGTTCTTCTGGCGTGGATGATTCTTCGCTCGAGTCCGAATCCTCGCTATCAGATCCGTCGTCTTCCTCATCCGAATCTTCCGCATTCTGCTTCTTCTTCACATCTTTGATCAGGCTCTCCTCAATGTCATCCTCAAAGTCCTCCATGTCCACCTGTATCTGCACGTCTATCTTAACGAGTCGCTCAGTAACCAGAGCGAGGATTTCGCCTTTTAGTTCCGGAGCATATGTAGCCAGCTTGAGAAGGTTCTTGATATAGTCCACATGCACCTTGGTAGTGTCGGTAGAAAATGGGAAGTTCGAGCCTAGGACATCAGAAAGCTCTCGGCTAGCTGCAGGGAAGAGTCGGAGTAGGTATTTGAGGCATTGGTGTACTCGAGCATGTATACGTCGTCGCGGTACTCTGGGGTCGTCTTGATGGCGGATTGCGGGCGATGGTACTGATATCGTTAATGAGGGGTGGTGGAGCATACGAGGGCAGGTATACGTACGTTTGATGAAGTAGTCTACTAGTTTCTGCAATACACTTGACGTGTAACCTGCCTTAGCGGAGACCAAGCATCCCAAGAATCTTATGTAGGTGGAGACAAATTGCTCGCTTCTGCTGAGCCATCTGCAATCCAGAATGGCGTGAACAAGTCCGGAAGAGTCTCTATCCAGCAAGCCGACTTGCTCAGTGAGGACGAGGATGTACTTCTGGAGCAGAGGAGTCGACGGTGCATCGTCGTCAGTAGGCCGGATTGATATGAGATGGTTCAGCTGGTTGACGCCGGATGAATCGCCGTCGCCGTTTTTCTCCAATGCGCGGCGAACCTCTTCTCTGATGAGCTCCGTGTCCTTCTCTTGCCACTCGGAGAGTATCTGAACATTGACGTCCGGGTTGAATGCCACCTTGAGACGCTTTGTCGGGCTAGAGGGTATGTTTTCGTGGTCGGACGGCGAGTCTTCGTGCTTTCGTTTGAGGCTGCCGCCTATGCTGGGCGCGATGATGAGGGTAGTCGCCCGGTCGGAGGCTGCGAGGGAGACCATGGTGTCGGGAATCGCAGCTTGAGATTCGGGTCACGCTGGAGGTGCGGTCATGCTTGTATAGAATGTGGAGGGAAGATAATGCGTCGTGGTGGGGTGTTGTGGACAAGAATCTGAAGTCCGGCCGTGGAAAAAAGCTCGGGCCCCACTTTTCTATTATGGAGGCGGTGAATACCAATAACTGTGGGGCTCCTCGGTATCAAGCTCTGAATTCACTACGTCGACCCTTGGACCCCTCTTGCGCTGAGGAATCTTATCACAGGCACAGCTTTGGGAGGCGAAAGAGATTTTGATTGGTGCACTACGAAGGGCGTGAAGGGATAATGGCCGGCTCTAAACACTAACTACAGCCAAGATAGTCTCTTCATGACGGTCCTGATGCAGGTCTTCCTGATTCACTCGTATGTCTCGGGAGATGCACTTGATAGGATCCCAATTCATCATTCCAGTCGTCTATATGATATGGCAAAGGTTCTGTATAGCGAAGGCGCCAAGGTTAATTCCAATTGAACCGCACATCTCTTTGGTCTGGGTCACGGGGTTTCCTCGTGGACTACTCCTGATGCATACTAAATCTAGAGGCTTCGACGCCAACATTCTAGCACGTAGAACCCAGATAGAGCTCCTATGTGCCTCGAGAACTGGTGGCGGCGTCGCGCTGCATCGATTCGTCGAGGCCGATGGTTGGTTGGGACCTTCGAAGCGCCCGCGTGCGTTTCAGGAGTCCATCACATCTCTCCGCATTGTGCAATAGCCACGTCCTGGGTGGGCCTATCACCTGGGTTCGTTCTTGTGTTCTGGATCTTGTCCACGACATCCATGCCCTCGACAACTTTGCCAAAGACTACGTGCTTTTTGTCCAGATTGGGCTGGGGCGCGCACGTGATAAAGAACTGACATCCATTGGTGTTTGGTCCGGCATTCTGGTAGATTGTCAGCGTCTGAGAGTTAGCATGACAGAACAACATACAGCCATGGAGAGAAGATAAGGGGCATCGTGTTTCAAGTTGAAGTTCTCGTCGGCAAACTTGGTGGTGCCGTAGATGGTCTGCGAGCCTGATCCATCTCCATTGAGAAAATCTCCACCTTGGATCATGAAGCCCTTGATCTGAAAAGGTTTTTAGCAAAGCATAAGCGAAAGACCAATGCAGGATAGCTCACCACACGATGGAACTTGGAGCCTTTGTAGCCGAGTGGTCGTCCTAGGTTGTTCCTCGTCTCGCCAGTACAGAATTGGCGGAAGTTCTCCGCGGTTTTCGGGGTGACATCCTTGAAGACCTCCATCTTGATTCGCCCAAGAGGTTCTCCTGCATTTGGTCAGCATGTTTTGGTATGCCAAGCTTGCGCGTGATATGGAGCTTTGGCGCGGAAAGCTCGGGAAACATAGATTCCCTCAAGACGTTTATCGGCACTAAAGTGTGGCAAAAATTGCAAAAGCCGAGTGCATCAATTACGAACCTCCAAGAGTGATATCGAAGAAGCAAATTGGGTTTGGTTCCGCCGGGGTGGTCTCCATGATTTGGGCTGTGCAGGATCACTCCCAGGTGGTGGCTTCGCAGGTGAGAGGTTGGCTTTCGTAAGATGTGTAGAATGGGTGGTGGAATGGCCAGGGCGCAGGATTGCAAGTGCGTGTTTTAGGGTGATTCAGTACTCAATAATCACCGGCGAATGGGCGCTGTGGGAGGGCTCGGACTGGGGGAGGGCTCAATGTGTGTGCCTCGGGAACCAATGGCGTGCAGAGAGGTTTTCCTGTCTGAAAGGGGGTAGCTTGGCAGGGCTAAACCTTCCAGTCAGCGATTTCGACAGGAAATGTCTCGTGAGGTCGAATTCGGAATGGTGGTGGAGGGGAACTGCAGTGTGAACGGGCAAAGGCCTGTGCCGAACGCTCTGCGCCAAGTTCAGGCTCGGCGATGGAGATCGCTGCCAATGGTCCCGAGCCAGCCGGATTTGCAGTGCGGGACGTTGTGCGGCAGCTCTTGTCCGGGCTGGTGTCGAGACAGCAACAGAGCGAGAGCGGGCGCAGAGACTCGGGCCAAGGGTCGCTGCAGGAGGCGACGCTGCGCCGACGTTCTTGCACGACGCAGGGCGCCAGAAGCTGCCACACTGCCGCCATCGAAACAGCTGGCGTCGAGGTGAAGCCGGCCGTGCACCCTCCTCCACCGCGTCGGGTCTAGCGGATCGTGGAGCGCTTGAAGGCCCTCTTTGTCCTCGTCCTTGGCCCACCCTGCCGCAACCAAGCATCTCGCTCTCCAGACTCACGGCCTCCCGCCAGCAGCTCCAGGCACTTCGTCCACTTCACTCCACCGCACCGCCCTTCACTCGCCACAGGGCATGGACAATCCGATTGTCCACCTGCCTCAAAACTAACGGGCCGCCCCAGCCCCCCAAAAGGCCTCTAAACCCAACCCGTCTCAGCTGCTGCGCTTGCCACCCACGGCCTCCACCCGTCATCCATTCGGCCTCCTCGCCCACCCACGCCTGCACCCATCCGCGGCGAGCGACCGTGAACTACCCCCGGCGCAACACGTACCTCGAGGACACCACACTCGCAGGGTCGATATCTCGCTGCTCGACTCGAACCGTGGACACTCGTCGCCCGAGTTCCCCGACCGCAACCCTCGCCCAGCCGTTTTCGGCCGTCGCCCTGTACAAAGCTGCTTTCTTGTACATATTTCAAATCGACCCTCTACGACTGCTCCGTATCTGCTTCCTTACCTCGTACATTCGCCAGCGATTGCATGGATAGCAACTAGCCACCATGTCTACAACCTCCTCGGCGCCTGCGCCTTCGAACACGGGCAGCGGCAACAATTCGAGTGGCCCCACCAGCTCCCCGCTGCTCTTTTTCGTCGCTCTTGGCTTCGGTGTTGTGTTTACGAATCTATGGTACGTTCTTCGCGACTGAGACTTGGTCTTGGCTGTTGCTTCGCACGATTACTAACCTCTGCGCTTCAGGATTATCGTCGGTGTTAAGTACTGCTTCAGATATAACCAGCGCAATCGAGCCGCACGGGCTGCTGCCGATGGAGAACCGATAGACTTGCCGGCCATGACCCGCCCGCATCGCCGGAGGAGAGAAAAGAAGCTGATGTCGATGGAGGAGGTGAACGAGCGATTTCCTCTCACCAAGTACAAGGCTTGGAGATATTCGCGCGAGAATGAGGGACTGCCTGCTGCTGGTGGCATTGCAACTGCTCCTAGCAGACCTGCAAGTGTCAAAAACGTAGATTCAGCGAACAAATCATCCGGCGAATCTCGACGTTCGACAGAGAGCACTCGACCTACCACGGCTCTGGACATCGCCCGTGAAGATCTAGCCGCACCTACCGCGTCAAGCCTTCCAGTCCCATCGCCCAAGATCGAACTAGTGGTCGCTGAAAGCGCATCCGCCCGAGAAGTCAAAGAGAAGGAAGGGGAGAAGGCTCCTACCGAAAAGACCGGCGATCTCACGGAGGCGAAGACGGTTGATAGCACTACTCCAGAAGTGTCCAGCGAAGGCTCAAAGCCTACTGACCACGACGACGCTGACGATTCTGACGACGATGATCCAATCCGTACTGCCACTGCCCCCGAGCTTCTCCCAGAGCCAGGTGACACGTGTGCCATCTGCCTGGATACCCTCGAGGATGACGACGATGTACGAGGCTTGACTTGCGGCCACGCTTTCCATGCTAGCTGTGTCGACCCATGGTTGACTAGCCGTCGTGCTTGCTGCCCGCTGTGCAAGCACGATTACTACGTGCCGAAGCCGAAGCCTGAAGGAGAGGCACCAGAGGCTACCACCGCCGCGCGTCGTGCCGCTGGTATGGGTGGACTACGTTTGCCTACGTCGCCAGCAGCAACCTGGATGGGGCACCGCGGCCAGTTCTCCCGATCGCGTGTTGTGTTCATTGCGAGTAATCGGGACCACCAACCTGCTCCTACAGGTGCACTAATGAATATGCACAACAACCGTCCCGGTCGCCCCAATCGCGGAGCCGATGACGCTACACCAGCGAGACCTCAAGTAACCCAGAATCCAAGCTGGCGAACGAGACTGCATGCTATGAGGATTGCCAATCGTCCTTCTTTGCCAAATCCCTTTTCGAGAAACCGCAACAATGCCACTACTGAGTCTACCAATGAAGCTGTACCGCAGACAGAAACCCAACCCACCCCGGCTCAGCTAGAAGCTGGAACTCGATAGTCTCACCGTCTCTCTTCTACCATATCTTCTTGAAGTTGTCAGAAGCTTGAATTTTCCACGCTTCATACCTCTGGAGTCATGCGCTATATCTTGGAGATTCTCAAACATTTTGAATCCTCATTTTAGTCCATACTTTGCATCTCCCTTGGGCGCACTAGCTGCCCCTATCAGCACACTATCACCGCGGTTGCCTGGCGTCGTTCTGGTAACCGCAACCTCTCACGACCGTCCCCATGCCCCTGAACGAAATAACTCTCCTTTACATCATTAAGTTCACACTCTAAGCGTCTCTGAATGACGTCCACCATCTACATTGGTGCTTTCCCCCCCTTTGACCGGCGTTAAGTAACGGGAACTATCTGATATTCCTGTCCTGGGTGTTTTCTTGCGGGGTTTTCTCGGAGCGTGTAGCAAGCAGGCAATATCTAACACGAATGGCGAGCATTCTAAGTATCTCAATCGGGTTTCTCTCTCTAGGGCTACATCATATGATTTGATATGACCTGGTTTGGATTATGGGAAAATGGAGGAGATACTGGGAAGGGGGAGGCGAGGAGGACTGTATCTACCAAGGCTGTCCGTACTATATGCGATTGACTTTTTGTATCCAACGTGTGCTCTCTACCCTGGATGAATGTGACCCGTGGCGCTGGTACAGCATGGAACTGGACTTTGGTAACGAGGCGTGGAGGTGGAGTTTGGTACTGTGGGTCGATAGCGCTAGCTCCTGTGAGTTCTCCACATGTTACACGTCATTTTTGGCATCACTCAGGCTTCATTCCATCTCTTCTAGACGCAAATTAAAACTCTTCGTATCGCGGCAAATTTTGTGCGCATCCCTTCCCCCCTCGCCTCGTCCCTTGACGTTGATTCTACGGAGTTCACCCCCACCGCCTCGAACTTCCTCACAAACGCCACCCCATCCCGCCTTCTCCTCGCGACTCCCTATTCACGAAACAGCATGGCCCATCCCCACCCCCCTCGAATACCACGTCGGCGCGACACTCCTCCCCCGCTCCCGACTCCGTACCGTCGCGAGGCCTGACTACACATTCCTCTATCACAGGCCACGCCCACCTCAACGCTTCAGCCAATGCTATCCCCTGCTTCCTCCCGATGCTCCAGACGCAGAAGCCGTGCACGAGGTCACGATAGCATGATCGTAAGGCTAAGGGGAGGGGATCGGTGCGCCCAGCACGGTACCAAAGGGCGGACTGTGCTGAGTATGATCACAAGCCCCATCCCACACAATTCCAATTGAGCCAACACCATCGCCCGCTTTTCTCCCGAAGCTACAGGCGCAGGAGCCGTGCACGATGTCACGATGGCGCGATGGCGCGATGGGGGTTAGGTTTCTGGTTACCAGCACCCCACTTCCCCAGCTCCCTTGTGGCTGAGCCCGGTCGCGAGCTGTCCCGACCTCGTTGTTTCGGCCAATCACGTTTCTGATTTCTCCCGACGTCGCAGATGGAGGTGGTTGCGGGATGTGAGGGTGAGGAGAAGGAGGGGTTGGCGCCAGCTCGGTACTGTGGAAAAGGGGCGGACAGGGAGGAGGTGTGGTCACAAGCCCCATCCCTTCCGGTCGGACTGCCGCTTTCTGCCGATGCTGCCAGGAGACGATGGTGTGATAGGGGAGTGGGAGTGGTGCCAGCGCCGCGATACGGGAGTGTGGTGGGTGGTAAGTGCGGCGCGAGATCGGAGGCGGGCGGGTATATAGAGTCGTTGCCCCCTCGAGTTGGGGGATTCTTTTTTTCCAGGAAGCAGAGGGGGGGTTGAAGAACGAAGACAGAAAGAGGCGACGGGTATGTGGGTGTGTGTGTGGGTCGGTGTTTGGGTGCTCAACAATGCTGCCCTGATGGAAATGGTTGGTGTGGTTGGAGTTGGAACAAACGGGCTTCCAAAACAGTCACATGTTTGGCTTGTCTGGAGGCTGGGAGATGAGGTTGGGGAGTCTTCCAAAAGACGTTTCTACGCATGTGGAGTAGAATTCGCTTTCTTGGATTATCCAGGCCTGGACGACTTCCACTCGCGTAGACAAGGTCGTTCCAATGCTCCTCGAACAATTCACCAAACAGTCAGTGGCCATGACTGGAAGTGTGTGTGGAAAAAACACCAACCTGCTGGCTTCGTATGAGCTTCCGTGTCTCAAGTCATCGACTACACCTACTCCGCGATGGGTCTCGTCTAAAGAAGAGATTCCAGGACAGGCGGTTACCAAATCCGCTAAGGAAAAGTTATGGGTGGCACAGATCGGTGCAGTGGTCAAAATGGAGTCTGTCAAAGGTCTGACGCTGCTCGTTTTTTGATAAAATGGAAGGGCAGCTAGTCACATGGCAGACCAGATCACCACTTTGTTCATAGCCAATGATAGGTCGCCGAGAAATTGATAACGGAGAAGGCCATGTGTCGTTGGGATCCTCCGACCTCCCCGTTCCTCATGTCGTTACTCTCAGGCCAGACTTGACTGCGACGTGAAAGGCTTCCATGGTCCGGAAATGGCAGCGTCGAGAAAGACCACAGCACGAATTGGCTCCTCCACGACGTATGGTTTGCTGCCCGGGCTTAGGTATCAGCATTTCAGTACCAGCCGCGATGATTGGAGACGAGTGTCAGCCCGTACAATGTTCCCCTTCATGTCTGTAAAAGGGACCTTGGCTTAGGCAGTAATATATGGAGGCACTATCTTTTGACTCTGAACCTGGAACTCTTGAATAGTTCAAATAGGTTAGCGGAGGTAGTCATGTTGGGTCTGGGCTTTTCTGTTCGCCATGTAATAATCGGAAAGCAAGCGTTGGCTCTTCTGAATGAAGATATGTTGGCGAAAATGTACAAGGAGACGTCGAAATTCTCGTAGCCAACCTGGCCCGGGATTAATTGGAGTAGCTGAAACATGTCTGAGTCACCTGTCTCACCTGTCATGTTGGTTCTGGACTTTTGCTTCCGCTGTGGTCCTAGCTACTGAAAGGAGCTGAACACTCTACTGATGAAGAGGTGCGACCAGACTAGCGTCAAACCATACTGTCTGCAGAGGCTTCTTCCGGGTTAAGGACCGACATTTCCTAGGATACCTCCATGTTTGCAACAGGGATTTGCGTCACTGGTATGAGGCATAGAGGCGTTACACGGCCAGGAGATGTCCTCGTCGGTCATCAATCAGATCTACAGGGCAATGACCTCATGCTTGTTGTCGAGCTTGACGGGGGCTTCTTAGGTCTTTGACAAACAGTAGGATGCAAAGCCGGATGTTCGGTTTAGTTTGATGTGTCCACCACTGCAATAGTTGGCAAGTACGGGTTAGTTGGTCTTGGTGGAGTGAGGCTGCCAAACTGAACAAACCTCAGACTGACCGTCAATATGACCGAGCTTGGCCTTGGAACCTTCTGGGTTTCGAAAGAGATCAGCAATGGAACATCTGATGGTCTTGATTTGCTCTCTCATCTCGGCCAATCATTGATGCCACTTGGAAGATTTCGATGAATGATGTGACCAGTTGGAAGCGCAAAGGCTGGCTCAGTATATTTGAGGTAGAGCCTGCCTGAGAATCGTAACGTTTTAGTTCTGGATCGATGCATCGGTGTTGGCTCTGAGCTTTCTGTATTTGTCACAGTTCTACCCGATCACCACTTGGGGTGATTATACTTGATGAGGAAGAAGTGCTACCAAATACCAACACATTCGACAATATGTGCTCTGGATCAAACTCGAACGGAGATACTTTGATGTCCGGAGACCAGCCACCATTTAGAGATGCGATTTCACGCTCCATGAAAACATTTGATGGTACAAGCGAAGGACTTGGCTTCGAGAACACGTTTGTAAGCGTACAATTGTCTCATATATGCCAAGCACAGGACCAAATTGCACAAGGAAGCGCTCGATGTGCTCAAAAAGCGACCGTTCAGAAGGCCCCATGAGCGCCCGGTGGCTCAGTCAAACCGAAGCAATGAAATGTTTGAATGCTTACGTGCGGTCGAACTTCGTCAAAGGATCTTCAAAGCTTTCAAAACCAGGCAGTGACAGTGTTGATGTCGTCCGGAGCTTATTCAGTAACTGGCAGCACTTTCTATGGGAATCGTCTTCAAATTTCTTCATTCGCATTGTCTATGAGAAATGCGTTTCATCGTGGCTCAAAGCATAGCGGCATGTGATGCCAATCTCCAAATTTGGTGAGGAATGGACACGATGTCTCTGAGAAAGTTCTTGTGTAGTGAGAGACCTGCGGCCTCGACTTCTGGATGAACCAATTGACAATGGAAACAACAAAAGCAGAGGCAACATGAAGAGGCGTTGCGTCCGGTGTCCTTGGCTTCAATAAGGAAGACGACAGACATGATGTCTTCCTGGGATTGAGCAAGAATCTGGAGAACTGCATGGCTGAGAGAAGGCTGAGAAGAGCAGCCGAGGACAACAACAAATACCTCCATTTCCATGTCTTTGAGAGTGAGCAGAAATTGAGAGTAGAGCTGCGGCCTGCCTATAGCACATGAGAAAGCTGAGAGGAGCGGCTGAGAACAACAGCAGTAACAGCTGCATGGAGGTCCTTTGTGGCCAGTGTCCTTGACTTCAATAGTGAAGACGACAGACATGATGTCTTCCTGGGACTGAGCAAAAATAATAATTACCGCCACTTGGCAGCTGGCGTAGGAAGGGCAAAGGATCAGTGAGGAAAGCATGAGTTGTATTGAGGTGCTAACGAGTGGCTATATAGTGACGAGAGACCAGGGGTTGCAGGCAGCAACGGTGACAAAACAACAAGTGAACCTTGTCCAGCTGAGAAGTGAACCCTGTACAGCTGAGACGCGTAGACAGACGTGCGTAGGAGCATTCTAACTGGCTGCCACCACTCCATGAGAACGCTGAGAAGAGCGACGGAACACAACAGTTGCATGGAGATCTTTGTATCTAGTATTTCTTCCTTGAAAAAGAAGAGGATAGAGAGTAAACATCTTTCGATGAGAGTTTTAAGAAGAGTGGCTGAGTGCAATAGCAGCCAACAGTTGCATGGAAATCTTTTTTGTCCGATGTCTTTGACTTGAAAATGGAGACAACAGACATGATGTTCTCCTGGGAAAGCGAGAACCCGAAGGAGATTCATTGTGAAGAAACTGAGCAGTGCGAGCACGAGCGAGATTTACATCAGCAGTATTGCATGTATCTAATGTCTGTAACTTCGACATCGAAGAAAACGGACGTGATTCATGGGAATTATCAGGAAAGAGCTTCAGTGGTATTACATCAGGAAGAATCTGAACAGTGCGCCCCAGAACAGCACCAGCACTAGCAGCATGGCAATTTGTTGTGCCTGGTATCTTTGACTTGAACAATGAAGACTTGAGCGAAAAAATTCTTTACGAGAATGAGGAAGTAACAGAGTGGTGTTACATGATGAAGAAGCTGAGGAGCGCGACCAAGGACTATATACACGAAGATGACCCACATAGGATGTGACCTGCACATGACGTGGGTCATCCCTAGATTTTTCACGGATCAGGTCATTCAAAGCTTCCCCTCCGCCTTCAACTTATCCTCAAACTGCCTCGGAGCCTTCCCGTCAATCATGAGTTCCATCTCCGGATCCGCCTTCGCCCTCGCCTTCTTATACCCCTCCCTCTCGGACACTCTCTTCAAATACCCCAGAATCCCCTCATATTTCGTCAAATCAAATCCATGAAATGCGCGCATCGTTGTCAGCGAAAATACAGTCATAATATCCGCAGCCGTAAACTCCTCTCCCGCCAACCACTCATTCTCCCTCAGCCGCTTATCCATAAACGACAGACAGCGCTCGAACATCTCCCTGTAGCGCGTGGTAGCAGGCCCCTCTCTCTGAACGCGAGCGACCGAGAACAGAAGCAGTACCATCGGCTGCAAAGTGCCGTTTGAGAAGTGGAACCAGTAGAGGTAGTCGGCGTAGTCCTTGTGCGAGGGTGGCAGCGCGAGCCTCCCGTTGCCGAACTTGTGGATAATGTATTCGCAGCAGGCGGCGGATTCCGCGAGCGTGAGGTCCCCGTCTTGGATGACGGGGGCTTGGCCGAGCGGGTTGAGGTCTCTGATGGCTTTGGGGGATAACATGGGCGCGCGTTGGTGGAGAGTGAGTGTGTATGGGATTTCTAGTTCTTCGCAGAGCCATGGTATGCGCTCGGATTGCGACCATTGCAAATGGTGGACTGTTAGGGGCATTTTGGGAAGGGCGAGGATGCCACGGAATAGTTTGGAAGGTGATAACGAGTGATAGAGTTCAAGTAGACGAGATCGTATATAACGGAAATAGACTGAACGAAGTCGAGGAGAACAATGGTTGAATTATATAGAGTGAGGTTATGTGCGCATGACCTATAGCGCTATCAAAATACGGTGGTCGGCAATGGTCGGCGCCGGTTTCAGCACGATCCGGTCAGGCCAGACTGAACCTAGCAACTATAATTAGTCAGTCTAGGATTTAGGACTTTGCGGCCTAATTCCTACGAGCTATACTCTTGCAGGATAAACAGACGTCATCCCTACTAACCTAGCGAAAGGGAACTAGTGTACTCAAGGCTGGCAGGAGATTTTGCAGAGCGTAGTCAATTGAATTATATAAGAGAGTCGTGAGTACCGCGAAATACTACGTTTGACAATAGAATGGTCACCTTTTGCTAAGAAGAAATTGCAGCTATACAGCATTTTACATGTCTGCGTGTGAATTCCATAACTTCACACCGGTGTATGACGGGGTTTTTCAAGGCATAACGCTCCATATCATTGAGGCCCACCTCCAATCCATTCACATATTTCCCGCTCACCAAGCCCCATCTGTCCATAACGCTCCGCCAGGTTTGTGTTCTTCGAAATGCCTTCCCTCAAAAGGTGGCACTAAGAGGTAAGCTGATAGTACACGCAAGCAGCAGTGATTGTCCCCAGGCTGAGGGAATCATCGCAGACTATTATTGCACAACAGATAGAGCGGATGAAAAAGGTCCGAAGGGTTTAACGTTGCATGCAGTCTACTTCGAAGGACACGCTACAACGCTTCTGACTATTTTTTTTTTAAGATATAACTCACCTAGAGGCCCATGACTCTGTCCGGAACTGCTGCTAAACCTCCTGCTCGTTATTTCAAATTTGACTTACTCTGATCCATCACAATGGTCGGCCCAGTCACGTGATTTCAGACAATGATATATCCTCTGAAAAAGCTCCGAAGGGCTAACAATCACGACGGTGAATATCCCATATGTATTGATAAGCTGATGCTTGGTCGTTCATCAAAGAGATCCCTCGCCTGACTCGAGCTTGTAAAGCCCATTCTTCCTCTTCTCCACCGCCCACCTCTCGCACCACCCCTTCATCTTCTCCCTGGTCTTCGCATTTCCTATATTGACCGTGGGGATGATTTTGTCGATGCGCAACGCACAACAGAAAGCTGTTAGTTCCCTGAAGCTACTATGCTCGCTATATGGCACCCCAAAGCAACTCGCACGATTTGTGCTACCGCGTTGAGGCACTAGCTCCTTCATCGAATACGTGCTTTTCCAATTTTTCGAGTGCAGGACTGTCTGCACAGACGGACTTTCCACGAAGCGACTGTTTGGGGGTCTGTAGTTCCAGCCCGATGGCCTGAAGCCGACAGCGCGGGAGAAGTGCTCGCGGTAGCCACCGAGATAGTCTTCCAGAGTTTCAGCGCGGATCTCGAAGAGAGGTGTCATGTGGACCTGGGCTTCATGTGGGCTCTTCGTTAGAAGAGCGTTGAGCTCAGGGTCTTCGAGGGCCTCGCAGATTCGAAGTTTTGCTGCTGGGGCATAGATCTTGCTTTTAAGAGCTTTAGCGATGCCTACGCATATTCGTTCTTTGCCGATGCTATAAGTTCCAACGATTACAAGCAGACGGCCTCTGGTCTTCGCCTTTTGGAATTTCATCGCTTTTGTGAGATCCAAGTCCTCGTCTTGGCTGTCCTCTGTCTTGATATCAGAATCCTTGCGTACAAACTTGGCCATGCCTTCGCCTGCTCGCTCCCGTTTCATCTTCTCCCATCCATCCGTGTCATCTGTGCGCTCTTTACTCATGCTAACACACATGTCTGCGCACGCTTTGATCACATCTTCTTGTGGCGGAAATGCGTACTTCGGGTTCAAATAAGTAGTATCCAAGTAACAAACGTCGAGTTTCTGTTGCCCCGTCTTCCCTCCTACGGCGTCCAAGACATCTGGTCGGAGAAGGGGATGTTCAACGTGGGCTCGACATGCTCTGAAATCCCCGCAATGCAGAACTCGTTGCATCTTCGGATTCGTCCCCTTCCCAACGACCTTCTCGAAAAGAAAGAGTGAGCTTCCAGGGCAATGATTCGCCGGTATCATTGTAACCTGGACGCCTTGAGTGCCCGGCACCTCGGTCTTCTTCTCAAATTCAAGATCGACTATCCATTTGGGGTCTACTCGTAGTTGCTGTCGCACAAGATTTGCCGTGACTCGACTGCAATATATGGGCCCATGATTCCAGGATGCCGTGAGCCCAATGTAGTGATCACTATGGAAATGACTGAGGAAGTATGCCTGACAATCCTTGACGGCACCATATCGAAAAGCATCAACACATATGAACATCCCCGGTAAGATCTTGTAGAATGGACAGGTTCGTTGATAGGCTGGCTTGCCTCTGGCGGCGGAATCTGCAGCAGCAGCCGCTGCCCAAGCAGCATCCTCGGCGTGGCTAGACATGAGTTTCGAGAAAGCAGAATTCGGGGCACCGGTAGTACTAATTTTGAAAGGATTCTCTTGGCCAGGCTTCGGAGGGCGTTCTGGACGTTTGAAACGCTTGCTTTTGTCGACTCCCTCCGGATTTTCTAGGGCTTTTCTCGGAAGTATAGGCGTAGAAGTGCCATCAAGACAGCTATTGACGTGGATGGACGCATCTTGGTCTGATAGCCCGGCTAAGCTTGTAGAACATAACGGACATGAAGGTCCATCGGAATCCTCCACGATCATGCCATCTTCTACCCCTTCAGATACTTGATCAAAAATGGAAGTGCCTTCATCCAAGCTCGCTTCGCCTTCGAAACCGTCTGCCATTTCTTCCAGCCTTCTTTGCTCATCTATCCATCTCCGCTCATCGTATTCTTCGCCTTCTGGGAGGTCTTCGTCTTCAAAGTCTTGAAATTCTTCGAAATCTCCACCAGCAGTGTAGTCCGTGGACTCAGTTTTAAGTAAAACGGGCTTCGGAAATCGTTCAGAATCGTCCATCTTACTCTCTTCGGCGTCCAACTCACTATTAGATCGTGATCCCCCCGATGGTCCCTTCTCAATCGCTCGTCTCGACGCCATTCGTTTGATCATGTCTATATCCTCATCCTCCGAATCAGATTCTTGGATGAACGGTCCGACTCGTCTCGGCTTTTCATCACCGTCCCCAGAGACCTTCACCACTTTGTCATCCTCGACGATGTCTGGTGGCGGCGGAGTACAGCCCCAATCCTCACCGAATTTCCTCCTTTTGATACTGCCACCATTCTCATTATATCTCTCTATCTTCTCGTCTTCCTCCGCCTTCATCTCCTCTTCTTCCCCATCTCCCCACCCTACGTCCACCTCATCCTCCTCGTCTTCATCCTCACTCCGCCTCCCGCCCCTCTCCTCAACGAACAATCGTGTATTGATCTCCTCCGCTTTCTTGAAGAACGCCATGATGTTCCCATTCGGCTTCACCTTTCCCTTTCCCCCGCTCGCGCCATTGAATCCAGCTTTCTTGGCCGCCCCTCCACTACGTGGTGTAAGAGTAGTCTGTCGCACTTTTGCAGGCGTAGAAACTGATTTCACAGCATTCGGCTTTTTTGTCGCGTTTTTGGCGGCCATTGGTGCTGTGGGGGGAGATGCTGGAGGTGGACGGTGGTGGTGTAGCGAAGGCGAAGGCGGACGACCGACCGACGGCGTCGCTTTGGAGGTTGAGGGGAGCGTGGAGTTTTGACGAGGATTGCGGAACATGGGGGCTTCGTCCCATGCTAATGCGAACTAGTGTAAGAGGAGCGTGCTCGTTCTTGAAGTGCGAGGCAAGTTGAGGATAGGTGAGGAGAAGGCGCTAGTAGACTTAGGGAAAGTCGCGTTTTCACGTGATCAATTAGTGAGAACACTAGGAGGTACCACACATTAAAGATCGGTAACGCAAGGTTACTGTGTCTTGAAAAAGGGCATGTATGCGTAGTGATATGACCCTTCTACGACTTGCGCTCTCGACCGCAAGGTTGGATGGATGCCAAGCAAACAGTCAAATATCTAAATAGTGGTCTATATTGATCATTCAACCGAGGTGTTTCTGCACCTAGGCACGTAAAACACACGTCTATATACCCATTCCGTCTGCTTCAGTCTAATGCCATTCATTACGTCTCCCAATCCGTCATGGTGCAGCATTACTGGGTAGTCCCAAATATCCTGGTCTCCTTTCCTCGGCGCCAAAACCTTCCACGACCATCGGATCCGTCGGCCCCAGCACCCTAATGCTCTTCTTTAATTTCTCCTGTCTGCCTTCCTTGACCTTCTTTTTCCTCGACTCCTTTGCCTTCTCAAAGAAACTCATCTTTTTCTCCCGGCCTTCGTCGTCGTCCGGGTGCTCTTTTCGCCATTCCGAAGGCTCCATTGTAATATCCCAACTATTCCCTTGGGAATCGGGAGCCTGGGGAATGGGCTGTGAAGAAGGTGGAGGCTGTGAATGGTGTGAATACGATGACCCACCCGACTGTCGTGAGAGGGATGAAATGTGCGAGGAACGAACTTTGAGTTTCTCGAAAATTCCAGTGATAGAGCGTGAGCGAGGTCGCGGGGCAGAAAATGAAGAGGTATTGGGAGTAGGGGCCGGCGTGGGTGGCGGAGGGCTTGTGGAGAGAAAGGATGCGAGGGAGATGTTTCGGGTATGGGATGCTTGACCTCGGCTTGGAGAAGAAGAGGCATGAGGGGAGTTAGAATTGGAATTATGGTGCTGAACGCCGGTACTGCTGTAAATTGAGCCACTTTCTGGGCGTTGAGTCTCCCGTTGAGCTGAAGGGGCAAGGTAAGATGGACTTTGAGGTCGCGACGGAAGGTGACTTGAAGTGGTTGCGGAGGGGAGATTCCGTGGTAAAGGGCTAGCAGTCTGAGATGATGAGGCCGCCGTTGGTTGAGCTAGAGTGAACTGCGGCATGTTTGCTACGCCATCTTTCTTCTGTCCGCCTTTGTTCCTCTTCGTTGGCCTTAGCTTAGGAACTCGAGGCAAGTTAAGCGGTCTGGTTCGTGGATAGAACGCGGAGAAGCGGTAGTCAGGATCGACGTGCTTGCGTACTTTCTTCTTGTTCTTGCTCGTAACAGGGCTGGCAGCGACAGCCTTTTCGTGTTGTAGCTCTGGAGCATGGGATGGACTTCGCTTCTCTTCCTCGTGCTTTTGCGTCTTAGACCTCTTGAACGCATTACGGATTCCAGAACTACGACGTGATTTCTGCATTCCTTCTACCTGCTTTTCCTTGATCATAGATTTCTTATCTGGGCTTTCTTGTCGAGAAGCAGAGCCACTACTGTTCTTCTGCCATGACAAGGGCCGTGGTAAAAGGGTATGGTCTCTTTCATGTTCTCCGTGCTCGTTAAAGGCGCTTGGATGCCCCGCCTTGGGAGCACCGATAGCCTTGCCTCTGTACTGGTTGGCTAAATGGTGGTGATAGGCGTCTTGGGAGCTCTCATTCTCCCAGCCTTCGTCCGTGTCACTTCGGCGTGGATCGTTGTGATCTCGCGAATCTAAGTACTTACGCCCACGCGGCGGCGGCTCTTCACCTGTGTACTCACCCAATACAGCGAGGCCCTTCGCAGGAGAGTAGGAGCGTGGTGGCGTTACCTTAGCAGAGTTTGAGAGGGGCGAGAACGACGAAGTTGGAGGCGCTCGAGGGGAAGTATTCGCGGCACTAATATTCCTCTGTATTTCTGCAGTGTGATTTGAACTAGGCACCTCTATAATATTCGGATGTATCGGGATCTGTGACGCATTCGACGAAGTGCCCGGGTTTGGTGGCTCCGGTAGAGGAGATCTAGGAGGTGTTCTAGGGGCGCCCAAGACAGAGAAACGACTTCCTGGTACTGGGCTCAAACGGCTGTTATTGCTGCCTTTTCGTCCTTGAGGCGGAGGAAAATCCATGAAAGCATAGTCTGCCGTGTCTGGAGAGGCCTCTGGGAGGATCGGCGAGTAAGTTGGAGGAGGTGACGGCCTAGGGATGTCGCTTGATTCCGAGTTATGCGCGCTGACAGCAGGCTTTCTAGGATCTAGCCATTCAGCTGGCGCTTCCCATGTATTTGGTGACTGGCTAGCAGGAGTCGAGTGACTTGAATGGCGCTCTCGTGGGCTCGAAGGCGGTGAGGAGTTGTATTCTTGTGGCACAGGTGGCAAAGGCTTGCTGAGGGTTGGATGTGGCGGCACCGACTTTATGAGAGATTTGAAGGACTTGACAGGCTTTTCCATCCCTTCAAGCGAAAGGGATGAAGAGGATAAATTGCCTTGCCGGAACGGCGACCGTAACGGATGCTGCCTAATTTTGTGCATTGCTCTCTATCCTAGAAATCAAATGGATTGAATCTAGTACCTATAACGCCATGAAGTCCTTCCAGAAGATTTCCTAAACAAAGAAAGTTGAGTTGCACGTGCATGCTGTGTTCGTCACTTACAAGAGGTGTGTCGCAACAAGGACAAAGGTCGAGAACAGACATTACTACCCCTTCCGGAAAGATTAGTATCCGAAGAGATTGCTACTAATAGGTAAACCAGCATGTCGTAGCGGTTGATAGCGATCAACAAGTTAATAGTCTTGCATATGTACTTGTTTAGTTTCGCAGCGTGCTCGACTCAAGAAGATAGTTACCTAGAATCAAAGCAGCTTATTTGGCCGGAGTGATAGACATAGTCAAAGAAATCATAAAATTTTCAGTCCGAAAACATTGGAATTAGTCTAATTCCGGCGCAGGAATGCAAATGCAACGAGGCCAGACGCAACATACGAGATAATCAGCGCACTATGCCGGGGATGGCTGAAATTGATAATGCTCGTGAGGGAATTATGAACAAGAGGGAAGGAGCCAGTGCAATGCTTGAGATGAAGATAAATGTTAAGGGAATGTGATATCGGATAGGGTCACGTGATCTTACTACGCACTTCGACGGAAGGTCGAGCCAATGACGCTCTCTCCCGTGATTGTTCTAATCAGATGATGACCGCTGGCGTGCAGATCATACAGCATCCTTCGGACTGGCGGACGAACCAGAAAACGCATGCAGGAGAGTGGGCAATGTGGACAGTCTCCAAGCCGTCTCAGACGGCCGTTACGGAGAGTTGAACATAACGTTAAGCGTGATGTCGGGGATGTCGGTGATGTCGGGAATCAGCAGAGACCATGTATATCTCTGGGCCCGCCGCCGGAAGGGGCTTGGTGGATTTAGTAGTACGGCCGCACCTGTCCACCGACGGCTTATATTTATGCCGTGTTGGCTGACTTTGCTGATCAACTCCAACACCACGCCTCAAAGTCCGTCGGAGCCAAGGCGTCTACGCCGCACCCTTCGGAGTCACTTTAGCTTTTTGCATCAGGCTGGCTTGAGCAAGCGCAGGATCAGCTATGAATTCACCCGACTCCATGAACAGGACGTTGTCCGATTACTTCTCACGCTATGGTGCTTGCTTGCTGTCTAAATGGTCTAAAGTATATATGTAGTTCTGTATCCCTTTAAGTCATAGATCACTTCCAATACCATCATCGTTTCATACATAATTGGCTCGCAAGGCTCTGACTTCCACCATGTCTGCCTCCACTTCAGTGATAGATGCTAAGCTCGAGACCGAGTCCACCAGCACTCCTCCCGACGTTGCTCATGACGCTATCCAGAGTAACGACGCAGCTTCAGAAAAATCGACTACCCCCTCTGCGCTAGCAGAATTCAACCCAGGATGGCGATTCGTCGTGGCCATTGCATCTCTTTCCACAATTACTTTGATGGCAGCGTTAGATGCTACCTCAATATCCGTGGCTCTTCCTGTAAGCCATTAACCACTCTACCTCTATTGCCAATCTAATGAGGCGTCTTTTGCAGAAAATGGCGAGCGTACTAAAAGGGACCGCGATTGAGGCTTTCTGGGCCGGCACATCCTTCCTTCTAACGTCTACTGTTTTCCAACCGGTCATGGGTTCCTTCAGCCACATATTCGGACGCAAGCCTTTGATTCTGATCAGTCTGGTCTTCTTCGTTGTCGGAGCTATCATCGCGGCTGTCGCAAACAATTTCACAGTGATTCTGGTCGGCAGAAGCATTCAAGGTACGGGAGGCGGTGGTATCATATGCCTGTCTGAGATCGTGATTACCGACCTAGTACCTCTGCGTGAACGAGGCAAGTGGTTCAGTTTCCTCAGCGCCATGTGGGCTGTCGGTACTGTTGCTGGTCCTCTATTAGGTAAGTCACTCTTGTGCAACGATGGATAACAGCAAAGCATCGCCCTAACGGTTACTTCCAGGTGGCGGTTTCTCTCAGAATGTGACTTGGAGGTGGATCTTCTGGATCAATCTTCCTTTTGCTGGCGTTGGCACCGCCCTCGTCATCCTCTTCTTACACCTCAACCACCACACCAACTCCTTCATGTCCAAGCTCCGCCGAATAGACTGGGTTGGCATGGTTCTCTTCATCGCTTCAACTACGGGATTTTTGATCCCAATTACATGGGGTGGCGTCCAATATCCTTGGGACAGCTGGAGGACCCTCGTGCCCCTGATTCTCTGCGCTATTGGTTTTGTCGCCTTCATTTTACATCAAGAGTACATCGCATCCGAGCCCCTCATTCGGACCAGCATCTTCAAGAACCGCTCCGCCGCGGTAACATTCTTCCAGGACTTCGTCCACGGCATCATCCTCTGGAGTTTATTATATTATATGCCCCTATACTACGAAGCCGTCAAGGGCTTCTCTCCCATTCTCTCTGGCATCGCCATGTTCCCCCAAACCTTCACCGTTGCACCCGCCGCAATGGCCGTCGGCGCCGGTATCGCCATCTCAGGCCGCTACCGCTGGGCCATCTGGTCCGGCTGGGTTCTGACCACCTTCGGCACGGGTCTGCTCATCTACATCAAAGTCGAAACCAGCACCGTCGCCTGGATCTTCCTCAACCTCGTTTCTGGTCTGGGGACAGGCATTCTATTCCCCAGCATGGCCATTACTGTGCAAGCATGCTCCTCCAACGAAGACCAGGCCTACGCCGTCAGCATGTTCTCCTTCCTACGCGCCTTTGGCCAGACGGTCGGCGTTGCTATCGGCGGCACCATCTTCCAGAACCAGATGAAGAAAAATCTGCTCGGCTACCCTCTTTTGGCTGATAACGCCGCGGAGTATTCCAAGGATGCAAGTGGCTTGGTGCAGATCATCAAGTCTATGCCGAATGGCGAAACGAAACACCAACTACTCGTCAGCTATGTCGACTCCCTGAGATACATCTGGATCGTCATGTGCGCCTTCGCAGCCCTGGCGCTGATCTCAAGCTTCTTCTTGCAGGCCTTCCCGCTAGATCGCGCGTTGGAGACTGAGCAGGGGTTTCAGGATAAGAGCAAGACGAAGGATGAAGAGAAGAACGAGACATCCCCATAGAACTTTTCTCGGTTGTAATGTTTCTAGTAGCGCATACATCGCATACTGGCTAGGATAGACTTCTTGCATAGAACCGGAGTTTTGGGACTCTCATTAGACGAGTTACGAATGGTCAGAAGTATATGCCATATTCTTCTGGGGGGTCTACAGCATCTCCACGGAGATAGATACCTGTAATATAATATCAACACTCTTGCTTGACACCGTCTTAAGTCCTTCAACATGATTTTCAAAGTCAGGATGTGATGTGATGAATGCTACGTCGCAATTCAGACTCGAAAACATTACATCCTATTCGAAATTGCTCGGGAGGGTCTCCCATTGCCATCTGCACCCCCAATTCTTTCACCACTGAGCCCTAATTCGCATCCATAGCATTGCTCCGACACAGGTCTACATCATGTCGTCAAGGTCTTTACATCCTATCCGAAAATTCATGAAGTGCCCGGGAGGGTCTTCTATCCCTATCTGCATCCCCAATACCTCCATCGCCGAGCCCCGATATACATCCATAGTATTGCTCAAACGCGGGTCTAAATGACGACCTCATGAACTTTACATCCTGTCCGAAATTTCTTAATATGCTCTGGAGGGTCTTCCCATCGCTATCAGCGCGCCCAATTCCTCCATTAATAAGTCCTAATTTCGAACTCGTGACATTTTACACTTTTATCCCAAGGTACTCAGATACCTGTCTAAATCATGACCTCACGAATTTTACATCCTGTCCTCATTTTCACGAATGCATTGAAGCACCTCAGACAGCTGCACACAAATGACAGTAGACAGTTGTATTCGCGGGTATCTCTAGTACCATGATCATTAGACCCCAATTCAAACACCTAAACGCCATGTGAAACAACCCAAGTCCTGAAACCGTGCAAAAACCCATACCCTTTTTCCAATGCCTGATTTGAAGCCTCCTACTCAAACACCACGCTAACGACACAGAAATTACATGAAAACAGGAACACAGGACCAAGACACCCGAAATCAGAGAGTCAACCAGGTTCCTTGGAGGCGAAACCAACTCAACCCAACGCCCCCCGAAGGAGACGAAGGGGAGTCAAGGTCTCAAGCCTCCAAGGAACCCAGAACTCTGCCCGATTTCGCATTGCCGCTGGTACCCTACTTCCTCATGCGAAGCACCCTTCCCCTGCCTGGAGCCGGGGCAGCCGCCGGCACCGGAGGCTCTGCTTTGGCCCTCTTCCTCGCGACCTTGATCTCCTGCACCACATTCTCCTTGTTCATCTCGGCGCTTGTTCGCTTCGCTGGTCGACCGGCTGTGGGGCGCTTCGTAGGGGCAACCGGGGCGGCAGCGGGTGCCGGTTTGGGGGCTGCTTTGGCGACTCGGGTTGCTGGGCGTCCGATGACGCGTGTTTTCGGGGCTGGTGCCGGCGCCTTCTGGGCTGGCACTGTGATCTGGGGGGCTGGTGCCTTCGGGCCTGGGGCCCTGGTGGTCTTCTTGAGGGGCTCCTGGATCGGAGCAGGCGCAGGGAGAGGTTTCTGCTGCTGCGACGCGTGGATCTGGTCCAGGAGATCGACAATGTTCATCTGTCGCAAGGCGCGGGGAATGCGATTGACGCGCATCTCGAGACGCGATCGGAGGCCTTGGGCGTGGATGGCATATTGAGCGCGAAGTTTGCGTGCTCGCTCCGTGACTAGACACGTGTCAGTGTCTTGCACGCGATAGCAATGGGAGGAACAACTTACTCTCCAGCCGCAGGTTGTCGATCAAAGCTTGCTTTTGTGCTTCTGAGATGTTCGTCTTCCTCTGCTTGATGAGGCTTCTCTCAGGCGTCTTCATCGGGGTCGGGGACCGCATCTTGACGGTTTTGGAAGGGACGCGGGCCTTTGGCTGCTTCTTCGTGCGGACTGGGGCCATCGCGCTTTCTTGATCGAGAAGATGGAGAGAGTAAGGGGTGGTGAATCGGTGAAAGGTGAATGCTTGATGAGTTTGAATGGTTTGGAGTGGTTTTTCGGTGCAGAGTGCAGCGGCAAGCGGGGTGTGAAGCGTGGATGAAGTTGTTTGGAGGGAAGCTCGTCGTAAACACTGAATAACCCGCCATGGCTTGGCAGCGCAACATCGTTCCGCCGCAGCTCCGAAGGGAGCTCCGACCTCACTGGCTGCGCGCCGCGACGTCGACTTCAGCCTACGCTTTGCCTCTGCATCTGTGACCTCGTTCTCGACCATAGCATTTCACCTCTCCCTCATATCCTTCAAGCTACTGACAATCTCCTCAAACCGCAGGCATGGGGCTAGAAGCGACAATGATCGTGTACGTATCTAAGCCGTGTCCGCAGCTCTATTACTGACAGCTTCCTAGGGTCGACAACAGCGAGAGCAGCAGGAATGGAGATTATGTGTAGGTGCTAGCTGCCAGATTTCTGGGCATCTCTCATACTTTCTGCAGACCATCACGATGGGAAGCCCAAGCCGACGCTGTCAACCTCATCTTCTCCGCGAAGACCAACGCGAACCCCGAATCCTCCGTTGGACTTATGAGCATGGGCGGAAGCCAACCCGAGATCCTCACGACACTGACGACGGATGTGGGCAAGATCCTTGATGGTCTCCACAGGACGAAGATAAAAGGAAACTCTCACTTCTCTATTGGAATCAACGTGGCGGCGGTATGCTATCTTGCTCCAACAATCTTTGGATGACGCATGGTACTAACTATGCTATGATTACAGCTTGCCCTAAAGCACCGACAAAATAAATCCCAGAAACAACGCATCATCGTCTTCACCTGCAGTCCCATCGACGAAGACGAGAAGTCGCTCATCAAGCTATCCAAGCGCATGAAGAAGAACGGCATCAGCATTGACCTAATCGCATTCGGAGAGCTCGGAGAAGACAACACCAAGAAGCTCGAGGCGTTCAGCGAGAACTGCCAAAGCGCCGAAGGATCCCACCTCGCGGTTATTCAACCTAGCTCCAATCTCCTTAGCGACTCCATCATTACAACACCGATACTGGCTGCGGAGGGCGTTGGTGGAGGTGCAGGATCAGGAGGCGCAGCTGGCGAGGGTGGAGAGAGCGGCGGTAACAGCTTTGAGTTTGGCGTAGATCCTTCAATGGACCCCGAGCTTGCGTTGGCGTTGCGGATGAGTTTCGAGGAGGAGAAAGCCAGACAGGAGCGGGAGAAGAAGGCAAAGGAAGCTGCAGAGGGAAAGACAGAGCTGGAGAACATTCCGGAAGGAGATGAAAAGCAGCCGCTGCTCGACAAGGACGACGAGCCGAGCGGGAGTGGCAGTGGTAGCAAGGGGGCCGACAAGAAGGACAAGGGAGATGACTCAGACAAGATGGATACAGCATGATCGTGGCGTTGGTGGGCTCTTGTGCGTGCATAGGCGACATAGAGGCATCGGCGTTTGCTGTACATTAAGTTCCTCATGGTAGGCGCTCAGTCATCACATAATGAAGAAATGTGAGCTTTGAATCCTTCATGTCCAGCCTTTAGAATTGATCTTCCAAGAATCTGTCCTATGCACTCCCATCTAGCCGCAACCCTCCTACATGGGTGTTGAGACTTATGAAATGTGAACTCTAAACCGACCCGGTCAAAATACCAGTCCCCAACGCCGATGGACACCCGTGGACCACTTGAACCCCAAGATTCAGCCCCACAGCAATGTTGATATGCCTACTGCCAAAGCTCTCATGTCAGAGAGTCCACCCGAAACCTCCGCTTCCTCATCAACATCCTATACTCTTCGCCGTCATCGCAGAGGACCATCTGGCACTCCCTATTCTCAAAGTCCTCGCCGTTGATAACCTGTTATGTTCCGGTCCTTTAGCTCCCAGTCCGTAGAGAAACGCGCAATAAATCGCTCAAACGTCCGCGCAATGCAACGAAATTCCAAGAATATGCAAAGCCTCTAGCTGTTTCCGACATTTCGCTGTTGTCGATTAGCTTCTCACCTTCACGAATCCATCTAGTCCGCGGTCAAACTTCTCGCACCGGATGGGCATTTCGACGGTGTAGAACGGATTCTTCATCACGTAGTCGGCGTACAGCTCGTAGATCCGCCGCATCATTGTGTCCACGTTCGGCTGGTGCGGCTCGGTGAAGAGCAGGAACTTGACGCCGGTCTGCGTCTGGAAGCACTGCATGCGGAAGTTCTGGGTTTCGAGGACTTCTAGGCCGCTTGGGCGCGAGGGGAAGGGTGAGGGTGCTAGAGAGGGCGTGGTGATCGCAGGAGGAGTGGGTGCTGCGGCAGCGGGACACAGCTGCTTCGTGATGGCATGAATACTAGGGGCTCGTTAGTGCTATAACTGGTCATAAGAAAGACCTAGCATACCCGTGGAACGTTCCGGCGACGATGAGATAGTCGTTGGCTTCGAGCTTGCTGAGGCCTGCGTGGAATTCACGGTTGTATATGAGACCGCCGGCCTTGGAGATGATGAACAGCGCAAACACGACCCTGTATACCATTAGCAGGGTAAGAATGCAGTACAAGCCTATACACACATTTTGAAGATGGTGTTGCAGAGTCAATTGAAGTGATGGTGAGGAGGAATTATCTGGTGTTGACTGTTTTGACCGCGCGCGTGACTCTGCTGGATTCACACCCTCAACACTTTCTCCTTTGACGTTGCATTTGTCTCGTCTCATTCACAAGTCGACTTGCGCTCGCTGTCCAGCACTGAAGAGACGACGTGGGCCGGCTCACCTCACCCCCGTCGTTAACCATAACCCCACGCGACGATCTGCAGCTAACTGGCACCCGCCGATATCACGACCTGCCCTCGCAACCTCCATCAGCCTCGCGCCGCTGCCTGGGCCCCTGCGACGACACTGCATCAACCGCCCGGCGGCCTCACGACAGCTCTCTTCTTATACTACTTACCCCCACCTTTGACTTGTCTCTCCGTCTGTCCTCATCCTCTAGGTAGCAACCATGTCTAACCAGTCCATCCTCCGCATCACTCGCGTACGTGGAAGCTCCCCCTGCCTAGACGCAATAGGACGCTGACAATATTGTAGGAACTCAGCGAAATACAGAAGGGCCCAGATTTATGTAAGACTTCTGAGCGGGCTGAATGTCTACGTCCCGACTGACCAATGACTACAGCCCTCGCTGTTGCGTGCCGCGATATCGACGTCCGACAAGTGAGAGCCTTGATCATAGGCCCGCCCGACACCCCATATGAGTTTGGCTTCTTTGAGGTACGTCTATTTTGCCATATCTAGAAACATCATACTAACAAAACTCTGCAGTTCGCCGTCAAGTTCGGCAGAGGTTAGGATGCCTGACAACGAGTGCAAGCAAATACTGACCATCAATAGAATACCCCACCAAGCCACCAGCTGTCACGGCTGTGACCACCAATTCCGGTAGGACACGATTCAACCCAAACATCTATTCTGGGGGCAAGGTCTGCCTGTAAGTACATGACGCAGATTAGCTGAGACAAGACCGACACTGACGCCTCACTATAGTTCGATTCTAGGGTACGCAGAACTGCATTCGTCTTGCCCGACCTCCTACTGACGTATCTATAGCACCTGGCGCGGCGAGCGGGGTGAAGAATGGTCATCCGCACAGGGCCTCGAGTCCATCCTCATATCTATTCAAAGCCTGATGTCCTCAAACCCATACGAGAACGAGCCTGGATTCGAGGATGGAAAGTCCGAGTTCGACAAGAAGAACCAGGTCGACTATGTGGCAAAGGTCAGTGGGGTTCAGTCGGTCAGTGAATCTTGACTGACGGTTCGTAGATTCGCCATGAGACTTTAAGGATCTCCATCATCGAGCGACTCGAGGACTATCTAGGCATCGGTAGGGAAAAGGTGCCAGGCGTTGTACCCTACAATGCGGACGATGACTATCGAGAGAACTCGGTGGACGCACCCTTCGAGCCTTTCAAGGACCTCTGCAAGCGGCGATTCCTGTGGTACTACGACTCCTATCTGAGCGCCATCGAGATAGAGAAGGAGAAGCACGCGGATGGTAAACGATTCGATAGGATGCCTTTCGAGGGAGCAGGCAACATAATGGAGGGATGCTTCCAGTACACCTCACTAAAGAAGCGGCTTGAGACGATCTACGAGAAGCTTAACGAAGAAATGGAAGCATGGGGAGCTGAAGGCCAACTCGCAACTCAGAAGGAGTTGAGCATTTCCAGCAACCTGCAGCGACAATACGAGCAGATTGTCGAGTTCTACAAGAACAACGACAGCGTCACTCTGGACCTCGAGCTGGTTGACAAGAACCCGTTTGTGTGGCAGCTGGTGCTGTTTGGCCGGCCAATGACCAACCTCGACGGAGGTATGTTCCGCATCAAGCTGTATCTCAGCACCAAGTTCCCGGACACCTTGCCTCGGATCAAGTTTGAAACGCCCATCTTCCATCATCGTGTGTCGAAGGATGGGATCCTATGCTACAACCCTACCCGAAAGGATGACCTCAAGTCACACATTGAGGCCATCATCGAAGCTGTCGAGGAGGAGTCGCCTGCCTATGATCCACGAACCTTGGTGAACCCGGAGGCTGCTAAGCTCTTCTGGGGCACAGCAGACGAGAAGAAACTCTACAATCGAAAGCTGCGACGATCCGTGCAGGAGAGCACCGAGTATGTTTGACATTGCCACTTTTGCCTTGACTGTGCTAACAGGTTGTAGATATTGATCCATTCCACAACACTTCACTTTCTTTCGGATATCTCAGACTGGCGCGGTGTCGCATCTCTTGCTTCCTTCCAATCACGACTTTCGCTCCGGAAGTCTTTTGATACCCACTTCCTACCAGCACCTTCGACTACATTCAAGTTGCATACTGACATTTCCCGGAGTTTCAAGGCTGGACGACGGGGGTAAAACACGGGTTTCTTTACATTACTGACATTTGCATGAAGGATGGACTGGCCACTTTAGATGCCGTTTACGACGGGGATGATTACGACTTTAAGCGTGGCGTTGGTGCGTTAGCTCTTCTCCATGCTATGCTATAAGCTGGCATGTAGAACTCAAATTGACCTTTTATTTCTGGGCGTTATCTGGGTCGTTTGTCTATGAGTGAGTTTGAGTGTTCGATGAAGTGGTGATGCATGCAAAGCTTTGGTATGGACAAACCAGCAATTCGGAAGTAGGCCGAGGGAACCTTCAATCACATATGCGAGGTGAGACTAGACACAATATGAAGGCTTTTCAATGCAGGGAATGCATTGGCGTGCGGATGGCACTGTCTGGAGTCCCTCGATCATCTTGAAGAGATCGAGACGGGATGCAACGAACGCCACGACAAAATCAAGCTCGAAAAATAGGGTTTTTGGAGCGTGGGAGGCGGCGTTTGAAGTGGCTCAACCAACTCTAAAAAACGGGGCATGATGGAACGAATAGCAAAGCTAAAATCTTACAGCCGTCTCAAACCTTAAGAATGGGTAACCTTAGCCCCAGAAGGCAGGATGGGAAGATAGCGCAGGCTGACGTACAATAGTCTTCCAAATTAGGCGTAAAGTACGACTTCAAGTAGTCTGCGTCTGCATGCGCCACTGCTTGGCGAGCTTCTAGCATTCTCGGAATTGGGACCTGATGCAACTCGTGAGAAGGTCTAAATCCGAACACCGTTACGAAGCCCATCCATCTAATCGGTGGCCTGAGCGGGGTGCCCCAAACACCACGATAAGACTCGCAGCCAGTTGACGTGGTCTCCCGAATCGGGGCATGGAGACGATGTTGAGGGTGTCAGGCACCCACATTCGCACCACTCACAGCACCAGAATGCAGGAGCGCATCACGAAGGAGTGGAGTGTGGCGAAGGTAGTGGGGTGGCCGGCCGGAGAGATTCGCGGTGGGCTCCGGGACAAGGCTGACTCACGGGCAGACCTCGAACTGAACCAAGCGGATCGCTGCCACAGGCCGAGCCACCACGGGCTCCTCCACAAACGGCGCCAGCGGCCAATCGTTGCTGCGCAGGAGCGGCATCCTTGACGCCTCCGAGGCTTGACGACGAGGGAGCCAAGCCCTGCTGACCCGCGCCGGGAGAAAGACGGGTGCAGCATGGTGCAGCATGGTGAAGCACGGCTTGAACAGCAGTTCAGCGCGAGCGCTGGGGAGAAAAGCCTGCTAATTGACCCGGATGGGGCCATTCGGCGAGCGGATTAGAAATGCACCGGATGCCGCACACCTGTCGACGCGCGCTGTTGGCAGATGGGGCCACCGTGTCGCCATGTTTTGGCCCCCATGGCCCGTGGCTGGTGGTGCTCGCCGTCCGGTGAGCAAGAAGCTTTCCGCCCTTGGCCCTGGTCCATTAGCGCTGTCTGCTTGACCGCTCGCTACCGCGCCGCAGAGCAGCGCCATGAGCATTTGGGAGGGCGAAAGGGCGGCGAGCTCTTCTCCGCAACTCCCCACCGCCGCAGTCCATCACCGTCCGCGGCGCATTCGCCAATAGAGTCTCCGCAATTGCTGCTGTTTTGCACTCTCCGCGCCCGCCGCGTGCAGAGGGTCGGCAGCTTGAGACGGCGGCCGAGTCTGGCGGCCGTGGTAATATTTGAAGCTCTGCCCCCGTCGGTGCCTTTGGGGCTTAGCCTCCAGGCAGCAGCGACCCAGACGACGACGCGACTCATCCGCCGCATCATCAGTTCCTCGTGTCCTCTCCTCGACAAAACCACTCCCCCTCCCGCCCTCCAGTTTGCTCCTTTTCCTCAGAGTGCTTCGTCCTCAGGCCTCGTCACCGCGTCCCCCGTCTTGTTCAGTTGCTGCCGCCTTAATTTGCTGTATTTCGAGCTTGCATTTCTTAGCCGCGCCCGCCCTCGTCTTTGGCTTCGGCTTGCACCGCCCTCTTATATCCTCGACCCTCCCGCCCTCGGCCGTTCTGCTTCCAGCGCCCTTATTGCTGCCTGTCCGCCTGAGTCTCTCATCACAGCCCGACTCCCAACTCGTTTCGTCCATCTCCACCTTCTTCCTCACCACCGTCCTGCCCATGAGGAATTGATCCGGGGGCGACTACGCATCTTGCCATTTGCAGACCCCGACTCAGTCCAGAGCCCGACTGTAGGTCACCCCATCACTTTTGCACTCCTCACTTTCGGTCACTTTTCTGGGAAGGCTGTGTTTTGAGTCTCCGCTCCGCCGTATCCATATCTCTGACTCTGGCCCAGCTTTCGCTTTATTCCCACGCCTGAAAGATCTCTCTCAATCCGGCAGTACCTGTGAGTCACTAGCTGGGAGCGCCAGGCCAGTCGAATTCCCAGCTAATCGATCCCCGCTGCAGTGTTTGTGCACTTCCGGTCCAGTCACCCCAACATGTCTTCTTCCACCCACACCCACCCCCGCCGCCGGCCTTTTAAGGCCACGAACCCCTCGACCCTCAACACCCACAGCATGACCCTTCGCAAGAGTGGCACCTTCTCCTCACCCACCTCAGTCCAATCCGAACTATGCGGGCTTGAGAACCATCCCTACATGCCCAAGCGTTCCCCTACCAGCACCGAGAACCTCGAGGACCTGCTCCACAACGCTGCCGTCCGCCGTGTCACCAACCTGCTCGCAGACTTCGACAAGAAGCTGGCCGGACACCCATCGGATGCCAACATCCTAAACGACCCAGAAGTCCTGCCCCTCCCGAGCTTCATGCTCGACCACACCACCTTGGACGAAGACCCTATGGACATTGAGCCCAAGTCTTCCCCAGTCGAACGCAGCCCCCACCAGCACGCCTCCGACAGTGGACTGGGATCCAGCATTAGCGGTTCCAAATACGGTATGACTCCATTTCACCCTGCTGCAAGCCACGCTCAGCCCGCTGATATCTATAAAGGCGACGCTGCCACCACTCGTGAATCGGTTTCGACTTCCATCACCAGCACCCACTCTGCTGTGACCGGATCCTTCACAGCCTTGGACTCACAGGAAGGGAAGCACACCCTCGGTGAGTATGCATGCAAGCAAATCCACGACTCTATAATCAAGCCTATCTTGGCCGAGAAGTCTCTGGAAGATTTCCACCCTCTCATTAAGGACGTTCCCCGACGCATTGGGAACAAGGACATCAACAACTTGCGTGATCTCGAAAAGACTCTGATCTTCTTGGCACCGGTGAGTGATAACATTTATGCTTTCTCTGAAGTTGCAATCGCTCATTGCATCCTTCGTGGTTTTAAGGACTTTTCGACTACACCGACAAAGTACCTGGAGTTTTGCGAGCGATCGATCCAACTTTTACATGCGACCGTCGACCAACTTTCGGAGCAAGACCAACGCCTACCTGCCGACCGCCCTTATACTAACAGGTACTTCCTCGACCTCGTTGAACAGATCAGACGATACGCCGCAATCATGGCCGCCACCCGACAAAAGGAAGAGAACGGGGAAGACCTCGACGAGATGGATTACCACCCGTACGATTCACCCCCTTATTTTCATGTATCTAGCTTACAGTATGTTAGAGGAGAGAAGATCACCCTTCGTGGTGGGCTAAGCCACAACGGCCGTCCTGTCGAACTCGTCCGTGAGAAAGAGGACGGCAAGGTCATCCCACTCGTTGAGGGTAGCCCTTCGGACGAGGAGTACGCAACCTTTTCCTCCGCGAAGAGGGCCTTGTCATTGTCCGATGATGAGGTTGACGACGACGGAGTGCGGCGATCTATGGCTCGACGACGCAAGTCTGAAAAGCCTGGGGACGTTATGCACATGTGCCGTGACTGCAAGAAAGACTTCAAGAGGCCGTGCGACCTCACCAAGCATGAGAAGACCCATTCGCGCCCCTGGAAGTGCACCGAGGAGAAGTGCAAGTATTACGACCTTGGCTGGCCAACCGAGAAGGAGAGAGACCGCCACGTCAACGACAAGCACTCGGCCGCTCCACCACAGTACAAGTGCTTGTATCCTCCATGCACGTACGCCTCTAAGCGTGAATCGAACTGCAAGCAGCACATGGAGAAGGCCCACGGCTGGGAATACGTACGCTCCAAGAGCAATGGCCGCAAGAAGACCACCGGCGGAAGCGAACGTAGCCCACCAACCCCACTCACTCCATTCATGGGAACTCCCATGTCTTCGCTTGCCACCCCCATGACTCCATTCCAACAGTCTCCCTTTGAGCCAATGCAGAATGACTTCGGTGGCTTCAATAACTTTGGTTTCGGAACTCCTGCGTTGAGCCATCACAGCTACCAGGATGAATACCGTCGAAACTCCACAACGACGGATGGATCCGCCATGACCTACTCGTCTGGCCAGTCGCCCACCGAGCCAAATGCGTTTGATAATGCTGTTACGCCTGAGGAGGCAACGATTAACCACAACGACATCTTTGGTACCGCCTTGAACGCCTTAAATACCAACTTCAGCACCGGTTTCCAACAGCCAACGCCTGCATTGAGCACTGGGTTCGATGACTTCGAGTTCGCCCGTCCGTTCCCAGTCAACACCAACACTTCCGTGCCACACCTTTCTCCCAACGCCCAGGCAGACGTCACACTATTCTCGCCTCACTTGAATAACATGCAAATTGACGAGGGCTTCGAAGACGGACTCGGTGCCTTTGGCCGGCCCACTGGTGACTTTCCGCTCTTCGACGATGCTCCCAACACGGCACCGACAACTGGTGAATGGTTCCCAGACCTTAACCAGTTCGGTGGCCAATTCGACACCACTTTCGATGACATAATGGGCAACGCCTGGAACAACCACTAAACGTTTATTCGCTTGAAACGTTGTGGCCATTTACCGGCTTCTTTCATCTTTGTTTTTCACGATGATGACGGCCATTATTCATCAACCTTGTGTCATTTTGCCCCCTCTCCTCCACCAGATTACGTGCGTGTCGAGGTTGTCTTGCATTTTAGCGTTTAGCGAACCCTTTTCTTATGATCGTCATGACGAGGACAGTTGGAGGAACGGGAAGACGTCCACAAGACTGAATCCGAAAACTCCGGTGCGCGATTCTGGATAAAGCATTCTGTTTGGAACCCCACAACAACCGAAAATGATGATAAAAAACATGTTGTCCCCCATGTTTTTCCAGTCTGTCACTTTGTTGGAGTTGCAATGATTTTTGCGGTTGCACTACACTACACTACACCACTCCCCCCCCTTCTTACTTTGTGTTTGTTTGCCACAGAACGATTGAAGGAGGGCTGGGTTGAGGCGGTTGCGGTTAGGGGAGGAACTTGATTGTAAATTAGATAGGGGCTAGGACTGGAATTGGGATCTTCTAAGGTTGAGCTTGGATTGATTATACGTTTGGTTGGAACTCGATCTTAGGGATTCTGATTGGATTTTGACTTGGGAATTGCGAATATACGTTACTCTCACTCTCACACTGCATTTTACCATTTGTGTTATTGGTGATAAGTGATTGATTCCAGCCTCAGCGTTCTATGAGTACTGCAATCTGCTACCTATGATGATTAAACATATTGTGAGAGGGTTTAGGGATGAAGACATCGCCTCGATAGCGGAGGGGAACGGAAAATGTGGAATGGAAAGGGATAGGGGGCATGGGAGGGGTACCCGAAAGCTTGACCTTCTCAAGAGTAACCAAGGTATGACTCTTCCTCCTTTCCGCTCTGCATGATCATGACGGAGGATGTAGTGGATAAAGCGGCATGGTTGAGAGACAGAGGGAGAGATGTACGCGGGGTGGGGGTGGGGTGGTGGTTCAAGGGAGGCGTGACCAGGGGAAGGGGAGCGTCGGAACCTTGAAAAAGCCAAGAGAATAGATGGGCCTGAGGTATGACTCCTCCTTCATGTGGAGCGGAGAGGGGGCGCATGACAGAGGTAGTGGTGGAGAGAGGGGGTGATTCATCGGTATCTGGGGCTTGGCTGATACGTTTCGGTGGGGGAGATGTGATTGGGTAGGATTCGGAGAAAGGAAAGGGTGGGTCTTTGGGACAGGACACGTGAAGGTTTTCGGGTATAGAGTGATTCATTGTGTCTGTTGCGGTAAGGGAGGAGAGGTTGAGGGTGTGTCCGGACAGGCTTTGTAGGGATGATGGGGTAGGGGGGTTCGTCGTATGTACATACACAGTTTGCGCTGTATAGAAGAGCAACGCGCTTAGGGTAGTATCGACATTACTTGAGATGCGATGTAGAACGCGGAATATGATGCCAGATAGAATGAGAGGCCCACGCAATGCTAACCCGCGTAAAGGAGCATCGACCCGTCATCCTCGCGTTTCAAGAGCAGCCCTTGACAACGGAGGCATTCCTTCTCCGGTCGCCCAGTGCATATCAGTCGAAGAACGAAAAATTGCGTTTGAGACCCTCTTTCGCCATCGAATCGACAAACGCTACTGGGGGTGTATGAGCGGTCGTCGTTGAAGCGTTTCTCAACATCAACCAAATCGAGCAGACTTCGCCGTAGCCAATGTTCTTTATAGGCCGTGCGAAAACGCGAAAGCGTTGCAGAGACGTAGCAGTCCTGTAACAGCCCCGAGGTAACTAGTGTATCAGGCAAGCGGGGATAGGTAAGAACTTGCTCGAAATAAATGTAGAATTCTTCAGACGTAGGCAGATCGACAGACGCCCTGCTCTCGATGGCGCCGGCTCTACTGACCCAAGACCAGGATGGGGCGCATCTATCATCGACTAACTTCATTGGGCGGCTCCCTGGACTCTGGGGAAGACTTTTTGAAAAGTGTAAGTACCCAAATCCCAGACAAGTATCGGCCAGGCATGAAGAGTGAGGCTATTCTTGCCAAACTTGAAATCCTAGCAAGTTTGTCTGTCTCGTAATAAAGGTCGAGTTCGGAGTATTCGTTGATGAGGTTATACTATACGGCTAAGAAGTTACGCTGTATCTCCTCCTCCCGAGCGGTCCCCTGCGCATTCGCCAACCCCCAGTTGATAGCATAAAGTTCATAGCCACCTTGAAGTTGCTGATGAAGCTGAGCAGAGAATCGCAGGTTTCTCTGCTTTCTGCCCAAACCAGCCTCCCACGTTCCTAATAGATCGGCCGCGTCGTGAAGTGGATGGTACGTCGTGAGCATGTTCTCTCTTGCTTCGCCCACCTCCTTTTGGCAAGTGGACTACCAAATGTCGCATATAGGAACTAGGGAAAGAGGTTGTGATATTGCGCGCCGAAGATTATGGTCCCATCTAGATGGGAATAAGGGAGATTAAGAAAAGAACAGACAGGAGTTTCACCGGCAGGATATGATATTCTTCTGCTTCGTACATTCCCAAGGCTACGGCATTGGCAGAGTAGGACGATAGGTATGGACCGTTCTCTTGTTGCCCGGGTGCGGCACATGTATTGAGTAACTCGACACAGGAAAGTAATGGACGTATTAATATATACTACCTACAGGAGAGGAAGTCTTGGTAAGCTAAAAGAAAAAGATAGATGCGGAGTAAGGCTGTTAGAATATATTAGAATCTGCAACTAAAGTGTACAATCTAAGGACCATGAGAACTAGTGTCAGGTTCTAAGTAGATCCTCTCAGTAGACGCGGTTTAGTGGAATAGGACGCGTGAGAGAGGCTCCTCGATGTCGTCGTCGTGCTTAGTCATCCAACTATTATTCTCGAGCTCGAGCTCCTTCACCACCGCACCTACGACCAACAATGCCAACGAACTCACTCCCTCCATCCGCCTTCGCTGACCTCGACCTCCCCTCCGAGTCTATCGCTGCCATGACTTCCAAACCTTCGTCCGCGCAAAATGCACCCGTGCTAGCTCCTCCAAGCTCTGAAACAGCTCCTCCCTCCACCTCTCTCTCCCTCGCCGACTCTTCCTCCTCCGCCGTAGGCCCCAAGCCGCCTCCCAATACAACCGCCATCTCCCTCTACGCCGAACACCTCCTCCATATCCGCACCGTCACGCTCTCTGCCTCCCTCCGCACAGCGCGCACGCAGCAAACGCGGGCCGTGCTTTCTGCGGATGGGTCTGAAGTGAGCATAAGCCATGAAGGAGAAGTTGCAACAATACGGTTGCCGGTGCGAGTAAGATTAAAGCCTGGTGACGACGGTAGCGCAGAGGCAGCGCTGGTCCTGCCAGGAAAGCCGGAGGGGAAGGAGATTAGTTTGCGGTTGAGCGCTGAGGATGAGGGGGGCTTGCTTGGTAGTCCGGGTGGAAGGACTATAGATGCAGAGGGGAACTGGGTTCCCTGGGGTGCAGCTGCCTTAAATGAGACGCGGCAGGACAGGAAGAAGGTAAGGGTCGTTTGTAAGAAGTGTGGGAACCCCGCTGTGCGAGAGGGGAGCGTGGGCGAGTGGAGAGATCTGCCGAATGAGAACTGGGCTGAAATGATGGAGTTCTGGCATTGCCATCGACCAGATCATGATCACGGACACGATCATAAACACAGCAATGAAAGTGACGGAGGTAAGAGTAAGGGCTATGCAGCTGCGAACCAACTGAGGGCCCTGAGTGGTGTCGGGTTCGTGGATTTGGGAGCTCTCCTACTAAAAGAGGAGGATTGTGAGAGTATTGAGGTAAGAACGTCTCGTTTCCGTCAGCGCTACCCGCAAATACAAATATGTCATTTAAAGCGCTCACCTCTTCAACCCCTCTGGCTTTTCCTTTCTCAAGCTCTTCGAAAGATTATCTTCTCGGGCTCAAAGAAGGCGGCGCTTCATTCGCTCTCCGTGGCAGCGCCGTCGATACAAGAGCCCAAGATCAATACCCTGCGACCTTGCCTACGTGAGCTGAACCACCTTTCTCCGGATCGATCGGTTGGCCGTAGTGTCTCGGAAGAGGAATTGCTACAACGTTTCATCACCTCTCGTCCCAAGGCCCGTGGGTTAGGTGAGATAAAGATTATAGTACATGCTCGGTTACTTCAATTCAAATCAGATTCAAATACCGCTGCTATCCCTCTAGCGTTCCGCTGTGCAGTGCTGCTTGCCTTCATCCTTCTGTGTGCTGACTTCAGGTAGGTCTCACAGTCTCCCGGGTCTCGACCTTCTAAACTCCTCTGCCAGACGTGCAAAGCTCAGCTCGGTGAAGTCGACGATCGAGCTGAGGGCTTCAGGCTGTGGAAATGGAGCTTGGCCATTGCGGAATCTTCTGCTCAAGAAGTAGGACCAGAACAACCCCGGAATCTAGACTCAGACATAGCCATGAAGCCTAAGTTAACGACGTATAGCAATCAGAAATGGGTATCTGCGCACTTTCTATCCCTAATCGAAAATCAAGCTGTCAGAAAGTTCTGTGTCAAGCCTAAGCATGACGACGAGATCAGTGGAGAAGAGAAGATCATGGTTAGTCTCTCTTGAACCTCGTCCTAGAGCCTTGTGATACCAGGATGGAGACCTGTACTGATACGAAGATGCAGATCTGGGTTTTCACGCCCGACCTGACATTTTCCTCCTCTATTTCGTCTTCTGGCACACCTCCGACAACACTCCACCACCCCGAACCTACCCGCGCGATGAAGGTTCTTTATCAACTCTCGTCACCTACAACGTCGAGATCACAAGAAGAGCAGAACTCATTTTCAGTTGAAGAAGTCCGATTCCCTCCTTTTGTTTATAAAGACCTGAAGACGGCCTTGAAGGAGAGTGGAATGCTGATGCCGGAGACTGCGAGGATGTTCAAGACGTGGCAGGTGGGGTTGTTAGAGAGGTTTCAGAGTGGGGACAAGACGTAAAGGTTGATGTACTGAAACTTAGGCTGCCTCTTGCCTGATTGGCTATTTGGTAGCTGAGCTACTCCTCACAATACTTCGTAGTCTCAAGCGGGCAAGCGTGGAGTCTGGCGTGTACCTAAGCTCTCGACCTAACACTATATCTCTCCCCACCGCACTACCGATTGATGTCAAGCTTCAGCCCTAATGCATTATGAGGATGCTCGGTAGCATGTGGGGCTGATGAAAGAAATAGCATTTTACATAGTGTCCTGATCACATATGTTTTGTGACTATGATGGGCATCATTCATCGGCCCCAACGCCATTGTCCGCTACTCTCAGGCCACTACATGGTACGATGAGGAGCACGATTTCACCCACCAAATCACACATGGTTTGACAGATGCTTAGCTTTTGTACCCAGAATCCACCCCTTGGGTCATGCGATTACCATCTGGTATCATTTGAAGATAGTAAACAGCCGTAGCTAGATATCCAAGAAATTTTCGACTAACCCTCACCTCTCCTCGATTAAACGTTGAAAATGTTAGCGTTCCCTCTTTTATACTAAGATACGATAGCAGCGCTGGATTCATGTTGTCTACCACCAAGTCACGTTTTCTGCGGCTAGGTCACGTTGGCAATTGTGCAAGGTTATTCCTAACCGCCTATCTATCTACCTTGGCTTACGAGCACCATCTCCCCACGCTTGCTCCTTACATTACCACAATCATGGCCACCAGCAACCATCCGAAGTTAGACACACTTCCCGTAGAACTTCTTCAAAGAATCGCCGGGTTCTTGCCATGCTCCTCAGCCCTACGCTTGATCCAGGTCAGTCGGGCCTTACGCAACGCCTGCAATGACCATTTTGTGTTCAAAGACATCGCGCGAACATCGCATCTAGGCTTCAACCCCCCCAATAGCGTATCTGTCGCACTGCTCGAAGGGAAATCCATACTTGAGACCAAGCAAGCTGCGTTCGCGGTGGAAAACGCGGTCGATTGGTACACGGCGTCCAAGGGCTTCGATCCTAGTGGGATGCCAGATCCAAAGACACAAACGTGCCTTTACTTGTTAGCAAACCCCGCGGAATGGAAACAGATCCGCCTCTGGCTCCCTCAGCTCATTGCTCTTCATCACCCGTGTGCGCTGCAGCTAAACCCCGTTGGGATATGGGAGTACCTCAAGCTGTTTCAAGGCGTTACGTGGGGCCAGGAACGGGGTTTTTGTTCTTTGGCTTTCTCCTTCATCGCCGCAGTATTGGAACAGAATGCAGTGTTCGAAGCTAGTTCGTGGGAAGTCAGACATAATATCCTTACCAGAGCTGTTGAAGGGCTCGAGGACATGATTTTCCTCAACTTCCACCGCCCCAATTCTGGCTTCAACCAGATCAGCACATTCCTAGACATGAATCAGTATCACTACTCTATGGCTGTCATCGCCCAATATGCCCGGGGGATGATCAACTCACCTGAAAATACGTCTCGCTGGGGTGTTCCGTTACCTCAGCCATCCAGGATACCCTTCCACAAGTTCATGGATATGCCGCGTCTCATGCACCTTTGCGAAGACCCCGAGGACGTCAATTTGTTCCCGCACATCGATTTCGTCAACTTGTGGAGGTCGGGCTTCTTGTGTTCCGGCGAATGGGTGGGCTATTATAGCTACGACCGCATGAATCGCTCTAGTGATATTCCATGGATCGACCCGCCGATGCGCTCCATCGTCTTCTCACCCCGCGCGGACATTGGGGTAGGTGCCATCGAAAGTCTCACTGGCGTCGACTCGATCGGACCATTTACTCTGATGGGCCATCTTTCGGAAATGCCCCGAGGGCGAGTGGCACTCCATATGACGAAATCATATTATTTCCCTTTCCAAGGGGGGAATCCCACTCACTCGTGGGAATGGGAGGCATTTCTCACGCCGTTTGGCATTGTGGGAGCATGGGGAGGAACAAACCCGGACGCCGCCAAAGGGCATATTTGGTTGTGGAAAATGGAGTGGTGTAGTGAAGATTGGCTCTCGAGTTGAGCGGGGAGAGGGTACGCGGCGTGCACCTAGCGTGGTCACTTTCAACCTCTGGTCAATAGCATGTAAATCAGGCCAGTGGAAATGGGATGGTAAGGAGCTGCTGGGGCGCCTCCGTTCAGCTCCGAAATCTATCGGTCACTTAAAGTTACAAAATCAACCGCGTGAGCCTTGATTTGTTGGGTCCTGTGTGTACAGAACGTGCACGCAGCGGGTCATTTCCAGCCTCTGGTTAGCAGAATGTAATTCAGATCAGTGGAAAAAGGATAGTAATGAGCTGCTGAGGTACCTCCGTCAAACTTATACCGCTTCCGGTTACTTAAAGTAACGAGATCAACTGCTCAAGCCTTGATTTATTAGATACAGCGTGCACACGGCGTACACCTTACGTAGTCCCTTTCATCTTCTACTCAGTAGTCCCTAAATTGGGCCGCCGACGAAAGGATTATTAAAACCTACCGAGGTGACTCCGTCAACCCTTAGCCTCTATCAGTTACTTATTGTTACAAAACGAACCGCATGAAACATTATTTGTTAGACGCAGAGGGTACGCAGCGTCCACCTAATCCAGTTGCTTTTAATTTCCCTAACTAACAGCCTGTGAATCAGGTCGTCGTCTAAAGGATTACAACAGAGAGCTAAGGTACCTCCATGCAGAAGTCGAGTAGTTCGGTTAGTTACTTAAAGCTACGAAATCAACCGCGCAAATCAATTTTAACTAGACGCAGAGGGCACGCGGTGTGAACATAACGTAGTTACTTCTTATCCTATAACCACACGATCGAAATCAACTCCGTATAAAAGGGATAAAGAAAAGATAGCGAGGTGTCTTCGTATAGAGCCCGCTTCTTTTAGTTACTTGTTCTTACCGAATCAACCGTGTGGACCTTTTTTGGTAGACGCGGTGTAGCCTCTACGTGCACCACTTGTGGTTACTTGCACCTTCTAACTATAGCGTCTATATTAGCTCCGCAGAAAAACGACGAGAAGAAGGTAGAAAAATGCTTCTATAAGGAGCCCGCTTTTTTCAGTTACTTATTCTTACCAAATCAACCGCGTGAACCCTTTTTTGATAGACGCGGTGTACCCTCTGTGTGCCCTCCGTGTGGTCCTTTTTATTCCCTAAACACAACTTCTAGATTAGCTCGCCGGAAAAAGGATGATTAAAGATGGATAAGCCACCTCACCCTTTTCAGTTATAAGTTTCTACAGAATCAACTGTGTAGACCGATTTTGGTTAGACGCGGCGTAGCCTTTGTGTGCCCTCCTTGTGGTCACTTTTACCTTCTAACCACAGCCTCCACATCAGATTCCTATTAGAAGCATGAGAATAAGCTATTAAAGCGCCTCCACTACCGAACCTAGTAAATTTGTTACAAGTAGTTACAGATCTAACCGCATAACTCGATTTTTAATAGACGCGGTGTACCCTTTGCGTGGTTCCTTTTATCCACTGACCGCAACACCTAAATTAGTTTCATGTCAGAACTTCGAGATTGAGGCATCGAAGCACGCCTGCTACCGAACTAGTTACAAGTTATCACAGATCTAACCGCACAACTCGATTTTTAATAGACGTGGTGTAACCCCCCGTGTAGTTCTTTTTACCCCCGACTGCAGCGTCCAAATCAGTTCCATGGCAGAGGTTTGAAGATACGCCACTGAAGCACGCCACTACACATATTGCGCACTCTTGTTACAAATTCTTACAGATCTAACCGCATGAGATAAAATTTATTGGACGCAGCGTGCACGTTGCGTAGCCACTTCGTATTGGCGATCAAGGAGGTTTTCGCTGAGGGCTACGTCTCACGTTCGAATTCAGTCGTTGAGCAGCTCACGTGGTTCACGTGATTCTGGCTTTGACTTCGACTACAAAAGGTCTCTTGCTCTGATGTTCGTCTTCTCCACGGACGGCTCTAGACTTCTGGAAGAGCAAACGGTGGAGAGCCATGTGCTATGGAGGGTGGAAGTTTTGGGGGAACAAAAGTTGCAAAGATGAGGATTTATGGTCTTGTGGTTGCGAGTTTGTGCTCGTTGCAGAACGTGAAAACCACGATTTGATGTAGAGTGGGTTTGGTGGAAGTGGAGCTGAAGCAGTTGGAGTAACGATGATGACGATCATATATCTAACACGTTAATAAACTATGCGAGCGCGGAAAAGCTTTAATGAGGATGATCTGTTGGCTCCCAGGATGAATGCTATCATCTTTGTTGAATTCATGGGAAGACTTGTAACAAAATACCAAAGACGGGGTTCGAAAGAGCTTAATACGGAGGGATCTAAATTATAATTGATCTTCATGGATATCTTTTCTACCTTTCGACGCAAATCTCGTCTTGTACCACCACTTATAGTCTCGCATGTTCATTCTCTTCGTTGACTAGGACATACCTGTACCTTGCCTTCCCGTCCTCCATATCCACAATAGTCTGATTCGCGTCCTCCATCTTCCTCTCCTGAATCCAAGGCTTGACACCCTTCTCAGCTGCAAACTTCAGCATCTCTTCAATCTCCAGTGGGCTCCCAATCTGGCTCCCAGAAATCTTGCACCCCTTCGCAATGAGCGCGAATGCAGAGAAGGCTGGCATAGGATCCTCGGGCGCTCCCACCTGCACAAATGTCCCATTCGTCCTCAACAATTGCAGATAATTCTGCAACGGCATGTTGGGTCCCGACACCGTGCTGACAATGATGTCCAAACTTCTTGAATGCTTCTTCGCCCACCCCTCCTCTTCAGTCGCGATGAAATCATCTGCTCCCATAGCCTGCGCATCTTTCCTCTTCGCCTGAGTCCTCGAAATCGCAACCACCTTATCACAACCCAGCGCCTTCGCAAACAGCAACCCGAAATGTCCCAATCCACCCACACCTACAATCCCAACCTTCTTTCCTGGGCCAGCTCCATTCTTCTTCAGCGGCGAGAACACCGTGATGCCTCCACACAGCATCGGTGCGGCATCCTTACTCTCCAAAGAATCCGGGATCTTCACCACAAAGTGCGCGGGCAGCCGAATCCGTTCCGCATACCCGCCGTAGCTCTTACTCCCATCCGGAAACTTCCCATTGTACGTCCCAGTGAACAAGTTCGCGCAGTGCTGCTCCATACCCGCCGCACATTCCTCGCAATCAGGCTTCAGACAGCTCCCACTCTGCGCGCCGACACCAACCCGCTCACCGAGCCTGAAGCGCTTGACCTCGGAGCCGATGCGTGTGAGAGTGCCGACAATTTCGTGGCCGGGGCAAACGGGGTAGTCGGAGCGGCCCCAGCCGGAGCGGAGGGTGTGGATATCTGTGCCACAGATGCCGCAGTGGGAAATGGCGATGTCGACGTCGGTGGGGGTGAAAGGTTTCGGAATGTAGGATTTCCAGACGAGGTTGCCTTGGGCGGATTCCTCGTCGAGGCCGAGCCAGCCGGTGAAGATATCGGGAGAGGACATTGTGGGTGCTTCTGTAGAGGAGCGACACAGAGGATCAGAGCTGTGAATGGAGAACGGGTTCAGAAAAGTTGTATGTTGGTATTCTAGTTGAGCTGTGCCGTGATCAAGTTGGACGTATGAGTGGTGTGATGTGCAAAGTGCAATTGAGGCAGAGTAATGTGTGGAAGGTCAAAATATGAGGTAGGAAAGTTAGTAGAAGAAAGAAAAAGAGCCGCGGAGTTAAGACTCTAGTATAAGTATCCCTCGGCATCTCTTATCCAGCCCGCTTCCAAGGTTCGCCGCCATTGTTTCGGCGGTGGCGTTATGCCTAGCTGCCATCCCGTACAATAGGATTGCACCGCAATGCTCTACAGCAGAATGTGGGGCCTCGGAGATAACGACTTTACTTACTTCTGAGTGAATGACGTTGCGTACTCCATATCTTATTATAAATCACTCTGGTGCTGTCGTTGACTTTTGAAATGTGAGAAAGTCAGTGACGCGTGATGTGGGAGTCCGTAGTGGGGCTCTCGGCTAGAAATTGATTGGTAATAATGGAGAGCGAGAGTGCTCTGCAGGAAGGGATAGAAACCATTGTAGAAAGAGAAGTTCAGTTCGAACTCACAATGGACCTACATTGGGACAAGGGCGATTTGAAGGCTACGAGTAGTAGAGAGGCTATACACATCCCAAATCACACCAGTGGACGTGACCTCTGGGGCATGGGTAAACACTGGGAGCCACCTCCGGCCCATACAGCTTCACGCGATATACGATGCTACAAACAGTACAGCGGAGATCGGCACATCGACTCCATAACCCCAAATCCTCCAAAGACACCCCCTAAATTCGCACTAAGCCGTCGTCGTATTTAAATAGATCGGGCAATATATGAGCGCGTAAAGCACTCCTTTAATTACGTGGTGTAAATTTACAAAGAACGAAGGAATGATGCTTGGGCGTGTAGCTAACTGGGGTGATCCAATAGTAGTCGAACCAACGCCTGGGACGCCGCTAGTTATGCGCGCTAAGAAGAACGATAAAGGACGTATGCATTATGTGGTATAAGTTACTCGAACGTCATCTTCATCTCCTTTTCCTTCCCAAAGTCGTCGTCGTCGTCGTCGGCCCAGGCGTTGAAGTCCGGTGTTAAGTTGACATTCGGCGTCGTTGCAGCGGACCTTAGCGGCGGCCGTTGTTCTGGCGTCGAGTTCCATGACGATCGTGGCGGTTCTATGAAGGCCGGGGCAGGGGCTAAGGATGGAGATTTAGTGATTTGAGGAGTGGGAGAAGGTTTGAATGACGTGTCAAATGTCATCGAAACGTTGCCTTCGTCGTGACCGTAATCGTCGTACTCGTCGTACTCGTCGTAGGGTTTGGCGAACTGATTTGAAGGTGAAGGTTCGCGGTGGTTGCTTGGGAGTGAGGGGGTACCATTGGGTCTCAAGCCTTCTTTGCCGATGCTGTCATTAAAGCTCTTAGTTTCTCGGAGAGTTGAGTAAGGGCTCGACGAGGAGGAAGCATTTATGTCGAGCTTCATAGGCGGGAGCGTGGACTCGAGTTGTTTAACTTCGATGCCCTCTGCAGCAAGTGCAGCAGCTTCTGCTCTGATGGCGTCAATGTCGAACAAGACTCCGCCTGCTGAATCGCATCCTTCACCCTTGCCGGATGCTTTCATTCGATCGTCATACGTTTCCCATTCTTTCTTCTCTGCCTTCTTCTTACTGCTGAAAAATCCGAATCTCTTCTTGTCCGGCTTCTTCTCCAATTCTTTTCGAGCTTCCTCGATTTCATTGATGAGCTCTCGCTGTCTCTTTTCGTGGTTCTCTGGATCAGGATCCTCGATTTCGGTGAACTCATCGCTCTCCACTAACCAGCCCACTTCTCTCAGCAATTTGGGCATGGCTGCTCTGTACGCCATGTGTCCTTTGACTATTTCGGTGACGTTGATGTTCTCTATGCCGGGAACATCTACGGCGGCGAGACCCGCAACGCGCGAGATGCCTCCACCCGTAGCCCTGAACAAGTAGCCTTCATCTGGCGTTAGCAGAGAGATCATTAAAGGTTCAAATGTGGGTGCATACCTAGAATCCAATCGTTCGTGGCGTAGCCGTTGACAAACCTACCCGGCACTACTGATTTGGCTCGGACGTAATCATCCTTTTTTGCTACAAGTGGAGTTCCGAAGAGATATACGTTCTGTACTAAACCGTATGCACCTTTGCGTGCAAGCTCTCTTAGGCAAGCGATGATTACTCGAGAGCCCAGAGAGAACCCAACTAAAGTGATTGGTCGTGATCCAAGATTACGGTCGATTAAGGAGTCTGCGAGAATAAGCCCAGCAGCGTCGGCTCTTGCCTGTGACACTGTCCAGGGGTTATCGATGAGGTAGGATAGCTTCGTCAGAACGATAGGAAGAGTTAGTGCGCCCATGAGAGTGGTGAGAATTGTGCTGCCCAGAACTTGCTGCAAGCCTTGAGTAAGAGCCTGGGAAAATTAGAATAATTCCGTTCGACGGGCCTCGCTAACATACCTCTGTTGCCAGAATGTTGATGGTGTCACCCATACTTTGCAACATCTCTGGCTCCCAGAAAACAGAGTATATATCTCCCATGACAGGGTCCACGGTACTGTAAGGCAAACGAACATCATCGATCTTGCCGTTCATCCAGCCTGAAATGGTTACGATGAGATTGACCCTCTTATTGTTGTGCAATGGACGGTATTCAAAAGTCTTCACAGCCCCTGTTCGCCTGTTTGCTGCCCTCACTGCAACAGTGCCTCCGCTTAGAACACCTGTAGTCGTGACAATGGCCGCACCACCAGCACCAGCAAGGAAACCACCAGTTCCGGCTACACCAATTGTTGTGAAACCAGCTGCAAGCCCTGCGCCGATGACTGGAGCAAGAAGGCCGGCTGATAATCCAATGACAAGACTACCTCCCACTGTAGCAAGGCCCATGAATACAAGGCGTCTATTTCGAGCCATTTTCTTGCGGTTTGCCATGTGTTCGTCTTCATTCCAATTCTCCTTATCTGCCGCCTCTTGCATTTCTAAGGCGTCTGTCACTCGCTTCTCGAAACGACAGATCTCTAGCCACGGAACGTCGAGATAACTTCCCACTTGCTCCAGAAGCTGTCTCGAGCGGGAATCATACATGGAATCGGCGATGAGTGTAAGGAAGAGATCGCATAGTATCGTCCACCGAAGATCAATGTCGATGTTCTTGGTATTTGGAAGTTGGGAAGGCATACGAACTTCGGGAAGTTCGTCTCCTTCGTGTTGTATATATGGTGGTGGTGGAGAGTCATAACGCTCATTCAAATTAACGCTCGATGAAGATTTGGTCTTCTCAAAAGCTGGTTCTGGCTGGGGAGATGCTATTGATTGCGGCCGAGGAGACAATATTGATTCCGGTCGAGGAGATGCTACTGACTCTGGTCGGGGAGATGCCACTGACGGGCGTCCAGAAGATGCTTCCTCGGCTACGGGATTCTTGACGCGTGAATTCTGCATGAGGGTCGGCGTGAGGTCGCTTGGCTCCACCCCATGCACCGACAACTGCTCTATCATAACCTGCTCTGCGGCGTCTAGGTCCATATGACTGTAAAGACGGACCATCATTTTTTGGCTCCACATTTTCATGTGTTCAACCGCTAAATCTACCTCTTTCTTCGTGCCCTTTGTCTTTTCGAGGCCATCCAAATCCTTCTCCATCTGAACCATGGCTAGTCTTGCGAGACCAACATAGGCAATCCGTTGTCCTTCTGTCAACAGCCCTTTAGTTGTCTGCATTTGGGCGAGTGGGTCCCGGGCCTCATCATCATCATCCTGGAGTTCGGTCCCCTTCTCCTTGAACAGATAAGCAGTGTTGTCGTCCATGCTCGTTGCAGACTGAGCATCTTCGTCAAGTTGTACCCGGGTATACCCCTTCGCAGCGCCACCAAGGTTACCATAAGCGTTGGTCTCTTCATCCGATTCGACAGCTTCCCTTGCAACCAGCTTATTGTCATCATTATACATGTCGAAAGGCGCATAGGCGGGCATTTCTTGCCAATCGACCTCGTCCTTCGTCTCGACGGCCTCCTTGTGAGTCTGTGGTGCAAGCTGCTGATGCGACCATTCTGACGCGGCAGCTGTAGACTGGCTTTGCGAGTGTCCGCTGAGCAAGCTCTCCCGCCATTGTGCAGCTATGCGGTCCTGTTCTGAGGGTGGTTTCGTAGAATTCGGTTTCAACGTTTCTTCCGGGTTGCTGGGAACGGGAACGTCAGGAGTCTCTACATGACCATTTGGCTGTAGCTTCAGGTCGTCTTCCTTTTTGGGTGCCTCTGTCGGTGGAGGGCTCGGCACCTCTGACTGGTTTTGTACATGCTGTGGCTCCGCGCTCGAAGGCTTATTCTCCGGTGGGCTCAATTCCTCCGCTTTGACTTCACTTCGGCGGCGTGGTTTTCTTATAGGTAGCCCAAAATCATCGAGTTCCACGGGTGAAGCGGGCCTCCCAGCAGGCCTCCCTTGCCCATCAGACGTGGATTCGGAGGTCGAGGGGGTGGTTGTGAGGGCGGTGGAGGGCTCGTCCGACATGATGGTCGAGCTGCCGCCCAAGCATCCGCGGTCAGGGCAGTGTAGGGGCGCGGAGGAGCTTTAGAGAGGCTCTGGAGGCGGTGGAAATGGTATATACAGGTCTCTGGCCCCGTTCCGCAGCCAGCGAGACAAAGCCGGGCAGGTGTTGGGAAGTCTCTCAGATGACGCTAGGGCATACCTCCTAAGAGAGCTTACGTTTCAGCCTCCATCGTACTATTATTCTATTTCAGCTCCAACCGCAAGCTATCGTAAGCTGTCACCTCCACAATACAGAATACGTGCATACACCGTGTTCTTGCATCATATCGAACAAATTGAATATTTAATATCCCCGTTTGAGGAAGGTCGCCAAGTCTACCTCGCTCGACCGCGAAACCGCGACCGTCAACTTGCTGACCGCAGCAACATTCACGACATCGCGCGCGGCGCATTTCTTCACGATGGCTGCGCTGGGATCGTATTTTCTGGACCTGGTCTACTCCTTCACCAACTGCATGGTGTGCTTTCCCGGCTCGCCGCAGTTGAAGATTAACAGCCGGAGTTTCAAGATCTTGCGGCTACTAGGAGAGGTATGTCTCCTGAGACTCATTGAATCCGGAATCTAGCAGCTGACATTTGCGCAAACATAGGGAGGATTCTCATATGTCTACCTAGTGCAGGACACATCAAACCAACAGCTATGGGCCTTGAAGAAGATCAGGTGTCCCTTCGGCCAGGAATCTGTCTCGCTCGCCCTGAAAGAAGTCGAGGCATACAGTCTCTTCTCTCCACATCCGAACATCATTCACAGCATAGACTACAGCGTAGCCTCAGACAAGTCCGATCCCGGCGCGAAAACAGTCTACATAGTCCTACCATATTACCGACGAGGGAATCTCCAGGATATGATCAACGCCAATCTGGTCAATCACACCAAGTTCCCGGAGAAGAGGCTCATGGTGCTATTTCTGGGCGTGTGCAGGGCTTTGAAGGCAATGCACCAGTACAAGGTACAGGGTGGACCAGGCGGCGCCGCAAGCCAAAACAAAGCAAAACGAGTCAGACAAGAAGCTGCGAGAGCTGATGCCGATGCTGCCGAGGAAGTCGAGATGAGTGCATCGAGGAGGAGAGGGGCCAACGGGAACCAAGACCAGGAGGAAATGGAGGCGGAACCCCTCATGGAAGACGAGGTCACAATCAGCCAGGAGGGTATAGCCCCTGGAGGTGAGCGTGCGTATGCGCATCGGGACATCAAACCTGGTAAGTTTATGGTGGCATTGAGACAGATGAGGCGGAGCTGACCCTGCCATAGGAAACATCATGATTGCAGATGATGGCAAAACACCGATTCTTATGGATCTCGGCTCGTTGGCACCCTCTCCAACACCCATCACGTCACGCTCTCTGGCTCTTGCTGTGCAAGATACAGCAGGAGAACACAGCACAATGCCATACCGCGCCCCTGAACTCTTCGATGTGAAGACTGGAAGCACCATTGACACCAAAGTTGACATCTGGTCCCTCGGCTGCACCCTATACGCTTGCCTGGTCGGAAAGTCGCCATTCGAGGCCCGCTCCGAGGAGACTGGTGGCAGTTTGAGTATGTGCGTCTTGGGTGGTGACTGGAGGTTCCCCGATGAGGTACCCCATAGGGGCAAGCAACCGGCGTCTACCGAAGAAGCTATCAGCGACAACGTCAAGGAGGTCGTCAGGAAGTGCCTGCAGGTTGAGGCGAGCGAAAGACCTGATGTCGACGAGCTGATAAGGATAGTAGAGGATGTCATCGTCACCTTACCTGGTGATGGAACGGAGGAGTAATGTGCTTGCAATCCCTTTCATCATATGGCGTTCTGGGGCAATCCACTTGGAGGTGGCGGCTTGTGTAAGAGTAGGAGGAACATTGGAATTGGTTCAATGAGGTTCCCGTTGGAATGATTCTTTATTGCAGCGATTTCCTCGAGGTAGCTGCCGTCATGAGCCTTGACTCTTTGCATGTACAGACTGTTCAAAGGCGGTTTTCAGATGAGTTTATTCAAATGACTCTATAGTTCATTCTTCCTTCTACTCGTGACACTAGTGATTATGGGGTACTGCAACTTCACTGTAACTTCCCTCCAACGAGGCACCAAAATAAATCAGTCATAGTCTACAGCAATAAAGACAGCTGCAACTAGGCAGGAGCTCTAATAGTGAATAGACTACAGGAGATCAAAAAGACAAAAAAAGATACTCCGTGTGGGGGTCGAACCCACGACATCCGCATTACCAGACGGTCATATAACTCTGACGAATCATATAAGAACGGCTAACGATTTATTAGTGCGTGAACACATGAGGTGGAGAGAAGGTAAACATACCGCGCTACCACCTGTGGCATCATCAGCAACTGTTTCACTCGAAGATCGACGTCCGGCGTTGACTTACTGCGCCAACGGAGTTTTTCCGGTCGTTATCTCAATCTGAGAATGAAAGGATTTTGGGCCAAGGCGAAAATTTACGCTATATATACCCTATCAGAGAGCGGGGTATGCACTGCTTTTAATGTGGCCCCCACCTCGGCCGGCTCTCTCAGATTCACTTGAAGATTATGTAACATTTGATGGGCAGACTTCCTCTAAGTGCACGACGTTCTATCAGCATATTATCAAATCGTATGAATCGAAACGTTTTAGTTTGTAGCACGTCAGAAGTGGACTCAATTGAGGAATGCTATGCTTAATTTAGAGCCTGGGAGCGGGGGCACGGATGTCACTTCGGAAGGCGGCTGGGGTAGCTTCAACATCATCCTCAAGTACTCTATAGGCGCCCACGAACGTTGTCGAATTGATTTTCATCGGATTCTAGAAGCTCTATCAGGAATTACAAAGCCTACTCGCATCTCTTGTTCAGTAAGGCCATTAGAACCTCCAACACCACCTCATTGCCTTTCCGGCACACCGCTTAGGCACCACCGCATTGCTGGATTTCCGGGAACGATCTAGTGATTTTAGGCACCAATCCAGGATTTTAGGCTGGTTCATTAAAGGCAAGCTCTTACCCAAGTGATAGAGCAACCGCTGTATTGCACTACTTCTCCTCTCATCCGTTGTCGCCTATCATCTTTCTTTAGACCGCCATGACCATTCGAGCGACCAAGTTCACGCCAAAAGTACTCCTCAGCGCTCCACGGAGATCTTCAGGGGTGCCAAACACAGACGGCTCTAGGATTCTGTACTCGGTATCCACGTATTCATTCGCAGACCACTCGAGAAAGACGGAGATTCGAGTGCTCGATGTTTCGACTCAGACTTCAGGGCTTATCACAGACGCCAGCGGTGCCAGCGAGCCCAATTGGCTCGGTGATGACCATGTTCTTGTCTTGGTGCCAGGCGATGCGGGAACGACAAAGCTGGTAGCTGGAAATGTGGACAACTTTGAAAATAGGTGGGTCTCACTCTATTTGAATCGTTCCACTCAGTTTACCCCATGATCGCAACGAGTAAATACCTCCAAATGAAGGCATCCAAGCTTTTCCTTACAGAAAAGCCCATTAACGATACAGTGGCCTGCTTCCCGAGGGTCACATTTCCGAAGCAGTCAACGAAGACTAATTTGTTAACAGCAGCTACGAAGCGGGCGTCATCGAGTCGGGCGCTAGCAACCTCAAACTGGTATCTCTAGGAGATAGCAAATTCGCCGTCGCAGTGACAGCCGAGGCCAATCCTAAGGGTGAGCTGCACAATCCATCTACTGCACCAAAGTCGCTGTCATCGGGCAAGCTCTACAAGTCTCTCTTCGTGAGGCACTGGGACCAGTATGTCACGAAGAACCGCAACTCCATCTGGTTGGGCACGATCTCGAAATCAACATCGGAATCAAACAGCCATGCAAGATATAAACTATCGCCTTTGGTCAATGCCCTAGCTGGTACTGGCTTGGAGTCTCCTATCCCACCATTCGGCGGCAGTGATCACTTCGATATAAGCCCTAAAGGATTGATTTTCGCCGCGAAAGACCCAGAGCTGAATCCAGCGACACATACCAAAGTCAATGTCTACTTGGTCGAAGTTCCAGACTTTGACAAGCTGACCGATTCGAAGCCGAAGAAAGTGGAAGTATTCGGGTTTGAAGGGGCCAGCACTTCAACAGTTCTTTCTCCCGATGGAAAGCAGGCGGCCTTCCTTTCAATGCGCAAGGATGGTTACGAAGCTGATAAGAATCAGCTCTTCGTCATTCCTGACGTTAGGCGGCCGTCGTGGGTAATCCACGCTTATGCCTCAGAAGACGGCAAGGGGAGCTGGCCTCTCAGTCCCGGAGGTATCTCATGGAGTGCGGATAGCAAGACGTTGTATTTGTTGGCCGAGGAGAAAGGACGAGTCTGTCTGTTTCAAGCCACCGCCGACGCCAAGGCACTTCCAGAGCTGATTATGACTGGTGGTGCTATTAGTGGTAAGGCTCTTTTCTCTAATAATTCGAAAATGAAATTTAACACGAGCTAGATATTCGCCCATTGGCGACGGGAGACGTCTTTGTATCGTCGAATAGTCTGATCGATAACAGCACATACTATCTCACCAACCGCTCCCGGAACCACACCGTGCTATCATCCAACTCCCGCGATGGTGCCATGTTCGGTCTCTCCCACAAACAAATTAGGGAGACTTCTTGGCCTGGAGCAGCACCCGGCACCCAAGTGCACGCATGGGTAGTTGTACCGTCTACCTTCAACGCAGAAGAGAAATATCCACTGGCGTACCTGATCCATGGCGGGCCCCAAGGATCTTGGCTAGATAGTTGGAGCACCCGATGGAATCCAGTCGTTTTTGCTGAGCAAGGCTATGTCGTCGTTTGCCCTAATCCTACAGGGAGCACAGGATATGGACAAGATTTCACAGACGCGATCCAGGATCAATGGGGAGGGCTTCCGTATCGAGATATTGCCAAAGGCTTTGACTGGATTGAGGAGAAAATAAGCTTTGTAGATACGTCTCGAGCCGTGGCTCTTGGTGCATCTTATGGTAAGAACCCAAGAATTCTCCGATATGCGCAGCCACTGACAGTATTGCAGGAGGCTATATGATGAATTGGGTGCAAGGCCAAGAGCTAGGACGAAAGTTCAAAGCCCTCGTCACTCACGATGGAGTCTTCAGTATGGCAGGGCAAATGGGAAGCGAAGAGTTGTACTTTCCTTTCCACGAATTCAAGGGCAGCCTCTGGACCAACCGGGAGAGCTGGCTCAAGTGGGACCCATCAAGGTTCACGGAGAATTGGGCTACACCACACCTCATCGTTCACAGCGAGCTGGACTACCGTCTCACCATTAGCGAAGGGCTGGCTGCCTTTAATACTCTTCAGGTGAAGGGTATTGAGAGTCAGTTCCTCACTTTCCCAGACGAGAACCATTGGGTGTTGAAGCCGGAGAACTCTTTACTCTGGCACACCGTTGTGCTGGATTGGATCAATGAGCACGTTGGACTGCCATCGTACTCGAGTACTAGCAAAAGCGAAGACATCAAAAGTGATGCATTGGTGGAAGGAGTTCAGGGCTTGAGTCTGTAGCGACTCATTCTTCTCGTTCAAAAAATTTAGCATAATTCGGGCGACCTAGGGCTTGTCAGAAGTAAAAAAGGATAATAGTTCTCTCATCAATCTAAGCTTCGACTCAATTGCAGAATATAAATAGTGATGAAAGCTCCTCGTCATCGAGAATCACGTGACTCAAACTTGCGGCTAGTCCAAAAAGTTGTCCAGCGATTCTACCCGGCTTCTCACGCCCGTCCAACACTCCTTCATCGCCAACGACCACTACGCCCGCCCTCCCCTCCGCAGAGCTTTGCGCATACCCTCAGGGCCCACACGACCAGCGGCCGCTCTCTCCACCGCCATTGACTCTCTTCCGGCCCTGTCACGCTCTCAATTTAGCCACAATGTCCACCTCTGTGGGGGTCAATGTACGTCCACACGCCCCAATGGAGCTGCCAGCAGCTCGCAAAGCCATTCTACACGATCTAGCCATCTAGAAACACCGTCGCAAAGCTAACCGGGATGGATCGCAGGTGCTCCGATGGTCCGCCCTGGGCTTGGGCGTCTTCTACGGTTTCACCCACCAGGTGTCACTATCGTCGCGGGAAAAGCTGGACAAGATAAACCGCGAGTACAAGCACAAGGAGGATCTGATAGCGAAGGCGAAGGCCGAATGGGCGAAGAAGACGGCGCCGACGACAGCGAGTGGTGATCGTACGTTTTATCCCTGATTCTCCGCAGCTCCGCGACGGCTTCCAAGAGAGCGGCAACCCGGCAAAATATGGGATAATGATGGTTGGGAATGGGCTAATGCGATTGGACAGTCATCACGGATCCGGAAAACCCCAAGTTCGACCTCGAGGCATACTTAACGGTGAAGGCGGCGGAGACGACCTAGCGGCATTAAAAGAGCGGTGTTTGGTGCGCAGATGATCGGTTGCATTGGTCTTGAACGATATAAAGAGGCAGTTGTAAGCGTGGGCCGCACGAGGGAGCAATAATGGGGCAATGAGCTGAGCCCTGACGAGAGGGTGCTGCGCGGGATATACATATCTCAGGTCGGGTGCCTCCGTTGTATTACCTGTACCTACTGTACAATATAGACTTGTCTTTGTTGGTCAGATTCATTTTACGTTTGCGTCAATCTTGGATTATCTCGATTTTGGGTCTTGTTTGGATCAATTTTGCTGCAGTTCGCTCGGAGGCCTGAGGATTCTTCAACACTCATCGAAAACAGGACAGGACGCAGGAACCAGCATTCTCTCACTATCGCACGTTATCACCGACATTCATGTATGACTTCAAGAAACTTGTGTAATCACTCGAAGACTCCTAAGCGCCCCAACAGATTATCTAAACCGACAACAGATTGTCGCAGCCGACAACCTAGACGAGTGTATCTCTTCATCGTCCTGATACCTTGCTAGCTCACCTCAGACGACGCCATCAGCAAGGTCTATCCTGAAGTTTACGTTCCGTGCACGAATTCAGACCACACTGAAGCGAAGACCGAAGTTACAATGCCTTGCTAGAAGTCTGGGCACACTTGCTCGCCACCGTTTGAAGTGCTTCAGCACATTTTGAAACTTCCGATACTATTCGACGGCCTTGCGAGCTTGAATCAGAGAGGTTTCATGCGCTCACAGTCGGCCTACGTGGCCGCTGTTTGTGGTGCTTTGGCACATCATCATACTTTTGGAAGAGATACAAAGACGACACGCGCAATCTTGTGTCCTAGTACTGTATAGCACATTATCTCCAAGCCAAAATCCAACTCTTATCTTACACCCTAACTGGGGTATCTATGCAGAATTTCAGATCCCTTTACTTTTAGATTTCCCAATCCCCCTCATAACTTCGTAAACACATTCAAAATACAACACTTTGCACCCAACTCACAGCGGCTTTCGTCCATACACCACAGTCCTAGCAACAAATTAGCACAACCATCCAAACTCGAATTCCGTCAGATTCACAACTCACCCAGGCAAATACGCATGCGTCTTCTCATCCTTAATCGCCGCCCGCATCTGCGCCAAAAACACCTGTGCCCTTGCCACACTCCACCCGCCCGCCTGCGTCAACAGCCGCAGCATAAACCCCTCCACCCCATTATGCAGCCGGTACTGATTCCACAGCCCGATCCGCTTCAGCCGCTCATCCCTACTCCATCCGTTCATCGGCCACTTATACCTTACCTCAACCACATCCACGAACCCCGCGCGCTCCAGGCGCTCCTTCGCCTCGTTCCAAATCGTAAAGCTCTTCCCGAACCGCTCGCCCATCTCAATCACCGTGTTCCCCCACAGCGTGAAGAAGTGGTCCGCGTCCACCGTGTCGTCGTCGGAGACGGGCTGCACGCTGTGCTCGACGACCTCGATCCAGCCGCCGGGCTTGAGCGCGCGGTGCGCCTGCGCGAAGAACGCGTCCCAGTCCGGCACGCTGCCGAAGAGCTCGCGGATGTGCACGAAGTCGAGCACGGCGGCGCCGTACAGCCACGGCTGGGTGAAGTCGTCGACCTCGAAGACGCAGTTGGGCGGCACCCACTCGGGCTGGATGGGCGAGAGGTCGGAGCCGGTGATGGCCGCCGTGGGGTACTGCTCGGCCACGTCGATGGCCCAGATGCCGGTGCCGGTGCCGACGTCGAGGATACGCTGGGGGAAGGGGGGAGAGCGTTAGACGGAGGGCGGGTGGGGGCTGGGAGGGGGGGAGGGCGTGCGTACTTTGGGGTCGCGGAGGGGCGCGAGGTGCAGCGCGTTGTTGAGGGTTAGGAGGTACATGTGGTGGGCCATGTCGAGGATGTCTTGGGCTTTTTCGTCGTTGGGGCCCTAGGGATGTTCTGTCAGACCAGACTCGTTGAGCTCGACTGAAGCTGGACCGATTTGCAGCTATTGACGTACCCAATACGCGCCTTCACGGTACGCATGGTAGCTTCTGCCGTTCTCGATGCGGTACGCCCGAATCGACGAGTTCAGCGTGAACGTGTCGTCCTCGAGCGATGGGCCGTCGTCGAAGGCTGAGTCGTTGTCATCGAAAGGCTCCGCATCGTCAAAATTGTCACGGTCGTCTTCGTCGTGCGTCGTGGTCGCGCTCGCAGGATTCTGCTGATGTGCGCTCGACCAATCAGACGCGACCTGCACACCACTGTCGCCGCTCGTGGACGCCAAGCTCTGGGCGTCGGGCGCGGGGTGGACATCGCTAGGCGCCATGGCGAGAAGGACACGGCGGCAGCATGCGAGGGGCGAGCGAGAGAATGCAGGACGAGATGGAGATGGCGTTTGCGACGAGGCGCGGAGGGACGGCTCTCACGAGTCTCCACTCCAGAGTGCTCGCCATAGATATCTGGGGAGTCGGCGCCGAAACCAGGCGGGACCGGAGCTGTCACCTTGGTCGCATCCGCGGCCACGAGGCACGACACAACCAGCCCGCTGGGAGCGCGCTGCGTCGAGAGGCGGCATAATCCGCACATCGGGTTGTGCCATGTCAGGCCAGGCGTGCCAGGGTAGTCGGCGGGAGAAGAGCACACCCTCCGTGGATCCCTCCCCACCCACCATGCGAACCATGATCGTCTGGCGTGCCCGTTGCCCGTTGCCCGTTGCCCGTTGCCCGTTGCCCGTTGCCCGTTGCCGGCCCTGACCGCTGGCCTCAGCGCTGGCCGTGTGGCCTGGCCATCGAGCCCGCGCCGACTGCGAGATAGCGGCGCACCACCCCCACATGCCGCCGCCCGTGTGAGATGGCGCAACCCGCGCGCAAACTTGCCCTGGGCGAGCAGTGGGTGGAGAGACGGGCAGGGCCGTGAAGGCGGTCGTGCCTTCTTCTCGGCCATCGTCGATGGGCTGAGCCCGTCCCGTGTATGGACAACTCCTTCCCTCGCGGCCCAGACACTCTCCTCCGACCAACCGCCGCAGGCCTGCGAAGTGACGCCGCCATGGACTGTGCCACCATCAGCGACGAGAACGGAGGCGCTCCTGGCGTCCTTATCATCGGATCAGGTGCGTCGACGTGCTGTGCGCTGCGAACTGCCATGGGCTCATTCTTGCAGGCAGTACTGGCCTGGCTTTGGCACAGGGCTTGACAAAGGTAGGCGGCCAATGGGCACCGCGAGACCGCCGGTTGGTAACAGTTGTGATAGGCTGGCATCCAGTGCATCGTATTTGAGAAGAACCCCACCCAGCATCGCGAGCGGGACTGGAATATGGGGCTGCACTGGGGAGCGCCTGTACTGAAGAGTCTGATCCCGCAAGAGTGGTGGGAGCAGATTCAGTCCCTGCAGGTTGACCCTCATGTGCCGACGAAAGACGAGGATACGCTCAATTTCCTCAATGGCGCGACGGGCGAGCACATGACTGGCTTCACGTTTGGCCCTTTCTATCGTTTACGACGGAGCAAGCTGCGAGCATTGTTGTCTCAGAACCTGGACATCAGATACGATAAAAAGCTGACAGGCATCTCATACTCGGAAGACGGTTCCTCTGTTACTGCCCATTTCGCCGATGGAACCACTACCACTGGAAAGATGCTCGTAGGAGCCGATGGCGCTCGCTCAGCCACTCGAAAGCTGCTCTTAGGCCCAACCCTAGGAGCTATCAATCGTCTACCGTACGGAGCAACCTTTGTCCAGACCAAGTTCTCGCGAGAACAAGCCCTATTTCTCCGGAAGTTCCACCCCCTCTTCCTAGGCGCGGCTCATCCGAGTAACTACTTTGCCTTCTTCGGCATGCAAGACGCCGCTGAAGCGGACCGGCCCGAAACCTGGACCTTCTTCTTCTACATCTCCTGGCGATACAGCCTCCAGGAGCAAGACGCCACCGCCCATTGGACGGACGCTCAAAGGCTACAGCAGGTGAAGGAGCTCTCCAAAGGCTTCGCCGACCCCTGGAAGAGCGCGTTCGAATGGACTCCAGACGACAACCCAGTCTGGTACCTCGGCCTCACAGATTGGGATCCCGGAGTCGAGGGCCACAGATGGAGCAACTATGGCGGCCGAGTGACCATGGTGGGAGACGCTGTTCATCCGATGACCTACCAGCGCGGCCAGGGACTCAACCATTCAATCACCGACGCGGGGAAGCTCACGGCTGCCATCCAGGCTGTGAGTGGAGAGGAGGACGGTGCGAAGCGGGCTGAGATCATCACGGCATTTGAGAATGAGATGATTGCTAGAGGGGGAGAGGAGGTGAGGACGAGTACTACTAATACGGGGATGCTTCATGACTGGGAGAGTGTTATGAAGAGCCCGGTTATGACTGCAGGCCTGAAGAAGGGGGGGGAGTGAGTAGCATAGTACATTTGCGCAGCATTAACTATTTTAAAAAGGCCCGGGGTGTCTTACAGGGTTTACCATAGCCCTGAATGTAAGATACTAGCGGTCTGAATCAGGGCTGATACAAATGTTTTCCTGCTCATAGCGTCTAAATCACACCTCCTCCACTTTGAAGCGATTTTACTTCAATTTGAACCTTTCCGTCCGTTACATTCGTGCAGCTTAATCTTGTATTGGCCAAGGGTGTCTTACAGGGTTTACCATAGCCTCCACAGAACTCTCCGACAAACACTCATGAAGATTAATCATTTGTCCCTGCACCTACAATCTGGTTTGGAAGAAGATAAAGATTTCAAGGAAGCCCTGGTGGAGATATACGTGGCTTTGGTAACATTTTGGGTGGGCTCAATCAAGCTAGTGAGGGATTGCCGCAAGTCCGCCATCGATCCGTGCGAAGTAGCGGTCATTGGTTCTCCCGGGCAGTTGACACGTCGATACATTTAGAAATGACCAAAGACCCAAAAGAGCTATGGAGAGCAGCATCAAATCCACGCTCAATCGAACACGGGCCGAAGTCGAGGAGAGATATCGTCTCATCAAAGAAATTGCAGATCCTTTTCCGATGGATCTAGATCTAGGAACGTAACGGCTTTTCCTGTGAGGCCTGGGCCTCCATCGACCCAACAAAAAGGACTTGTTTTTATCCTGAGTATACCCGAGAATGCCCAGTTGCAAGGCCAAACTGAGCTTATACAACGCATGCACACGCACCTTTCCCCTCGATGCCGAACCGAGAGGCTGGCTTCCTTCACTATTGATGGCTTGAGAGGCGTCAAGAAACCCAAACCACTGCCGCTTATGCGTACAAATACAGTAGTCGGCAGGATCAGGCTTCCGAATTCGACGCCGTACTCTAGATCAATAGCGAAAATGAGGAGTCATTGAGACAGAGTCTTGCAGACGTGGCATTTGCTTTGAAAGAGTAAGGGGTGACTGGCAGGACTGAGCCCCAACGCATCAAGAGGGAGATTCAGAATTAGCTTTGTGAGACTGGTGCGGATTCTTCCCCTATTGTGAATATAGAGCTGACTCGAATTCTAACGTAAAACTCAAATGGCTGTTGGTATATGACAATGTCGATTGCTAGGATACAATCACCAGTTATTGGCCGCCTGGACCATCTAGAGGAGCCATTATCATCACCAGCAGGGACTGGTCACTAGCTGATCACCCCGCAAGCGCAGGAGAGGAACTGACAAAGCTCAACGGAGTTGATAGCCGAAAACTCTTTACAAGTCTTCAAACTTTCGACAAGAACGACATCGAGGTTGGAAAGCATTTAGCGAGATTCTGAAATACATGGACGGGCTGCCTCTAGCAATACAGCAAATTGCAAGCATCATACCAATATACTCTCCCGAGATTCCTCACTCTCTACAAGCAACAGAGAAGTATAATCCATCAAGAACGTGGGGTAAGCAGCTACGCGTTCTACAAAGACACTCTCCATAGTTTTTGAAAGTTTCCATCGATGGATCCCGGAGTTGTTGAGAATCAAATGAGACACCTGCTTGGTGTCCTTTCCCTCCTTGCGCTGGACAACGTCCCACAAGCTCTTTTACAGCAGCCCATTTCAGGAATCGCTACAGACCCGGGACCACGAACGCTATACGGAAATGGGATGCTGTATGTCTGAAGGTCCCGACCTGTGTACTAATCCGCATAGCTAATTAAGACTAGCCTTTCGTCTTTGTTGATGAAATTGCGTTCCACGGCAATGATTCGACTGTCCTCTGCTTTGATCCCAATCGATAGGCTCACGCAAGCCGCATTTCTGGACATCACGGACACAGGTGACAAAGCTGAGGTTTTCGCCACTGCAGCTATGCTTGTTCATCAGGCCTTCCCAAAGCAGCACCGAGGCGACCCGCGGCATTCGCAATGGACTCTGTGCGCGGTGTATTCTCCGCACGTGCGGAGTTTGGCTGAGCGCTGGAACGAATTCGCCGACTCCACTGAGCAGATCAGGACTCCGATCGAGCTTGCGCAAGTTCTGTGTAACGCTGCTTGGTACGCTGTTTTTCTCTTTGTGGCTAGGCCTGCCTTTATCAGTGAGCTAACTCGACTAGGTATCTTCGGGAAATAAATGACTTCGATGGCTCGCTATCCTTGATCGAAACTGGCGTTCGAGCTGCAGAGCAAAATCCCGATCTACAGGCCGAATGGGAGCTTCTGATAGCTCATCTGCTCAACACTAAGGGCGTTGTTCTTTGGATCCAATACGACTATACCAGAAGCCAGGAAGCACTTGAGAGATCCAGAGACATACGGTCGCGCCGTATGAAGCGTGATGATATCGAATTAATCGGGACAACAGCGAATTTGGCGTCTTTGGTGGCCGCACAGGGCCGCTACAAAGAAGCACAGGAGCCAGGAGCTGTATCAGCAAGCGGAGAAAGACCATGATAAGTCGCCTGACGGGGCATACGCAAAAAGGTTAGCGTCATGTCGGTATGCAGCAACGCAAGGGCGATTACATACTGAGCTTGGAGCTTTTCTCGAGGCCGAGAAGGATCTTCAGAGGAGTCTTCGCATTCTCACGTCTGGGGAAGACAACGTCCTATACAGGAGGGCGATCGAATACTGCTTCGGAAATCTTCGGTTGGCAGAGAATCACCTCTCCAAGGCCAAAACCCACTATCAATCGTGTTTGGACCCTGAGGTATATCCAAAGTCTGTGACAGAGAAGGATCAGCTACGGTCGTGTGGATGCCACTACAAACTGGGCTATATCGCATTACTAGACGACCAACCAGAAGTTGCGGAGTGAGTGAACTCTCAAATCCTGCTCAGCCGATGGCTGACAAAGATCGCAGTGAAAGTCTTCAAAAGGCGTCTGATTTGGCTACCGAGACGGGCTCTCTGGGCTGGCAAGGTCGCATCACCACTTTGCAGGCAAGCCTTCGGCGTAAGTTTCCAGAGGTCTCATATATCCAGGGAGATACTCACGACCAGCTCGATCGACGCGCTGGTGCTATTCGGGCCGCTCTTGCCGCTCTATCTGCGGAAGAAGAGGGCTCGGGGAAGGATTTCCACATATATATCCTATGGCAAATCTGGTAATGGGACTAGTACATAGTGTATGAGTGTAGGGCCTATTTCTAACTATTCATTGCTTTGATAGCATATGCGACCCGCACACACCCTAGAACATTCTGCGTGAAGGCGAACTCGAGGTTCAACTCACCGATCCGTATAACTGCTCAGAATGTCTACCACCGATAGGAGTCCCTCTGGTCTCTGTATAACGCTCTTAGACCTCTCGAGCCCTGCCTCTAGATGTATATCTGCAGTCCGACCAGGCGTTGGGACAGTATCGGGAAGGAAAGGCCGGCATCGATAGAGGATTTCGGTGGGGAGAAATCCGGAACCCAGGGGTACTTACGAAAGCCACACAATTCATCCAAGAGAGGATCTCTGTCACCGTTCGTTGATGTCCTCCCCTTCTCCTTTCGATGGAACCGAACGTGATTATCGACCGCAATCGAATATCAAGCTGTAAGTATCGAGTATTTCGTTCGTCAAATGCCCGAGGTTACGCACTGAGCCGCTGTACCGGGCTTCCTCGTACTTTGCAAAGGACCTGCTGATACGATTAACACCTCTCGCGGGCGGGGTACGTGAATAATCAATCTTGCTTTGCCAAAAGAGACCCAGCATACGATTGCGATTGGAGGAAAGACGAGATTCGAAAAAGGAAAGGTCTTCTATTGGCAACATTTAGATGCGAATGAGATACGATGTTGTTAACCCAGATGATATTTAATATGCCAGCAGTGGTGAGAACAGAGGCATCGAAACGCGATGGGTGAGTGAATGATGTGCTAGGAGCTTGTGGGAAGTGGAGTACGTGGAGTCGGAGCAGACATCCTCCCTTTTCAAGTCTCTCAGCGCATTAAAGCCGGCTTCGATCTCAAAGAACGGTCTCGAACTTCCACTAATGTCCTGCAAGTCCCCAGTAAAGCACGGGCATTCCTGTGTGTCGATGTCTAGTCCAACACAATCATCTTCGATCTTTGGACCCTAGTGAAACGTAAGCCAGTCCAGAATCCAGAAGACTGAGTGAAGTGCTCTCTTCTAATCTTCATTGTGGCAGTCTTCGGCGAAAACAGTTCCATCAAACAAGGTGTCCACGATCTGGTCAAATGCTGACAGCAGCCTTCTCGGCGAGCGGTGTCGCAACCTCAGCCAGCAACCACAGTAATCCACGGTCCTGCAACATAGCCGACGAATGCAGATTCTGAACGAGGCTCAGGACCATCACCAGCCCGCCCAGATGGACCACGACATCGACGTCCTTCGCGCAACAGCAGCCGACCTCGCCGCCCTCCTCAACGATGGAAAGACCACCAGCGTAGAAATCGTCGAAGCGTACCTCCAACAAATCGCAAAACACAACCATGCGGGACCAAAACTGCACGCTATCGTCTCCGTGCCGGCCATCCATCAGCTTCACCGCGTCGCAAAAGCCCTCGACGACGAAAGGACACGAGGCCACGTTCGAGGTCCGTTGCATGGGGTGCCCATCATCGTGAAGGTACCCTCGTTCCATTCCGATTTTGCGTTAGGCAAGTACTGATATTCCAGGATGCGTTCAATACGCCGACGCTGAACATGCCGACGACATTAGGTCGTTCGCATTTGCGGAGAGCAAGGCTCGAGTGAATGCGGGGCTTGTCGATGTTGTAAGTGAGTCTTTAGAATCAAGAATGTGATGCTTACAATTTGCGTAGTTGATTACACAGGGGTTGATAGCATTGGGTAAAGCGAACTTAACGGTATGGACCCCTGCCACGTGACTTCCACACACTAACCACCATGAGCAGGAGTTCTGCGGACTCAAAGGCACCGGTGGCTGGTCAGTGGTTGGAGGCATGTGCCAGTCTCCCTACATCCCAGGGGGGATTAAGAAGGGCGAGAAAAGGAAAGACGAGACGGCAAGGCGCATCGAAACCACAATCTCGACCACCCGCTAACCGATGCCAGGCTCCGGGAGGTTCGTCCACCGGATCAGCAGTGGGAGTTGCCGCCGGCTTCAGCCCTATTTCCCTCGGGACAGAGACGTCTGGCTCTCTGACTACACCGGCGAGTCGTGCCGCGCTCTACGCCCTCAAGCTGACACCGGGGTCCGTGTGCATGGACGGTGTATGGCAGGTGGCTGCGTCTTTTGATTCCGCTGGGGGGATGGCGAAATCGGTGCTGGACCTCGCCCTTCTGAGCACCGTACTGCTTCAACAAAAAGACCCGGGAAGGCCGTCGCTTGTCGACGCTATGCAGGAAGACTGGAAGGGGATATCGGTCGGCTTCGTTGATATCGAGCTGTGGCGCCTCCCTGACGATGGCCATGGACATGTGCCAGGCTACAACGAGTAGAGCGTAAGTTGAGTCAAGCAGTGCACTCCTCATCCCAAACTGATAGAGACTAGGCCCGCGAATACCAGGACGCTATTGACCAGCTTCGCGAATCCGGAGCCAATGTTGTGCATCTGGTCTGCATCACACCTCCAGAGCAGTGGCGCGTAGAAGGCGGAACCCGGGACGTCGACGATCTCATGCGGAGCCAAACGCGCGCCGGGTACGAGTTCTATCTCCGGAGCTTTGAAGACCCGAAGGTGAGGAGTCTTCAGGACACCATCGCGTTCAACGCCGCAAACCCGGAAACGGAGTTTGACGAAGGTATGTCTGCGCTTCCCACGGTCCCCTGTGCTTCGCTGATACGTGTCTCTCCATAGTCTTCTGCCCAAATCAAAATGGCTTGCTGAAAGCTCAGGATATGTCAATGAGCGATGAAGAGACGCAAAAGAACTTACAAATCTGCAAGCAATGGGCGGCCACCGAAGGCGTCGACAAGGTCGTCGCAGAACACGGTGTGGACGCTATTGTTGCTCCGTGTGATAGCTTCTTCGCAGGCGTCGGCGTCGGAGCACGTAAGTGCTTAGTTCTCCCAAATTTAGGTCGGGCTGATCATTGATAGGCTACCCCTTGGCCTCTATTCCCTTTGGCTACGTGGAGAGCAGCGGACGTCCGTGCGGGCTGCATGTCATTGCGAAGGCGAATGAAGAGGACAAGATCGTTAGATTCATGAGTGTTTGGGAGAGAATGAGGCCCCCTCGTACGGTGTCTGACCTTGACTCCCTCGCACGAGCGCTGAGGGCTTAAGTTAACCTAGCTATGGACCCCGTGGCTTGAGAACAATAGACGCAGTGTGTCGAAAAAGATGACAATCGTTCCCCTTTTTCGTTGAATTGGGCGCCTGCGGGCAGTTCGTTGGCCCAGTGCCGGACTGGAGGTTTGCAAATGAGAAATGAATTGCGTGCTGTTTGTGTGTGTGTTGGACCCTGTGAGACACCCCTGGACTACTGAAGGTTGTGAATCTCGAATGTAACAAAATAGAAGGTTCAAATTGAACAAATTATGGCTTCATGTTGAAAGAGGGCCGATTTCAAGGCTCTAAGAAGTATTGATGAAAAAAGGCCAGATTCACGTTGCGACGTCTGTGATGCACCATCTTAAATCTGCTGCTGTGAATACGACCAAAATGCCGCCCTGCTGATTCTATAATAAATTGTCAAATGCTGCTTCCGGAACGCCGGCCTTCCACCTGCGGATACTCATCTCTTTCTTGGTACAAGCCAGAATGCCTTGAAATCCAAGAGCAAACTCGCTCACTTCCTGCCCACCACGGCCTCCTCTTCGTCTTCGTGACCCCTCATAAATACATCATCCGGATCGTCATCTGGATCGGTGTCGCTAAGGTCGTCGTGATACTCCGCAGGTCTCAGACTAATATCATCATCCTCTTCCCGTAATATCTCAGCAGCCTCCAGCGCATCTGGATCATCTGCGTATTCGTTCTCAAGATCTTCAATCGAGGCTCTTCTCACGCCCGCGCGTTCTTCAGCTTCAAGCTCAGCGGCACGCTGCTTTGTTTTGCTATACATGAACCAACCCGTCACAATGCCTGCTACAGCACCGATGAGGATGCTGATGTAGCTAATTGCTTTCGTTTTCGGCTCCATCTTGCCGCCGCTCTCCGCGATTTTGTCGAGCTGGGCACCGATAAAGATGTGGAGCATGAGCTTTGGGCTGACGATAGTCGTGGCGGCGGCGAAGGAGGCCCAGTGGACGGTTGGGAAGGTCGCGATGGCGCCATTGGAGAGGGAGTAGGGGAGCGGACATAACCGGATCATAATCAGGAGCTTAAGTCCGTCGTGCTTCAGTGTTAGAGCGAGGGCAGCGAATCGCTTGTCGTTTGCGATGAGACGGTGGACCCAATCCTTTAGTAGGCTCCGGGAGAGGATGAAGGATACTGTGCTGCCGACGATAGTAGCGCTCGCTGCGATGAACCATCTAGATGTTGTCAATAAATCCCTGGTATACTGGTATATGGAGGGAAAGCGTACCCATTCGGAAACCCATATACGAAACCAGCAATGGTTAATAGCGAGGAGTAACCTATGAGCGGCGGGAACGATACAACAAATATCATACTCCAAAGAATGAGCCAGCCGGCGCGTACATTCCGCCATTTCTTCGCCCACGGCGCAAGCACGCCAAAGATACGTTCATTGTATACGAGGAACAGGATACCGAGCACAATTGCCACGACACCGCTAACGGAGACTAGCACGCGTTGCACTGGTGATAGCTTGTTATAGGACTGCATGGCCCGTCGGTGTAGCTTCTCGCCGTTCTTCCGGACTTTGGCCAGGAAGGTTGGCGGCCGCGTCGACACTGAGTATGGAGAGTCATTTCGGCGGAAAGAGGCAGATCTCCGCGTCCAGGCAGGACTGGGCGGAGGTTCATCGATGGGTAGGGCGAGGGCGCGGGCGTCGTAGTCGTCAGCAGGCATGATAGCTGTGTATTATGTATGTAGAATGCTGACTCGGCGGAATGGCGCGGGACTACGAGGGAGAGGGAGGGGGGGCGTCGAGGAGGAGGTGGAATTCAGGTAGAGGAGAGTCTGTCGAGGGGCTCATTCGTGTTGTAGCGTAGCTGGCAAAGGCGCAGAGGATGGGAGGAGAATTGGGGTGAGATGCGAAGTTGACGGTTGCAGATTGGCCAACGGCGATGACATTTGAAACGGGGCCACAGGGCTGTCCGAGAGAGCGGACGAGCCACGGCAGCTGCGCCACCCGGCGGGAGCGGAGCGGAGCATCCCTTTGCAAGGCCGTGGACATCGGGCGGAATACGGGCGCTTATGGAGACTGCTTGTAGTGGCATCAGTGTCGCTGCAGTGGCTTTTCTGGTCTGCACGTAGGGCGCATTACGAGGTCAATTTGAAGTCCGCTTCTTAGCGGCCTGTTCTGCGTGGTCTGGCACTGGTAGCATGAATCGGCCGAAGAGGCATCAGATGGAACCATGATCCGGTGAAGCTCGAGGGCCACCACGACTGTATAATGGAGGCAGAAAAGGCAATCCATCCTACATCGCGCTGGAGGTAACATCCAAGGCGGTCGCTGTCGACGCGGGAGACCAATCACTTCTCTTGCCCGGCGTATAGGAAGGCGACGCTGGTCTGGCTTCAGCTGCCTTCTCTGCCGCCGAGCTCTATATCCAGCTTACTCCGCCGTACACCCCCCGTTTTCACTCCAGTCCCTCCGTCACTGCCCTCCTTGCTCATTAAACCTCCGACACGGCTTCGATGTGAGCTTGTGAGCTGCTGCGTTGCTAAGCTTTGCAGCCACCCTGACCACTCGCAGATCGATCCATCCCCAGCAGATGCCTTGACGCGCCTGCATGGCCAGAGCCTCCGACACTTCACTTCAACGACTCCCTGCCTCCTAGCTCACCGACCCGTCCAATCTCTCCTCTCCTCTGGCAGCCCCGTGGCTAGTCATTCTTTGCTTCTTCCGACACCTCTACGATCTGCGACGTCGCCGATCGCACCCCCTCAACCCTCACTCACCCCTACCACAACAACACTCTCTCTACCTTGCGCGCTCGCCGACAACTGGAGCGCCTCTCACCTGACGACTTCATCTATCACACCGTGTCACAATGGGGGTATCCGACGAGGTGTACGAGCTTTGTCTGCCCGTACTGCAGGACGACTCCCTGGAAGATGACGATCGGACGGACAAGCTCGAGGAGCTACTGCGCCAAAGGACCACTTTGGCGGGACCACAACTGGAAAATGCAGTCCTCGATTGTCTCTGGCGCTTTCGCGACGCGGGTAACTCGTCCAGCTCCCCTCCCCCAAGCCGCCATACCGTGATCCGCCGTCCCTCTCCTGCGCCTTGGCAGGTTGGGCGCGCCCCGACACCCGTGAGCTCGTCTCCGAGGATGATACATCCTCCGCCGGGCTTTGGGGTTGCTCCGCCTGGCTTCTCGAGGGTTAGGTCTTCGAACGGCTCTCCTTTCACTTCTCCCCGTCCCTCTCCTCGGCTTGCCTTTTCGAGTCCTTATATCCCCCATAGTCCCAGTCTCAGTGCATATCAACCCAGCGAGACGAGTCCTACCCCTGATGTCTATGGAGACCTTGGCAGCGACACCGTCGACTGGCTCGTTGGCGACGATTCAGGGAGGAGCGAGACTTCCTCCTTCACTGGTGATGGCACGCTCAATGGCGCTGCGGCCGAATGGGTTCAACCCCAGATAACAGACATGAGCCCGTATGACATGCTTCGCTCCATTCTTCGAGATGACCGCTCAGACGAAGACCTTGAGCGAGCTCTGGAGTCGAACAACTATGACCTGAGTGCGACTATCATATCGCTTATTCCCCAGGCGTTCGAAGCCCAACATACTCCAGCCACCACTGCCGAAGGCCAAAATACTTACCTAATTGGGAAGTCATTGAGCCCGGCATTCCGTCCATCTACTCCGGTGGGACAAGCAAAGAGCAATATTGTGTGTAAATACTTCCTCCAGAGCGGACATTGCGCTCGAGCAGATTGCAGATTCAGTCATGACCCCAGTAAAACACTGTGCAAGTAAGTCATTCCAGCTTCGTCGATTCGTGGTGTTAGGCAGAAGATGCTAATATCCTATCCTTCAGATATTTCATGACAGGAAATTGTCTAGCCGGGACAACTTGCATCTTCTCCCATGATCCGTCCACTCTCATGTCCCGCCTGGCATTGGAAGGTAGTTCCACACCTCCCATCCAAGCAGCGGTTCCCAATTTCCAGATGCAGGACTATGATTCGTTTCCGGCTCTCAACCCACAGTGGGTGCAACAGCTTCAGGCACTTGAGCCAACTGCTTTAGAACAGCTCTACGGCACTGGTGGAACTGTCACCTCGCCTCCTCCAGGCTTGAGCCCCTTCCCGACATTTACCCCAAGCAACTCTAGCCAGTCTCACTCCAGGCCAGGAAGCCGCCACCACTCTCGTGCGAACACGCCGTCCATCCCAGCTGTAGATGATAATGAAGCATTTCCGAGTCTAGGTTCTGCAGCTGCAGCCAAGGCAGGTAAGAGACATCATGGAAAGCGAGGACATGGCCATGCGCACAAAGAAAATGGCGGACCTAACAGTCTCGCGGATTTGGTCAGGATGTCACCGTCCCCCAGTCCTGCCCAGCTGCGCAAGGGTGTACGGCCTGCAAAAAGCTTCAATGGCAGTCGAGAAAACAGCGCTGCAGCCCAAGCAATCCCGGCCCCAGATCATATCCCATGGCTGGAGACCGGCGAAAATGCAAACAAGGCATATCTTCAGGCACGAGCCGATGCGTTCAAGCACGGCAGTATGAGAAACAAGTTCCTGCAGAGGTGTGTAATAATTTATCCTAGTTGATGCTCAAGCTAACAGTAGCAGTGCGGCACAAGCATGGAATCGTAGCGATTCTCGTGCGGCTAAAGCTCTCAGTCTCCGTGGCCAGAGCGAGAACAACCTCATGCGGGAAGCTCATCGGCAAGCTGCACAGTACTTATATGAGGAGCGTAATAAGGACAGTGGGAGTGCGCTTGAGCTATATGTTGACCTTCATGGTAAGTTGCTGAACTCGATGTGCTCTTCTCGCCTCCTGACATATTACCAGGTCTTCACCCCGAAGAGGCCGTGTCCTACCTAGAGGGCATCCTCCTCAAGCACCAATCATCTTCTCGTCCCCTGTATGCCATCACAGGCACAGGCCACCACTCCAAGAACGGCAAAGACAAGGTGGGCAAAGCCCTTCGTGGGTTCTTGAACGAATGGCGCTATGCCTTCCGCGAGTTCTCTGTCCCCGGTGACCGTAACAACGTGGGCGGTATCTTGGGCATCGACCCAAGCAGCTACGATCGCAGCGTTGGGGAGCGGAACAAAGATAGTGAGGCAGAATCGGCCACGGATTCGGCTGCGGGTAAGGACACCAAGATCCGCATCATCAAGAAAGGAGAGATGGCAGATGTTCCAAAGGGACCCAAGAAGGGCATTGCCTCATGACACAAGTCCTGGATAGCAATGAAATAAGATACCTTTAACTCTATCTTTCACGTCTCTGATTTGCTTTAGTGGTGAGCCCTGAAGGTGATGATGACAAGGGGGGCTTGAGGCGCGGTCTTGGCTCCGAGTCTATCTCAACGACGTGTCGTGGATTGCAACTGCTTCAACTAACCACAGGCAGGATACGTCAGCATTGTGGTGTCAATTGATGCCATTGAGTACTCGTAAGTCTCCACCCCCTTCTCTCCTCGTTCAACCAGTAGACCAACATTGCAGGCACTACCGCAACGTCACCGTTCTTCACATCCTTAACCACGATCTTCTCACAATAGGCATCACACCGCCCTTTACACACGCTCTCATCACAACACCCTCCATCCCATCCCGCTTCCCGCCATCTCACACGTCGCAATGTCAACCCACCCCACCTCCCCGACCTCCCTCCTCTGGGCCGCCCAGCTCAAACGCGAACACGCCCACCTCCTCACGCGCATGAAAACCCTCGAGTCCACCGCCGAATCCCTCTCCACCCGCCTCGCCTCCACCACTGCGCCTGCCGACAAGCTCGCCCGCCTTGTCGCCGACGCGAAAGCCCTGACCGCCCGCGTCGCGGCGATCGAGGACGACGATAAAGACGTCAAAGAGTGGATTGAGAAGCTGGATGAGGAGCGGCAGGCGCGGATGCGCGAGGAGGGTGTGAAGGTAGAGCGGATCGCACGGAAGCTGGTGGAGGTGCAGGTGGGGGTTAAGGAGGGGGAGCGGGAGAGGGACGTGTTGAGGGGGGTTGTGGAGGGGGTGGCGGGCAGGATGCAGAGGTTGGAAGGAGAGGTGAAGAAGGGAGAGGAGAGAGGGCTAAGCCGGAAGAACGATGAGGGGGATGTGAAGGTGCTTGCGCGGCGGTTGGATGCGGTGGAGGCGGGGCGGAGGGAGGCGGAGAGGCGGGCGGGGGAGTTGGTGAGGAGGCTGGAGTTGCTGGAGGGGCGGAATGAGGAGATGGGGAGGGAGAAGAGGGGGTTGGAGAGGGAGGTGGAGAGGTTGAGGGGGTTGTTGGAGGGGAGGGATTTGGAGAGGACGACGCAGGTCTTGGAGGTGGAGAAGGGGTTGGAGAGTACGCAGGACGTGCCGGTGGAGACGATTGAGAGAAGGTATGGGAGGCGCGAACGGACTAAGTTCGTTACGCAGAGGAGTGGTTATGCTGACGTTTTGATAGTTCTTCCGATAGTGGCACGCAACTCCAGAACTCACCGGCCTTCTCAGCATCATTGCGCCGGTCGGTCAGAATTGCGCCACGGTACAACGAACCGTCATTCCAACAAGCCCAAATTGTTGATCAGCCGTCTCAAACATGGTCGGACATGGGCTTGACACAGAAGCAACCAGGTGCCGCGAACTCGAGGAAGAAGAGACAAGCAGCGCCGAACCAGGACACACGCCAGAAGAAGAGCAGTCAGGCGAAGAGCAGCCAGATGAAGGGCAAGGCCAAGTCCGTCAAAGAGAAGTTGATTGCCATCAAGCCTCCAGAACAGCGTCCCGCGATCGAACCAAAGATCGCCATCGTCTCAGGCCCATTCACGTGGGAGAACCTCTTCGCGGCAGAGCCAACAGCAGAGCCAATAGCAGAGCCACCTCGGAAGCGTAAAAGGAGAGAGATACCACAAGAGGTCGACATGGAGACCTTTGCCGCAATGGCTGGTATCTAGATCGCGATCTATTTACACCCAGGCTGCCCCTATACGGGCAATATTCCCGATTATCATCAACCGTCAACACGAAGGCCCCTTTCCTCTGATTCTCATGTTTCCTTGAACTCATAAGGCCCCTCCCTCTCCACGACCTCGACCTCGATATCGGCCTCATGAATTTCCCTCCCCCCAATCTTCAACCCAGCCCTCATTACATCCCCTGCGCTCACACTTCCCACCCCCTTCGGTGTCCCCGTAAGTACAATATCGCCCTTCTCCAGCGTCATCACCTTACTAATATCGCTCAGCTGCCTCGGAATGCGGAAGAGCATAAGCTCGGTGCTATCGGCCTGGCGCACTTGATTATTGACGCTAAGCCAGAGATGCACATTGTGCGGGTCTGGGATGCGTGACTTGGAAATCAGGTTGCTGACGGGCATGAAGGTGTCGAAGCCTTTGGCGATGCTCCAGGGGAGGCCTTTGCGCTTGGCTTCGTCTTGCACGTTGCGGGCGGTCATGTCGATTGCGAGGAGGTATGCTGTTTCACAACCTTTATTAGATATTCTGCTTTTTCTTGTACGAGTGCTTTGAGTATTGGTAGCATGTCTTAAGCCATGTATAGGCAGTGGGTGAGACATGGGAACGTGTTCGAGTATATATACCTTCAATCGAATCCAACGCCCCCTTCGTATCCTCCGGGTCCAGATCCCGCACCGTTTTGCCCATGACTAGCCCTAGTTCCACCTCGTAATGCATCGTGACGCCCCGCGGCCGCAGCACTGGCCCCGCGCCGGGGAGGAGTATGGCGCTTGGGGGCTTGAGGAAGAAGAACGGTTGTTTTGGACGCGCGCTATTCAATTCTTTTATATGGTCGCTGTGGGTAATCTCTCAGACTCGGTCCTTGGAGCTACAGCTTGAGGTTGGGAGGGGGCGTACGCGTAGTTCCGGCCTATACACATAACCTGCCGAAAATGTTAGGAAGAGTGGATGAAGTGGGGGGGTACGCGGGGCGGGTACCTTGCGGCAATTGGCCCGTACGGACGCTATGGTTGCCATTTTGGGGACGAGACGCAATTCGTGCAGTTAGGTTTATATGAACAAGAAGCGGAAGAGGGTGGTTCCTGGCGGGGGGAAGGGGCGGTGGAGCTCGTAGGGAATGCGGAGGTGAGGTTTGAGCGGAGCTCTTTTCGCCGAAGCGCGGGAGAGGTCCCACTTCACGACATAGTCGTCATCGTCTCTAACAACCACCACAACCTATTCTTCATTCGAGCTCCTGCTTCAATTCCACGCGGGTATACAGCACCGAACGTTCCTTTCTACGGCAATATCCAATATGCAGATCGCCGAGATCCTCTCAGACCTAACTTCCCTCCGCGTCTGCGTACGTTGTCCAGCACCCCTCCACCCCCGAACCCCCCCATCTCCATGTCCATAATTGCCGTATATTTACACGACGCATAGGATCCCGCCGCAGCCCTCTCCCTCGTCTCCGCGCGCCCACATCCTTCCCCTTCAAGCTTGAAACCTATTACCAGTGCCACCAAAAAAGAAGACGACACGGATTTGAAGCGCGCAAAGGATCTGGTGGAGCTGCATTACGCGGTCAAAGTGGCGCATGGAGACGGAGAACCGGATCAGGAGCTTGTGGAGTTGAGGGGCAGTGTGAGGAGGGCCGTTGGGGCGCGGTGAGCGGGGAGGAGGGGATGCTTGGGATTGGGTTGGAGTTTGGAGTCTGGAAGGGGGTTATACCCGGTATCACTAAGAGGTATTGGATGATGTGGGATTTGCAAGTTTTGCTATCCACGCTGGAGAAAGGCTTCGCCACATGAGTTCAAGCTCTCCCACGAATTGCGCTATGTGTAGAGGGAGGGGAACCACCGTTCACGTTTGCAATGGTAGTGGCGAGATGATTTGCCTACGCTGATATGCCACGGTTTAGTGCTTGAGGGAGTTCAGGGCAGAGCGAACAGCGACTTTGATGATCACTGCAGAGTTTCATTCGGCCACTCAAAAGGGACATCACACTGCTTCATGCTTAGAGCAAATTCTCGATCAAGATCATAGCGAACGAACAAGAGTTCTAGTATTCAACAGTCTCGAATTAGGTGTCTCCTGCTTACGGCTAGGGCAAGCATCAAGAGTGTAGGAATGATGGTGTTAGGACGGTAGGGTACATGAAGTGCGTGAGCGGTACCACGGTTGCCCTGTTCAAGACAGAATACAGGAGGAAGAGGGAAGACCAGGGAATAGGAGAAAGAAATGGGGGCGAAAATGAGTGTCAAGTTGCTGCGTCGAATTTGGGAGGAGCACGGCCAGCTTTCTCGTTGATTTTCGGCTTGATCTCCGCAGCAATCTCGCGGCCGAGCAATGCATCGTACACCCAGTTGGGGGTATATGCCCTGGTCTTGTCCTTCTTGCGAATCTTGGTGGCAGTGGAGGTCGTGTTTACTGTGGCAGGTTTCTTCAAGGACGGGTCTGCTCAGATGGTGGTCAGTATCGTACATGTACAACCGTTGTGCAAGCAGAGATACTCACCTTGCTCAACCGATACTGCCACGGCGCCCTCTTGGTCTTCTCTAGCGGTCTCGGCTCTGGACTCGGCTTCAGACGCCGCTGAGGAAGCTGCGGACTCGCGCTCCTCTTTCACTGAAGCAGCTCTAGAAACAGCTGAGGACCGTCTAGAGGCCGCTTCAGAGGCGGCTGCTGACCTCGCTGAAGCGGCGACAGAAGCGGACCTCGAGACCACTTTCTGCTGGCCATTGTTGGCAGTCGCATCACCATCTGCTGTTGCTGTGATATCCGGCTTGTCGTCTATCTGCTGCTCTTTTGTGGGCTCTTCTTTTGTCCCAGTCGCGCTATCGGCAGCCTCTGGCTCAGCTGGTGGGGAGGCTGGCTTGATTTCTTTGACGGCGACATCAGCCTCGGAATCGGCGACAGCGACGTTGGCCTCGGCTCCCTTTTCAGTCGTGACCGTCATCTCGGCGGGTGGAGCGGTCTCAGCTGTGTGAACATGTCAGCATAGGTGACGTCTCATCCAGTTGGTTACTCACTGGACTCGCTGGCCGGTGCGTCAACGGTGATGGCTGGGTTGTTGGAAGACTGGGATTCGCCTTCCATCTTGTAATAGGAAGAGGATTGAAATCACGGCCGAGAAGGGAGGAGATACGGATGGAAGCAGTAAAGAATGGCGGGCGGAAATGAAAGATGCTGGTTGGGATGCTGGTGGAGCGATGGTGGAGCACTAAGCGGCGATGAGCAACGAGGAAAAGGGAATTTCGTCGTGAGAAGCCATGGCGACTTCCAAGGTATTTGGAGAAGGGACGAGAGACCAAGACGAGACGAGTATAAGCAGGTGTTGTGAGAGAAAGAGCGCGCAAAAATGAAGAAGGCGTGCAGGAACTCGTTTAGGAAGGCATTTAATACGAAGTAGTTATTTCGATATCAAGAATCTGACATTCTCATGAAATGGAGTGCAGATGAAGAACATTGCCTTTAAGGAGTTCGGAGAGGATAACTTCATGTTGTGATTTGAACTTTGTGAGAAAGTGTCTGGAATCCTTTCGTTGATTATCACCGAACTCTCCCATCCCCCTTTGCAGGCCCGAGACGTTGATAGTAGCGGGAGGGCGCATTGCAGGTGGAGAATGACGTGTGGCGCACGTGACCTGTCGGAGCGGAAAATATAGTGGAGCCGGCAGCTTTAAGTTTAGCCGCAGCTCGCCTCGCGCATTCACCTCCTCCACCTCATCACCTTCCTTCCTTCCTTCACGTCTCGTCAATCACCACTGGCCGACCTCAAGGGCAAATCCTCGCGCCGATCCCGCGCCGAGTACGCCCACGATGGCCACCAGAGATCAGAAGTTGTTGAAGGCTACGAAGTTCCCGCCGGAGTTTGACGTCAAGGTCAACACGAAGAAGGTCAACATCGAGGTCCTCAAGAAGTCAGTCCACACTTCCTTGCGCATGGGATCTACGCTAACTTGACGGTGCTACCGTAGATGGATTACAAACAAAATCACTACTATCATGGGAACCGAGGACGATATCGTCATTGAGACTTGCTTCAACCTGCTGGATGTCGAACGCGTACGTTGCCTGATACACATCAACGACCCTTGACCCCCTGCTAATGGTCTCACCAGCCGGATATCAAATCGATCCAGATTGCGCTCACTGGGTTTCTCGAAAAAGACGCTGCTTCCTTCTGCAAAGAGCTTTGGCTACTATGCATTAGCGCCCAGAACAGCCCATCCGGAGTCCCCAAGGAACTACTTGAGGCAAAGAAGCAAGAGCTCATCCAGGAGAGAGTGAGTGTCCTCTAAATCACCAATGCGCTATTTCTCTAACATTACCCAAGCTTGAGCAGGAACGACTGGCGACCGAAGCTAGAAAGCGTCGAGAACAAGATGACACTAGAGATCGTGATATCGACGATGTTCGTTTCCGAGAGCGCACCGAGCGCGGACGAGGACGAGGTCGCGGACCTCCGCGTGGTGGCTATCGAGGCGACCGCGGCAGATATCACGACAGGCGCTCACCACGCCGCGATTCTAGATCTCCGCCGAGACGCGCTCTAGTTCAGCGAGATCGCAACACCTATATCCCAGGAGACCGTCGTGGTAACGGGCGCAGCAGATCCAGATCTCCACCGCGCCGCAGGAACACCTCATCTAGTCCCTCCCGGTCTCCGGAGATCGTCACCGGTGACAAGTCTCCACCTCGCCGTCGCAGCCCTTCCCCGCGCGAGCGACGCCAAGCAGACACCTACGCGCCGGGACGAGGCCGTGGCCATGATCGTGGCAGGGTGCGATCACGCTCACCCCGACGCCGCGTGTCATCGTCCAGCCGCTCGCGTTCTCCCCCAGCGAAGCGCTCTCGGTACCGATCAAGGACTAGGTCTCCATCACGCCGAGGGTACAGAGGAGGAGGTAGAACTAGGTATGCGCGAGATAGGAGCATCACACCGCCTCGTCGACGGCGCTCACCGTCACCTCGGCCACGGGCAGCTCGGAGGGCTCGTTCTGTGTCCATCGTGTCTTCACGCAGTCGCTCCCCGCCTCGACGCCGGGGCGAGAAGAGTCGTCGACGAAGCCCGAGCTGGAGTGAACCATCCGTCAGCCCTAGGAGAGACAGGAGGAAGGGATATCGCAGGCCCACCATATCACCATCTCCCTCTGATGACGAAAAAGGACGACGAGCTGATTTGAACAAGAACTCCCCTAGGTCATCGAGCAAACGTAGTGCAGTACGGAAGCGCTCCCGCTCGCTCAGCCGTCATTCATCCCACTCCCGCGACCGGGGTAAATCTCATTCCCCAGCTCAAGCGATGGAAGAGTGAGGAGAAATTCGAAGTCTCCCCAAAGGTAATCCGTATCAACCCCAAGACTACCTTCTCTCTAGATCCCTTTTGCATCAAAGATGCGGCTATATGGAGGACCTCAGGGTCTCTAGCTCAACCTCAAATAGCAATACTTTTCACCTTGATTTTGCAGTCAGGATGTTCTGTATTGAGTTTTGGATGTGAATCGCATTATCTGACAGATGCTAATGACAACCTAGGAAACCAACTGAAGCCACTCAATGTGGCAAACCAGCTGACAAATCGGTACGGAACCAGGCCCAATTTGTAGGTGGTTTTCCCTTTTCTTTTCCTTGTCCCTTGGAATAGGGTGCCTTCGGGCGGTTATTTGGCTGTGAGCCGGTCTGGGGTCTATGTAGAATACAATGGAAAATGAGTGTTAAAATCACACTGTGTGCGCGTGCTATTTGCAGGCCTAGTAGGCCATGTAAGACACCCATGGCCGAATGAAGTTTGTAAATCACGGATGTCACGTTTTGGAAGGTTTAGATTAGAGCTTCTACGGCTTCAGATTAGAGAAGGGCTGATATCGAGGCTTAAGCAATAGGAAACGAAAACACCTCAATTACACCGTATGTGTGTTAGTTCTGGAGGCCTAGTAGACCTTGTAAGACGCCCCTGGCCTAATAAAGTTTATGAATTACGAATGTCACGTTTTAGAGGCTTTATATTGGAGCCGGTACAGCTTTGATTTGGAGGAGGGCTAATATCGACGCTCGAGCAATAGGAAGTGAGAAGACGTCCTAAATCACACCATATCTACATGCATTTTGAAACCCTACTAAACCTTGTGAGACGCCCCTAGCCTAACCAAGTTTGTGAATCATGAATGTCACGTTTTGGAAGGTTCAGATCGGAGCCACTACAGCTTCATATTGGATGGGTCCCAATATAGAGGCTTAAGCAATAGGATTATGAAATCACTCCCTGAATCACACCATATATACACAACTTTTGTCGACCCAGTAAGCTATTCGAAGCCCCCCCTGGACAAAATCTACGGCACTTCCTCATCACTATCATCCCCGAACCCAAAGGAGAACCCGCCACCGTCCTCCTCGTCTTTCTTGACCAACTGCTCCCATTTCTCGCTCCTCGCGACTATTTTCGCCCCATCCCGCTTCTTCAGCTCTCTCATCCCCTCCTCCAGCACCTCCGGAGCTTCCTTCCCAAGCCTCTCCACAAACAACCCGTACGGATCCGTGACTTCATCCTTGAATCCACTCGCCTGGTCCCCTGTGTCCCGCAGGAAGCCCAGCACATCCGCGAGCCGTCGCCGCGGGACGAAGTTCTGCGTCAGCGCGAGACTCTCGTCCAAGTTTACCACGAGGTGGAACCAGCCGGACGGTACGTGGAGCACTTCACCAGCGTGGCAGATCGCCTCGCGGCAGCCGGGCGTGCGCCGCGCGAGGGCGTGGAAGGAGAGGAGGTACTCCGCGATGCTGAGGGGGGATGTGATCTCGGACGCATCAGCGGAGAGGATGACGCCGGGGGGCGGGGCTGTGGTGGGGGAGGAGGGGAACATGAGCCAGTATTTGCGGCCGGTGAGGACGGCGTTCCAGGCGCTTGTCGCGTTGGGGTCTTTGTGGAACGTGCTGCCGCTGCGCGCAGGGCCCATGATCATCCAGCGGCAGTCTGGGCGCTGGTCGCCGAGGACGCTGAAGAGGTCTTCACCGAAGCAGGTGGGCGGCCAGTAGGAGGCGTCTGGCGTGTCGCGGCCGACGGCGATGGAGAGCTTTTCGACGAAGGCGCGATCGAAGAGGTAGAGGGGGGATTCGTCGAGGCTGTTGTTCATGTAGTCGGTGTAGACTTTGAGCGGCCAGTCGACGGCTTCGGCGCGGATTTTGACGTCGGGGTATTTGGCGACGAGGGTAGAGGGGGTCCAGTGGTTGTAGATGGGCCATTGTTTGACGGGGGTGGTGAGGACGAAGGGCTTGTCGGTCCAGGAGTCGGAGAACTCTTCAGGGGATAGGTCGGAGAGGCGAGGAATGGAGTTGCGCGAAGGGATGTTGGTAGTGTAGGGCTCTAGTGGCGTGTAGGTGCAGTGGAAGGGACGATAAAGGACGTCGGAGAAGAGGTTCCTGCAGGAGACGAGGGAGGTGTACGATGCTGGGAGACGGAGATAGGTCGACCGCCATGTTCCATTCCATACAAAATCATCTGGAGGCGATCTGAGATTTTTGATCAGCAGTGCTCTTAAGCCGTTTGTCTAGCTTTGATTGCGGTTTTGTATAACGGGAAGACACGTCCAATCTTGAGAGGCTGGAATCGGCAGAAGACTTGATTGGAGGATCTGTCTATTTGGCTAGATCGTTGCCGACGAGATCAGACGTGGCTTCATGCCGAAGATTATGAAGACTAGAAAAGCAAACGACGGAGAAGACTGCTGAATAGACATAAAACCCATATATCCTCCGCAATACAAATGGGAACCGAAAGGAATATACATACTCTATGAAAAGAGTCCTCCACAGCTCCTCTAGCCTCGTAAAAGCATAGAAGGCCTTGCACGTGCTCCCAAGCCTCACCAGCTCCTGGGCGTCTAGGCCTTCCAACAGAGTTATGAGTAACTCATCGGGAATCCTAGCAAAAGGCCCGCACGCTGTCTTGATATCATGGGAGGCTGTGTATGCATTCCCTGAAGGCCTGATGCCTAGTGGGTGACTCGGAATGGTAACAGCATCCCCTTCCTCAACATCACTCTCGATGGGAGCAGCTTTGAGCTTTATCCTCTTTGCTGTCCGGCCAATAGCCTCCTCTTCTACGTGAGAGAAACCCTCCACAGGCATCGCGGAGGGAGCCATACTCGCTATTCCGAATGCGATCAAAGAACCAGGAACAATATGTACGACGCCTCCCGCGGGACAGCACCCCTACGATGACACAGAGGCCCGGTCAGTATCTAGGAAATCCGTTTAGTTAGTCACGGAAGAGTGAAGAGTCATCGCCACCCGTGAGCCGTGGATGCTGCCCAGGTGGCGGTGGCAGTCGGTTTTGTGGTGCTAGACCTTGGCGCTTGGACGTTTCTGGATTAGCGCAATTTGGATAATTTTACAAACTTCTCTCCAGCGACGCCCGCCTCTTCTCTTCTCCATCACCAACCACTTCAACAACACAACCCACAAATACAACCTCTCACACTAGATCCATCGACTCTCATACAAGAGAGTCAGGAATCTAGTCCCAGTACAACTTCACTTCACTTCGCGGCGGGTTCCACGAGAATCTCCACCGCTTTCAGCCCCGCCACTACCTTCTCCCACGATCACAGCGCTGCGCCTGTGGTCCCTATTGTCTAATCGCAATCATGGCTGACGGAAAAGGACTCGAGGATGTCCCCGAGGGTATGTAAATCAGTTCTCTAGTTTCGCTCATGTCTTGCACTTCTTTTCGCGTTGAGCGCACCCTCTTCCTCCCATCTTGCAGACTCTGACCGGCGCCACCAACCCAACAGGTCAGATCGAGTCGAACTACGATGAGACCACCGACTCCTTTGATGCGATGAACCTGAAGGCCGAGCTCCTTCGCGGAGTCTACGCCTACGGTTTCGAGCGCCCGTCTGCTATCCAGCAGCGCGCTATCATGCCCGTTATCAAGGGTAAGTCCACATCACCCCACCCGGTGAATGTGAGGCTCTAACACGACCTCTCCAGGGCATGATGTCATTGCTCAAGCTCAGTCCGGTACTGGCAAGACTGCGACCTTCTCCATCTCGGTCCTCCAGAAGCTCGACCCGAACATCAAGGCCTGCCAGGCCCTTATCCTCGCCCCCACCCGCGAGTTGGCCCAACAAATCCAGAAGGTCGTGGTTGCCATCGGTGACTTTATGAACGTCGAGTGCCACGCCTGTATTGGTGGTACCAGCGTTCGCGATGACATGAAGGCTCTGCAGGAGGGTCCCCAGGTCGTCGTCGGTACCCCCGGCCGTGTCCAGGACATGATCCAACGCCGTGTCCTCAAGACCGACCACATGAAGATGTTCGTCCTTGATGAGGCCGACGAGATGTTGTCCCGTGGGTTTACCGAGCAGATCTACGACATCTTCCAGCTCCTGCCGCAATCCACCCAGGTTGTCCTCCTCTCGGCCACCATGCCCCAGGACGTCTTAGAGGTTACCACCAAGTTCATGCGCGACCCGATCCGCATTCTCGTCAAGAAGGATGAGCTTACCCTAGAAGGTATTAAGCAATTCTACATCGCCGTCGAGAAGGAAGATTGGAAGCTCGACACCCTCTCCGATCTGTACGAGACCGTTACGATCACCCAAGCCGTCATCTTCTGCAACACCCGTAGAAAGGTCGACTGGCTCACCGACAAGCTCACTGCCCGTGACTTCACCGTCTCCGCCATGCACGGTGACATGGACCAGCCCCAGCGTGATGTTATCATGAAGGAGTTCCGTTCCGGTTCTTCTCGTGTTTTGATCGCTACTGATCTTTTGGCCCGTGGTATCGACGTTCAGCAGGTCTCCCTTGTCATCAACTATGACTTGCCTGCCAACCGCGAGAATTACATCCACAGGATCGGTCGTGGTGGTCGTTTCGGACGGAAGGGCGTTGCCATCAACTTCGTCACCGCCGAGGACGTGCGCATGATGCGCGAAATCGAACAGTTCTACAGCACCCAGATTGAGGAGATGCCCATGAACGTTGCTGGTAAGTCCCGAATCATGCACTTCGGCCTAACTAAATACAGACTACTGATGAATTTGAATAGATTTGATCTAAGTATTGATCTACAAGGGCGCCCTATTTCTCATCAATACCAGCAATATGCCCCGCTGGTACATTGATTTCTGATCTGGTGGCTCTTTATGCGTGTGTCGTCTGCCTGGCGTTGGGCGACACAACCATTCCATTCGGAACAAAAAGCGTGAGAGGGAGGCATTTACACCATGGCATCTCGGCGTTTGTCGATTTCTTGTGAACTGCTCCCTTTACGACGCATCATGATCATGATGGGTAGAAAACGGGGACTGCTGACTGTTTATTCCATCGAGAGACCCTGCTTGCTACTTTTTCATTCTCCTTTCTCATCCATGCGGCTCTGTATCTAGGGATTGCTGGTCCTTTTGGTTATCTTGGCACGGCCGTGGAAGCTATTTCCACTTTAGACGTGTCATCGATGACGATAATGGTCTTTTCTTTGCTATAGAGTGGTCTATCTGAATTACATTCGGTCAACATTTTAGTTTTCTGCCCTGTGCTTGTGATTGTTGCTGCTAATTCACAAACATGGTGGACGTCTCTGATTCATACTAAGATTTGGACATACAGTACTAGGACAGGCACAAGTTTGCCATGCCGTCTTTGTCATCTCGTCCGGGTTTATGATGAGGCGCGGAAGCACCACTGACAGCGGCAAGGAGGCTGGCTGTCAACGTGTGAAAATTCTTTGATTTAAGCCTTCAGGACTTTACACCTTATATAAAGATTTTCAATGTGCCAAAGCACTTCCAACGGTAGTAAACAACTGCGCCCAGAACTTTGGCAAGGCACTGTACAAGCGGACTATCATCACATAAGTTGTCACTACAATTCACATCCCATAGTAGCACATTATCAATAGCATTGATAACAGCTACAAGCCTCGAACGAATAAGTGAAGCCGCCCATTAAACCTTCAAGCCAGCGCCGCAGCGCATGAGAACCGGGACGCCTTCCCACCCATCCGTGGGCCAAATGATACAAGAGTTGCAGGCTTCATGCTCTTATCAATTACTCAAGCGGCCACCACCCCCTCCTTCTCCATATCCTTGACAAACTTCTCCCACGTCTCGATGGTCCCCTGGAAGAACCCGATATGCGCATCGGCCAGATCCCCCAGCGTGTCCTTGAACTCAACCGCCTTGATGCGCTCGAAATCCGCGACCTCTTTCATCGTCTGCTCGTCAAACGCCTCTGTGGCTTTCTTCGCCATCTCGACTTCCCGCGTTAACCGCTCGATGTCGACCTCGAGTTTGCGTAACCGTTGCCGTCGTGCCTGCTCGTGGTCCACGCCGCGTACGTCCTCGAGTTTACTGCGCAGATAGCCGCTCGCGCCCAGCCCGCTGGAGCCTGATTGCGAGGCTAGGCTATCACGGTCACCCGCCGCTTTGGCGAGGTAGTCCGTTAAAGCCTCGAAGTCGAGTTGTTTCTGCTCGCGGGTCTTGAGGAGGCCTTTAAGCGCGACGATATACGCCTCCATATCCCTCAACGAGCCCAGGTAATTCTGGTCCGTATGCTCCTTCAGCCCCCGCAGGCCCTGTGACGTCGTGTCGACGCTGCTCGCAAAGCTTGTCAGCGCCGCCTCCACGCCGGGCTCCAGCACATTAAGCTTCTGGCACTGCACGGCCAAATCGCCGTAGTCTGTCTCCAGGTCCGCCTGCCGCCGCGCCACCCGCGCCGTCACCTTCTCCACGTTGCTGAGGTCCTCGTCCAGCTTGGTCGCCTTCTCCTTGACCTCGACGAAGCGCTTGTCGGCTTTGTGCACTTTCGTGAAGGCGTTGACGAAGGTGTCGGCCAGCGTGTTGATCAGCCCGGAGTCGGCGTCGGCGTCGCCGGCGGACGACATGCTGGCGCCGCGCAAGGGGCGCCCCTTCATCGTCTGGTTCCAGTCGGGGCTCTCGAGGAAGAGGATCAGCAGCATCGCGCGGCGGAGGACCGGGTGCAGCGTCAGCCGCTTCAGGAAGCGGTGCAGGCTGTGCGCGCGGCCTTGCGTGAAGTCGGGCCCGAAGCGGTCGCCGCGCACGTACGCCATCTTGTGCTTGTCTGGGAGCGGCGGCACCGCGCATTGCGGGTACTCGCGCGAGAGGGTTTTGAAGAGGAAGACGAAGTCGGTGAAGCGGCGGCGGACGGCGAAGTCGGAGCGTTGGAAGGTTTGGAAGTCGGACTGTGAGGAGGGAAGAGGGTTTAGAGGGAGGGTTGGGGAGGGGGGGTTAGGGAGGGCGTGGGTACCTTTGTGGAGACGAGGTAGGATATGTAGGCGTCTTTGGTACCGTCGAGTTCCTTCTGGGGTTGGGAGACGGTGCACTCCAGACGGCCTTCGGAGAAATCGTCGGTGTCGTAAGTGGGCTGGCCATCCATGCTGGGCAAAGGTCTTGTTTGTGACAGTGGCTAGGTAAAGATCGCTGGAGGAGTTTGTGGTGGAGTTATGCGGATTGAGAGAAGTTGGAGAGCTCTGGAGGTTGAAACGGCGAGTCGGCGTCATCGGCGCTTTCCCCTCCAATATCAAAGCGGACGCAAACGATTTACTCACGACGCATCATTACATAGTCAATGGCATTGGTAGAAATAGAGCACGCTCGTGTTGATACAAATAATCATCCCGCAGTGGGTAAGTCTCTGGCCTGGCTGCTGTAGGGTGCCTAGGGAATATATACAAAAGAATAGAACCCAGCAGTCAGCCGGATTGTTGACGTGAATAAACAGTCGCCCAACCCAAAAACGCCTGGCTGACCTCTCTAATTGTCGAGAGCGCCAAACCTCCTTCCAAACTCCTTGATGAGACGAGGGGTGATCTCATCGCTGGTGTTCCCTTTAACATTCCAAAGAACTCCCATTTTGTCATAGTGCTCAAGGAGAGGTAAACTCGTCTCCTTGAAATGCCTCAACCGCTCCTTCCACACTTCCGGATCGTCGTCTTCCCGACGCGTCAAGGGCTCGCCGGTAACATCGTCTTTGCCCTCGACCTTGGGCGCATTGAAAGTCGTATTGTAGACTCGCCCGGATGGCGCATGCACCCACCGATTACAAATCCGGTCGATGATTATGTCAGTGGGCGTGTCCAGATTGACTACGAGGTTGATCGGTATGAGGTCGTCCAGTTGAGACGCCTGGGCAGCTGTGCGTGGAAAGCCGTCCAAGATGAACGACGCCGAGGGATGGTCGGAGTAGTTGTACTTGCTGGTACGCAGTCCGGACGGAATGAAGACGGAGTCTACGGTATCCTCCTGGTCCATTCCAATAGATGACGAGTAGACAGTATAGGGTCTGATTGTGTCGTTGGTGAGCCAGCCGCGGTTTGTGAGTTCGTTTATTATCAGACGGAGAATCATAGTGTCCGGGACCAATACGCCGGCCTTCATCTTGGACTCGGCTTGGATGCCTGCGCGTCACGGTTTGTCAGACTTGAACAAGAGAATTCGAATGTTCTACGCCTACCCAAAGGAGTGCGCTCCCTGACATTCTTCCGCAAAAGGTCGCCCGAGCTGATTGAGGCCAGTTCCGGAAACTTTCTCATGAGTCGATCGGTTTGAGTGCCCTTGCCGACGCCGGGTGCGCCCACGAGAATGATGCGGGCTGCGCGCGTGAGAGACATTGTGGGTGAGGGCCGTCTGGCTGCAATGACTCGAGGATACGTGGCAATAGATATATTCCTCTCGCAACGCCGGGGGAATGGGAGCCTGTAGGGCCAAAGGGAAGTACACCGGAGGCTATCGGATATGCATAGTGAAGGGAATATATAGGTAGTAATACAGTTCAGCAGTTATACAGGCGAGGACGAGGTGTGCACGGCGTGAGCACGAAGCGAACGGGGCAAGATGAGGATGTTGAGGCGGAGGCGATGAGTGTTGATGAGGGGAACCGGAGGTGAATGCACGGGACACGCCCTCGTCATTTGTTGAGGGCCGCTGGAGGCACCGGTCGCAGGCCGAGCCCTCCGGCACGCCGCGCAACTGGACTGGCACATGCTGGGTCCTCCAGGCGGGCGACGAGGGGCTTGGCTGGCCTGTTCCTGGGCGCAAATCCACGCCATGCCGAAGCCGACGGCCAGCGCAAACCGCACCTTGTTCATCCTTCACTTCCACCATCACTCCTTCATCAGCCACCCTTCACCAACACGCTGCCCCATCGCCAACTGCCGCCGTCTACACACCGTTTCTTTCTTTCGTCTGATAGTCGCTCCTTACTTCTTCCCTGCCGGTCCGGCGCTCCGCCATGTATCTCCAGCGCTCTGCGTCTAAGGCAGCGCCCCTGGTGCTCAGGAACGGCGCAAGAGTCTTCCCACGCACCTCCAGACATGCGCCGCAATATGTTACAGCAATTGCCATACTGCTCCCGCACCGGGCTATGGCGACCGACACCTCGACATCCTCGGGTCCTGGAGGAGATTATCCGCCCCTCGGCTTCAATGCTGACCAAGCCAAGAAACCGCTTCCCAAGGAAGCTCCAACCATCAAGGAGCAGGCAACTGTCAGCGACGCAGTCTTGACAAATCCCACCGCTCCCAAAGATGTATCTGCTTCGGCCTCCAAGGCGGCGCCCTCGGACGACAAAACGCTCACAGCGCTAGCTACGGAGAAGGCTACTGAGAAGAAAACCGAAGAAAAGAAGCTTGCCAAGAAGAAAGAGGATGAGAAGAAGCTCACAGTTTGGCAGAAGGTGAAGCGGGAAGCCAACCATTACTGGGATGGAACGAAGCTGCTCGTTACCGAGGTCAGGATCAGTTCAAAACTGGCCGTAAGAATGGCTGCTGGTTACGAACTCACGCGGAGGGAGCACAGACAGGTAATGTATCTCTTTTCAATGAAATGCGAGCTAGCTAACCCGCAAACAGTTGACCAGAACAGTCCAGGATCTGGGTCGATTAGTCCCCTTCTCCGCCTTCGTTCTTGTTCCTTTTGCCGAACTTCTCCTCCCCGTAGCTCTGAAGCTCTTCCCCAACATGCTCCCCAGCACATACGAGGGCCAGAGTGCCAAGGACGTCAAGGCCAAGAACCTGCGGGCCACCCGGAAGGAGGTCAGCAGCTTCCTGCGGCAGACTCTCCAAGAAACTGGTCTGCCTGTAAGCACAGAGAATGCGCAGAGGGAAGAGTTCCATGAGTTCTTCCGTAAGGTCCGGACGACGGGCGAGACACCCACTCAAGCCGACGTCATCAAAGTCTGCAAAATCTTCAAGGATGATTTGACCTTGGACAATCTTTCCCGGCCGCAACTGGTTGCCATCTGCCGGTACATGAACATGACATCGTTCGGCACGGACAACTTCCTCCGTTACCAAGTACGTCACCGCATGCGTCAAATTAAGCGTGACGACCGCGCAATTTCTTTCGAGGGTGTTGAGTCGCTCTCCGTTCCAGAGCTGCAGACGGCTTGTGCTAGCCGCGGTCTCCGCACGCACGGTATGAGTCCCGGTCGTCTCCGGGATGATCTGCAGATGTGGCTCGACCTGAGACTGAAGTACGGCGTTCCATCGACGCTTCTTGTGCTGAGCAACGCCTTCATGTATGCTCAAGGTAAGGAGGCGGAAATGAACTCTCAAATTGATGCCCTCCAAGGTGTGCTATCGAGCATACCCGAGGAGCTGTATCACGAGATCGAACTCGAGGTGCACAGCGCCGAGGGCGCTGCTACCAACAAGCAACGTCTGGAAGTCCTCAAGGAGCAACAGGAGCTCATCGACGAGGAGAACCAACAGAACCAGAGCAATGCGCACAATGCCAACGCGTCGCCGAAGGATCTTGACAATATTGATGAGGATGAGAAGGTTGCTGCGAAGGCTGATGGCCAGGACATCAAGGAAGCTGCCGACGAAGCTGAGGTCGTTGAGAAAGACAAGGAGAAGTCCTCTGCTGAGAAGCGGGAGGAGCTCCTTCAAGAAGAGAAGGAAGCTGATAAGGAGCATGAGACGCAAAAGCTTCAAAAGGAGAAATCTTAGGGTGGTGCAATCTCCACTTGCCATTCTCTATGTATATAGACACATGAGCTCTCATTCATGACGGAGTCCCGGAGCTGCTCCGGGCTCCAAACCCCGTAGAACAAAAATACCCAATGTATCAATACGCACACTATATTATCACCAATTTCATGATCTCACTACGGTACTACGACATAACTTTGCGCACTCTCTTTGCAGTTGGTTCCAGCCTTGCTTCCGGATTTCTAATAAGACGCTGGCCACCCCGAACGACATGGTGAAATAGGCCAATGAGAAGCGTTTGGGGCCGCACTTGTTTGCGTCGTCTTGACTTGTATATCTTATCTGAATTCATGCTAATGCGTCGAAGGGCTTCAGACGTGGTGAGCATGAACGCACAAACTGGTGTCCTACCGTTGTATATGATGCCAAAAGGAGCGTAAACTAATTTTGAGATCAAGCATATCAAACCAAGAATCTACTAGGCGTCGAAACGATTTTTGAAGAATCTGATCTATAGTCATCCTCGAGAGCATTTGGACACTTGTTCTGGCTTCAAACTTACAAAGGTATCTAGTCATCAACCCTGCAAATAACTCACGTGACGACCCCACCTCTATTTCAACCTCATCTTTTTGTTGGATCCGGCTTCAAGCATCGAAAGCAAAGGAAAGCAAGATGTCCTCCTCGCTCCTTCCAGCATCTGCTCTCCCTCTTCCGATCGAGCTCTATCTTCAGATCATTGAACACGTTATCGCCACCCCTCATGGAGCCGTCCCAATTGCGTTTCCCCCATCTGATATCCGCACACGCACATTACACTCGCTCCTTTTTGTCTGTAAACCCATATCCAAAGCTGCGTCTCCCTACCTCTACACCCACTGTCTTCACCTTAACACTCCCTCCCGTGTGGAGAAGATCCGAGCGCAAGCCGGCCCTGTCGACAGCGGCTGGCTCAGCAAATTAATATATGGCAACCCTCAATACGTCGAACCGCCTCGAATTACAAGTCTTTACCTTTGCCATAGCATCCCGGAAGTACGTAAGGTCCTGGTACACATACCAGAGTCCGCTGGTGTCATTGTTTCTGGAAGTGTGTTGAAACACGACTCATGTCGTGTTTGAACACCCACTCAAGTCGCGGTTGAGCACCTATTTTAGTGGCTTTAAACACCGACACCGACAGAAGCCAAAATGGGGTCTTACACACGACTTAAGTGGCACTTGAAGACGACAAACACCAGAGGACCTCGTCTCTGTCCTACTCCCACCCTTCTACTTATGAAAACCCGCTAACATATGTATTGTCACCTTAAGTGGTATCAGTATGAGAATCTTCGGGTGGCCACCAGCCTGCTCAAGCTCGTGGCGCCGACTTTAAAGCGACTCGCGCTGTTCCTCCCTGTCGGCAACGTATCGCAGACTGTGAGGTATGAACTTACCAGCGGCGTGTTGGCTCGCCTTACGGTGCTCGAGGAGCTGGTGAGCACACGAAGTGCTTTCTTCCAAGACCCAGGACCTGACGTCACGCTTCCTTCGCTCCGCCGCCTGGCGCTGACCGGACCACTGCAAGAACAAGAGCTAATTTTCTTGTCGAAATGCACATGTTTGGAGACCCTGGTCTACCGACGCAACTGGTTCGAAGAGTGGTCCGATCCCAAGGAGATTGAGGACGTCTTCAACGCCTACACTGGCCCTGCATTGCGAGTTATGCTAGTGGCCGAGGCCATGGATCATGGCCCGCCAAGGGGCGGTCGGGACTTCCATGAAGATGATCGAGTTAAGTTTTACGAAGTTGACGTGCCGACGAGCTATTACGGGGATGAGAATGATGAACATCCACTATGCTATGAGTTCATTCGGGAAGGTGGGGTCAGAGGGACAGTCTGGGGGGAGAAGGCGAGGAAGATGGAGGATTTCACGACTGCGAGGAGGAGGCTGGAGAGGATTCAGGCGATTCTCAACCAGTGAGCGGAGAGGTGATGATTTTTAGCCTAGCAATGGAAAGATGCGATCCCAGCTGAGAACGATTTTTTGGTATGTCATCTATCGCGGTAACCTTTATCCAGTGCTTATTTTTGCCTCATTTTTTCCAAGCCCCTCAACAACCTAGTGGGAACAAGATGCCTAAAGTGGATATATCCACCGTATGTATGTACCGCAATTACCGCGACGTGGCTTGTAGCACGCTAGCTGACGACGCAGAACAGACCTGAGCAAGTAATCGCGATTTTAAAGTTGGCTGCGAGGCGTCTCAACGTCCCACATTTCGGCTCGATAGAGGCGAGCTGATACGCTGAAGAAACATGCTTAGATTAGCGCTCCGAGCCCCGAGAGCCCCGTGTCGATTAGCTCACCGATACGGTGTCGCATAGATCTAGCGCTTGCTCATCGGAGGCTACCACAGCCATACAAGTAGCTATGGCGCAACATGTGCACCTGCAGTGCATCTCGATCTTACTGTGCTAATTCCTAGCTAAGATCCTAGTTCTACGCCTGAGTAATACAGATCCGGTTTGTGGCGCCCGTGCACCGTGACGTTGAACTTGAATACAGCACTGGCAACCCAAATGTTCAAAAATATTTCTGGATATTATTGAAGCGCAAAGTCAAGGCTACGACTCGGTATTTTTTTTGGAAAATTATTGGTCAAGAATTGGAGGAGATCTACGTTGTTGAATGTTGCGTGCATAGACCACAAACCGGATCTGTATTACTCCTAGTAGAGCCTAGATCCTCGCTTGCGGCGGGGAAGGGCTCCCGCCCGCTCGCATGGATGTACGATTCAGATCTTAGCCCCCACATTTCGACCACTGCCTCTTCACGGATCGGTCCTCCCGCCGGGCTCGTTTCCGTGCCCAGAACCAAGTGCATTTCCCTAATAGTACCCTAACAGTACCACATCCCCACATAGTGGACCTCCATAACGCCTTCGTCTGTGTAAGTGCTTACACCGTGTCTTCCCGTTCTTGCTCCCTAGACTCCTGCAACAAGACCAACCTGTATCTGAGCAAGATCTTTCTTGTTTCTGAGATGTCTTGTGAGGCCATTTACAGCCTCTCTTTACGTCCGATGACGTAGCGCGGAGCCTGAGTCGACTCCGGTATATCTTCTTTTCTGGGCTAATACTGAGCCGGCCTGAAGATTGATTGGCTGCGAGGTCGCTATTTCCCCGTAAAGGCGTCCGGAATTACTCCTCTATACGGCCATCTTGTGGCTTGATCTTAGTGCTGGGCTGCCAGACGTAGGAAAAGGCTGTATGCGTCACGAGTGAAAACTCCAGACGAAGACGCGTCACGAAGGTTGGAGCACCACATCTCAGCTGGGCTTCTTCACAAAATCCCCAGGGGTTCCCCTCTCTGGCGGCACACTCAATCATCTCCGCTCATTTCCGCCCCTGCAAGAACGTCTTCTGTGGCCCCCAGAAACTCCCATATCCCTGGTTGTCGGCGACCTCATCGGTGTGAATTCCAACACTTGATACTAATCCCTGTCTTCCACCTGTAAGCCTCAGCCGGAAGCGCCACCCGCCTCCTCCCCGATGCGCCTCCCGATGGCGCTAAGGCAAGGTTAATAGCTGGTCAAAAGTTTGTAGAGTAGTAGCCACATCTACCCTGGTAACCCTGGTCAACTCCAACTCTTGCGAAGGAGTTGAGTCCTTTTGTACGTTGATTGGTCTCGTTGTCTTTGCGTTATCACACGGTTACTTGATTTCATGTTCCAGAATCTGGATTCCAAATGCGCCGCTAGATGTTCATCACAATGGCGAATCGATTGCCCCTTGATGCTAGGACATTTATATTCGTGGTGGGACTTCATGTAACCCCATTGTCGATCGACAGCCATATCATCGTTCACGGCTTGTGCCAACAGCCTTTGCTCCAATTCGGTAACCTCAGCCTTGTTCTACGATGTCTTATACTCCTGAGCAGTTGGAGGCACGCGAACTCCTGGAAAAGCATGTCGTGATGGCCTTCCTGGTGGCCACTTGGATCTTCGTCATTCTGCGCATTTACGTTCGAGGAAGACTGATCCGTGTGTTTGGTTGGGATGATACTTGGATGATATTAGCACAGGTAACTTCTCCGTTTGGTGTACCACAAGCCTGTCGTTGACCAAGACTCTCTAGCTCATGTTCACTTTATACTGTGCTTTTTTCCTCGTTCTCTTATCATATGGAGGCAACACAGCGATTATGAACTATGACATGCAAACCAAGATCACCAATGTTCGTATCCTCTGGCACGTATTGAGCGGGACTATCCTGACGCATTTTAGTGGAGTATTGCCACGTTTTGCCTCTACATTGCCACCATCTGCTTCCTCAAAGTCTCGCTCGGTTTACTCTTCAACCGCATCGTGATTAAAAAGTGGCAGCGCTTTGTAGTTTACGCCACGGTGGCCGTCAGCACCCTTACGAGCATAGCGGTTCTCTTTTTCATCGTCTTCCGCTGCGGCACAGACGTAGGCGACTTCCTTCCAAGAATGATCGCAGGGCATTGTGCGCCTCGCAGTATAAGCCTAGTTTTTCTATATCTGCATGGCGCGATAAACGTGGCTACCGACTGGATCTTCGCAACATTGCCGATACCTGTTCTCTGGAACGCGAATATGGGAACTAGGACCAAGGTCTCATTCGGCTTCATTCTAGCTCTCGGTGCTGTGTACGTATCCTCCAAGCATGCTACGAGTCTGCTCTGACATCTCGACAGCGGCAGCATTTGCTCGATTGTTCGGTGTTTCTACATCAACGGGGCGTTCCGTCGCGAAGGCTTCTTCTGTAGGTTTTCATCACTGTGGATGCCACACATCTCCTCTGCTAACCTTTCCCAGGGAACTCCGCCACCGCAGCCACCTGGTCCACCATCGAGCCCGGCATCGGCATCATCGTCGCCTCGCTCGCAACCATGCATCCCCTCTTCCGCATCCTCTTCAGGGAAGCCCGCGACTTGTCGTCCCGCTACGGCCAGCCCGTCACTAATCTCTCAAAGCAAACGCGCCGCTCCTTACCCTTCCGCCCTCCCCCGCCTCCCACCTCCACCCCCGATGAATCTCTTGATGTGAGCTCCGTTGAGATGACACGGTCTCCTCCAAGACTCGGGTCAGGCGGGGTCAAGTCTATCCTCAAGACGACGACGAAAGCGTCGACGGTAGAAACCGTGGGCGCGAAGACCGGGCACATCACGCGGGAGATATATATCAGACCGCGCAATACGGGGTCCGAGGATGTCTTCATTGAGATTGATCGAGAAAGCTGGTATATCGAGCCAAGCGATGGCAGGTCTAGCCGTCAGTCGACGTCGCTAGAGCTGGTCAACCAGGCAGTGGGCGCGTTGGAGGAGTATATTGAGACACACGGATTGGAGGATGGGACGGTTGAGCTTGATCGGAGGAGCTTGAATACGATTGATGAGGAGGATGGATGAAGCGTTGCGGGTGTTCATGGGGTTTAGCGGGAAATGGCGAGTGGCACATGTCCCTTTAGGGATGCTTGGTGTATAGGATGGCGTAGTTGGCTGTGTATGGCGTAGTTGGCTGTGTGTGGCGTAGTTGGCTGTGTGTGGCGTAGTTGGTTTTGGATATCCGTTTGTTGGTTGAACATTCTGCAGATGATTTTATAGGGAGGGCAAAGTTACGAGTTGACGCCCTTTCATCCTGTAGTAATTTTGAGTTATAGGCTGCGAGAGCCTTTTGATTGAGAGCGCATTTGACTTGAACATCTCCCCAGTGCCTCAAAAGCGATATACCTGGATCATATGCTGAAGGGATCTAGTCTCTCAATTGAGACTTAGAATGCAAAGTATGCGATGCTTGATTATTGCGTCCGGCTAAATCACTTCCCTATCTTCAAAATCGGCAATAGCAGTAACCTCAACTTCGAGATCCCAGTGATCCAGAACCCTACGGTCTTTGCACGCCTATTCTCTGCATAGGGCTGAGATAGGATCACCCGGCAGCAACGGCACCAAGGGTGCCGATAACCAAAAGTGGGGGAGGAGTGTAAGGTGATCGAGTTCCACTCCCAGCCCCACCAATGCGATAGAGCTACGCATAGTGATACCGTTAGAAGGGTGGCAAGGATGCATCACCGAAATGACACATGATACTAAAAAGATGACTATTGCAGCGGAGAGGACGAGCAATACGAGTTTGGAGTTGAGATCCCTTTTCATTAGTCAGCAAAAATATCTCTGCCGAGCATCATGAAAACTGAACGTGCGCCGCCGATCTTGGACTTCTCGGGTATACTCATTCAATGTTTGATATATTTTGTTCCGTTGAGCTGATTGAATGGCACAGCTTTCTATGGCAATGATGCCACCGCGAAACAGAAACTCGTCGACGACGTACGCCAGTGCTGTCTGCACAATGGCTTCTTCCAGATCACCGGGCATCCCATCCCACTAGAGCTACAGGAGGGCGTCATGAACTGGAACAAAAAGTTCTTTGACTTACCTCTAGAAGAAAAATCCAAAGTCTCACTACGTAAGCCCTACTCTCACTACCTCAGCCAAGAACCAACCCCTAACCTTCCCCCCAGAGACCAACACCTGGAACCGCGGCTACGAGCTCCTGCGCTCCCAAATCCTCGAAGAAGGCACCCAGCCCGAGCTCAAAGAGGGCTTCTACGTCGGCGACGACATCCCCAAAACGCACCCCTACTTTGTCAACAAGCGCCTCAACAGCGGGCCCAACGTGTGGCCCGCCGGCCTCGCGGGCGTCGACGACTTCAAGCGCACCACACAAGCATACTACTACGCCGCCGTCGCGCTAGCCAAGGACATCCTCAAAGTGCTCGCGCTCACGCTCGACCTGCCCGAGGACTTCTTCAGTGCCTACGCCGCGGGCGCCGTCGCGACGATGCGGCTGCTGCACTACCCGCCGCAGCAGTCCGACTCGGACGCGAAGCTCGCGCGGGGGATCGGCGCGCACACGGACTTCGGCGGCATCACGATCCTGATGCAGGACGAGGTCGACGGGCTGCAGGTGTGGGATAAGGAGGTGGCGGACTGGTTCGACGTGACGCCGATTAAGGGCGCGTTTGTGGTGAATCTGGGGAACTTGATGATGCGGTGGTCGAATGATCGGTATATCTCGAATTTGCATCGGGTGATCAATCGCTCCGGGAAGGAGAGGTATTCGATTCCGTTTTTCTTTAGTGGGAATCCGGATTATGTGATTGAGTGTTTGCCGAATTGTAAGAGGGAGGGGGAGGAGAGTAAGTATGCGCCGACGACGGTGGAGAAGGCGGTGTTGGGGGGTTATTCGGATAGTTATGGAAGGGCGGAGCGGTATAAGAAGGCGCAGGAGGCACAGGGGGAGAAGGTGCCTGTGGTCGCGGCGAAGGAGGTTGCGGTTGCGTAAGTGCTTCTATCACGCTGGTTTGGACTATCTTCAATTTACTGTTATAGATTTATTCAATAAAATCACAGAAGCAAGGAACAGCGCTTGTGTTGGGGTTTCAAAGTTCTTTGTATTAGGAGTGTTCCTTGGACTTGTACAGTTATGGTAATTGAGAGTGGAAGATCTATGTGGCCAGCTAATCCTCCAAACACCATGCTAGAAAACATTCAGCCCGTTATGCAAATACCTTATGAAGACACCCTCTATGCCATCGGTAAGGAGCACCTTAGAACTGTGATTCAAACAATTTTAGCAAATCCTCATCCGGGGGTGTCGAGGTCCTGAGGGTTAGACAGCGGAAGTAGAAGAATCGATCGAGGGAGTGTCGAAAGGATTCTCACCAGAAGCGCTCCTGCGGGAAGATTTGAACTCTTCCCAGTCTTTCGCCAATTTGGTATACTGGTCGCGATCCCAATCGCAATGAGCGCCTTCACGGAGAAGATTGAACATCGCCCGAGCCATGCGATACGGCGGTTCATAGACATAGCGAAGAAACTCAGGGCCAACAGCTTCGTCGAAGGTGCGCTTCAACTCTTGTCCCTCGAGGGTTTTGGGGTCAGTGAGGGCTTGGGTCTCGTCATCTTCTTCGCAGTCCTCGTCCGGAGTCCAGATCCAATGCGGTGCAGCGCAGACCAGGAATTCGGGACCAAAGACAGCGCTGTCCCAGTCAAGGATGCCCTGGATGGTGACAGTAGATTCGTCGCGGACCTCGACAATGACGTTGCGAGCGAAGAAATCGAGATGGCAAAGGGAGAATGTGGTGTCGGAGAAAAAGCCCATCTCGCTCATTTCAGTCGCGATCTTGCCCACATTAATCCACATGTCCCCATAAGTATCCTGCATAAGTCCCCAGCTATCAGCATCCTCGGCATGCATTCGTGCAGCTAGATCCAGGTAGAAATCTAGGACGGATTCTGGTTGAGCAGGAGATGTAATGTCTGTAAGGGGTGACGGTCCCTGGTACCATCCACGACGGGGAACTTCTATGCGGAAAATTTCAGGCGGTTCATCTGTTCCTTCCCGAATAGACTTGGGAGACACGAAACCTCCGTATGGTTGGCGGACTTTTTGCATATCTAAAAGTACTCGCGCCCACTCCTTGGTGACCGAAATCTTCTGTTGGTGGTTGAGTGTGTCCCAGACAGCATTGAGATCAGAGCCGAGAATTCGCTCTTGGATGGAGTAGGAATGAGAGAGGGCGTTATCTTGGGTCAGATCGAAGTGAGTGATGCCTGGGACGGGGAGCGATGTATGGTGAGCTACATATCGGAACATAGCGATCTCATAAGTGATATCCGGATCATCGACACGCGGTATACGGAGAATGTATTGGCGCAGTTGCTCCTGCTCGACGGATCCGAGACAGAAGGCGAAGAAACGCCTCAGTCGTGTCAGAAAGTAGGCCGCTGAGTGCTTCTTCGCGTGGTGGGGATGAATAGTAATGCTGATGATTCGATTGAAGGAGCCGCCTCGAAGACGATCGATCTGGAATGCATCTAGTCCCGCGGCGGGCCAAAGCGCGCGGCAAAGGGCAAGGACACGAGTCTTGTAAGACTCAAAGGGTTCTTGCTCGTTACGAACGGTCGAGGTTTCAGAGATGTCGGAGGCAGCATCGTCGTTGTCGGAAGCGGCACCGTCATGATCTAGAGCGGCATCATCGTTGTCGGCAGGTTCAGGAATTTTATCGATACCGAGACGGTCTTCGCTCCGCTGGAGTGAGATTGGGGTTATTGCTGGAGCAGCGATTGGATTCATAGCGGCTAGCTTTTCGGTCTATTTGCTAGCTAAGTCACCAGCTGGTTGAGGAGGTGGACATAGTAGGCGGCTGCTACCAAGGTATAGAAGAGAAGTTAGGTTCAGGGTTGGGGTGTGGTTGTGCTGTGTGGAGAGTCGCAAGTGTAGGAGAAATGCAGCGAGCGAAGGAAAGAACTTAAATGCTAGTTTCACAGGTGAATTGTCAAAGCAGAGGGTGCCTATTGGTGAATCAATGCCTATTTGGACACGACTGAACAATGTCCTCGCAGGCAGCAAACACACATCATCAGATTAGTCTACTGATCACTACTTTGACATTGTCTAGAGTGAAAATAAGATCTTACATTTTCCTTTGTCGATGAAGCCCGTGAAGTTGGGAAGTAGTCAACTAGTTAACTAACGTAGTCGGCAAGCTAGTGGGCCATGCAAGCTAGTGGGCCACCCAATTTTTGGTGCGATTTAGACCTTTTAGCACCCCAGCAATCTCAACAACTACGAGATATAAAGTATAGCTTTAAGATTGCATATACTATCTAGCTCATTTTAATAGCTAAGAGAATGTTTGGAGCAGTATAGCAGCGTAATCCTATTATATTGTAGGTATTACTTGATTTTAGGGGCCAAAACTAGGCAACATTTTACTGCGGCTAAACAGGGCTATCAAGAGATCTAAAAAATTAACAGATGATATTAAAATAACCACGGATATCATTATCCTAAGTCACAACCTGGAATATTCTGTGATTGTTAAGATTGCTAGGGTGCTAAAAGGTCTAAATCGCACCAATAATTGGGTGGCCCACTAGCTTGCATGGCCCACTAGCTTGCCGACTACGTTAGTGTGCCTAGCATGCTTATTAATCAATATTCTTCCCTCCACCTAAATCCGACTTCAACCTCATTCCATTAGATTCTTCGAGAGCAACCGCTCTAACTCCAACAATGTCTTGGCTCAGATAAAAGACTGTGTATTATAAGACGGCGATTGGATATTCGATGTTCGCCCTACTCTTCTCAAAAGGTGACGTTAGCTATTCTAAACTGGTGAAGTATTTTCTAGTTCTTTAAAAGATTTAAGACGAATTACATCGATTATACGCATCTAGGGATTTCTCAAATAGGAGTTGTCATTAGACATATATAAATTATGTTACGTCACTTTCAAACATGGCTATCAGGCACAATTTAGGGGTATAGATTGATTGATATACGAGTGTCCAAGCCAAAGCTCAGATGCGCCACCATAAAGTGAGCATCCCGCAAAGTAGATACAACCTCTATCTCCATCCTGTCGAGTGGAAAAGATCATGTGTGTGTTGTCAGGAATACTGGAGAAGGAGATGTTGCTCGAAGATATCGATGGCCTAGTGTCGATGTCGAACGGAATGAAAACCCTCTCAGATCATTACAGACCTATCAGCCATGTCAGTTCTAAAACTCGAGCATTCCTATTGGGTGAACGATTACCGGGACGACTCAAATCCTAGGGCCTCGCTTGGCCGCAAATGGGGCAGCTAGTAGCAGAGCTACGCCATGCCTCCTCGCGTGTGGTGCAGAGCCATTGGTATAGAGCGCAGTATACCGGATCACCTTGAGGCTTGGATTTGGTAGCTACGCAGTTCTACGTACCCCTCAATTTCTCTGAGCAGTTGTGCGAGTACTTGGGCATTGTGAGAGGGGCGTGGTTGACGGATTATGTGTTCTGGGTGCGGAGAGCCTTAGCAAATGGTGTGAACCGATATTCAATCTTGCAGATTGAATTGCGACTTACGGTGGATGTTGGTGTTGGTGGTTGTGATTGAATATGGTTGGTGTAAGCTCCAAGGCTTCAGGGGGAATTTTATGCCGCCAGGCGCTGGCTTGTTTGAACAGCAGACACTCACCTTTACAGCTTACCTAGAGCCGCTACCTAACGCTGCCTGCTGCTGCGAACAGCCCGCGAGCTTCCGCTGGAGGGGCTCAATTCAAGTCTATCGTTTCGAACAATCGATAAACTAGGTAGGCCACCTCAGACAGTAGTCTACAGCTATACACATAAAGTTGTTCTGGTGCTCGCTCATTCCTCACATGCGATATGCTCGGTATGAAACGGCTCTGCGGCTCGATAACAAGAGGTATAATTTCGAAGGTGCGTGACATATCTCTTGCCAGGGGAGCAGCCGCGCTCATGAATCACTGCCAGCAGATCCGCGTCAAGCCAAAGAAGACCATTCACTCAATTTGGCAAGAAACTTTAGGTATTTGAAGTACCTCGATTTCTAGAGTCTACAACCAACACACCATCCTCAACACACCATCCTCAACACACCACTATACACCAACAAAACACACTTACTCAACACACCAAACACTCTCAACAACAGTCACTATGCCTCGTGGAGGAGCTTCTACGCAGCACAAATGCCCCTTGAAGGATAAAGGTAAGGGTAATTGCAGGCCGAATAAGGTGAACGGTGTCAAAATCTGCACCGCGCATCAATGGGTTTGCAAGAACACCACAACTTGCAGTGGCAAGGGAAAGCAATACCAGCTCAAGACCGAGAACTGCAAGGCCTGTGGAGCTGCCCACCCGTAGATTGATGTCGTGAAGGAAAGACTCTCCTGCAAATTGACGGGAGTTCTAGGATAAATTGACGCAGCTAGCCAAAAGCCATTCCAACTAGCCAAGAATCAGGACGGCTTTGAGCATTGCTAGCGGCGGACACACGATTCGGCGATCGCACACTATTCTCTCTAGACGAAGGGCCTCCGGGAGGTCACTAACGATTACATCTTTACGACTTCAACTCTTCTCGACAGTTCAAATCAGCTGGTGTTTATCTATGTTTCTGGCGGCAAGGACGATACACTAAGAAACATGCCGGCTGGACAATAAACAATATACTCGACAAGATAGAGGAGGAGAAGTTGCACATACATCATGGGGCGCTCACTTGAAAGTGGCGCATTAGATGGAGTTTTTTCTTGAACATTATACCCCGAGTTGAACATAACTCACAGTAATCACACACATTAACCCAAATCATTCTCGTTAACAGCTGCTTTGGGGGCTGCCAGCAGTTCTTAATAAGGGCTAGATCTGGTGAACTGTGAACGTTGAAGTAGTACTCCAGCCCATTCTGCTCTTTCCAAGTCTGAACAATGTTCTTCTTCCCTGTGCCATGGCCACTATCTCCATCCTCTTTTAGGATAAAGTTGTTACCCCTTTGGATCTAAGGCTTTGCAAGGGGCTCCAGGATCTGGTCCCGATAGACCTTGAGAGTTATCTTTCTATTTAAATTTGAGGGGACATCATAGAAGGAGAGAGGCGATTTGAAGTTGTATCCAACAGCTGCCCATAAATATAGCCTTTTCTGAGCATTCTTAACCTGGCGTTTGTCTTGTTCCTGAATGCAATTAGGGAAGTAGCGCTCTCCTGGTTCTCTAATAATTCGAAGCTTGCCTGTGAAGGATAAGAATTGGACGCTGAAGGATAAGAATTGGACACTGAGGTATAAGAACTGGACGCTGAAGCGTGAGAATTGGACACTGAAGCATGAGAATTGGATGCAAGAGAATAAGTGAATGTGCATTGTGGTCTAATGCCCCAATGCACCTTATCTGAGAAGCGAACTCTATGCCAATTGCTTGGTTCTGGGTACCTCCTGAGCACATATTCTGCCCATTCCTTTTAATCCTTCCTGGTCCTTTCATTCACCCATCCTTTCCAACAGGCTATGCACTTGTGATAGTTTATTGCCCCTAATGCACGCTGTACTGTTCGCCCAGAAACAATAGAGCTATTTAGATGCTTAATTCCAGCCTCGAAAGTAAGCTGCTCCCAGGTGAGTGCTCGTGCCTCGAAGCCTTCCTCTTGAATGATGCCCTTAAGCAGCCTTAATTCACTCTTTCCAATTAGGGCCTTCCTCCCTCTTCTCTCCTCTTTCTCTGGGTTGTTATGGTGCCTCCTTAAGTGATCTTTAAGCATGTTCCATCCTCTTGTATAGCCCGCTCCAAAATGGCGAAAGACAGCCTCATTTTCGCCTGTGACTCCCTTTGCCTTGTTGTAGGAAACAGCCCCTTAGACGTGGGCCTTGGTAGGCGTCTCAAAATTAGGTGGGCCAGGTGGGCTAGACATGAGTGAATGTAGCTGGTAGTTGAGTAGTGGTTGGTATAGGGCCGGGCCAAAATTTGGTGGAGGGAAGATGCCTAGCGCAACGCTTAGGTGTACGCGTTTTTCTGTCAGCCGCGTGGGAGGTTGCGGTTGCGTAGGCGCTTTCATCACTTCAATTTCAAAAATTTACTGTTACAGTATCAACTTCGTATTCGAAGCTTTCTAAAACCATTAATGTGCGTCCCTGCGTAGCGAGAAACCCTGCGTGGCGAGAAAATCAGACTCTGTGCACACATTAATATTTCCTACAGTTCTGTATAAGTCGTGTACTATGCCCACTGTTGAACATTCATAACACCTCCCACCTGAAAATTACGTTCACATCGTCGCCTTCGCGTCTGTTATAAAAAGGCGTTATCCGAGCCTTAGAACCTCACTACCATGTTAGGAAGTCGTTATCGGCCTTGTGGCTGCTATCGCACGGCAAATTCATGCTAGGTCGCCACGTCGATCGGTACCTCCAAATGAAGCGACCACCAATGGCGGTTAGTGCGAGATAGTTCCGTGATAATCAAGTAGTTAAGGCCTCTGACCTGTGGTTGTGCGAAGTCTCGCTTTATCTTGCTGACCCTCGGAATATATAAAAATCCGACTCCGGAGCAGTATTCATAGGACTGGTGACCGCTACGCACACTTCATCTCCTATCCCTTCGCACGCTGATTTACGTCCACAGTTATCGATAAGGATTCGGCCAATTAGAGGCTCCGAATTAGGCCCCCGTGATGAGGCCTACACCCGGCTGAGGCAATTCAAATACGTGTAGCAGCTATATACAAGCTAGTCTATAGAGTTAAGCTTGGCCATATAATCCTTCCATCCCGTGCAAATAGAAGTAGCTGAGCCCTT